GTAGGTTAGAAGGGCTATAGTACTTTCTTTACTCGCTATAATAGCTAGATCTTAGTATTCTAGCGGGAGTTTAGTTAGGGGTTATACCGGATAGAAGGTCCTATCTAAGCTTTATATTACCCTTAGTATTACTATAAACTCCCCGGTAACCTTATCGACGTCTAAATATAGCTCTCCGAGTATATCTTATAGTCTTACTTCTTCCTCGAAGTCTTCTAGCGGGAGGGTTTTAACCTCTAGTAGGGCTATATTTCTATACGCTTACTTATTAGTTACCTAATTAATATCCGGATTTACTAGTCTAAGCTAATCTATTCCTAGGATTATATTATAGATCGTTATATCTACGGCTTTATAGGTTATTTTAATAACTCTATAGGTTCTATTCCGGTCTATTAAATTAAGCTATACTTCTTAGCTTCTATATAAAGGGATCTTACGCCCGTCTACGGCTTCTACTAGGCGGGTACTTATTATATATATCTCTTCTAGGTTCTCTTTTATCTATTTTTAGCTTATAAAGCTCTAGATTATACTACTATCTATTAGCGTCTTAGCTACCCCCGTTAGGGCTCTAGTCTTAACGTCTAATATTAGTACGTTATAGATAAGTGCTTAGTATACTCCTTTACGTTCTCCGAAGAGAACTATCCCTAATACTATAAGAGTCTATAGTATAGGGTTATCTATTTTTTTAACTCTTCCGCGGCTATAGTATTTACTATAGCTTTCTTACGGTAGTCCTTTATATAGTGGCCCGGCTTACTATAGAAGTTATAGAATTTACTATCTCCGCTCTAGTCTCGTTTAGACCCTATAGTAGCTTTTCTACCCTCCGTAGTAGTCGTAGCTTACTATATAAGGAAGGCGCTATTTCCCTTAAAGAGTCTTCTACTAGATCCTTATAAGTCTATAGTATTTCTTAGCGCTATCTTCCTAGCCTCCCTAAGATATAATATCCTACTTAGTATTACTTTCTTAATTTAATTATAGAAGGCTATCTAGTTATCCTATTAATCTATAGCGGGGGCTATAAACCTTCTTACTTTATCTCGTACCTCTTTAATAATACCTATCTCTAAATAGTCGATTCTTATCTATTTAGTTAGTATATCTTTTAGGCGGTTATAGAGTCCGGTAAGCTTTAAGGCGTATTAGTATATATCCTAATACTTAGCTTACGTTATTTACTACTAGTCGTATTTAGCTTCTCGCTATATCTCGATAGGGTCGGTAATCTAAGCGAGCGCCTATATTTTAAAGACTAACTAAATAAATATCGTACCTAGATTATTCCTACGGTATTCTATCTATATTATATTAACCTTCGGCGCTAGGAACTTAGTCACTTAGTCTACCTTACGTATATCGCTAGCGAATTAGTTAGGGTATCTATTCTAGAAAGCTTCCTAGTTCGACTTAAAGAGATTATATTCGCCTAAACTCTTAGCTCTATACGTTATTATATTATAGGGTATACGTAGTTCTCTCGCTTCCTTCTAGTAGAATAAGTAGCCTCCGGCACTTCCTTACGATATAATCGAGTTTATATAGGTAGTATTAGGTAGTTAGTAGATAGTTTAGTTAGTAGTACTATCTAGCGAACCCTAACGGATCCTAGATCCTTATATTCTCGCCTATAGGATTACTACGTTTTCCTCTTCGTCCTATAGCTCCGCGCGGATCCTATTTTTCTCCTTTACTAGAGCTAGACGTCTTTTAAGGGTCTCTAACTCTCGGAGTTCCGCCTCCTTATCTACCTCGGTTAGGGTTATCGGATCCGGCGGGTTTCCTCCCTAAGGGTTATCGTCGACTCCCTATATCTCTGCCTCTTCTAGTAGGGGTTATAGGGGTCCCGGGACGTCGTTTATTTCCGCGATCGGGGCTAAGGTTCCCCTTAGGCGGTCGCTCGTACGTCGAGTTATCGATATTACGTATTCTAACGGTCTAGTTTAATTAAGATTTAGCGATTAGAATGTTAGGACTAGCGTGCTAGCGGGTCCTAGTAGGTAATATAGAACTAGAGTAAAGGAATAGTAGGGTACTAGTATATTTATAAACTAATCGCTAAAGAGCTAAGTTCCCCTAGTAGTCTCTATATAGATAACCTTTAGCGGGTCACGGGACTAGGTCACCTAACCCGGTAGGACTTAGTCTCCCTAGTGCGGTCTCTAGCGGGGGGTCATACTACCCTTACTAGGTCACGGGTTCTAGGTTATAGGACTAGGCGGGATCCAGCCTATAAGGCACTCTCCTAGCAGAGGGTCGTAACACCTATAAATAATATAAATCTTATAATTTCTTCCGCCGAAAAGACCCCTATAACTTCTTCCGCCGAAGAAAGTACCCCTTTTTCGGACTCTAAAGGAGATCTTAGACTTATCGATAAGAGTTCTAGTAACGAATCGGTCCTATTAGTAGACCTACCGAGACTATCTACCGAAGAACTCGCTAACCTTAATTATAAGATCTAAAATAAGGTTTTCTATACTACTATACCTTAGGTAGATAAAAAACGTATATAGGATCTAGTATAATATACTACTATCCTATATATATAAGCTAGACTAACCCTATTATCTAAGGATCTCCTAACCTTACCCCTACTAATAACCCTAAAAAATATAGACCCTAAATAGATAGAAGACCCTAAATTAGTCCGATAAGTACGTAACTTACCCCTTTAGCCTTAGTAGTACCGCGCTATAAAAATCGAGTTTAAATAACTTAGTTTAATTAAAGCTTAGGAGATAATCCCTACCCCTATACCCACTAAGAATATACGTATCCTTACCGGTAAGTAGGTATATAAACTAAAACTCGATACGGATAGAAACCCCCTAAAATTTAAGGCTTACTAGGTAGCGAGAGGTTTCTAATAATAGGAAGATCTAGACTATACTAAGACCTTTACTAGTATAGGTAGCTACGTTACGCTATAGATCCTCCTCGCTATAATTACGTAAAAGAAGCTTTTTATAACTTATATTAACGTAAACGTTATATATCTTAACGCCACGCTAAAGGAGAGACTCTTAATATACTACCCCGAAGGTTTCGAAGATAATACCGATTTTTTAGAGATCTAAGGTAAAGTCTACCTTCTAAAAAAGAGTCTTTATAGTCTAAAATAGTTAGTAGTAAACTAGTTTAATATATTAGGGGACTACTTATTAACGAAAGGCTTTATACGATCTACTTCCGACCTATATCTTTATATATAGTATAATTAAGAGGGCGCCGGTATAATTATCTATATTTTTATATATATTAACGATCTTTTAATTATAGCTTCTATAGTAGATCTTATTAAAACTATAAAGGACCTTATTTTAATAAAATAGTCTACGTCGGACCTCGGCGAGCTATCCTACTATCTTTTAATAAAAATAGTATATAATAGAGAGGCGGGAAAAATAATAATTTTATAAAAAATATACATTAAAAGGTTCTTAAAAACCGTAACTTTAAGACCTATAATCCCTTTATCTATTATCCTAATAAAGGAAGAGACCTTTACCGCTATAAGTAAGGTAGTAAAATAGTACTAATCTAATATAGGCTCGATTAACTATACTAATATAGTTATACGTCTAGACCTCTTACTCGTAGTAAGTATACTTTCGTAGTTTACTATAAACCTAAACGCTAAACACGAGGATCTAGTATAAAGAGTAATTACTTATATAAGACGTACTAGCTATTACGTAATTATATACTAATCTAGACCTAATTAGGACCTCTAAGGGCATATCGACGCCTTATATAGATTAGCCCTAAAAAGTAAAAGTAGGACTAGGTATATCTTCTTCCTCGTAGGGGGTCCAATATTATAGAAATCTTAAAAGTAGACTAATATAGCAAAATCAAGCGCCGAAGCTAAATATATAGTCCTCTTAATTACTAGCGGAGAGGCAATTTAGCTACGAAAACTACTAAAAGATCTTAATTTTTACTAAAGAAGTATAGACCTCCCCCCTATCCCTTTATATAGCGATAGCTAGTCTACGATCACGATAACGAAGAACCCTACTATTTTAGGACGTTTAAAATATATCGACGTATACTAGCACTAGATCCGCGAGTAAGTTAAAAGGGGAAAAATCAAGCTTATATATATAAAAGGGACTAAAAACATTACAGATAGACTAATAAAGCCCCTCGGGGCTCCTAAATTTATAGAGTTTATCGCAGGTTTAAACCTTAACCCTAAAACATATAGACTTTCGGTAGAATAAACCCCTACGTCTTTCGTAGTATAAAAACTACGTCTTTCGTAGTGTAAAAACTACGTCTTTCATAGTGTAAAAACTACGTCTTTTATAGTGCAAAACTACTAGTTTTACACCTTCCTATAGTCTAAAAGCTACACCTTTTAACTAAGAAACCTTATTCATCTTAGTCCCTAATAACATGATCTTACGATATATAACGGCTACACGTTAAGGGGGCGTATTAAGAACCATGCCTAAGGCAGGATTCTCTTATCCGCAGGATTATCAACGCTACGCCCTTTTTGTCTTTTCTACCGAAAAGCTCACCTTTAGGGGCCAAATTAAGGACTCCGATCCTCGGCATATAAAGGGACATAAATAGCAGGAAAAGACAGATATTATCTAGATCTTTAGACAATTCAATACTTCTATAAGAGATCCTATTCCTAGTATCATTTGAACCCATTGTTGAAACCCTATATGCTATATCATACCTCTATATCTTTAACAGTTTTAACCCCTAGAAGAAGGGAGTTCTAGGATTCATCCGAGTCCGAATAGCGTTATATTTAATGCTTTTCTTCTAAGGCATATCGACTTTAGGAAAGATTAAACCTTAGAAGAATGTAAGTACTTTATTTACTAAGGGCTCTGTTATAGTAATTCAGGTGCTCTTATATATTCTGCTAGCAAATATTCAAAATATTTAGGCAGTTGGGGGGCTTATTATGAGGAGAGGGGGGGGGGGGGCTCTACACCACCACCCTATACATATATGTTTGTTCTCTACACCAGAGTGAGGCCAGTGTAGCTACCATCGTTGCTCACAAGCTCGGTCTTGACTCCATCTTCCAGAGACACGGAGTACAGGCTACCGCCGAGATCGGTCACATAGGCAACGTTGTTGGCCTTGTCCAACTTGAGGCCAATAGGCTCGTGGAAGTGACGCGCCAGAATGACCTTCTCCAGATCGCTAGCTTCACCGCCCACGTAGGCGCGGTTCAGGGTGCAGCCCGTGGGGTGCTCACCACGGTCGGTCCAGTACAGGGTCTGGGTCTCAGTATCAATCTCGAGATCAATAGGTTCGGGCAGGTTATTCCACAGGCGCTTGATATCGGTACGGTTCTCGGCAGTCTCGCCAGCAGGGATATCCAGGCCGGCAGAGAAGATCTGACCACGGCCGGCCTTGCTGGGGCCCTTCTGGGTCCAGTACAGGATGCCGCGCTCAGCATCGACAGAGACACCCACACACCAGTTGGTCATCTGGTCCAGGAGGTTCATGCTGGAGTCCACGCGGCGCTGAAGCAGAACCACATGGTTGGTACCGTCATAGTCACAGCGGTGGATGCCGGTGCCCTCGCGGTCACAGAAGTAGATCTGCTGGCGGGACTCGATAGCGACGAGCTGCTTGGGAGTGTGCACCTTGCCGGCGGGGACCATGCACTTAACGTTGCTGCCATCCAGATCGGCGGACCAGACGGAGCCGTCACATGATGCAGTGCTGTGGCCCATGTTGGTCCAGAAGATGCGCTTGGTCGAGGGTGAGACATCGATTCCATCGGGCAAGTTCTGGCCAACGACGACGGGGGTCAACTTTTGGGTGGCAAGGTTCAGACGCAGGATTTTGCCGTTCGAGTGCACCTGGGAGATGTCCTTGGCGTTGCTGCCGAGACCGACATCCAAGAGGTAGATGTCCTTGGCAGTGCTGGGGGAGGTGGCGGGGGTAGCTTCGACGGCAGAGGACTCGGGGGCAGCAGGGTAGAGACCGCCCTTGCCGCCCTTCTTTCCAAGACGGCCCTTATTAATGTATTCGCGGCGCAGCCAGTCGACGGTGGGAACGGGGTCGTATCCCTTCTCCTGGATGTAGTTGTCCTCGATGAAGGCGACAGTATCCAGACCGATCTGGTCCATCAGCTGGCAGGGAAGAGGGCCGTTCTTGAACATGTGCTCCCAAAGGAGATCGATTTCCCTGGCATCACTGACGCCCTCGGAGAGGATGTGCATGATTTCACGCTTAATTGCTGCCCAGAGACGGTTGAAAATGAATCTAGACGGAGATTTGAGTCAGTTTGCCGCGATGCCAATGTGGGTTGATGTTTTCGGAATACATACCCAGTGGATTCGCGACGAGCAGTCACGGGCAACATGCCACACTCTCCCAGAACAGTCTCCAAGTAGGGGAAGATCTTGGGATCGGTGTTACCAGATGTCATCAACTCGACGGTGCGAATGGCCGGGGGCATAGTATAGTGGATATTGAAGACGTTCGGGTGGCGCTCGGGAGCAACATTAACAAGCATCAGCTTCGACTTGAAAGACGAGCTGTTGGAACCGATGTAGCAATCCTTAGGAGCGAGTTTATCGAGCTCGGCCAGAGTATCAATCTTCAACTGCAGGACCTCGGGCACAGCCTCGATGATCAGCCAAGCATTGGAGACGGCGGGCTCCATATCGGTGAAAGTCTTGCAGACGCCAAAGGGTGCGTCGGTGGACGCCTCCAGTGAGGCCTCATCTCCTGCATCGGCAACCTCGTGAGCCTTGTGGATGCGGGGCATCAATGAGAATTCAACTTTGTGAGTTTCGATGTACTCGGCAGCATCGCGGAGGGCGGCCGGGAAAGGATCCCGGATGTTGACGTCGTATCCAGCTGCGATGAAAGTGCAAGCAATGCGGCGGCCAAGGACACCGCCACCGATGACCGCGACGGGGCGGTCGGTTCTGGGCTTAACGGCCATTTGTGTGGCTGGGGAATATAAAAAGATAAAAAAAAGTGTGGGTGTAGGTAGGAACCGGAGGTGTATGGAGATACGACGTGGGAAGGGGTATAGACTTTTATTTGGGAAAAGATCACCATGGCGACCACCTACCAGCTTCTCTTATATATATTCATTGTTAATCTCAGATCGGCATTTTGGATCTCCATCAGGAGGCTTCTACGTAGCACTTTGCAAGCCATCCAACCAGAGCGCCATGAGCTACGTGCAGGAGCTCCGCCACCGGAACCCGGCATATGGGGCACAGTTATCAGGGGAAACACAAACGGATATCACGGCTGCAGTGATTACTCCGTACTCATTTCTAAGTTAATATGTTGTAGACTCGGGATCTCGTATATCGAAGTGGGTTCGGGCAGATATGTTCGGACTCGGACTCGCTACGGAGACACCACGGAAATGAGTCGGACGGACGTTGGAAGAAAATTGACAAAGTTTATCGCAAACAAGATTCGATCTGGATTCAGTGGGCCAATAATATACCTGGGTATCCATGTCGACTCCACTTCAGATGAACTGCCCAGTGGTACCTACGTAGGTAGGCCCCCAGTACTATTCCTGACTATTGGCTATGATCCTGGCTATCAGAGGCTTAACATTGGCTGTTGAACCATAACATAGGTGACACATCTTCCACTGAGGTTGTACGGTGTACGTTGTACAATGTATGTATGAGGTACTCTGTACTCGGCGGAGGGCCCGCAGAACAGCATATCGTTCGTTCTAGCCAAAGTCTAAAACTTAGAGTCGACGTCATCGATATTGCAACCTCAGGCATCCACTCCAATTTCTCGTCATGTACTCCGTACAAAGTACAAGGTAGATACCTTCAGTTAAAATTCAAAGAGAAATTGGACTTTAAATGTAACTAGTTGCTGATATTCTATCTTTATCTCTATGTCTATGTTGTATATCAAATTCAAACTTTTTGTACAAGTTATCAAGTCCACATCCAAACGCCCCAATGCTCACACAATGCCCTTAGAACAGGAAGACCTGATCAGTGGACTTGGAAACAGCGCTGGGATCCTTCCAGCCCAGCACAGAAAGAGTCTTCTTCATGGCGTTAATCATAGGCGGGGGGCCGCACAGCAGCGCCTTATTGTCAGCATCGGCAGCCGGCAAGTAAGTCTGGATCAGATCCTGAGAGATAAAGCCGCGGTGACCAGTCCAGTCCTCGCCAGCCTGTGAAAGCACGTACTGGACAGAGAACTTGTCGGGGTTTTCACGGGCAAAGGTATCGAGCTCCTTGCGCAGCAAGATATCCTCCTCGGTATTATTAGCGTACAGCAAGCTCATCTTAGTGGTATCGGACTTGTCATCACAGATAGCACGGATGAGCTGGTACATGGGGGTGATACCGGTACCACCAGCGATCATGCCGATGTGGTTCGCATAAGATGTGGTGTATTGCATGGCGCCCTTGGGGCCACGGATCTCGATAGTGTCGCCGATTTGCATTTGCTCGAGGTGCTTGGTCATTTGACCCTGGGGGTAGACCTTAACCAGCAGCTCGATGCGGCCCAGGTCGGTGTTGTTAGAGACGGGGGTGTAGGAACGAGACACGCTCTTTCCGTTGATAGTGGCGCGCAGGGCAATGTGCTGGCCGGTGGGGAGACCGAGAATATCATTTGAGTTGGGCAGGCCGAAAATGAAGCGGTAGACATTGGGGGAGACGACTTCCTTGTGGGTGAGAGGGAAGCTTCGGAACTGGCGCGGGTCGAGAGGGGGCTGGGCGATGGCCTTGGTGGGGACCTTCTTAGCAGTGGTGGATGCCATCTTCTTGCGGAAGATGAGCCTGTCACCGCGAGAGGTGCGGTGAGGCACGTGGTGGGTGAAATCTTCTTGAACATCAAGCTTGTGCGAAACCCACACGGCCAATCCGCAGGTCAGGGTAAACTGGGCGACAGTGGCGATACCAAAGCCGGACCAGAACTGGCCAGAGGAGTTGGGGCGTTTGAACAGAAGGGCCGAAGCATTCTCCGACAGCTTCTTGAAGATAGGTGCGAATTGTCCCCATCCGTTGGTATAACCAGTGAAAGCCACTCCTCCCAATGCACCAGTCAGACCGAGTTTGACCAGAGAGAAGGCCACAGAGCGGGCAAGACTGGACGCAGGCTTCTTGACCTCAATGACAGCGGTTTGTGCGACTTGTTCAAAGTTTGGACGGTAGATTTCGATGGACTCGGCATGTTCCTAATGAAGTCCAGTTAGTTGAGTCTCTCAAAGATGTAGAACGTGAAGACACATACCTCAGTGGGCAAGTCACCAACAAGATATTGGGCCAACTCCTCGCGGGCCTCATCAGAGTGACCAATCTCTTCGAATGCTTCAGTAGCATCTGTGCCAGCGACCTGGATCAAGATGGCACTGCCACCAGGGTGGTCTTCAAGGTATGTGGTGACATCGTAGATTTTGTTGTGAACAATAATCCAGACATCGTCTGGCTTATTGTGTTGTTGCACTTCCTCCAGGGTATACATTGTGAAATAATTATTTGATTATACGAAAGACGAAGCGACCAAAACAGTTATATATAAGATGCGCTGCCAATCCACTCCACTCGGCCCGAGAGCCAGTGAACAGCCAGCGACCAGCCAGTCGACAGCCAGTGAACGGCTAGACAACGGCAAATTATGTCGAAAGGGGCCAATCACTTGCCTCTGACTGGCTCCCAATGGCGGATCGCCGAAAGCCGTCTCGTGCGAACTTCGCCCGGACGTCGGATCTACGCCATCTTGATCGTCTTCCTATGCGACTGGCAGTTAGGGCTCCACTGGCTCTGGATAAATCGGGTTTGCAGTTTGTTAATGAGCTCGGCCCGAATCCAGATATTTAAGAACAGCTTGATGGTCTTTGGCAATACTATCTACCAAAAAATAATCATGCCTGTCGCACTAGCACCACCACAGAACTCCGGTCCAGTGTTCTACTTGATCGGAGATGAAGTATCAACCGCCCAGTCTGTAACACTTGATGCCAAGTGGAAGCTGGAAGATGTTAAGCGTGCCGTGGGAGCAGTATTCCATGTGGCTGCACCACTAGGTACGCAGGGCCCATCCCTTGAGTCATGACCTCTGCTAACGTTCTTAGGATTGACCTTCCACCTCGGTGATAACGAACAAGAGCTTTCCACAGTCGAAGAGATCCTCCGCGCGCCCTCATCACAAACCACACCTATCGGTCTCCGTGTCGATGGACAGGCAGTTCAAAATCCCCAAGGTCCCGACGGCTTGCCTCTCGTCGGCAGCTTCTACGAGATCTTCCCCGATCACCTCGGTAACCACTATCGTCTCTTCCGCAAATACGGCCATGTCATCAAGACCACGAACATGGGCAAGACCACATACTTGACCGATAGCCCCGAAGTGGCAGCCGTTGCTCTGACCGAGTCTGTCTATATGACCAAGAAGATCAACGAGAGCCACCCTCTCTGGGGCGTTAAGGATAACACAGCTATCTTCATTGGAGATACTGAGACCGAGAACTGGCGGTTGGCTCACAAGTTCTTGCCTCCTGCCATGGGCCCTAAGGCAGTTCGTCATTACACCCCGTTGATGCAAGAGTGTGCGCGCAAGTCCTTCGCAGTCTTCGATGAGCTTGATGCTCGTGGCCAGTCCTGGAACGCCTACCAGTACATGGTGAAGCTTGCCTCCCAAACCGTCGGAAAGTTCTCCCTGAATGCCGACTTCGAACACTTCAACGCTGTCGATTCTCCATTGCACCCTATTGTCACCAACATCGCCAGCTTGCTATCTCTTAACAAGAAGATTACCTCTCGAGGTGAATGGTACCGTCACCTGCCCTTTGGCGATCCCGCTCGTCTTAAGCTTGTCCAGAAGACCATCTACACTCTTCTCCAGGAGAAGATTGAACTCGTCAAGGGTTCCGGCATTGAAGGCATGCCTATGGCTCAGGCCGCAACCGAGGCATCCTGCGTGGTCGACTACCTCCTCAACACCGTTGACGAAAAGGGCGAAAAGTTCCCCGAAGGCCTGATCGTCGCCAACATGCTCATTGTCACAGGTGCTGGATTCACCACCACCTCGGCTCTGATGTCATGGCTCCTTTACTGCCTTGTCACCTACGAAGGCGCCCAAGACCGTCTATACGCAGAACTGTGTGAGCGCGGCGTTGCCAATGGCGACGTTGAATGGACTCCCGAGTTTGCCCACAGCCTGTCGTTCCTTGACTGCTTCGTCAAGGAAACCCAGCGTCTGCACAACGCCTCCTTCCAGCCCGGCCGCACAACCAAAACCGACGTTGTTCTGCCTGGTGGCTACCGTCTTCCCCCCGACAGTGTTATTATCCCCAACCTGTACGCTATTCACACCAACCCCGAAGTCTGGCGTGATCCCTTCCACTTCGACCCCGATCGCTGGTCTTCTGATGAGACCAAGGACAAGCACCGTTGCGCTTATATTCCTTTCGCTACTGGTCCTCGTGGCTGCATTGGATTCAACTTTGCACTGCTCGAGGTTAAGATCTTGTTGTCGGAGCTTGTCTCTCGCTATGAGTTCACACGGGAGGGTCTTGAGGCTATCGACTATGATCCCGAGTTCCAGTTGATCCGCCCATTGAACTTCTACGTTCGGGCTAAAAAGAGAACTACCACTGCTTAGAGTGCGGAGCATTATTATTTAGATTGGCATCGGCGTTGATACGGCTCGACCATTGTTTATTAGACTACTAGATGGCAACTTATGCTATGTACAAAAGAATTTAGACTTGTTCAAAACACTTCAATATCTCATCCCACGTTCACTATAGCTCCTTCAGAAGGAGAGCTCGGGACTAGGAATTGCAATTGTTCCATCTGCAACAAGGACGCTCGTTCCAGAAATCGTAATAACCGAGTCTTCATCGTTCGACTCAACGGTCAAGTTCATAGAACACTTCCTCCCAGTCTGTACACCCTGCACAACTTCGATTCGGGGTACTCCATCGAGCCTAGGAATGAGGGCATGGTTCGCCCATAAATAAGCCGCCAAAGGTCCAGCGGCAGAGCCGGTGGCTGGATCTTCCATTGACATCCCCGGACTGAAGAACCGGGCCTCAAATCTCGGTATCATAGACTCGGAATCATTTTCTGCGGTAGTAAAAATGTATACGCCACTATTATCGCTTTCGGTACTAGCAAGCTCCTGAGAAATCCTTTCTTTGTTGGCAAAGCTGACCCCTCTCAGAACTTCGAGGCTTCGGACCGGGATCAAGAGATGACGAGCAGGCGACGTGGTAACCACTTTTGCTCGGTTGAGTGTACCATCCGAGTATTTGAGCCCAATATCACAGGCCTTGATGCCGAGGGATTCAGCAAGGGATTCATGGTTGGTATGTTCGTTCAAGAACTGCGGTTTTCCGTGGCGCATTGAGATTACAAGATCTTGATTTGATCGCGCCACTTCAACAGGTAGGATATGGGTACCCAGTTGTTGGAAATAGGTTTTTTTGCTTTGAGTATTGTGTGCGATTTCTCCCAAAAGCCCCGAGTGTGCCATCCACCACCACGCACCGAGCGAATTGTGACCCGCGCCGAACACTTCCACGCCATTGGGGAGGAATGATCTCAGACGCCAGGTGGCTTTTGGGTCTTCTGGGGGACAGATGAAAGTTGTCTCGGATAGATTAAATTGTCTTGCTATCAGCTTCATCTGGGTCTCAGTGAGAGTTGTGGACGTTGTGTTGACTACTGCGAGGGGATTGCCTTGATAGGCAATAGATGAGAAGACATCAATGATATAGTAGCGAAGTTGAGACATCGGGTGAATCAGCTGTGCGAGATCCAATAGGTTTTAGTATGACAGTGGATGAGCAGAAATATCCCAGGGAAACGGTATTTATATGTAGGATACCTGGAAGAAAAAGAGTTACTAATAGTTTAGCTGGTGATGCGCCTTTGTTATAAATCAACCGAATTAGAAATCTCGATACCTCGTATTCGTGCCATTCTGATGCCCCGAAACAAATCCCCGCTCGATCCATGTCGAATACGATAATTTCTCGTTCACTGACCTCTTGTCTCACGCAAAGCCCTGAGGGCCCGGGAATACGGACCAAAATACCGCACATTCGTATCCGTGTCTTCCCACACAGACTGCTGTTCTTCGCGCTCCAAAACAACAATCAAGCGCTTCGCCAGCATATCCGCGTGGGATTGCCGTGGACCAACAGCGACCATATTCTGGAGCGTAAGCGCACAACTAACAGCATTATGCACAAAGGCCCACGAGCGACACACAGTGGCCGCTAGGCGGTGCATATCCAAGAAGCTCTCAACGGCCTCGGCAGCGCGCTCAGTGCACTCTATCTTGATGGAATCAACATCTACAAGTGAGTGATGGTCTGCACTGGCAGCAGTCTCCAGGACTACCCGGCAGAGTCGACAGATTGCGTAACAGATGTGGATATTCAGGGCTAGGCGCTCAAGATGATCCTGCAGACTGCGACAGTTCGCTTTGTCGAGGAGGAATGGTGCAGCGTCTTCAAATATCGCTGCCATTCGACTCTTGAAAGACAGTGTTTCGGTGATTGTTTCAGTACTTTCCTGTCGTGCCCTCTCGAGAAGAATCTGACACAGTGCGCAGACGCATTCTGCGAATGACCACCCTGGACCCGACTCTGGATCGTGTGGGAGGCTGCTGCTTAGCTTGCTCACGTTGGGCGGGCGGTCGTAGGTAAAGGAGAGGAAGGTGTCTTGCCATAAAAGCATCCACCTAGACTTTCAGTCAGCGGGGGCCTCATGTCTACATGAAGGAAAGTTGAGTACATACCAAAGGCGTTTTCGTTGGAATTGTTCCACGGTGGAATTTCGTGGGTCTGAGGCAGTTTCTTCGTGTAATCCAATACTTTGTGCGAGACGTATCGTTGATCCTATGACCAGTTCAGTCTTAGTTCCATTGGAATCAAAATTCGAGCCACTTACCCATTAGAATCCAGGCACTATTGGTATCGAGGTTGTTGCGCAGACAGTTTCCAATTAATGCTTTAGCCTGAATCTGGTCCATGTTGGTGTTGTTGAAAAAGTTCGAAGCTCGGAGGCATTGGAAGGAGGAGCAGACTAATATGATTAGATATAGGTATATATTAGAAGCGAGGATAGATCGTACTTACTGAACACTTTACAGCGCAAATCTCGCTCCTTGATGGGATCATTTGAGAATTGCACTCCACATGCAAGCACAGCAAAAAGCAATGCAAGCCACGAGGAATCCATGTCATCTAATACCGAGACTTGGTTTTCTGGGGTTATACCAGAGCGTTTGTTGAGAAACACAAATAGCGAGATATTGAATTGCTCGTACGTCACTAGTGCCGGATAAAAGGGGTGTACGTTGTTCTGGTAGACTTGCCAGTATCTGAGAGAATCCAATCAGCATAATCCCAAAAGTCGATTCGATTATTTGAGTGAGCACGTTGATACATACCGGATAATATCCGACTCATCTGGTAAAGTCTCGCAGATCTCTCCGGCTCCAGGCTCTGGCTTCCACAAGTTTGTGAAGGGATAGGTTCGTGGAACAAGCTGATCCAAGAGGATTGAGTCATTGAGCATTGAATCATTACCAGCTTGTCGACATCCCAAAGCCACTGGCGGGTCAGAGTGACTCCCCAGGAAGATGGTGGCGCCGGTGGCGTCTTCGACGAAGTGCTTTCCCGGAGATTTCGCAAGCGTTGAGCCCTTCCTCATATGGGGTGATATGGAAGTAGACGCTGAATTGTCTTGTGCGATTGTGTCCGACCCTGAATTGAAGCGGCTCTGCCGAAGCTCCGTCTTGAGAGAAGAGATCTGCTTATCCATCTTGTCAAGCCTGCTGATAATGAGATCAATCCCTGGGGGCAAATTTGTGGTATCATTCAGGTATCCCCTCTGGTCTTCTCCGGAGATATTGCTGGTTTTTATGTCAGTATTTGTTGTAAGATGTCTCATGCATGAGGTATTATATATAGTCTGGAGACATCGCAAAGAAAATGAAGGGCGGAACAAAAGAAATAGGAAATCCGGGAGAAACAGGCCATGGATAGGAGGAGAGATGATAATCCCTACCTGTGAGTAGAAGTTCCATGCATTTCATCATCCCCATCGCCATTCATCGAAAAAGCGCCTCCCTTCCCATCGGAAGCAGGCGGCTCTTGCCCCGAGCTGGAAGATGGCAAACAACATAGCTCCGGATGATGGCGCTGGATACAACTTGAACATGGCGTATTGCCATCACAGCGGACTTTCCGATGACGACAGGGAAAGCAAGACTTGATGCCGCGTGTGCGGCGCTTGCGCTTAAGCAGTTCACTGATGCGGCTCGTGTCGTATGGATACGGATTTGGATTTGACCCCTGAGTATCTGATGGATCCATATGCACAGATTTCTTTTTGGTATTCTGCTTGAGCGCAATGATTCAAGATATCTCTGCGTATTGTGGTATCCATATATGTACTCCGCATATAAAATTTGTTACAGTCTGCGTGAACCTGTGCCGGGGGTGTGACATTTTTCTTCTTCTGGTTGGTTCAGACCACTGACCGCCCTTTGTATCGGCCACTATGTATGCATTCGGAAGGTTTGAATTAATTCGGTCTTTTATTAATTTCAGGACTTCTCTCTATGTGTGTGTTTGCTTTAAGGCTTACTATCTATCCTTTCTATTTACGAAATTTCATTTGTTCGCGGGATTTTAGCAGATCTAAGACTTCGTGCTCTACCTAAAGGGAGATCGGCCCTAGGCCCTGGGGAAGCTCGGGGAACAAAGCCGGTTATGTCACTCAAGGCGGCTCGGGGGCTTAATCCCCCGGTTCTCCATATGACCGAGTCCTTCGTCGGAATGGCCTTCGTTGTCTTGCCATGATATTTTCATGCTCCTGGAAACATGTATTCTTAATTTCGAGCTCTCTAGTTCCAGCTCGGAAAACAAGTCAAATTTTTACCCAAGTCCATATTTCGGGACTTGCGACTTAAGTTCAGTACAGTGTTCGGGCGCTGCTAGGCAAAGGATTGTGCGACTAGTCAGATGCTAGAATATATTATGAGTATATAGTTCCAAAGGCGGCGTGGGCAAATCACATATAACTTGGCCAGTAATGGATTGGGATTTTATGATGTTTCTTCAGGATATACTTCAATGCGCAGAATTGGCGCACGACGAAATATCTCTCTCTATGTACCTACCACCCCCTTCTCTTCTCTAGCGAGCCTATTCTGACTCCTTGGCCGTTGAAACTTTCCGTAGAGTTTGATATTATATCACGCGAAAAGATATCGTCTTGAAAATGGGCTTATAATAAGTTTATTAGCTTTACATTAAAGGGGGAGATGAGTAATAAGGGCTGCATACCTTACCTAGCGACTATAAATAATCTCTTATCTACCAACAAAGTGTTAGTCGTAAGTCTAGTAGAAGTTATACTTGATCTGCAGACTTTTCATTCGTCCAGCCCAGTTATCGAAATCGTTGCTAGAGGACCCCTATTACAAAGCTATTATCCTAGCCGCATTATTGGAAGATCAGGAGGGAAAGTTAAAGATGCCAGGCCGAAAATGTTCCTGGGAGATTAAAATCCGTAGGTGGAATATCAAGACCTCAGTCAGTCCCGATTTCACGCAGGCACTACGGACCTATCTGTCATCAAATCTCTACTCCGAACCACGGAAATTTTATAATTTGGCCAATGCACTAATTGGGCCGGTCTAAAATCGAAAAATATCTATCTCGATAATCGGCAAGAAGGCCTGTGTCAATAACAAAAGGGACTCACAGTTTCAATGAATCGGAATCCCAAATCAGGTGGTCGGCCCAGGGCTCAAACGGTAGCCAATCTATTTCCGCTAATTCACGGTACTCCTTATCGAATTGTTCCCGAAGTTGATCATCGGCAAGTCGGGTTCCTACAGCAAATCGAGTACGGGGGAGCTGACCAACCGGATTCATGGTGGCTGTGATATGGGGGAGGGGGCCGTTATCAAGAAAGAGGATGAGGAGCCCAATAAAGAAGATAAAACTGAAGGTTGATAGCAAAATATCGATCCTTGATCGTGCAGTGGCTGGCAGGAGGATATCAACTTCTCATCGGTCGTTTGCGTCGTGACTATGTACCCCACTGCGGCTCACCCGAGCCAATCATAATCAGACCCACGCTCTCCACGAAGAGCCTCATCCGACAATTAACACATCCGGAGCTTACTATCGTATGTAGCACTGTAGCTTCATCCCACACAAATACCCACAAATAGCCTCTCTCTATCGTCATTTTTGGTGGCATACTGTCTCGTTGATCCTCGGTCGAACCCGCTTCCATCGATTTGACACATTATAAACGCAGTTAGTTTACAGCCAAGAAGTTCGACTATAAGGATTAGAAATGTTTGATAACCCAAATGGAATTCCTGCATACTTAGCTAATCCAAGCACCCGACCTCGGGATCGAGAGAACAGGACCCTGCCAAGTGCGGAAGACAATCCTCTGTGCTGTGTGTACAAACATGGAAATACCGAATACGACGACAAATGTCACTACCAAGAGAGTAGGTGTTTCAGAACGAACGCTACAATCCCATGGATGGCCACTACTGCTTAGGTTGGAAGATCAGTGTAGCTTTCGGGTGGCAGGTGATTCTCACTCAGCTTCTCACCCTATCTATAGCGCACTCACCCTTGTTACCCCCGCCGCGCGACTGTTCCTTTGGTTACTAGGAAAGAGTTGGGGTTTCGGACATTTTGTATATTCCTCTTCTTCATCTAGACTGATACATACGACCATAGGGTGTGGAAAATAGGGCTTCCCGTCCGCTCAGCCGTACTCAAGCCACACGCCGGTGAGTTAGTAGTTGGGTGGGTGACCACCAGCGAATCCTCACTGTTGTATGTTTTTTGTTTTTTGTTTTTGCTTTTGGTGTTGAGTGACAGCAGGGATAGAGGATGATAGTAAACAGAGGTTACAGGGCTGTTGGCACCTCCAGTGGCGGCAGTAGAGGTGACTTATTATTCAAATTTACTCGGAAGGAAATCAAATGAATCGATAAAAGCCACAAAGGCAGATAAATTGACCGAAGGCAATGGCAGTTTGCAAAAAAAAAATAAGCGAAACGCCTAGATTATCATAAACGCATTTCGAGGATGGAATTCATTAATTTATAGAATATATCTTCCTTCCTCTACAAAGCGTGTACATACGACCATAGGGTGTGGAAAACAGGGCTTCCCGTCCGCTCAGCCGTACTTAAGCCACACGCCGGTGAGTTAGTAGTTGGGTGGGTGACCACCAGCGAATCCTCACTGTTGTATGTTTTTGTCTTTTTGTTTGCTTTTCCCTACGTTGTATGCATTTCCACTTTCTCGGGTGTAAATAGCTTCCATTATGAACACCTTACTCAGGCCTGCACGATCCCCACAATCTCCCCCAAAGAGTCAATGACAAAATCTGGGCCCAGTACTTGGCAAGCCTTCCGATCTCCGTACCCGTACCGACACCAACACACCCTGCTACCGATGTTTCGGGCGAATTGCAAGTCCGCCACGGTATCACCCACCACCAGCACCTTCTCCGAGTCAATGGTCCCCATACCATATCTCTCGCGCAAGATGGGCATGAGGACGTCCACGAAGCTAGCAGGATCCGGCTTACGCTTCGCGCCGGGAGTCTTATCCCCGATGATGAGATCTTCGGGTACATAGCCATCCAGACCATTCCGTTCCAGAGCCGTTTTCACGGCTGCTACACCCTTGTTACTCACAATGGAGACGGGGATATTCCGGGCATTGAGCTCGCTCAAGAGATCCTTGGCGCCTGGGAATGCCTTGATAAGGAGCTGGCCATGGGTGGCATAGAGGGCGCGGTATTTTTCAACCCACTCGTTCTCAACGATCGGAGTAAATTCAGTAGGCGAGGGATGTAGAGCTCTGAAGGTATCTGCTAGGCCAGCACCTGTGGCGATGAGACGGCGAATTTCGGATTGGGGAGGGGCATTGGTGGGGAGGAGGGCATCGAAGGTAAGTTTGATTGCTTTGGATATAGATTCATGTGTATCGAAGAGTGTGCCGTCAAAATCGAAGATAGCGAGAGCGATCATCTTGAGGGGTAGTTTGTTGATTTCGAAGAGGAAAATATTTACATTGAAGTGGGAGTAAGAAAAGTGTCTTGTTAGACGTTTAGTAACCGGACCTCTGAGTCAGGGATGTTACAGTAGCGGCACTAGCGTAGAAATGGACATGCTTGGTCATGTGGTCAGCCTGATGTGCTGGAGTTGGTGACTAGCTAGGGACATTAGAGACCTTTTTTTAACCCTTTTTGCTTTTGTTTACCTCTCAGTGTTTACCAAATGTTAAATATCAGCCCTCGAGAGAACATTTCTTGATCGTACACTCCATACTCCATACTCTGCATGGGTGATGACCTTTCAAATGAGACTAGCTTCTTCGAAAAAGGGGCTTGAGCGTTGTCAAACCCTGAGGGTCAATTGAGCCCAAGAATTGGGGGAAGGGGCGGGTTTGAGAGCTGAATGCCTTCAGGCGTCACGATTTCTACAGGCTATGCGCAAGGGTCTACCCAAATCCACCGATCAACCCATATAGTGGCAAACAAGCCCAAAATGCGAAAACTGAGCAGGCTGTGGACTCTTTAAGTCAGCTCCTCATTCTTATTTAGTCTCATTTTGTTGGAGCACGGGCTTCGCGTTCCTACTTCCTATACCACGACTAGGTAGAACCGTAGAAGGTAACAGCCGAGTTGGATTTTGACTGAATTCTTTACGTATTTTTGCTCATTTTCTCACTCTTCTCGGACGAAGCAAACATTAAGAGACTGGAAAGTGATGCTCTATGGCTGGCGGTTCCAATATAGCGTCACAGCACTCGTCAATTTCGTCGGGACACCCATGGGTACCTAGGCAATCAGGCTTCCACCCCTTCTAGTAGCTAGTTCAGATAGTGAAAATATCAACCATCCTTCATGTCTCAAGAGTTTAATCCCGATTCCGTTGAGCGTTGGGAAAGTGTCACGTCCACGCTCCATAATTTGTGACGATTCAATCATATTACTTGAACCATCCGTGCCTTTTGAGACCCGAGTTCTCCTTTGTATGCCCAAGGCGTATCAATCGAGTCAAGACCTCCATAGGTAAGTATTTGATGGCAGGACTTTCAATTGCACATGCACGGTGATGAGCATTGGTTCCATGCAGATGATGTACAACTGAAATGGGAGCCTGGGCATTACGGTGACCGCGGCTATTATCCTCATGCTTACTGGTTCTATTGCGCCCTGATACTCCCACTTGCGCAATCATTTATCAACTGGTTGCACATTATATTTCTCTGCCTTTACTTGGCCTGTACATACGACCATAGGGCGTGGAAAACAGGACTTCCCGTCCGCTCAGCCGTACTTATGCCACATATTCTGCACAGTCAATACTCAATATGCCCTCAGCACTTAAGCGGCACTCTAGGGCAAGGACAGGTGATATGGGTGAGAAATCTTGAGACTGGGGTGAGAGAGGTGAGAACGGGGTGACAATTCTCACCCTTGGGGTGATAGGGTCAACTTACTGTAAACCTATGTCCGTCCTAAGAAAAATACATAAATCCAAGCCCCGAGGCCCTTCTCTTGCTCTGCCATAATTTTCTTTGAATTTGTTTACCACTTAAAATACGTTTACCGAGAAATATATTCCGAAAGCACTCCAGGAGCGTCTCGTCAGTAGAGCCCTGCCGGCGGTCTAGCCAATAGTCTGCCACAGCACAACAAATGGAAGGTTAATACTGGACCAAGCGACTGCTTGGCAGATTAGGTGATTATTGCTGTGTAGTTAATTAGCTTACTTAGTTACAGATCCAGCTCGCTTTGACATAATGAGAATAATTCTCTCCCACTATGTGTTATGGAAGTTCTGCCGGACCTTGTCCGGTGATAGTCACATGATATGACTGGCCGGATCCCGACCGTCTTGGCCCACGTATGACCCACATAAGAGCCTCACCCTCTACTTTAGGCTTCGATCCACCTTCCAATCGACTCTCTCCCACCCCCACCCCCACAGCACCTATCCAACACAGCTCAAATGACATCCTCGTTGCCCTGGTTCCGCGAGGGCACCGACCCTGGAACTATTATCACCCTTGATGAACCCCTCTCTTCCCGGTGGAAAATTATTTCGAAGCTGAATGAGTATGACGATCAGGTATTACCCCTCTCGTCCCATTACAGGATCCTCGAGAATCCGAACGAGCATAATTCATAGGCCACCGTGGAGCAAAATAAGGCATATGGATTCCGTTCTTTCGCCTCGGCTAAATTTCTATGTTGTGATCCTCAACGACATGCAACGAAAGCCTTTATGCGAGTCTACATTCAAGTTCCCCATCGAACAACTGAAATGGATGATGCGGACACCAGAGGCCAGCAAGCCACGTCATGGACCCCGCAAGAATTAGTTTCCCTGCTTGATCTAACTGAAAAGGGCTTAAATATCACACCAAAGCTCCTCGGATACAAGACCAGCACTCAGGATCGCTCAGGGCTAGTTCCGGGTGGGTTCATCATATGGCTTGTTTGGGAAATTGTTCCGGGGCTACGCCTTGGCGATCGTAACGGCGCTGGTCCATTTTGGGGTCTTCAAAGCTATGAAAGAGAGCAAGTCCGTGTATCCTTTCTTAACGCTCTTGTGTAAGTTCGATATTCCTTCTCTCTCTATTACTGAATCTAATTATTATTAATGTTTTAGCAAGCTGAAGGAGCATGGGTGGTACCCGAGCGTGGCTAGGGCAAGAAGTCTTGTTTGGCACCGAGAGACTCAAACACTGTATGCGAACCACGTTATCTTAGCTTACTTACTGATTCAATATAGCTACTTCGTCGGTCGCTTCAGCAAGACCATGGAGGGTGAACCCAGACGTTTGGCTGAGCCTGCCCAACGGATCGCGACTTTTGAGCTTGCTTTACCGGACGTTCCAGTCAGATGGAGAGACTGGGATAAGGATACTTCACGCTGGGAATGGTAGCTAAGGAGGAAGTAGAATGTTCCGTTTATCCTTAGCTTGATCCTTGCTTTTCTATACTAGGAAACATTACAATTGTATAATTCACAGACGTGGCGAACTAGATGGCCCCCTCTTAGGCGTTACGCGTCCAAACTTGGTTCCTTATGCCTATGCCTGTGTTGAAAGCTGAGTCTGCGAGGGCTAGCATTCTAATATGATAAAGACTCTGACAAAATGACACTGTTCTACCTGATGTGCTTCCTCTGTTGCGATGGTAAATTACTAGAGAATACTCTAGTCCCTACACTCGACCGACATCTGCCTTTCGTAGGGACATTGTTTGCTTGTTGCTTGTACGTGGTCAAGAATCCATATTTTAGGCGTGTCTTAACCATGTATCGCACAATTTAGCCGATAGGTATATACTAGTAAGAATCTCTTGCTATCAATAGCTTATAATACTGACCTAGTGCGTGCCTAACTTGAGATCTTGATTCTGAGCCCTAAAGGCAGCTCCTAGAACTGTTTCCGCTCGTCATTCAAGTCGACCTTGTATACCGCGCTCGTCAGACACGAAAATCTGCTCTTCATGGACTGAGCCGGTGAGAGAATTGTGGTCTTGTTACGAAAACTTGACTGGGAGGTTGTTGAAGAGGAAGGGTCCGGAGCTTGATTTTGTCGCCAATCGTAGCCCTAGTAGGTGGCTAGTGCTATGAGATGGTTTCCGGATAATTTCACCCTGACCTTGGGATTTGCATCATATAACGTCTTCTGTACCTCTACGATATAATCTTGACCAACATACTGACAATCACATACGACCATAGGGTGTGGAAAACAGGGCTTCCCGTCCGCTCAGCCGTACTTAAGCCACACGCCGGTGAGTTAGTAGTTGGGTGGGTGACCACCAGCGAATCCTCACTGTTGTATGTTTTTGTTTTTGCTTTTTTGTTCTATTCTTTGCTATGGGAGCGAGGCTGAGTAGTTTGAAAATAGGGGTTGTAGGTGCTAATAGCGGTATGTTTTAAAAGAACCTTGGAAGGCGTTGAAGATCGGTACTTGTAGAACCCCGTAATTTTTATAGCTAGGGCTTAGCTGAAATTTTAGTGCCGTGGCATAATTTACGGGTAAGCTCACCCTAGTTTGCACCCTGTAACCCCTTCTATACACTCATAGTACTCATAATATCATTTCAGCTAGTGTAACATCCAATACATACGACCATAGGGTGTGGAAAATAGGGCTTCCCGTCCGCTCAGCCGTACTCAAGCCACACGCCGGTGAGTTAGTAGTTGGGTGGGTGACCACCAGCGAATCCTCACTGTTGTATGTTTTTCTTTTTGTTTTTTCAAGCTTTCGCTTGACTGTCGTTCGTTTTTGCCACCATCAGGCGAGCAAAAGACGGGAATTGTTTTAGAATTTGTCGGCGAAACGTCGAAATATAACATGGAATTCGGGGTAGGTATACAAGTAAGAAGTGATGCAAGTTACGGAATAAGAAATCAAACAAAACTGCTCGCTGAAACATGCAGGACAACAAGGATAACCACCACTCCAAACAGCTAGCGGCTCCGCATATACACCTTCCAAACAGTAGCAGCACCGCCTATGACTATGCCTCCAATCAGCATTGGATGAATTCTTCGGCTCGAGACCTGTGGGGGGCTTTTTACATCTGTATCCATCGCGGGTAACGGGAGATATTCCAACCAAGGGCCACCTTTTGAGAAACTGGCATACAGGTTGGCCTTGAGTTTGTCACTAACCCAGGGAATAATGTGACGAGCCGCAAATTTGAGAATCCAGGTATCTTGAGCTTCATACCGCGTTATCTGGCCGGAAATGTCAACGACTGTCTTTGCTCGAGGCATTTGACCGGCAATGTACTGATCAAAAACGCCGGTCAACTGTTCAAGGGATGGCATAGGGGTTTCTTTCAATAAAGGCACGAGTCTGTTGGTGAAACGAGCGATGCCTTCATAGGCCAAGTTGCCACCTAATCCGGGGTTGATTGTGGCCTGTTGAAAGTAAGAAAGTTAGTGAGATCACTTAATTTTTGACGAGAGACTCGAACCTTGTGAACCGAATCGCCCATCAATACCACCCGGTTATGCCTCCACTGTTTAACCACCCCTTCCTCCAAAGCGACCATTGTTCCTTTGACTCGAGCATCCCAGAGGTCTTTCACGGTGTACCCAGGACCTACCAGAGAGCTTCCATACTTCTGAATGCAGGCCTCTGCGTCGTCATCCGTGAATCGTGGGCAATTGGGAGTCCTCGTGAGGTGGGAGTTCTTGACAAAAATGAACCAAAATACGAGCCCCGGCACACCAGCCGCCGCAATTGCAGAATAGTCATAGTAGTACACATTGTGTACCATTGCATCAGGGAGGAACTGGTTCGTGGCGCTTTTCTGAGACACAGCAAATATGCAGTTGTATTCGCTCGTGAAAGCTATCCATCGGAAAAGGTTAGTTATGCAGGCTTTCAGCAGACACATCAAAAAGGGGCTGTACATACCCTCGTTGATTTCCTTGGCGAGTGACTGATCCGTCATACTGATTTTGTCGGCCATCAACTTTCTCACTCTGCTGTGAATTCCATCCGCACCGATGAGTATGTGACCGTGGTGTTGCTTACCATCGTCAGTGGTGACGGTAATATCCTGGGCGGTCTCTTCATATCCAACAACCGCGGTATGCTCATGAAGTTTCGATTTGTCTTTCACATGGTTATATAGAGCTTCCAGAGCCTTGCACCGCTCCACAAAGATAATAGGTCGTTTGAGACTATATCAAGAAAGTTATGTCATTAGCGCTCGGTATCTTCATCGCCTACTGTCCTCATTTAATGCCGCCCACAAATCGACTTTTCGACGCAAATGATAACTTAAGTACGGAGAATATCAACCTACATTTCCTGAATTTCCACTAGCACATGCGACTCCTCAAAGCAGTGACCGTTTCCATCATAATGGTTTCGATGTTGCAGAGGTACAACCTGTTTCTCAATGTCTTCCCAGACTCCCAACTGCTCTAAGATCCGAATGGTCTGCGGATGGATTCCAATCGAAGCCCCGAGCTGTGTTGCGAATTCTCCCTTTTCAAAAAGCTCGTACTCAATTCCGGCACGTTCCAACGCTAGAGCTAGGCCGAGGCCCACGAGACTGCCACCGGCAATGATGACCTTGAATTGATCCGAAGCTGGATTGGACGAAGCCATGAGTCGGGATGATCCGAGCAAGGAATTAACCGGAATTTGCAAATAGTATCCTTTTCCCCCATCAGTGTCAAAGGAAAATTCATGATTTATACTTTGCCCAACCCCCTTTCTCTCTCTTGTTTTATTTCGCGTCAAAAAAAAAAGCGGAGAATAGACATTGTCATCCCACGCGGCGTGCACTAGGCCGTTGAAGTAGCGGCTTGTCCGTACAGGTTAGCGTGAGCCCTATTATTCAGATCATCACCCCGATCACCTCAAAGAGGAAACACACCGTTTATCATTTGCATCGCACGTGGAAACTGCATATCGAAATCATAATATAAATTAACCTCCCCCTGGTCTATGCCATTGTGATTAATTCCGAAAAGTCTGGACTGAAGGCTGAAACTGACCAGTTGCGCTAAGGATTAGGCAGCTCCACTGCCCCAAGATGATACGTGCGCACTGCGCACCGTTGCGCAGCCCCTTTTATTTAATTACCGCTTATTTCTCCATGCCGGTTCTCAATTAAGATCTAGCACAAGGGCCTGACCCACGAAAACAGCTTATTATGCAGCTACGGGGATAGTTCGATCCTCCAAATTCATGGTACCGTCTTGAGATGCAGGAAGATGGAGCCCCTGTTGCACATCGTGCGCGGCATACTACCTCTAATAACACTCAGGACTCTCTAAATCCTGCAGATCTTGTATAGTGTCGCGTATTTTGTATGGAACAAGGCCTGGGCGAGGTTCTATCTGGCGGTTGGACGGGTTCTAACTTCTTGGTGATATCCACCACACGACCGAGGATTGACTTCTATACTTAGCCTGTAGAGGAATAGGGTTCACCATTCGCCTCAATAGTCGGGAGATTATTCAGGATGGCCTGAATGTGGCAAATCCTGCTATGCCACCACTTGCAGTCAAGATCGACATCTACTAACTGTCGATACATCTCACTCCGTGTTGTATTTGCCGATCTGCGCATGCCGCCCGAGAAGAGCGAGCAAATGAGCAAAAGTACGTAAAGGAGTCTGGGGAGAACTGGTTATTTTTATGTATTGATCAGGTTCTCTTGTTTTTCTTCTCTCTTCTTTCCCCTTTTCGACTCCTCGAATACGCTTCGTCCACTTCTTAACCCAGGGATCCGCAGCTCGTGGATCTCACCTTGGAGTACGGAGTATGCGTAGAGGCCTCCGGCTTTTTTAATTACCACCATGACTACCACAGAGACCGATTTAGGTCTTTCATCCGATGGGCGGTATCTGCAATCGCTCATATATGGTCTGATTATCAGCACAGCCATTCTATCTTTGATCGTCTGCAGTTTGAGGGTGAGATTCTAACTAGATGACTTATCAAATATGAGAACCCCGATACTATTTTTGCACATGAGCTGATTCCATCTGTAGCTTTACACAAGAGCGTTCATCGTGAATGTGTTTGGGTTAGATGATATCGCTGTCTGCGTCGCCTTGGTTTGTTCTACTCCAGTCTTGGATTGCGAACACAAAGTACCATGAAGTCTAACAAAGTTGTGTAATAGATTATTACACAGGTTTTTAATGGAATAGCAATTGCGGTTGTCTATCATGGAGAAGGGCGACACTTCGCAAAGGTGTCTTCCGAAGATCGGGCAATCTGGCTCAAGGTATGATCTGAAATAGCTACCCCATTTGGGTTGCTGAACATATTGCTAAGATCTGGCTAACTGAAATAGCTATATTATGTGGCAATGTGCATGTATCTCTATGTTTCATTGTCCGTCAAAGTCAGCTTGCTGGTTTTCCTACGAAGAATTTTCGTGAAACGTATGTTCTTTCCCCCATTGAGCCAGACTCCCCTTATGTATCTCGATGAATGATGCTGACCTGAAACCACCCCACTATTAGCTTGGATGAATTGGCTCACTATATGCATGATGATTTTCCAAGTGCTATTCTCGATATCCGGCTCTTTGTTTTGGCTTTCCAATGCGATCCTCCAAGGTACCTAACTCTTGTCCCTGACAATGTTTATGAACATATATTAATCTAATGTAGGGCTGCTTATGACCTTACCATTACGAATGGGACATGTTATTCCCAGTTTAAGATATTTCAGATCACATTGTATCAAGCGGTTCTTATTTTCGTCTCAGATGTAATCATCTTGGTTGCGCCAATGGTGATTCTATGCGGATTGAATATGCCTACGAGGAAAATAATTGCCTTGATGGCGATCTTTGGATCAGGTATGCAAACTTGTGAAAGATTTAGGGTTCCAGAAAGCAAGATAATAACTTTTATCTTAGGTATAATTGCTTGTATCTCCCCCGTCGTCCGCTTTAGCACTTTGGGTTATCTGCGCGAGGGCACCGAAGACCTTACCTGTAAGAACCGCTACCTCGACCCCCCTGGTTTCTTGTCAGTGTGAAGTTCATACTGACCAACCTTTCACCACAGATGACTCAGCATCATCCCTCTACTGGATGGTGATTGAGTTCAACCTAGGCCTCGTCGCCGGCTCCCTCTCCTCTCTACGCCCATTGCCGTTCTTCCGTCGATTCGGATCAACTACAAACTCACGCTATAAAGTATCAGCCGGAGATACACCACATGAGCTTCGCAATGTATCTGGAAATGAGGCCAGGAGTGGCAAGAAAAAGAGTCTCAGCATGGGAATGGGCACGACAATAATGCAGGATAGCGCCAACGAGAGCCAAGAGCGGATTATCCATATGGCGAAGTCAGACTATGGCCGGCCTCATATCTAAGTTATGTATGATATTTATTCATTATTTCAATGATGAAATGACTGTTTCTGTGGGGGAAATATCTCATTTAATAGTAGCTGTCTTGCCGATATTCTTAGAATCCGATCGCCCTTGCTCCACCTGGACCTACTATATATTTTAGATTAAAAAGTCGGGCCATCGGCCGGTTAAACAAATTAAGTGGCTGGAGCTTAGCAATAGTACCACCCATTTAGGATAGATTGGGTCCTTCTCGTCCAAAGCTTATTGCTACATCAAGCAGGGATTGTGTCGCAATTAATCAAAGCCATACCATCATATCGTCTACTTGATTGTCAATCATTTGCATTAATCCATCGCCGCTCTTTCATTCATAGACAGACACAAATAATGCAAAGGTCAGATGATCAGTTCTCCGAAGAGACAAAGTCGTAGAGAATGCTACATATAATTGCAAATAGGTCACTCCAAAGACTTCCGCGCAACAACCACGACCCGCGGCATTGACAAAGCCACACCATAGTGTGACTCTACAGCAAGGTCTTCCAACAACAGCCGTATGTTCTTCCCATCATCGTCCAAGTTCTTCCTCTCCAAAGCTAGTGCAAACTCCTCCATAGTAGCCAAATGCTGCTCTCCATTCGCGGTAGCAAGCTCAAAAGGATCCCGAAAATGATCTAGCCGCGGACTTTCAAACCCATTCCGCTCCAACAGAGTAGGCAGACTTAATACCCAGTTATGGCGCCCATTCGAGTAGACAAATTGTAGTAGGCGATCAAACGCGGGCGTTGCCATTTTCGGGTCTGCCTTTGCCACATAGGTGTCTGGATAGTTCAGATCATCCCATTGAATGTATCCGCCCGGTTTCAGTAAACGGGTTACATTCTGGATGATGGGGACAGGGTCACTGTTCTGCACGACGAGAATGAGAAGACGGAGATGGACGATATCGTATTTGCCCAACAGGTGCTTTGGGACGGAGTCAAAGAGGTCCCAGTGATTGAGAGTCAACCGCTTAGGAAGCCACTGGATGGGAGGGGTGTTGGATAAGTCGATGTCATAGCCGTCAAGAGTGGCGGTTGGGAGTGATTGGGCTACATCGAGGAGCCATATTGCGGTTCCAGTACCGATGTCCGCGATGGCAGGGGTGGGGGGAATGGGGATAGAGGGATGGATATTGAATTGTAGAGATTCTTTCCATAGGTAGAATTGGAGGTTGAGACGACAGGCGGCAGCATACCCTCTGCCAAGCATGTAGCCTTTGCTGTCTGCAAGGTGGAAGCCGGATTCAATTGTTGGGGACATTATGGGAAGCAATTTCGATTAGGAAAATGGCCAAGAAAATAAATGGAGGGCGCTCGACCCCGAAGGCGTTTGTGCAGCCGGACTGGTCAATATCTGACAGCATATTGCAAGGTGACTTCCAAAGGTTGTTCACAAGATGGCGTCCTATGGCGTTCCTTTGGGGGTGGGGGTGGGCGGATGCACCGCACTGTATACAGGGGGTTGTGCAAATAAATGGACTTATAAACCCATGAGAAAACATTGATTTTTGTTACCTCGTCATTCAATCCTCAACCGACTCACACATCATGGACGCTATTCTGGTGGCTCTGGCCGTGGGCAATGGCACTGGATCTGAATTGATCGCCATATTCAAAAAGGTCATTGTCGCATTAGCAACACCATACAACGTGGAAGTCCAATTCTTCACATCTCCCCGAATATACCATTCCTACTCATCGCTCCTGGCAATGAACAACACCGAAGCGGTGACTAGTGAGACCCTCACGGATGCAGATCACTATGAAGCCTTCTGTCGTGAAGTAGTCACTTTGGGAGCGTGCGCGATATTTCGAACCTCGATGAGTGCCCAAGCGCTTTATATCGTTCGCGATCGGCTACAAGCTGTGAAGTTGGAGCACTTTCAACTGAGCTCGTCTACATCTATCCTGCTAGTGCGCGATCAGGCCCAAGGGTTCTACTCCGGTTTAAACACGATTGACTCATCCCAGGAGACAGTTTCACGGCGCTCATATTTTAGCAAGAGTATCTTCGAGGAGATCCTCACCTTCTCAATTGCACGTGCCCGCGAACTCTGGATCTCTGAACCCCCCTCACGACTGTCACACTAGTATATAAGTTCCACCTCTTCGACGGGCTGTTCCACCTGTGGGCGCAGGAATGGAAGGGATCTTACGGTGTGGATATCCACTTCGTACAGGGCGACACGATGAACCGCAATCTCCTGGCATTCGGTATCCAGGGCCACCAGCTGCTGATATGCGGAAATGAATACGCCGATATCATGCAGACGATGCTACTAGATCGGTTTGGCTTTGGCCCACAGGAGTCTGCGTGCGCTGAGAACGTGTATCTCTCAGCCGGAGTGAGGCAGGGCCTAAGCGAGTACCAGACAGCACATGGGTCTGCCGACGACCTGACTGGAAAGGGCGTGGTCAATCCGACCGCGACCATTCGCGCGGCCGCAACTCTACTAGAGCGCCATGGAGGCTGTCAAGGCGTCCAACGCCAGATAGATGCTACCCTAGACGAGATGCGTGCGAAGAACATCCAGACACTGGATCAAGGTGGCATCACTAAGACTGAAGCCTTTGTTGATGCTCTGCTGGGCATGGTCGCCCCTTATCTCCCCCTAAGTGTTGGCGCAAGCGATTCTTCAGGGAGCAGGGATCTAGCATCAGCACCACGCGGGAACAAGTCGGGTCTGGTGATAATGGATTTGCAAAACGACTTCATGACGCAGTATAGGACGCCCAGGGTGATGGTACGTCTCAGAAAATACATGCCGCAGCTAGTGGACTGGGCGCGTCGCGAGGGAATGCAAATTGCCTGGGTGCGATTTCTTGGCGATGAAAAATACCAATCAGAAATATGGCGGCGGCGCAACCAGCTCCAGGGGAGGCGGAATTGGTGCAAAGAAGGTAGCTGGGGGGCGGAGATTGCCAGCTGCGTGCAGATTCAGCCACACGACCGGGTCTTTGACAAAAAGGCACACTACGATCCATTCCTAGCGGCGGGATTTACGAGCTATGCGATGGGGTTTCAGCATTTCGTGATGGCGGGCCTATTTACGGATATTTGTGTCGACGCGGCGGTCCGAGGGGCCTTTCAGCGGGGATTATGGACCACCGTGGTCCGTGAGTGCACGGCGGGTTTGCATTTGCTGGAGGAGCAGAGTTTTGCTTATATGCAAGCCGTGTATGGCTCTGAGGTGGTAGGGATCGGTCAATTACTTTCTACTAAGCCGGTGGCTAGTCTATAGAAGGACTCGGTGAGGTGCACCCTACGGGCCAAAGGACCTCAAGTCGCATTTTATTGAAACGAGAGACAGGACTCCCATGATTAGGCAAAAGACAATGCATGGTGTATGATTTCCTGTGCTTACTTCCCACTCTGATATCTATATATCGCAGATATTCCAAGTACTACGCATGCCACGTCGATCAAGAAGATATTCTCTACGTAGGTAGTCGATATGTGAGTTTTACAACTACCACTTATGGTATATTGAATTGTTCAACAGACCAACAGACCGACGTAGAATTTCCATTGTCTTGCCCTTCATTATTATTACCTTTTACTAGGGCGATGCGCTAATAAAAGCCAAGGGTCAACGGTGTAAATGAATCTACAGCAACCTGTACTCCGTATAGAGGTCAATAAATGGATGCGCAATGCAGCATTGGAAGATCCATGCCCGGAATGACCAGACCTGCCCTGCATATATTCCGTATCGCATAGTCAAGAACGGCGCCTTTTCTCTCCGTTTATTTCCAGGAATAATGTCTGCGATAGACAGCTCGGTTTGGTTCCAGGCGGAGATCGGCCCTCGTCTGAACCCAAGCATCCGGTTTATATTCCACCAATGGAGCCGCCTGGCCGACGAGGAATTGACGTCGCATCTACATCGAATCGTATGTTTGACCCCAACAGGACTGTTCCATATGATACCCACATTATACTAAGGAAAGGAAATCATTATAGCGCAATCAAGCATGGCCACTGGGTAAATTCCCGTGCATCGGTCTCTGGATGTTTCTTCTACCGGGAATTTCAGCCTTTCCTCAATTTCCCAGCATTCTTGAAACCGCAAGACGGCCCGAGGCCACTATCCTGGATCTAGGATGTGGACTTGGCCAGGGTCTACGCCTACTCGCCGCTCACGGCGTTCCCACGGAGCGCATGTGGGCGCTGGATATCGAGGCCCATCTGTGGGCGCTGGGTTATCAGCTCTTTCGCGATGAGGGCCGCATGCAGGCCACGTTCATCCACGGCGACTTCCAACAATCAATCATGGAGAATGGCCCGCTCGCGGCATTGAGGGGACAGGTAGATCTGGTGTTGACGTCGCAGTTCTTACACTTGTTTGACTGGGATGGCCAGCTAGCGGCGAGTAAGAAGATCGTGAGTCTCTCTAAACCAGCGACCATAATAGCGGGCTTTCAACAGGGGCGCAAACGCGCTCGGGCCTATGTTCGGCCCTGGGGCATGATGTTCTATCACAACCAGGATTCATTTCTGCAAATGTGGGAGATGGTTCAGGAGCAGACGGAGACACGGTGGGTGATCGACATTAGCGTGGTCAAATTGCAGGAGTGGGGTATGCAGGATGAGGATTTAGAATGGATGCCCGAGGATCGCATGGGGATCAATTTTATAATTACGCGAAAGTAGTTATTTTTTGAAAGTCGCTGATCCCTGATCGACGCAAATGAGCAATATAAGAAGGTTCAAGAAGGTTACATGATGATTAGGATTCCAAGGTTGTCATTGGGGCTCCGTGATATATACGAAAGGCCCCTGGTAATTCCAATCTCTCTTCGCGAAGCCGAAATCTGGGCTGCCTTTCAGAGGAACTGGTCAATGATCTCCCGAGTCAATCCCACGGTCTCGTCGATCCGATTAAGGAACGGCGCGCAGTGACTGGATGTCAGTTCCTTCAAAATCCACTCTTTCTGCGTCGCGGCCACCATGCCGAATTGGGCCTCTTTTGGCACCGCACGATCCTCAGTAGTGACGATGAACGCCAAGCGCCCTTGAAACGCCTCGTCCGCCCAGGCGGGATGGGGCTGGGGCGACGTGAAGGCTAATGTTGAATGCGGGTTGACCTCTTGATTCAGGGACCGGGCTAATGCCGGCTCGACATCGGCAGCAAAATAATTAATAGGATCATCTATCACACTGAGATTCACCGAGGGCTGCAATAAATCAGCAAGGCAATCAACGTTTTTATAGTGGGAGCTAAGAACTTCTTCTTACCTGATCGAGCAAGACCCATGGGGGAAGGCTTCCGCCCTGAAGACCGGCACAGCTAAGGCCTTCCGGCACGACAAAGGCTGCCAGGAACAAAAGTCCGATGATGCCACCAGCTTTTCCCTCTTGTGCGCGCTGCGATTTGGCTAGCCCGGTGGCCGCTGCCGCACCAGGCATGGCTCCATATGAGTACATCAAGAGGAGAACATCCTTGCCCTCATCTTCCACGAAAGTTTTGAGAACTCCAGTTATAGCATTGGTGTCGGCCTGACAATCGATGGCGGATGGGCCCTCGGGGTTGAGAGAGGGGTAGCGCACGAAGTGGACTTCATAGCCAGCGACCGTAAGGGCTTGGAGAAATGGCTGGTAAAGCGTCGGAGAGATCCAAGCACCAGGAACAAATAGAATGGTGGTCATTGTGTTCGTGATCTCTTGGTTCCGTCGCATATGTTGGATGTGTTGGGAAAGGAGGCAAACGGTTGGTACCGCCCTGATATACTAACACTAGGCTGACCATCTCACGGACGTCTCATTTCCACTAGCAGGGGCTCCTAAAACGTGGATTTATTTCCCCGGTCCATCGCCCGAGGCCAGGTTGCGCCAATATCATGAGGACTCTAATTGGACCCTCGCTGAGCGGGAAGCAAGCATGGCATTTGGGGGCGGAAATCAAACATACCCGCCAGCACAATTGCCTATTCTAATGCGGATAAATGCGCATGTAGTATATATCAGCAATGTGCTACCCTTCAATCGTCAGTCTGCTTTTTAGTCTGCCGCTGCCATCATGGATCTCACCCCTCCACCCGGGATAGACCTCAATGAGTCCTATCAGTCCCAGCTGAGAGCAAAATACTCGGCCACTTATGCTCTCGCGGTGGTTGCAGTGACACTACGCATACTATGTCGACTGAGAGTCTCCAAAGTCAGATTATGGTGGGATGACTATATAATATGCGTCGCTTTGGTAGGGATTTGCCCTTCTTTGGACTGCACCCGAGGACCTAGGTATCTCTGTAGCTAAGGTTGCAGGGACTCTTTGCTTTACTCAGCAGAGAAAAAACGGGATGACTGACTCTATATTCTGACTAGGTGTTTGCCACAGGCAACTATATCGACATGATGATCTGGATTCAACGAGGTGTCGGCATCCATATTTATACCTTAGGACTTACCGGCGTCTCGCATTTCTATATCAATCTCTTTGCCTGTGAGATACTCTACACACTGTCCGTCTGTTTCACCAAATACTCCATCCTGCTATTCTTCTGGCGTATCTTCAATAGCACCAATATTCGCATTCCGATTTATGTCCTAGCATCCTTGACCACAGGGTGGGGACTCGGTGTTGTATGAATCCCAAACCCATTCTATTTCCTATTTTTCTTTGATATCATGACCCATCCCATTAATATACATATCGCAGATCCTAACAACCGTCTTCCAATGTATACCTATCCAAGGACTGTGGGATTACTCCATCGAGTCTCACTGCGGCGTGAAGATCAACGACTTTTTCATCGGCAATGCAGTCCCAAATATTATCACCGACTGGGCTTTGCTGATTCTACCTCTACCGTACGTGTGGAAGATCCAGCAAAGCACTTCCCAAAAGATCGCATTATGTGGAGCCTTCGCAATGGGAGGGTTGTACGTACTATCATTCCTGCCATTGAGCGTTAGTTTCAATATGATAATCAGCGCAGCATTTGCATTATCTCAATCATTCGGTTAGTGATCATGTTGGACGCATACAAGATACCGTCCGTCGATGTAACGTGGGTTTTTATTGGCCCCTCCACTTGGACGGCCGTGGAGACGAATATTGGCATTGTATCGGGTAAGATCCCTTTCTTCCAAAGTTAGATATCTGTGCTATCAATCTTACAAATGATGCTAATGAGATATCAAGCTTGTCTCCCGTCTCTTGGACCCATGATAAGATCTATCAGTCGGAAAGCAGACCATAAGGAGACCAATGGTGATGATGCCCATAAGCTATCCAGCTCGTATGGACGCTTGTTCGGGCCGGGGAGGATCGGCTACCGACCCGACCGTGACATTCACTTGTCTGGCATCGATGTGACGACGAGGGTCCATGTGGAGAGTTATGCACTTCATAATGACAACAGGTCTTGATTGCCATGGAAATGGCAAACTAGGAAATTGATTCGGTTCCTAGATTTGGTATTCCTGAAGGAAAAGCCATCTCGCTGAGGTTTAGACCGGGCTTCTCCAGCAGATGATAAGGCTTTTGACTTCAGTCCTTCCTAACCTGGTAGATATGACTTAGGGAAGGAAGCATGAGTGTCTATGTAGTACTAGAAGCTCTGATCCTGTCATTATGATTCTAGGAAGTCCTCCGATGCTATCCAGTTCGCTTATTTGATCACTGAGTAATTAAACAATGGCTTTCGAAGGTTGGCTCCTCTTTATATTCACTCATGGAAATGTTCTGTAATATCTCGTCTAATGAGAGAGAGTGAAACGAAACTACCTGATGAAAGAGAGGTATTTGTCGCATGGCGAGCGACAGAAGCCATATGACTTCAAACAGTTTGACCTGACATTCCGTGCGGCCATTGTAACACGTGTAATATATATGATCAAGAAACTGCGCCCCTTATAACAAAATGGGACCATGAGGTTGACTGTCTCAGAACTCTCCAGTGAGACTGTACAGATCGCAGAAATACGCGGATGGAAGCGGCATTCCTGCGCGTAATGCTACTAAAAATAGTCGGTTAGATATCCTGGCAATAGGAGGACTCGGTGATACGCGGCAACCCTCGAGTGTTGGAGCAGCTGATGAAGGGGAGAGAGAAGAATAAGAGGTGTGATAGCAGAGAGAGTCCGGTGGGTTGACTTCACATTTGTCTTGTTTGCACGGCGATTTGTGGCCTTACCTTTCAGGTGCACGGTCCTCGAGGCTACAGCATGAGAGCTTCATGTACAGCGCGAGGACAACTCGCGAGGATGCACCACGAATAGTTGAGTCAAACCGGGCTTTGAAATATTACGTCACAAAGCATGTATGTAAAGCTAGCTACATCGGATCGATGAATTCACCATCATAGTCCTTTATATAAACAAATTTCTCTTTCTTCCCGTGCCGCGGATCTAGGGTTTTTAAGTCTTCACTAAGTAATTTGCAAGCTATTCGACTCTGTCAGTAAATCAAAAGGCGTCATTTGAAGGAATTGCCAAGCCAGTCTCACTTGCCGACGTCTTTGCCCCTATAACGCGCTAAAGCAACCTATCCATATCCCCTGGATTATATAGACCAGTTAATATATTGCATGGGGAGCACTGCCCCATAAAAGCCATGAGATCTTGATGAAATCTCCTGGATCCGAGTTCATATCACGTGATGATATTACGCCAAACGATGATCGGCTTCAGCGGCCAGCCCGACCCCACGCTCCTCTAGACGATTATCCTGTGGTGATTTCTTTAATTTTTATCCCCCGGCAAACTCGAATTAAATATATCTGTCGTCATGGGTATCCTGGGCCACCACAAGCTCGACCCTGTCGCCGAACCTATCGCCATATTCGAACAATTTGTCTCACAGGAGCCGCAGACAGTAGTCCTGAGGGAAAAGGTGCTCTCTGTCTCTGGAGATAGCTTTGAAATCAAGTTGGCCAATGGTGAGCCTTTGTTGAAAGTGCACGGAGCCTGGGTCTCGTTTTCCGGTCGCAAGAAGGTCGAGGATGCCAATGGCAAGCACTTGTTTGATATTGTCAAGGAGCTTTTACATATCCGCTCTACCTACGCCATTGAAGACACCCATCATAAAAAGATTTGTGAGGTGAAGAGTAATCTCACATGTATGTACCCTTTGTTCTGGTTCAAGATCACCCAGCGAGATTGGCGCCGTATGTTATATAGATTACTAACTGTACTAGTGCTCGGCTCCAAAGCCACCGCCAGTTTCACTGATCGCAACGGCAAAGCAGTGAGTCTCAAGATGAACGGAGGCTGGTTCGATCGTACTGCCGATATTGTCGACGAGAAAAGCGGCCAAACAGTGGCTCGCATTGACCGGAAACTGCTTAGCGGCCGTGACCTTGTATTTGGCCAGCAGACCTACGCCGTTGTTGTGGCCCCTGGTGTGGATGCAGCACTGATTGCCGCTTTGTGTATTTGTTTTGATGAGAAGAACAACGAGGAACGTGGCGAATAGGTTCGCATCCGGAAGAGAGCAGTAAACCCGGTCGCGTCATTTTAAAGCGGCGCTCGCCTATATCTCACTTCGGCGACACGCACCGAGCTATCTAGCATGCAATATTATACTCTCGTGCTTTCACATATCTACTGGGGTTCAGTTTCTCCAAAAGTGCATAGAACATATTGCTACTCCTTATTAGTGTTAGTACATACGACCATAGGGTGTGGAAAACAGGGCTTCCCGTCCGCTCAGCCGTACTTAAGCCACACGCCGGTGAGTTAGTAGTTGGGTGGGTGACCACCAGCGAATCCTCACTGTTGTATGTTTTTTTTTTGTTTTGTTTTGCCAATGGTCAATCATTTTGAAGTCCCACGGGAATATGATACCGGCGTGGTTGGTTAGCTCTGTTGGTACAGTCACTCTCGACAGTATGGCTTCAAGGTTGAGATACGGCAAAGAGAGGGGACAATCAGGGTAAAGTAGGTAGCGCTAGGAACTACCTGAGTTAGTCCCTAGTGTAAGAAAGCAAAGAGAAACACATCAAATCAAAGCCCGAATATGAAACAAGAAACAAGAGTATGAACAACTAATCCCCAAATACCCAAGGAAAATTCATCTTATCGAACTATGGTCTTGAGGTGAGAATGCGCTTAATCGCGATCTCGCGGATTTCTTTCTGCAGATAATAGGGCGTCATGCTTGCCCTCGACGCAGTATCTTATCCCGACAGCGGAGTAAAGGTCAGCCTAGACATATCTGCGAGTATGATTCTTATTCCTCTCCATATCTTCCAGCACAAGCATTTTTGCCACTCAGAAATGGAGATCCGCGACGTTCTAGCCTCACAGAGTAATTCCGAGTCGGGCGGTGAACGGGAACAGGGGTCGGCGACGCTGTCGCCAAACGCGAAAGACGGTCCCGGAGGAGTCAATCATCTCTCAATCATCGGAGCTGGAAGGGTTGGAAGAACTTGTCCATTACAGTCATGAGAAGTCAATAGGAATGGCGATAGCGCAAGAGATCCGACCATTTCAAGTCCCCGGTCGCCCGAGAAATTTGAACCAGAACATAAACGCGATTGCATTGCAACTGGAAATCACTCTTCATATCACACAACAAAATGCCACGGTTCGTTACTCCTCCAGACAGCCCGAAGAAGATGCTTCGGTCGCTGGATCATGAAAATGCCCTTGAGCGTCCCATTGACCTCGAGAATCGGCGTCTCATCGGCTCCACCCGATTTGAGCCTCGAGGCGATATCAAAAACATTTTGATCACTGGAGGAGCTGGTTTCATGTGAGATATTACTTCTTTCCGTTTCCAAATTAATAACTAACACGCTCCGAACAGCGGAGGCTGGGTCACTCGGCACTTAGCGTTGCAATACCCTGAATACAACGTGATCTGCCTCGATAAGCTCGATGTTGTCGCATCGCTCTCAAATATTGACTGCCTAGAGTCACTCCCAAACTTTCAGTTTGTGCATGGGGATTTGACCGATCAGGCTGCTATCTCGCGGGTGCTCTCCGATCACAATATTGATTGTGTGATGCACTTTGCTGCCTACTCGCACGTAGAGAACTCATTCGGGGATCCCCAGAGCTTCACCCTCAACAACGTTATCGCTACCCAGCGACTCCTTGAGGCTATTCGTCACCATCAAGGACCAATCCAGGTCCGTCGTTTCATTCACGTCAGCACTGATGAGGTGTATGGCGATGTTGTGGACGGTGCCTGCGACGAATCCAAGCAATTCATGCCCACTAACCCGTACTCAGCTTCCAAGGCTGCCGCCGAGATGTACGTCTGGGCTTACGCCAAGTCATTTGACATTCCGGTTATGGTTGTTCGGAGTAACAATGTGTTTGGGCCTGCTCAGTATCCCGAGAGTAAGTTCCCTACCCGTGAGATGCATTTACGGATTCATAACATTAGTATAAATCATATACTTATTTCATCTGCACCAGAAATCATTCCCCGTTTTTGCACTCTGTTGATGCAGCAGCAGCCGCTCACAATCCAAGGCACTGGCTTGAACGTCCGGCGCTACCTCTACGGAGCCGATGCGGCCGATGGCTTCGACACCGTGTTGCACAAGGGCGTGATCGGCGAAGCATACAACATCCAGTCTTCACATGGCGTCACGAACCTCGAGGTTGCTGTGCGCACACTCGAATTATTCGGCTACAGCCCCCGCGACTTCCACCGTTGCCTGTCTTGGATTCCCGACCGTCCATTCAACGACCATGACTACTGGGTTGACGGCTCTAAGCTGGCAGCCTTGGGATGGCGCCAACGTGTCCCATTCTCTGAAGGTTTGAGGGCCTCGGTTGAGTGGTACCGCAAGAACTTGTATGCTTGGTGGCCCCAAGTGTCGCAAACGGTCAATGCCATGTCGACTGTGACTAATCATACGGCTTTGAATGCCACAGCGAAAGGCATCGATACAGTCAAGGAACCTTGCGATGATGAATGTATGGAAGAGTCCTCTGGGAGGACTACGCCAGTGATGATATCTATGTGATGCCCTTTTTTTGGAAATATTCGAACGACGCGACGCACCGGAATCATTGAAGATTGGAGGAATGAAAGCAATATATCCCATGGTAATAGAGCACACTGGTATACACAAGGAAATCTTTGAGACTCACAAGAAGTGATGGTGTACATGTTTTGTCTATTTTTCGCTTTACTTTATATTTGAATACACAGTTTGATACACTTGTTAACATTGCTTGAATCTTGAACCAAAATCGTATTTTGCTCGGGGCGAAAGAAAAAGGATTGGAGACATCTAGGCGTGATGGAATATTGGGCTCATCAAGGATGCTAGAATGCAATGTCGACCATTGATTGTGTAACCGGGCCAACTAGATGGTTCCAAGCTACCTAGATAATTCAGCAGGCCTAAAAAGCGTTGAGTACGAATTCTACTAGGCCTAAAGGCGGATAGGACACCTCGATAGCACCTAAGGTCCATGAATGATGTCGGGGGTTGAGCTCGCCATAGTCGAGAATGATTGGACCACTCCTGCCTATACTGGGGTCTAGAAGCCGTGGGAGTGCAGTCAGGGCCATCGGCTGTTTTTTCCTTTCGGAGAGTTTATCCCTCAGGAACAGCTTGGATACTCCTGGCATTAACAGGGAAGGGAATCAGAATGGTGACAGCCGAGGTCAGAAAAGGTATCCTTGCTGAGCCTATGCTTATCACAACCACAGAGCCGCAGATTTCCTGGTGATTCACATTTTCTGAGAGAAAATTTTCAACTCGATCATCTGAAAATCAACAATTCACCTTGGCAAGGCTAATTGATACCATTAGAGTAATAGCGCGACTCTGCCTTTGTGGACCTGACTCCAGAAGCTGGGCCGAATGTATTCTTGTGATAAAACTCAGTGAGGCATCGAAGTTATGTTTGTATTAGTGTACACCGGTATAAAGTAGCAAGCATCAACAGGGATTCTCTCCTTTCTGCGACGAAAGGCACTTCTCAGCGTGTAGTCTTACGGTATTCGTGACATTTGCCACTATCATTACTGTCAGAGTCTACTGAGAGAGACGTCGAGATGCATCATGAAGATGGTTGATTGAAGTAGAAGACTAGCTGAGCTATGGAAGGAGGGAGAGATCTGACATCTGACAAATACCTATGTATCAACCCCTTTCAGGGAGTCAGGGACCAATGCTCCGCTTTGGGGACACTTCGGAGTTGCCACCCATGGGCAGTCTCGAGGTTATCTTGACATCTGGTCAATGAGATGCTGCTCATATCAGTGCTTGAACGAATTCTAGCAACTGCCATCGCGTGGAATCCAACATGCAATCCTTTTTGCAGCACCGTCAAATTAGACAAGAAGTGGAAGAAGCCTTGGCATACGGCCAGGGCAAATCTTTCAGCTCGCGCTCTAGCACCTCGTCCCCTTCGCTCGAGGCTATCACAAATGGCAACAAAGATCTCGAAGCAGGATTAGAGAAGCCAGCGCTAGCTGCCGATGGACCTTTTGTTCCCGGTGTTACGGTTTCACATCTCGACGGACCCAATGGCGACATTGTCTTCGTGGTCGGCTGGAGAGACAATGACCCAAGCAACTCCCTGAATTGGTCACTGCTGAAAAAATGGATAGTCATGATGATGTGCTATGTGATTGCTATTGCAATGACTGTCCCCTCATCTGTCGAGGGTGCAACGTAAGAAGCCTTCATATTGCTTCTAATGCCGTATGGATTGTATTTTGAGAACGAGCGATCTCGGAACAAAGCAGACTCGAGGGGCATCTTGTCCTTTCAGACCCAGCCTCGATGAGATCCAGAATGTCTTCACCAAACGAGATCGGACATAGCACAACCTCTCAAATATGCCCGTCTTATTTCCCCTCTCCCGCTGAAACCTGATGCGGACGAAAAACTTGTATTCAAAGATCTCCACGAAGCATTACACAAGACCTTCGTGCAAGAACTCTGGATCAGCGGCAAAGCCTTTCGATAATCAGCCAACACACCAGTATGGCGCTCTAGACCGATTGAGATACGCTATAACAAATTCTCGCTCGATGATCCACGGCCGTACCAACCGCGATATCTCAAGCTCAACACTGACTAGACATACGCCGACTTCAAAAGAGCCGCATTTTCTAGCGGCGTGTTCCCCGAAGAGCTTCTCTTTCTGGATGTACCCAATTTGGGCGACGTTGACGGAAAAGCCGCCAATATACCCTTGGCTCAGGCACATTACCTTCTGGGTGGGGTGTTGCTGGTTCTGACAGCTTCGCACTCTACCATGGCTGCCAGAGCCATAGTTGGACTGATGAAACTGCGGGCCGGGGACTCTCGTGAGCTATATACTCGAGATGCTGGACAGTGGGATGGCGTTGGATGAGCCATGCAATGATGCAGTGTGCTGGGACGAGAACGACAAAGTACCAATGACTGTGGTCTTAGCAATTTGCTACATGTCTCGTACTCAACCGATAGCAGTATGGAATTGGGGAGCTAGCCGAGTGCATCATCATCGGATAGTGAAAGCAATAGCGCTACAGCTTTACCGTCAGTTAAGTTCTCGGCCAGCTGTGAGCGAGGGAAGGTCAGAACGATTGCGAAGCACCTGGTGTAGGCAGCAGTGGCAGGAATTGCGTACTTGGCGATAGAGGATGATCAACTCACACTTATGCTTCAGTGAAAAGGCTGACGTGAGATACTGAGGGGTGTCTAGAATGATATCAAGAAGTAATGATTGGGTTTATATATTTTCTTGCAACGAATTCCCTGTACAAGACTGTTGGAAAATATGGAGTACTACCACTCTCGCTTCTTAGATCCATCTCATATTTGCGTGTGTGATGAGAAGCAAGATGAGTTGTAATTTATCAGAATATCAGAACTTGAAAATAGAAGTACTCTCTCTGCCTTTTGTCTTGCTTGCAATGCCGGTTTGCGGCCTTATATTTCAGGTGGATGGTCCTCGAAGCTGCAGGGGTATTCATGGACGACTCATATACATCGCGAGGACTGCTCTACAGGATGGACTTGTATATCGTGGATGTACCACCGCTGGTTGTTGTAAAAGCTGGCTTTGAGAAACTATCCTGATTAACAGCACGTATGTAAGAGCGAGCTGCATCGGGCGAATGGATTCATCATCATGATGTACAATTATTAGGAGCTCAAAACCTTTGCAAAAGCAGGATTCCATTCTTCGTATTGGTTATCAGCAGAACGAAACTAACCCAAAGCAATCTCACTATAGCGCATGCTAGATCCTCTTCCCCAAATTATCCCCATACCATCTGCTCAATTTCCGTGTCTTGGGAGAGAGCGTCCCCATTGTCCATCTCTTCATTTCCCTCTCGGTACCGCCATCTCTTGCCCATAACATCCTTGAAGGCCGCAACATCCAAGTCCCCATGCATGATGCTGCCGGAGAAAGCCTTGATCGGCTGCAAATTACCCAGGGGCTTCAGCTTGACATCCAGGTCCGGGGCGACAAACAAGACTGCACTCAGCCGACGTACACCCGGGGCACGGCGAACACGATGTCTAGCGGCGACGACCCGACCACCACTCAAAATGACGGCACACCAACCAGTCAAAATAACAGTGGCATCCCCGGGAACTGGAGCCCATGTGCCGGGGACTTCTTCGAGTTCCAAGCCGGGCGTTCCATCTTGGAAGATGATCGAAAAGGTTCCGTAATCCGTGTGGGCTCCGCATCCATTTGAGGACTCGGGAGCAGCCGTATTCGGGTTGTAGTCGCACAGACGATAGTTCATATTGTATGAGGCGTGTGCTGTAGACAGATCGGTACCGGCGAGGATGCTCAGAGAAGACAGTATAGTGGGAACATACTGAGTACTGATGCTGTTGAAGAACTCAAGTACCTCACTCAGCCCGTGAGGATTCAAAGTCTCACGCAGGGCTTCCGGGATGCGAGACTCTCTCATGGGTGAGAGATCGATGGTAAACTTCTGATCAGACTCGGTTTTGCGTAGAGCAGCATTCTTGATGACCCCGCGGTGTGGATAGGTTGCGTTAAGCTTCGCGACGTCATCGGGATGATTGTTGAGATGATCAAAAAGAGCCTTTATAGCTGAAAATGGTGCTTTAGTGTCGATATTGACAGACACAGTGGTGGAGCTGGAGCTCAACAAGGATACCACTGCGGGCTCGGCCGGGATAGAAGTAGGCAAAGCTATCGCAGTCGCCTGATCTAGGCTTTTGATAATACTGGTAGTCATGGTGTTCAGAAGGATGATTAAGGACCTGAGCGTCGATAGATGAAGAAGTAAAGATTGAAAACGAGGGTGCAGGTGGTTAAATAGAAGGGATCCAGCCAACCTTAGCTCCAGTACCTCCATGAATAAGCAAACAAATGAGAAGCAAACGTCATTGAACAAGCCCATTTCCACTTCCAGTAGCAGATTGATATCATCAACATTTTACTCTGTTAATGCCTAATTGGGATTTTCTGAAGCTGTGGAGACCCATTATCACGTATCGCCATTCTAGCTTCCTAGGTTGCAAGCTGAGAAGTTCTGTGTTTGGTCTCATGATTCTAGTGATCCATTCAGTTCCTTCTGTCACTTTATAAGTTGATCCATAGGCCACATTTTCTTGACTGATCATTGTGGTATATCTCCAAGGTCATCTCTCAGCAGGATAAACGACAATTCGATCCAGGTCTGCACCCTTATTATCGAAGCCACTATATAGTCCACCGATCGTGATGGAATTTCTCTTCCCTTTCTTCAGTGTCAGTTGAAGTGGAGTAGACAGAATGATCCCCTTGTGTGTGTCTCGTTGGTAGAGAGTTTGGATGCTTGAAGCTTCCCCGTTGACAACTACGCTACTGATACGGCGTAGTTGCCATGCACCGCCAATTCTATCCGGGGTGCCTCCAGCTATTGATTCTGTCAAAATCGAGACTGATTCCCAAGTAGGGCGTGTACTTACGTTGGTCGCCAAAGCCCAAGTCATCCGTGTCTAAGCGAGGTGTCAAAATCGAATAGATAGCCATAAGACGAACAGTGTACACGTACTTTGATAATAGAACGAGACCCATTGTGGCTTTCCAGACCCCTCGATGTTTTCAAATGTAACGGTGCTATCGTTCCCATATATTCCAGTGAGTATGACCCCATTGGTTGCGAAGTTCTTGATGCTCGTTAGCAACATATTATTTTGACGTCTGCGACAGGTGATGTGCACTCACGGCCTCTTGTTTGTAGGCATCCCCGTGCGTCTTTGCATTTTGGGCAGAGTATGTTATTCCCTTGACAGGCTTCCATTCTCCAGTTTTGCTTCCATTCGGTAAGTAAATGGCAATGAGGCAAGTTAGGCATACATACACGTTGAGATCATAAACGTCGTGCCATTCAACCTCGAGGGTTTTCTTAGACTCATCAGTCCGGATCGGTAACCAGATGTAACGACTGTCCCAAACAGAATTTGAGTCCCATTGGTCTCCGATGTAAAGATATGTTGTCTTCTTTGTTCCTTGAATTCTCAATGTGAATCCAGACTGAGAATTGAAAGTTCTTGTGTTCAATGGTGAAACAACAAACGGCTGGGACCAGGGCCCGCTCAAGGAATCGGCTCGGAATGCCACCACGTCTGCATGATTAGCCAAGAAAGATGATCACGAACGGGAACCCTTACTGTTTGGCCTATACCCAGTCTTATGACTCATTAGTGCCCAGTAGCTTTTCTCTGTCTGCATGATAGTTGGTGCCTCAAGATCGTATTTCGGGAATCGGTGTACGGGTTTTTCGAGCGCGGTGAGGTTTTTGTTCATGCTGGTAAGGTACACATCTCGTCCATCTTGACTATCTCCATTCGAGTAGAGTGCGTATGATCGACCGTCCTTATAGTCAGTGAATAGTCCAAAGTCCTGGGACCAGTTTCCAAGGGGCGCGGTTGCGTCAACGAACTTATATGGCCCACCGATGTTGGAGGACACTGCATGGCCCTGGAGAAGGAGCCCATAGCTAGAGTTGTCGGCGTGCCACCACATCTGTCTTGTTAAGCTTAAGGTAAAAAAGGGAAACTTGGGACGCATACATGATAGTCCTCAGTCTCAGAACTGTAAGCCACTTTGGGCCGTTGAATTATGTTCTCCGGTGAGATGTATGGGTGTCCCTCAATTGGAGCTATCGAGGTTAGATATCAACGTGTACCTGACAGAACTAATAGAAGGGTACCTAGAGCCAATCCTCCCGAAGTCCAGGTGCTCAAATCCTCAGAGCTGTATACTGCGACACCACCTCCTTCGGGTTGCTCTTCTGTCTTGTACTCGCCAAACCACCAGAACCGGCCGGATTTCGAGTCAAAGGTGATCCCGGCGCCGTGCGCATTGATGAGAGACCCATTGGTATCGTGCCATCTCCCTCCAGGCACTATGTATCTGCCTTTTGCTGGAATGGCTAAAAGAATAGCCAGAAGAGGGCTTGAGAGACGCATCTTGATGGTTCATGCCAACCTATATGAGAATATCTGATAGAATCAGTTCAAGTTGTCCAAGTTAACATGATTTATAGCGTTAGCTGCATGTAAGTCTCGGCCTCTATTATACCGACATTGCGGGGTGGAAAAAGACGTTATTTTGTTCGTCTTGGCGTCCATAGCAGGCTTGCTTTTATAACGCATCGACTCTCATCGATATTTCCCCTATAGCAGGCACGCTTTCGATTCAGCATCTAAAGAGGCTCATTGTTCAGAACCGACGCACCATGGATATACCCCGTCCTAGGTACCATCCCAAATTTTGAATAGCAGCGTGTGAGGAACGCGGGGAAAATTGAAATGTCGCGGAATGCCAAGGATCCCCGGGATTCCACACAATTGATCCTCCAATCGATCGATTGATGTCGTCGGGAAGTCCAAAAGCCCCGACAGGCGACGGAAGATGATTTCCCGATATCTTCTTGTTGCCTACTATTTCAATTCTTCAGATCCCCAAGGAGCCGTCCACTGCGATTGGAGGCTTGTCTCCAGGATCAAACAAATTGTTGTCACTATTGTGGGTACCCCAAAGCCGAACAATGTGTAAAGAGCAAGAGCAGTATAAACTGTTGCGTTTGCAAGCCTGACATTTCGGTTTGATCTCATCACCTTTCTTTTTTCCGAGAACGACAGACGACATAGCCAGTCCCTGTTCGCCCTAGTCTCTTCTTCGTGGCCGAAGATATAAAAAAGCAAAGTACACATGTAGATCACTAGTGGAAGATGGGGAAGAAGAAGCAGAAGAACTAGGGTTGTGTCATCGCTGTGCGGGTGCCTCGTACGGGAGACGATAGCGACAGGCCCGCAACAATAGAAACACCTCCTCCATAGAAGTACCTATGCACCTAGACCATCCATAAGAAACATTCAGACCTGTCCCGGCTCTTGTATTTACCCTAAATCAAGGCAAAGGACAGGGAGAGGACCTCGTGAAGACCAAAGAAAGGTACGTGTGCACGTATGCAATGATCTCGGCTTAGATCGACGCCATTCAAGTGAGATATTCCAACTGTTTCGATCCTCCAGTCTCCAGGGCCCTGAGACCTGCAACTAATAATTATGTCTCACTACGAGGGAGCCTGGGAATCAGCAGGAGATACCTCCAACGGGCAACGCCATTGAAGTCATTGAAGACATGTGGAGCAGTGACGTCAGTTGATTTCCTTGTTAATGGCCTCGAGTTTGATTACTCTTTTCCTTTTTGTTTACTTTAAATAGAAAGAGATTTTTGATCTTCCGAGACTTTTCACGAAAGATTTCGAGCGGCCATTGCGATCGTGGGCTATCGGGTGTTTTCTTTGGTTTGTTGCTAGGATTTTCGCATCATAAGGAAATAATGAGGTCCATTATTGCGAGTGCCTTTGTTCAGGCCTCTCTTATTTCAATTGGCTCTGCTGCCCCTGCTCCAACTGCTTTCGCCAATGATGTCAACCCGCCAGATCCTGTCATTACAGCCTCCCCGGTCGAACGTAATCCGTCTCGAGTTGTTGCCCGAAACATATTAAGCGATGTTGAATCCGATGTCGACAACATACTCCCAGAGCTTGGGTCCGGCCTACCTTCGTGGGTTGCATCTGGAGTACCCAACTTTTTCCAGGGTTTCCCGACTGGCAACGCCGTAGTGAGCTCTCTTGGATTGGACAGCTCCGAATTGGCTGCATTACCAACCAATGTGTTGAACATCGACCCTTATGCCAACTGGACGAACTCGGGCTGGAACGTTCGCTTTCACGGGAACGTGTACAAACAACCAAATACATCCGTTTCAGCCTTGAACGATTTGGCCGATATCTTCCTCGTCAACACTAGCATCTCGGATCTTCCTAAGTCTCAGCAGAACCAGGCACGAAACCTTACTGCCGGAATATTTGTCGTACAACAGCCAGATGTTGCCGTGAACAAGATCCACCTGAAGCCGGCAGCTAGTCAAGGATCTAGCGGACAACCAGGTGGTGGTGGATCATCCAACACGACAGGCGGTGCGCAAGATGTCACTCTGCCTTACAACACTACAGTCGAAGGTGATTTCGATACATTTGTGCCAATCGACAGTAATGGCCTTACTGCGGGCAATGAAACCTCGAAAATCCAGAGACTTGACACTCATGTCGAGGGTGCAAGTATTGGAAATGCTACCGCCTACCTTGTGCCTCCAACGGGACTCACCATCGTCTCTGATGTTGATGATATTCTCCGTGTCACCAAGATCTATCAACCCGAGCAAGGACTACTTAATTCCTTTGCTCGCCCATTCACACCTTGGCAGGACATGCCAGACATTTATCGCAACTGGTCCACCAGTCTCCCCGATATGCATTTCCATTACCTTGTAAGTCTTGTCGTTTCCACGTTCTTCTGTCTTTTTTTGGTTTAAAGTATTGACAGTTATTCCAGACCACCACCCCGGAGCAAATTACCAGAAACTACATGGAGTTCATCTACAATAACTACCCGGGCGGCTCCTTCGACACCCGTCCTCTCAATTTCAGCGACGTTTCCGCCACTTTGTCGATTCGCCAGTTCCTATTGCAGAAACTCTTCGAAACCTTCCCCGAGCGCAAGTTCATCCTGATGGCAGACACCAGCAACAGCGACATCATGCGCGACTACCCAAAACTAGCCACCGACTTCCCCGGACAAGTCCAGTGCATCTTCCTCCGCAACACTTCGGCAACCGATCCAGGCGACAAGTTCCCATACGATACTTCCGGATTCAAGAAGCTAAACCAGTCGATGTACATGTTCTTCGTGAACTCAGCTGACTTGGCCAATTTGGATATTGCGAACGGGCACTGCTATAATACGTCGGTTCCTCAGAATCTGACGTTCGGCTACCAGGGACTACCACTTGGACTGGGAGATACCCCAACTGCGGTCAACGGATCGGCAAATCAAACTGGAGCCGCTAGTGGTCTCGTAACCAAGGAATCGGCTAGTGGCCATGGCCTGATGGCATTTGTCGCAGCAATGTTTACGGCGACTTTCATGTTTTTATAGAACCATTTTGATACGAGTCATGTTCTTAGACAAATGAAACACATTTGATGAATCATTCTGCATCCAGTGTTTCCTAAAGGCCAGAAAATTAACTCGACTCTTCGCGTACCATCATTGCGCAGTATTATCTGTAGATGCTGCTCCGAGATTATCTACTTCAAGCAAAAGACTGAAGACGGGATATTATGCAGCGCTGGTTCGAGAAGAGCCAAGTTCGACTATGATAAGCTATATAGCGCCCCGCCACAGGCAGGCAACGAGGAGGATCACTATGCTAAGTGACAAAGATGCACCGGCATGACCCTAATATGTGAATATTGCAGTTTGACGGGCCATCAACCAGCTGAATGCGACTCTTCAAACATCGTAGATTGCCTGGATACCAGATGTCTCACTTGAGATTATACGGCTACAAGGGGAAATATTCTTGAATGAATGAAGAGGTGGCATGGGCTGCGGTTGTTACTAGGATCTTCGATCTTACTAGTTTCCTCTCCTTAGCAAGAGTCAGGTAGTGACAACCAATTCTTCCTCCTGTCTCTCCCCCGAGGGCTACCTCCAAACGGCTGGCATTATTACATGCCTGTGGGTAGAATTCGTCGTTGCTATTGACGAAGGCCGTATTGATTTCCGTATAAGGCACATTTCCTCTTCTTCTTTTGTACTCCGTATATGAAAATCATTTATCACAACTTGAAACATGAGATGTAAAAGACTAAACTCGACTTCTTTCAAGGACCAAAACCATTTCTAAATACAAAGAACAAACAAAATAAACAAGATAGATAACACATAAGACACATAGAAAAAGAGATCACAAACAAGAAATGGAAATCTAAAGCTTCATTGCAGAGACAATCCAACCGCATTTCTGATATCGGGAACAGGTAGAGTGTTCAGCATCTCGTAAATATCGGTACCGATGTGTGTCGAATGAGTGTTATCCGGCATCGACATCACAAATAACAAATGATACAGCCAGACCCCTGACAGTCGGTCCCGACCTGGCGATGGGCCGCCGGCGCTTAAAGCGCACTTAATATCGACCCAAGTGGGAAAAATTGGTTGACCCTGGCGATGGATCATCGCTTGCAGGCATATATTCTCGGTCCTTAATTTTCCGGACGCGGTGCTATAGAATTGGGTGCTTAAAGTAGGCACCGGTGCCCCAGACAATTGTTCGAGTTGTTGCCGGTCCGTCTCAAACATGCGCAGTGCTGAAGCACCAGAATCCAAGAGGAAGTCAAAGGTCATTGATGTCTGGGCTGACTTTTGTGCCCCAACAGCAGGATTTCGGAGGGTGATGTCAATCTGTTGAATGTCAGCGTTGATCTTTGCTGTGTGGGAGGAGACAGTACCCTTTGCATGGCCAGTCCTGGATAGGTTGGCGGCAGAGTGAAAAATACATTCATCGTGCCCGGCTTGGTACCATCAACCTGCATGTAGAGATTAGTATGTAAATATGTGTGAAGTTGGAAATATGTCTTCCGAATGGGTTTGGTGCGGTATTAAGCCCGATGATGTGTACAGATTGAGAAACTCGAACTTACTCCTTCCACCCAAAATCCCGCTGAGCCATACTTGTCACTCAGAGTGTATACCTCTGGCATATCTAGCACTTTGGGCCCAGCAACGAGCTTTCCGTTTGCCCAATACGACACGTTATCTTCATCCCATTCCAAGGCTTTGGCCCTGTAGGCAGTGATGATGGCTCTCACATTCGAAAGCTTTTGTTCAATTTCTTCATCTTCTTCATTTCCTGCACACAATCCTTCTTCTTGTTCCTCTTCGAGAGAGTCCCGTACTTGTTTCAAGGCATCGAGGCGCTGAATAACTTCCCAACTAAGCCCGTTGGGCTCAGCCTCATACATCTCTCTATAAAACGGTGTTAGTAAGTGCGATGAAATATCCCATAACACATCATTTAGGCTCTTCTTACTTTTCTTCATCCCTCATCTCTTGATATTGCTGCAATCTAATTTCGAATACCTCGGGCATGATTCCTTCTTCAATGCGCTGTTCGCATCTCGCAATTTGAGCTCCAATATCACTTCGATAAAGCATTAGCAATGAAGGAGATACACACTTCATGATATGATATAGTCTTACTTGGGATCAAGATCTGCCTCGTCCGCAGTCCATCCTTCGGGCAAGTCGGCGGGATTGGTGATAACATCCTTGTTCGATTCCCAATTTTGCTGTGCAGGTTTTAGGTTCCCCTGCTGCGGAGTCCGTTCAGGGTATGTGGGATTCTTATCAGGGTTGAGAAGCATGTTTGCAAGCTTAACATGAGACAAATTCGGGTCTTGCTTCTTGACCTTCTTTTTTCCCTTCTTCGAGGTGGTCAATGTATTAGCCTTGGAACTCTTTGCATCTAGGTTCTTTGGTCTGTTAGAACCAGGCAATGGGACAAGCTACCTTCTTCGTGACCTTCTTAATGCCATCATTACTAGCATTGATCATACCACTGGCCTTGCGAATACGCTTCTTTTGGGTAAGGCCGTGTAGAAGTTCCTCACCTAGTTGAGCGGACTGCCTGCGAGTGGAGGGCATTTTCAAAAGTTAGATAAAAATCGGGCTTCAAACAGAGAATAGAAAGTCTGGAGGTTTGGGGGCAAGAAGATACGCTTGGGAGTTGATCAGCCATATTAATATACTTGCGCTCAAGGACGATTTTCATTGATGACCAGACAAAATGATGGATATAAAAGCGCCAGTCGAGTCTGGCAGGGGTAGAGCCAAAAAAAGACCAAAAGAAGCCTTGAATATAAAGAACGGTTTTATTAGTTTGCAAGGATTGGATATAATATAAAGACAAAGTCGTCCGAAACTCTTTGTCCAGGCACCACTGTGCACTTGCGCCCCATGAATGAACAAGTTAAGAGCATCTTTGTGAAGACCGCTCTATCCCTAAAGGATCAGCTACAGATTCCCAGCATTATTGATAGTATCGCCTCGATGTGCTTTTTGCATTTGGTAAGTACTGTTCAAAACTCTAGAAATAGTTTGTGATCATATCTAGGTTTTTGCATTTTCATACTAGCTAGGTACTAACTCAAAATCCACTTGCTCCAGCAAATGAGCCTATCAAAGGGAAACCAGTCTTAATGAGAAATCACTCTCTTTGGGTATAAGATTGGGCTTTTTTGAAAGAGGTACTGAAACGCTGCGAGATATGGTGGCCACTGAGACCTTTGTTTTCACAATCTTTGATTTCTTCTATTCCGTCAGTTCCTCAAGGCACTTTTCGTAAGCATATGTCGATCCGGCATCAGGTATTGATACCGAGTCAAAAAGCTCTGCATTTTGGCCCCTGATTTCTTTGTCTTCGCTCTCAAATTTATTATAATTCAATGCGGCAGTAAGTCTTCAGATGGCGGGTATATACTCGACCAGACCAGGGTCAGCCGCGCAAGGTACGCTTTGACCTTTCAGCTTCTCGCAATCAAAGGAATTGTTCTCTATCCACTTCCTCTCGTTCTACGTAATCTGCAGCAAATTTACTCCGGACTAGCAGCTGAATTTGGGGGTTCTTATTGGCTGAGCTGAGGCTGTTCCCCAGGTGGAGGCTGATTGGGAATAAGTTGAACTTATTCGAGTAAATTATAAAATAATTATGCAGAATGAACAAAGTCCTGCGCCCATAGCAGCGGCGATTCTCTTAGGTTATGTTCCGAAGTGGTTGACATTGGTACTTACTACTTAGGTAGGAAGCCACGGGCTAGCGTCGTATATACAGTGAAGAAGAAAAGGTAGGAGGAATAGCCATCATGCGCAGAAATAGGCCATGACCGGAAAAGATGATTTTTAATTGACTATAGTGCGTTCGTCAACATGGCCGGCACTGAATGTTTGGCGAGGTTATTTATTTCTTTGTATATACTGCGTACGGAGTAGATGTTTCCCCTTTTGGCGGGAGAAATGCCTGAGCTGTGATTGGCCCACGGTTGCCGAATGTTCCGAACTGGGGATAGCGCCAGATTCCCACGATTACAAATCTCGGGTCGTCCACCTGGGCAGGGGCTACGTACTCTGCATCGTTGCCATTGTCGCTTGAAAAGAGTTGAGCATGAGTTTGGGGTGGACCTTAGGAGCTCCGAGTTCGCCTCACTCCTTTGCCTAGAAATATATTCCGAGCCTCGAGAGTAGCCCACAACCCTTCAGGTTTGCCCGAACCCGTGTACTCCACACAGAATAAAGATGTAGTAATCCGTAATTGAGTCGGAGCTCACGTCTGGAAAACAAAGAAATACATAAATCATTCGTAATCTTCATAATCTCACTGAAATCGGCTCCTGTGATTGGACAATTGTGACCGGGGTGGACGGGAGCCCCGACGGGAACACGCCAAGTGGAAAGTCCTCCAATTTAACTTAGAAAGGAATGCTATCGTCTCTCGCCGTGCCGCCGGTTACGGAGTACAGAGTACAGCCATTTACTTGAGCAGTTTGCCAGGGTAAGCTACCGAGGCCTATGTTCGTGCTGACTTATCCGCTTGTTCATGCCCGGCAAGCCCCCCCAATTTCTCCAGCTCCCAGGCAGGGATGTATGAACAACCCTCACGGCAGGCCTGTGACCGGTGTCACGACCTCAAATTGCCATGTCACCGGATTGTCGCAGAAAAGTGCAGTCTTTGTGTGAGGGCAGGCGCAAGCTTTGTGTTTAGCCCCTCGAATCGTGGTCGCCGGCCAACGCGTCAAAATCGCCAACCCGGTTCCCATATAACCAAATGAGCGAACGACGGGCAATCAAATATAAAACTTGCCCTCGGGTGACCCAGGAACTAAGGTCGCACCTGGTGAATGTCCACTCAGAGAACCAGTTGAGTCCATCAACACCTTGAAACATGTTGACTGGAGCGGCCGTAGCTAATACCGGTGTCTACTTAGAAGAGATTTCCCAGTCAGCAATAATAATGTACAATCCCATTCTAGAAATAAGAATATACACATTTCGGGATTCGCGTTACCGAACCTATGCATGGGTGTCGGCCCGGACAAACCCTTGACAGAGAGTTTTACACCGATGAGTCTGTCAAGCACACCTCTGGAATCGAACTTTTTCTCTCATTTTGATCGCCAAGGTAAGACCCCTTTCAGTCCAATTATCGACATTAATCTCTCTTTTCTTGAGCCTCTCTCTGGACTACATGCACCCGACGTCGCTCCTACAGGCCATGAGATCCGTCCCGAAGTCCCGCGGCTCCCTTCCCAGCGGCTCGACAGGCCACAGATATCAAATAGCCATCGCAAGATCGGGCCAGAGACTCAATTCCTAAAACAGTTTATGGATAATGTTTTAGAGCTTAAAATCGACTTCATTCAGGACACGCTGGAAGATCCCGTTGCCTTTGGCCCTGTCCCACTACCCCGGTCTCATATGGGACCATCACCTCAACTCCAGTATTGAATTGTGCGGCCGATACCAGTCTGGCTCTTATAAAACGAATGACTAACTTGTTTCATCCAGCAGAAAGCTGGACAGTACATTGATATGGTGATCCGATCGGCTTTGCAACTGCGAGATCGCCTGGGAGATTTAGTGAATAAACTCACAGTGCCTTCCCTCACTGGGGAGGGTGATGATAATGAAAGCAGCGGGTCCACGAGTCCATCCACCGGATACAATGTCATCATGACAGTTATGAAAACCATTCGATAACGTGAAAATCGACTGATGCAGGCTGCGGCTCGATTGGAGACCTGCTGTCATAAGGCACGACGGCCGCGGGCTTGATGCCGGCGGTGGCATATTTGATGAATGATGTAACCTCCAAATTGGGCGCGAAGCACGCCATGTTTGTGGGCATCAGGAGAGGAGATGAAAAAAGAAACTCATGGTCCCCTGTATCCATCGGCGCTTATTTCGATCGTTAGATCGCTGGATCGGCAGTCAGAGATCTTTGCACAAACTACTCCGTAACTCGGTTTATATTCACGTCTACATACTTCTTCAGTTAGTCCATGCAAAATACAGTGGACAGATGGATCAAAGTTCCAATTCATCTACCAGTTTCGCTTTCACTTCACACAATAAACAACTATGGCCCCACCAGGCCTGAAGCTGACACTACTTCCGAGGTCCCGGAACCCCGACTGCTCCGAGGAAGAAGGTCACCGTTTTCTACAGACTCACATGCCTAAACCGGTAGAGATCTACGCTGTGAGATTGAGCTTTACACTCGCTGCAAGGGGACTTTCCCCCGCACTTGGGTTGCCATGGAGGACCTGTCATTGTCCCCTGGAAGAGCGGTCAACTCGACTTTGGAGAGATGATTCTTCAATTCTTCGATTCTTCAATTGGTCAATTCCTCAATTGTCCTGGAATTGCAGCTTAGAAACTTGAAAAGAGCAGTGGCCCGATGAATATGCATGAAGCTATATTCTTCAAGCTCATCTAAACGCGATAAGCAGCGGGGAACTCCGAACCCCAGCCAGAGCTATAGCAATCGCGCTCCCTACATAGGCAGATATGTAGACATTGCCGAGACTCAACGTAATTAGCGAATCGAATTCAGGAAGCCCCGGAGGACCATCAATTCCCGTCTCAATCCACGCCACACGTGTGTTTTGGCTCGTCAACATCTGTCGATAGTAATCTCCACCAAGCGCAACCCCCGCACTTTCACGTCGCTCGACCATCATCCCACTTTTGACGCCTTTCGCCAGAATCCAGCCACCATTCAAAGTCCATACTTGGCACTGCAACCCTAGCCTTTATGATATAAAGTGCCGTCGGGGCTCCGCCTGCAGTTTTGGCCTCAGATACCAGCCGTGTCCATTATGTGGTTTCCCCTCTGCCAAGCGCAGCCAGCGTCTTGGCCTACCCCTGCCAATCACGCGACATTATACTTTATCATCGCGTGCTTCAGATGGACACCGGCACTCTGAAGAATAAGTATAAGAGCAGCGTTTCTGCCGTCCTGAACGGTTATCCATCAATTCCCGAATCACGCAACGATGAAGTGGCTTCTTTTGGCATCCCAGCTGTCCTTGGCCTTAGCGTCTGCCCCCGGCGGGCCTGGCGGACACGGCGGTCCTGGTGGTCCTGGTGGCCCTGGTGGTCCTGGTAAGCCCGGTCGCTCGCTTTCACCGGTATGTATTCATGGCATATCTCTGCGGTCATCATTTGGTAGTCTGACTTTGTAGGAAAAATTCGCATCTTCGATTCAATTGGGAGACCTTCTTAAGGGCGTCCAAAAGCTTGAGGATTTGGCATTCTCGTATCCTGAGCGCAATCGTGTCTTTGGTGGCAAGGCACACAATGATACTGTTGACTACCTCTATCACGAGTTGAAGAAAACTGGCTATTACAATGTGTATAAGCAGCCGCAGGTGCACCCATGGACCAAGGCTGATTCTACTCTGTCATACAATGGCGAGGAGTTTGAAGTGACCGCCATGACGTACAGCCCTAGCGTTGATATTACCGGGGAGGTAGTGGTTGTCTCAAACGTCGGATGTACTGCAGAAGACTACCCGAGTGACGTGGCTGGCAAGATCGCCCTCGTCAAGCGTGGAGACTGCCCTTTCGCAGAGAAGTCTCTGCTAGGCGGTGCGGCCAATGCAGCTGCTGTAATCGTCTATAACAACATTCCAGGGAGTATGGCTGGAACCCTGGGCGGAATGGACCCTGGTTATGCTGCCATTGCAGGAATCTCTGCTGAAGATGGCGAGACTCTACTTAATGCGGCAGCGGAGGGCGCCGTGACCGTGGCCTACAAGATCGACAGTCAAGTTGAGTACCGCCTTACCTTCAACGTCATTGCCGAGACAAAGGGCGGTGATCACAATAACGTTGTCACATTGGGAGGCCACACCGACTCCGTCGAAGCTGGCCCGGGTATCAACGACGATGGCTCTGGAATCATCGGCAATCTTGTTGTTGCACGAGCCTTGACCAAATACTCTGTCAAGAATGCCGTGAGATTCTGCTTCTGGACCGCAGAGGAGTTCGGCCTGTTGGGTAGCGAGTATTACACCTCAAACCTGAGCGAGGAAGAACTCGCCAAGATCAGACTCTATCTCAACTTCGACATGACCGCCTCGCCCAACTACGCCCTCATGATCTACGACGGTGACGGAGATGCTTTCGGCCAGACTGGACCTGCGGGTTCTGCCGAGATCGAGGCTCTGTTTGAGAAGTATTATGACTCCAAGAACCTGCCTCACATCCCAACCGCTTTCGATGGCCGGTCTGACTACGACGGCTTCATCTCTCGTGGAATTCCCGCCGGTGGAATTTTCACTGGTGCTGAAGGCCTCATGACCGAACAAGAAGCTGTGTGGTTTGGAGGCCAAGCAGGTGTGGCCTATGATGTGAACTATCACGGTGTTGGAGACAACATCACCAATATCAGCCACGAAGCATTCCTCATTAATACCCGCGCTACAGCCTTCGCCGTTGCAACATACGCCAACAGCCTTGATTCAATTCCCCGCCGGACTGAGACAACCAAGCGGGAGGTCAAGAGGCAGGAACCCAAGGCACATGCCCACACCAAGGGCACTGGCTGCTTCCACTCTCGTGTCGAGATCTAATCGGTGTACTCATCTATCACTGATTGCCAATGTTAATGTAATTAACGAATTCAATGCAATTTATCTTTCTCTGGTCAATTCCAATTGTTATTTACGAATATATCATAAATTCTATCAAATGTAAGCTGTAATAGTTGAGTGCGTAGCCATAGTATATGAAGAAAGTTTGATCAAGATATATTGAAGATGAGAGCTTACAGTGGAGATAATACGCCGAGCAATAATTTGTCTGTATTCGACCTTAGAGATAACGAATTCATTATATGCATACACATATCATTCTCCCCGGCTTGAATAATAAAAATCCACACGAAGCGGAGACTTTCTTCCCCAAGTGGATGTTCCATCGGCGTGTAGATCTGCCGAACAACAATGATCCACGCGAAAGTCTCCGCTGGGCTTCCACAGAAGAGATATCAGCTAATCATACGCATATGATAGCAAAGGAATACCAATAATTATGTCCAAAAAAAGTCTCTAAATGCACTCTTTCCTTGAAACTTTAGACCATTACCAATCCTGGACCTTCCCATAACCCGCACTAGCTACCGAATCATTCGCCCAGTACCGCCCACTAATATGCTCGATTTCGCCAATCGCCAATCGCACTGGAATTCTCGCCCCCTCCTCTAGCAAATCTGTGAGATGATATCCCCACATGACAGAAATAGGTCAGGTCTTACCAACGGATTTGGGCGGCTGGCCAGCCTGCGCACCCAGTGACGTGCCCACCCACCCAGGGCAGCAACAGTTAATGAGCAAATGTGGGTTATCACGGGCCAGAATACGGGTCGCAGTGTTCAAAGCGGCTTTGCTGGTGAAGTAAGCTAGCGAAGGCCATCCCGATGCGGTCGCAGTGTGCTTGTCTGCTGCGCGCTAGAGTGAAGGAGTTGTGAGTAAGCTGAACAGGTCACATAATGACGCTAACATACATTGTATTCCTCGACCAGAGTATCCAGCTCAGTGAGTGTAAGATCAGGGGTCAGGAATTGCTTCTGCAAGTGCGGATGGAAGTATTTGAGCTGGCCAGATTGGGAAGAGACGTTGACGATACGGCCGCTCTTGCGCATGACTGGCAAGAAGGCTTGGCAGATCTAAACTGGTCAGCTAGCTGTTAGGAAGAAGGGATTTGCGGTGGATTGAGATACATCCAGAGTGCCCCGATAGTTCACGTTGAGGGTTTCTCGACGCTGTGCGGCAGTGATGTTCTCCTTGAAATAGTAGAGCCCGGCATTATTGATGAGGACATCGCAGCCGTTGTTTTCGTGTTGGACTCGCGCGCTCAGGGCGGATATGCTGTTCTTGTCGGTTAGAGACAGCTTCGTAGGGTGAACATGCACGGTTGGGGGGATCTTTATGCCAGTGAGGTCGATAGGAGCCCCAGCCCGCGACGCTGTGTATAGAACCAAAGGGCCCGGGGATTGGTGTATTAAGGCAGCACAAATGGCGAGTCCGATGCCACGGTTCTAGAAGCAGGGTGAGAAGGGGGTTGCAGTAAGATTGGGAGTGGACTTACGGCGCCAGTGACCACAGCTACCAGAGGAGTTTCCATGTTTTAACGGCAATCTTTTTCTTCGAATATAAGAAAAGGAGAAAGCAATTCATCCCACAATGCCATATATGTAATCTTGAAGATCTCTAACAATTAGTAATTGTCACCCTAGCGCCTTGGAGAAATTAATAGTGCCAAGCGATTCCTCGCAAGCCTCCGCGTAATAATGTTGAGAACCGTTTCAACTTTGAAGTTATCCACGATCACATCACAATCCTGCTATGACACTCGGGATGGATCACAGAATATCATGATCGTTGAGTTGGTGGGATGTAGAGGCAAAGCAAGAATCCAGCAGAGATAAAAGAATTGGGAATCAACAGAAATTGAGTACAGTAATAAAACGAAAGCTTCGAGCATCAAGTACAACATCTTACCTCTTGGGGAAACAGACAGCACAATAAAACAGAGCGCAATTAGTGATCGGCGAGTCCTTCAGCACCCCTAGCCAAAGTTCATCGGACATTCATGATTGTGCTAGAAAAGGGGAGCTTCTGTATCTCTTGAAACCTCAATCGCCAGTTCGAGGCCCTGGATTTTGAGACATCAAACTTGGGGATGGGTCAAAACCGGACCAAATGATTGGAAACAAGAAAGTCAACATCGAGGCCTTACACGCCCGAATGATTGGCAGGGCTTTCCATGATGACATGAGTTGCAGCGACTGCAGCAGGGAAGGTAGACCTTTGCTGGAATCTGTCCAGGGCTCATGAAGCTCCCAATAAACCCCATTTGTATACATAGACACAGTCTTAGAGCTCATAAAGCTGCTGATTGATGCCTGTTTTTCACGCATGTTCGAGTCTGTGAAATTATCGCGGGAGAACTCGGTTGATTTAGGGCTTAGAAGGTAATCTGAATACCTAGAAATACTAGAGAAATCTATATTACTCATGTATCTGCCAACAATTAGCATGTTTGTATTGTTTGAGGCCCATTGGGCCCCCATAAAAGTCCAGTGGACTTCTACCCTACGCAATCTGATCGAAGTGAAGGATCTGCCGAGCCCCTCGTCGACCTCGTAACCTTGAAAGAGTTTGTAACCAGGAGCAATTCCGTGTCCGTCAGCACCTCCGTAACTTTCCGCCTAATTTCCAGATGGACGTCCTAACAGAAGATCAGAGCGAAATATGATGCGCATCTCATGATATGTTGAGATGTAGGTGTGACTTTCCAATAGTTGCGCACTTTCGAAGTCAAGAAGAGTTACCACACGACTATCTCTGTCATAGAGAATATTGTGCTGTCCAGGATCATCAAGTCGGAAGCCCACTTGTCGTAAAGCATAGATGCCATTAAGGCAGTCGGACTGAATGTAAGCCCGTTCACCCTCGGATAGATTATGCCAGAGTCGGTCAAGCCGCATTCCGGCTCTCTGCTCTAGAACAAGAACATAGCCTGATGGGAATGTAGTTGAGCAAACAATTTCCCCCCTACAGATCCACTTGGCGAAGTTGCAACGTCCGGCCGGCTGCTGGGCCCAAATGCGGTTGTAAACTTCCGCCTCCGCTTCAAACCTAAACGTAGCAAGTTAGTAATTCCAATAGCAAGTTATTGAAGTAATCTGACTCACAGCTCATTATATTGAGGTCCCCAGCACTTGAGTATCACCGTTGATCCACCTATAGTTGCTAGCCAGGTCGCCTTATTTTGAACTGTTGGTTCTGATAACAGCTGAAGGCAGTTAATGACCCTTGGGGTAGGTCCGCCAGCGTTAATAATCACACTATTCGATGTGATAGTCTCTTCTTGGTTCGCCATCGACGGGGAGTGGTAAGCTGAAATATCAAGTAGACGGTCGGAGACCCGGGAAGGAGAAGGGCCTCGTAGCTTCTCAGTATATTAGCAGCTTTTCTATATCCCAGACAGTTGCCTAAATCAATAATTACGGTTCTTGGCTCAAATGTCTCGCTTTCAACGTACTTTGGCTCCGACACGGCCATTAAACAGAAACCAGCAAGTAACTGGCGAAGGGAAGGCCGTGTAACGCCACACCAAATAGGCGACGAAAGAAGAAAAGAAGAGTCAACTTCTCGTTTAACAAAAACGGTGTAGTTGTAGGTGGACAGAAATCCAAACCGAGTTGAACATGTGCGCATCTGAGCAACAAGTTGTCCTAAGCAAAGGGCCAAGAGTCAGCGAACTTGACGTGAAAGTGAGAGAATGCTGGGCAGGCATACCTATCAGTGGCTCGAGGCGAAAAGATGATTCGGGCCGGTTAATATGAAGATCTTCGTCTGAGATGGTCCAGGGCGTTTTCATTTCTCCAACCAGATGAACGTTACCAGGTCTAAGGCTGGTCGCAACCAGCCCCAAACATACGTCTGGGACAGACATTTGTGGGGTAGAGAGTGCCTGGAAATCAGCAAATCGGATTGACGCCATACCTGGCACCAATTCGAGGGCTTTGATAACTGGGTCGCAGACATTACGGACAAACCTCCCGGTTAAACCAAGCTCGTTACCGACTGTGTAAAGTTCCGTCTCATCGTTCAGTGGAACTTCATGGGCTATGTCAGCTTGCTGGAACACTCGGCAAGCGTCCGTTTGGAATGTACTCCATAGAGACATATAGGCGACTGACAGACGGTCGGAATGGATTGATGGGTTCAATGTTCCTCCGTTCTGGCTTATAGCTGGGGTAGCTCTAGCCAACTGCGTCTGGGCTGGTTCCATGTTTTGGGAGATGGAATAATCGTTAGAATGACAAAAGAGGTTCTGGGACCCTGAGCCGAGGGCCTTACTGTTATCGACAGAAGTGGGGGAAATTGAAAGACGATGCTCAGCGAGGACGTGAAAGAAAAGGTGTTGAGACTTACTATGTGGGGCTCAGAAAGGGAGGGAGAGAGTTGTATTAGGAAGGAGACGAAGCTCCCGACTATCTAAGAAGGTGATGCCTGCACATCACGGGACCTCACGGGACGCCCAGAAGAAGGGAGTTGAGGTCCAGCATTTGTATGAGTGCGAATAGCGTCACATTTAATGCCCATTTTCTAAGGCATCAATGGTGTCGACGGGAAACAAATTGAAGAATGCAAGGGCTTCGTTATGGTAATTCAGGTATTCATAGTTATTTTCTGCCGGCAAACATTCAGGCATCTTAAGGCACATTCAAGCATCAATATTCCAAATATTAGTCTCCGACCCCGGGCCGCTATACACCTGCGCACCTCTCTTCTTGTCAACCCAATGAGGGGCGGTTCTAGGTGGTTACATTACACATGTTGCGTGGAAGATGGTCCCTGGCAAGTGTTCTGGGGGTCTGAATCGGCTTCATTGCGCCAGGCCGTCCGCCAAAAGTTCCGCACTGTCTGGGGTTATATTTACAGAACCCTCTTCCACGCGTTAGGATTGCATTGTATTTTCAAAAACATAGGCAAATACAAGAGCCCGACTTCTCAAGGAATTTCCAATTCTAGAACTGCACTATATCCAAGTTGTTTATATTCCACAGATAGGGATCAAGTTCCCCATGTAGTAGGCAGCAACGATTTTAACCGAAGTTGGCAGGACACAGAAATCCTTACTCCGTATTAGTTTCGTGAATCCATCTTCTCTATTGGCCTTGCGCAGGGAGAACATATATTTCATTCAAAACTCTTGATATCGATTTGGCTCGATTTGGCCAGGCTACAATCACAGCCCGACCGACAGGCGTTGGCGCAAGCACATCACCACACCAACCGCAGACTCGGAAGATGATGATCTATGTTGTAGGTACTACGTCAACGGTGCAAATGGGCATTTATGGATACGAAAGGCGGATTTCTCTGAGATCAGGCGAGCTATCCACGTTTGCAGGTCAAAGGGCTTAAGCTTACGGAGTACTGATGCCCACGGATACCGACTGGAAACCAGGCTCACTACGGCCCCATCGCAAACAGGCCAGCCATGACGATTATCAGGCTTGCTTTTCAGAGGCATGAGCTCTCCAGACACCTTCGAAGGTCCCTGATAGGTGGCATTGTGAGCGCAGTACCAACACACCAATACACCAACACGTGATCGTTTCACGATGCGTCTTTTGAGCAATAACCTCCTGCTCGCAAAAGGCCATCAAATAAAAGGGGTTTGTGGCGCCAAGTGTGAAATGAAACCCCGTTTCTCAAGTTTTGATTGACCAAAACAGTGCCAAGAGCGGGTCAACCCCTATACTCCGTACGGAGTACTGTTGGCCAAAATTTCTTAATAAACACAACCCATTATGAGTGGCCCGTTATGCCACAATTATGTTATATACTGCTACGGAGTACATACATCGGTGTATGTCAATATCTGCAGCAATGCCCAAGGACAACTATGATCGGCGTGATGCGATGTGATCGTGATGCTTGAAGATCGCAAGTTGGGTGCACCGAGACAAGTCTATGCCAAGTAGCCCAAGCATGGGACAAGAAAGCTTCGTCAGTGGAAGCTTTCACCGGGGTTCCAAGGTTCAGTGGCGTCTGAGTGTTTCGTGTCTCCAGCAGATCAATATCATGATATCGGACCCCCAATTGCGAAACAGAAACCGGCAGACTAGGGTTGAAACAAATCCTCATCCTGAACGGATCCCTGACTTTCATCTATGGGGTCCCTATTACAGACCAGTCTCCTGATCCGAGCTTGTGTTCCTCTAACGCCAAGCTGATCCACAATACGCACCATCACGATCGCCCCGGACCAGCTCAGTGTGTGTGGCTGTGTCCTGAAATCCTCTTCTCGAAGTCCTGAGTCTGCGAAAGAAATTCAAGAAATTACTACCAAGCATATTCGGTCCCTTCATTTCTCAGTCTCTCCTTCCTCAATATCTCTCACCATCCTTGTGTGGGGATCGTCACTCGTTTGGCTTTTGTTTACTTCCCACATACCCCTTGCCTGGGCGCGCTACTCTTACCATTCTCCTGTTGTGCGTGTGCCATTACACACCCGGATCCCCTTGAACACCGCGGGTCCATCCATCACTAGACTGTGGCTGTTACTTGGGTCCCCATTTCAACGCTTAGACTGTCAAATACTACGATTTACGCTTCAGCCTTGGAACCAGCTGCGTTGCTTACCGTTTGGAGCCATCACTCGTGAGTACGTGTTCGTCCCCCAGCCCCTTCGGATTAGCATCGTCGTCGCAGGTTTAAGCCACACCGTGTGGCTTGGATCAAAATCCAGTTGGACCCAATTGGAACCTCATTGCTGCCTTCTTTGCTCCCAACTACTGTGTCTTTGTTGTATTTTTGGAATCTTTGTGTTCTTTAAATGTCGCTGGCAAAACCATACTCACAAGTCCACTTTCAACAGACGTTGTCCCCAGTTTATCACCATGCGTAAGTCCGGCATCTAGAGCCCACCTCTCAATCAGCCATCCACATACTGAGAACATGGCCAGATAAATATCGCAGCCAAGCTCGTGAATTAGCTTGGTATGACGAGGAAGGACAAGCCTCCTCCCACAACCCATTTAAGAAAATCCGCCCAAAAAGACACCACCGATCGGATTCTATTCAACTCGAGAGTGGATTGGTCTCATCTCGAAGCCTGGGCGAACTTTGTCTCTCAGAGGACCAGCGCCGACGACAAGAGATGACCAGTGGCCTTGGAGGCCCAGAACACTCAGGCACGTTCCCACTAGACTCTGCGGGCAGCGATCATGGAACTCCCAGGTCCCCACCTGAGCCATCCATGGCTAGCCAGGATCCGATCAATGTGTCGACAACGTGCGGGGATGATAGTGAGACAATTGGTTCGTCGCAAACACGTCAGCGGAAGGGTGGTATCTTGGGAAATTTCGCCCATCGCCACAGTGATGATGATTGGGATGACAAGAAGTCGCTTTCGGAACCCCAGACCTTCACCCTTGCCTCACAGTTGAGGGCTACTATTTTGAACTCGTGGATCAATGTTCTTTTGGTGGCTGCGCCTGTCGGAAGTATGTCCTCCTCTTTTCGTCCGCCGTTTATGCCATGAAAGACATATGCTAATACTATTATTGTCAATAGTTGCGCTTTATGCCGTTAAAGCTAATCCAATTGCAGTTTTTGTGGTCAACTTTATTGCTATTATGTATGCATTCTCACCATCAGCCACTGTGGAGAATGTTATGGTTAACCTTGTATACAATAGTCCTCTTGCGGCCATGCTCAGTTTCGCGACTGAAGAAATTGCCCTTCGGTATGTATTCATAAATCTGAATCTATCTGATCTATACCAACACCTTTTCTAGCACGGGCGAAACAATCGGTGGTTTGCTGAATGCCTCGTTCGGGTATGTTTTATATCACCCACGGTCTCGTTCTACATCGCCATTTCTAATTCTTCTAGTAACGCCGTCGAACTGATTGTTGCAATTATCGCCTTGGTCCAGAAGAAGACCCTTATTGTGCAGACCTCGCTTATTGGCAGTATCTTGTCCAACTTACTTTTGGTCTTGGGCATGTGTTTCTTTTTGGGCGGTATCGACCGCATGGAGCAGCATTTCAACGTAACAGTGGCCCAAACAGCTGCGAGTATGCTGGCATTGGCTGTCAGCAGCTTGATCATTCCCACTGCCTACCACAAGTGGTCTAATCGTCAGTTCTAACTCTCTCTTTCAATCGCAGTCAACACTTAAGACTAATGTGAATATTGGTTATACAGTTGAAAAAACAGATGGAACCGCCGCTCTCTCCCGAGGTATGTTACCTGCCCAGGCTTTCCGGTCTATTTATCTATCACTCTCTTGCTTCAGCTGCTTACACTGCACCTCAGGTACTAGTGTCCTGCTCCTGATCGTGTACGGCTGTTATCTCTTCTTCCAATTGAAATCACACTCCGACATGTACAACCGGCCCAGTCCGAAGGTCGAACGACGCCGCGCGAAGGTCGCCGAAGGCGACGCCAGCCGGGGTATCGCTCAGATCGGCAAAATGACTGCTGTACCATTAGTCGGTTCGAGTCCGGACCATATGCAAATGGAGGAGCCCGAAGACGAAACCGAGCAACCGCAGTTGTCCGTCACGTGTGCCGTCCTCACGCTCATCATTTCGACTGCTTTTGTGGCAGCGTGTGCGGAGTTCATGGTACGCAACCCTTTCTCTGGGATCTGACTATGGCAAGAAGCTAATAAAAATACCATCTAGGTCGAATCTATTGATGCTTTAACTGCTACTGGTAATATTGGCGAGACCTTTGTCGGATTGATCCTGCTGCCTATCGTTGGCAATGCGGCTGAGCATGCTACCGCGGTGACAGTCGCCTGCAAGGATAAGATGGATCTGTCGATTGGAGTCGCTGTTGGATCGAGCATGCAGATTGCACTGCTTGTGCTGCCGCTGATCATCGTTCTTGGATGGATCATTGGTGTTGAAGATATGGTATGGATGAATCCTGATATGCGAGAATTTCCTGGAGGGTAAAACTAACTGCGACAGACTCTCAACTTCGACGGTTTCCAAGTGATCGTACTCTTCGTTTCTGTTCTTTTGGTACGTGATCGATACCCGGCAAGAAAGTGACATCCTTGTACTGACTGCTTTTCTCCAGGTGAACTACCTCATCGGTGACGGCAAGTCTCACTGGCTCGAAGGCGTCTTGTTGATGATGATGTATCTGATTATCGCTATCGCATCTTGGTTAGTACACTTGCAAATGGTTGTCAAGCGACGGTAACTGACTACTGACTGCTTTCCCAGGTTCTTCGTTTGAACTCTCACATTCGTTATAGTCACCGGGCTGGGTCCCCGATGACACCGATATTCTAATTCACTACCCCAATCCCGGGACCCTTTTCTGGTATCCATTACTTCACTTCTTTGTATTATACTTGTGTGCTCTATTTGTTTATTTCCGGAAGTTATTATTATCACCCATAATATACCCACTCTGGCAGTGCTTTTGATTCCCGATATATCTTTACCTCGACCTATCAAGAATTCACTTTCCTAGCAACCATCGTAACCATCCATATCCCAAATCATCATAATAGCCGGGATTTAACAGAATTTAACCCAGAACAGGCTAAAGAAAAGGGCTGACTAACACGGTATCTTGCCTCCGGGGAGTGGAGATGCTAGGGTCCTCTCGGGATGTAGTGCCCGATTTGCCAAATAGCAAACATCCAAGGCTAAACATGAACCAGCCTCCCAATTATGTGAATTGTAGCAAAAGCACGGGTACTTTACCCATCGGAGCATTCCCGAAAAGGGCCTAAAGAATCACGGTAGGCTCGATGTCCAGATTCGGACTCGGGAAAGTCGGTATCCCACCGGTGTTCTAACCGAGCCGATGTGGGGGGTGTTCCTGGCCTGTTCTTTTGAAATTCCTTTGAGCAGAAATCTCTATATTCGCCACGGGTCTTTCGTGGGGGTTTCTTTCGTGGGGGCTTCCTGGACCGTATCGCAGAGAAAACCTATGATTTCCCGGTCTACATGTCATGATCATGATATCATTGCGTAGGTACGAGCGTCAGCCACGTGAGATAAATTAAATGGGGTCGGGAAGTGCTCCGCGCCGTGAAGGGTCAAAACGGGCACCGAAAAAGTTAAGAGAAAGGACGTACGGAGTATGTACATATTAGAAACGAAATTAATCAAATTCAAAACCACCAAAACCAAATAACACCAAATAACACCCAAACAAAAGAGGAGCTGACCCCGTCGGCTTTGGGAACAAGCCATGTACTCCATACGGGCTCCGTAGTGTGTATTGGACCTTGGCCAGACAAACCAGACAAACCAGACAAACCACGGTAATTCGGAGCGCGGCACGGCATTCCTGATCGGATAATTTCGAAAGCGAGGGTTCGGTTAACTGAGCCAGACGGGAAAGAAAAGAGACGGGGAACAAAGAAGGGAGTTTCTTTTATTAATCTTGTCAGCTGAGAGGCCCTACGGGTCCTAGTGTGGGTTGCGAGCCAAGGAATTGAAATATGTACATCTTCCGTACTCCGTACGGAGTACGGAGAGTACGGAGAGTACGGGAGACAACGCTCGGGGAAAATACAACGTACAGTACGGAGTAGCAGTGGTACTACGAGGTCGTATGTTTGTCAATCATGTTCGAAGTCCAAATTTCCCGTTTAAGCTTTGCCACTGTCAAGAGCCAAGGAGGCCGGAAATTTATACGGGAGAACGGACGACAAGGATACGAGGAGTAGCCACTGGGCACATGACGATTGGTGCCCTGAGCCTAGGTAATATCGAGATACAACAAAACCGCAAAGTCGCCAAACCGCCAAACCCTCTCAACACCAGAATGCCGAAAAGTCAACTGCTCCGACTTACCTAACACAAAGTAAATGCGGGGATATCCGGGGTCCAATCGCTGGCGCCTCGGAGGTTGCGGTCCAATCGCTGTATCGGATGGGGCCGAAATGTGACCGTGGGGGGAGGGAAAAACTCGGTGTATGATCTTTTCCGAACATTCTTGTGCTCTAAAAAAGCATGTGTATACAGATTGGACCTCGGAACACCTTTCTCCCAGGTAAGTACAGCATCCACAAAACATCCTCCGTACACCAAACAGAGTCTGGACCCGTAGCCACTGTAAGGGAGTGAAACAAGGCCTCTGATCGCCGATGCAGTCGGCCTCGGGTTGTTTGCACTTGTACAACCGTGTGGGACGGATTAATATGGGAGCGGAAAGGATGCAAGCAGATCAAAGGGTGAGCTGGGTCGGTCCAATTCGCCATTCCGTGAACATTGCGTGTACCTCGGGGGGATGGCGTCTCGTTCGACCCTCTGCCGAGCGACCTGATCCCATCCCCGAATCTTGTGACGGTGGCAAGAGCCAAGGTGACAGAACAAGAACGTCAACTGCCCACCGTGTCGGGGTGTCACACGGAGGCGGTCCAATACGGGAGGTGTGAAAGGTCACAGCCGACGCCAATCACTCTAGCAGGGCACGGAGTACGGAGTACGGAGTAAGCGAGTTGTCAATGTAACTTTGAGGATCTAGGATCTCGCTTCTTTGCGGGGAGCCCCCGACCGGGGACTGGTCTTGGACGCCATCAATTGGATGGCATCGACCCCTTCTCCCCCGGATTGATCCTCCTATAGGCTGCATGGATGGTAGGCACATCCATGTCCTGGGACGAGGCTATACCCGAGGAATCTCAAATGGCCCGAGATACCCCTCTTGGAAAGCCCATGTGGAAGACAACCTTATGGTCCGATCCACCGTCCCTTCTGTGGAGTTGTCCGTTTCGTTTCTACCGGTATGACTCCCAAGTCTTGGGGTTCTCGTTGTACTCTCCGAGAATTGGCCCCCTTCTGCGCACCTACACTCGCTTTCCCCAGAGCCGTTCTCTCTGCCGCTTACCCATTCTGGTGTTCCCGAGGCGGGAAGAGACGGTGTATGGATTGCCGCCCAGACAAATGCCGATCGGACATCAGCTGCCAACACGGGGTAGACCTGGACATTCCCTCGAATGATGCTTAGGCTTGTTTGGGTCCTCCGTACCTATGTACCTATGTACCTCTGTATCCGTGTACCTACAGGCCTAGGCCATGGAACCAGGACGATATGATGTGCCCAAACCCACCGATCCCCCAGATTTACTGACTATCCTCACGGCCCCAGATCGAAGGGGGGGGAAAAAGGGCCGGAAAATAACCGGAGGACAATCGGCCGGCGAGTGGATGGACATTGTTATTCCAGCCAGTCCGAGTGCCTTTTAATCTGGATCTGGACCGGTAGCAAAGACAAAATGTCCTACATGACAGACCAGAATTATTTCATCTGTTCCACCTGTTCCACCTTTTTTTTTTTCTTTTTCTTCGGACCGTGAGCTGAGCCCGAGTCGGGTAGAGATGCGAGATGACGATCATGAGATCAGAAGAATGGGGTGGTATATGGTATTAAGGCCGCTCAGGCCCTGGGGCTCCCGTCCCGAGGAGTACTTTGGAGTTGGAAGTGTAGAAAGAGAGGATATTGAGTAGGGAGTATAGTGCTATAACATATAATCGACGGTCAAGTGAAACTACGTAACTCGGCAGCCGGAAACTGGGGGACTCCACAACTCCAGAAAAAAGCGCGTCCTTGCATACCTTGGGCTCTCCGCAATTCTTCTGGCTTTCGGCTCCTCTTTATTTTTTTTTTTTCGTTTTTCGTGATTCTTCTGATTTTTCCCGGAGACACCCCCCCCCCGTTCCCTTCCGACTTGTTTCTTCTTTCCGGTCCGGTGCCCCGACTCTTTGAGTTTCCCCCACACTCCGCCAATTCCGCGTCTTCTTCTTCCCTCTCCCTTGGCCGTTTCTTACATCTTGCTCACACTTTGAAGTATGTCTGACTCGTCCCGTTCGGCATATCCAATGCTAACTGTATAGAAACCGACTGTCATCATTCCCAAAACTACAGCTTACACTGGACAGTAAATGGGCGAATCGCGATTGACACAAATCGAATCGTCGCATAATCGCAGGCCTCGGGTCTGTCCAATATATCATGCGGTCTAGCATCGCTTGCGCTCGATGCCGGCGCAGTAAAATTAAGTGCGTCAATGCCGGCATCGACACCACATGCCGCGCCTGCGAATCATCCGGACGCGAATGCGTGTATCCAACCCCAGCAATCGGAGTAAGCGGCGCCAAACGAGATCTGGCAGCCCTGGCAGATGGCGAGGATCGCAATGGCGATTGGGACGGCCCGAAACGACATCGTTCGCGCAGGCCAGTGGGCATCCCCGGCTCTGCGACTGGTTCCAAGCTCGGTGTGGATGCACTTGATTCCTCAATACTTACGACAAAGGTCTGGGAGGCTGTCTTCGATCTCTTCCAATCGCATTTCGCGACTCTTCTACCCTTCTTACATCCCGCTACCTTCCTCGGCCAAATTCGACAGCTTTCATCTCCCGCTGCACCACCTGCGACTCTCGACGGACAAGATCCCCGAAATCCCGCGCATAAGACTGACCCATCTTCTGCGTTGATTCCGCTCGGTGTATTGGCCTTGACCGCTCGGTTCCACCCTCCGTTGGCTGCGGCCCACGCCCCAGCTTCGCCCACTCATTCCTCAAATCCCCTTGCTGCATCGGAATATTATGCGGCGGCCCTTCGCAGCCGGCTGGCCGGCTTAGATGGTGTTTGTCTCGTGCAGCCTGATCTTGCGCGCGTACAGGCTCTATTGATGCTCGCATTGCACGAGTGGGGGATGTGTCGAGGCAAGAGTGCCTGGGTCTATGTGGGCATGGCCATCCGGCTTGCACAGGCCATGGGTCTACCATTTGAACTTGAAAATGAATTCCCGGCAAGGGATCCCTCGCGTTCGTCTCCCGGCTTGAAAACCGAGGCTGATCATTTTGGTGTGCCTCGTCGTGTAGAGCCTAGAGAGCCAACCTCTGATGATATTATTGCTCAAGAGACCAAACGCCGGACTTTCTGGGCTTGTTTCATTCTCGATCGCTGTCTTAGCAGCGGGAAGTACCGACCACGAATGATCCGTGTCAAGGAACTCGGGATCCAGCTCCCAAGCGACAATGCTTTTGCTTTTGGCGAGCGAGTAAGGACGGCCCGACTCAATGAGCCGACCGTTCGGCGACCCCAGAGCTTCGGTTCCCAAAGCATGCAAATACCGAGCATTCGTCAGAGTATAGGTGGATTTGGCGATGAAAAGCACGCCGCATCCAATGGCACCCCGGATGGCAAGTCCTGGTCGCCTGTCTCGCGTCGCAAGGACTCGAGCGAAGAGGACATTGATCGGTGGGAGGTTGGTGCAGAGGAGTCGGTACTGAGCCGAGTGATTCGCATCACCCGTATTTGGGGAAGCATCGCCAAGTGGTCTTGTGCTGGCGGTCGTCGCACGGAGCAATACCCTCCCTGGCATCCTGAATCTCGCTTCGCATCGCTTCGTCTGCAGTTGAACGAGTTCCAGGATAGTCTCTCTCGCAATCTGCAATATTCATTGCGAAATACCGACACGCACATCATGTACAAGACCACGTTGGCCTCATATACCGTGATGCATGTTGTCTACTTCCTATCTGTCATTGTCCTTCACCGGGCCTATATTCCATTCCTGCCTCTCCGGTGCAATGAGCCACTTGGCCCATTGGACGAGCCACTGTTCCCTGGCGACAAGTCCAACACACCACCCGAAGGTTTCTGGCGGGATAGTGCTCGTGAGCTTTTCAAGGCCGCGCGGCAAATGATTGATCTCGTGGCCACCTGCCAAGCTCGCGGTGCTCTCGTGGAAAACCCTTTGGTCGGATTTGCTATCTACAATGCCGCGTTCATCGGTGTTTACGGGACGCATTTCCCACACATGGATCCCGATGGATTGATGGGAACCAAGCCGCCACCTGCCAGTCATGATAGCCACCAGCTTGGTGCTACACAAGCCCGTAAAGCCTTGGATATCATGCGAGAGATGCGACCCCGTCTGCGGATGGCTATGGGTTGGTTCCGTACCCTGAACCGGCTTCACAGTTATTTCTCGAAAGTCAAGCGTGAGTTCCGCCGTTTCTCGCGGAATCGCCTGGACAGCATGTCGGATGCCTCTGATCACATCCCCAATGGGACTCGCCCTCTTCGCGAAGGCGGCTCTGGTGGCGGCCTAGAGGAATTCAAGTTGCTTGAAAAGCTCTTCCTTGATTTCGGAAGCATTGAGGACCAACTGACAGAGTCCGGGATGGACGAGGATGGTATTGCAGTGCCCGCAGGTGGCGAGTCTCTCTATGAGCGCACCAATCTTAGTGATGCTGGAAGTAATGCCGTCAGGAGTGAAACCGGTGATCCCAGTGACCAGATGCCCGATGGTGCTGGTGGTCGTCGCGAGTCGTGGGTGCCGGTCAACAGCCCAGGTCTGCCCTTACCCGGACACGATGGTGATCGCCGCCCTAGCCTCCCACTTCCCAACAGCCGGCCAATGCCATCGGCATCTCCCTATTCCCTCCCATCTCTCCAGCAACACCACCCCGATGGCCCCATCTACCCCAGTTCCTCCCCGGGCCTGCCTTCCAGCCTACCGTCTCTATCAACAACTACACAGTCCCCATCTCAGTATTTGACGGCGACAAGCAACCGCCTAAATCCCATCAACTCCTGGCTTCCAACCCGTCCACAGGCTCCTCCTCCGCCATATTCCCAATCTCTTCCTCCCATCAACTCAACCACCCCACACACCATTCCTGTCCTGCCTCCACCAGGATCCGTCACTCAACTGGCCCCTTCCCCTCCTCTGACTTCAACTGAAGTCCCTGACTCAAACTTGCTATCAACAAGCCTTGGGGGAGACGATGTTCTCGCCTTCCTGGATGGATGCGAGTGGGGCCAGCTATCCATGCTCGCGCCTTCGGAGATCGGTATCCCCGCTGGCTGGCTGAGCACCGTATGGTCTCAGTTCGGCCGCTAGAGTCCCAACAGAGGCCCATTATCTTTGTTGCATTCTTTGGTCAACAGCCACCCGAAAAATGGCACCAATCGCCCGTGTATTATTATTTACGAATTTCCTCGTCCGTTACGTCTTACGTACTGTACGACCATTTCCTTCTCTCTCTCTCTCTCTCTCTATGATCGCCGGCGATTTGAAATTGGGAACTTGCAGTTTTGCAGGAAGTCCCCAAGCGCCAAAGGCAGGCGAATTGAACTCCAAATCCAAACATTTCCTCTCCTGCTCTGGTCACCGTCATCTCTGTGTCCAGACCAGGAAGCGAAAACGGGATCACGAAGATTGATTATCACCTATACCCAATGCGCGCGACATCGTCTTGATGTTTGTCTATTTGCTCCATGGTTTTCCTTTTCCTTTTTTTTTACTTGTCTTGGGTCGTGCCCTCCGAATTACTTGCAAGGCGTTTGTCGTGATTTCCAGCCAAGGTGGCCGTGACATCCGATTTGATGATTTGTTTCCCATTGGCGGTTCCAGTATTTGTTTCCCGTCTGTTTCGAGCGAATTTGGGATGCCACAGGGCTTAGCAGCGTGGCTGGGAACTCTTGAGTTCTCTTGCCCTTTTATGTCTTTTCCTTTTTGTCACCTTCCGACCTTCGGAGACAAGGTCGAGCTTTGTTTTCCTCGAGATGCGTTTATGATAATCTAGGCGTTTCGCTTATTTTTTTTTTTTGCAAACTGCCATTGCCTTCGGTCAATTTATCTGCCTTTATGGCTTTTATCGATTCATTTGATTTCCTTCCGAGTAAATTTGAATAATAAGTCACCACTACTGCCGCCACTGGAGGTGCCAACAGCCGTGTAACCTCCGTTTACTATCATCCTCTTTCCCTGCTGTCACTCAACACCAACAGCAAAAAAAAAAAAACAAAAAACATACAACAGTGAGGATTCGCTGGTGGTCACCCACCCAACTACTAACTCACCGGCGTGTGGCTTGAGTACGGCTGAGCGGACGGGAAGCCCTATTTTCCACACCCTATGGTCGTATGTGCTTGTTAGTACGTTGGCCAAGATCTTATTGTGGATTTATAGAAGAGGTTATAGGGTGCAAATTAGGGCAAGCTCACCCGCAAACCATATCTACCCCATCTATAACCAAAAATAACCTTTAAAACCATAATTTCAATACACTCACCTTCCGTAGTAAGATATGAAGGGCAAAAACAAAAACATACAACAGTGAGGATTCGCTGGTGGTCACCCACCCAACTACTAACTCACCGGCGTGTGGCTTAAGTACGGCTGAGCGGACGGGAAGCCCTGTTTTCCACACCCTATGGTCGTATGTACTGGTTAAAGTAAGCGAGAGGAATATATGCCACAGATATAGAGGTGATTAGGTGAGGGTTGCATTGTGGATCGGTACGAGGTAGTGAACCATGAATTAGATTAGAAGGCGATTAACTCCCGGGTCCACGAAGAAAGTTGTAATGGTAAGGAAAGACTCCCTAATCCCTTCTGATTGAATATCCTCTGCTGGGTCTTCCGACGAGGCGCAGGTCATAAAAATACATGTATGTATGTGCGGGATGGGAACCTGTTTGCCGCTCACACCTGGCTCCTATAAAGAACGTAAAGAACCTAGGATTGGGGCCTGGGATTCATGTTCCCTCACGTCCCTGGTGATCAAGATCAATCAAATGCTATCGTTAACATTGTCTCGGCTGTACCTCAATGAATCGATACGAGCAGTCGATAAAAGCTCCTGGCTAATCTCGAACACGCTTCTTCTGACTCGGTCGTCAGCGCCAGTCCCGGACGAGGTTCCAACTGATCAAGCTGCAAGCATGCTGGAGCGGCAGCAATAGGGGGCATTTCATCCTCTCCACTGCACCTAGGCTTCTCCCAGATTCTAAGCCTCTCGCAGAAGATTCGTTGTCTATTTCGAGAGTATACGCAATCGATAATTAAGCGGCTGTTTAGCGAGCAGGTGAAGCCCTCGTCAAGGCGCATCCCATGGACTATCCCCATGTGACCAGAGAGCATACTACCTTACAGTTTCTCAAAGACCGAAAGCCCTAGGGGTTTGAATTTCCATACGTATACCATCATTTTGAGACTAGCTCGCGATATTTTCTCGTCTTCTCGAGGCTTTCCGGCCAGCTACCCGAGGAAGCTGGGCCTAACATAGACGGGATTCTTCGCCTAAAATAGACGGGACTCTTCGCCAGTATTACATCGGCAAGGTCGCAGATGTTTACAATCTCGTGGCGGCATGGAAGAGCGACATCATTGCTGTGGACGGACACCAGCTGTTCGAGCGTTATCTCGTCAAAGGCAACAGCAAGATGGCGGATGCCCTTTCTCCACAGCAACTACTAAAGAACTGTATCATTGTAATTAGGGCATTCTGGTTTCTGACAGCTTTAAAGCAGGCATCTTCAGGTAGCTAACTCAATGACAATCGAAACCAACCCCTGAGCGCTCACCTTCGCATCCGTGCCTGAATCCTCGTCCTCATCATCGATATGTGATTCGTGTTTGTAACTTGTGCTATCACCATTGGTTATGGATGCTTTTTCATCGTTGGCGTGATTACCACGTTCATCATAATCTCCAATGTTTTCACTAGCTTTTGCTTCATCAGTGAAACTATTGTTCGGTGATGGACGGTTTCTGCTTTCAGTGCGTCGTCTGTCATCGCTTGACTGGGGCCTAGCGGTATTTCGCCTTCCGTTTGACGGCTATTTGGTATGCTTCCCATCTGATGATTTATATTGGTTGTCTCGAGATCAACCAACATCTGTAGAAATGATAGATTCTCATTCTCGACTGCAATATGGGGAGCTGTCACAACCTTCATTGGTAGTGTATCCCAAAACATCTCGAAAAAAACGTCTGCATCACCACGAAGCAGCTGGCGACATACATCCGGCGATGCTGCTTCCCAGAACGCTGTAGCCAGCGGTGCCATACAGCCAGAAGTGGGAAACTGATCGCAGCGCCACGATTGGTGAGATATTCAACCATCTCATCATTGGAATCAAGAACAGCTATGGTAAGAGGGGTACCTGTCAAGGATCTGTACTCCATCTCGCTGCCGTGATCATCAATATCTGCACACTAGGGCTTCCCCTACTCATGGGCATTGATATCTGTGTTGTCATCTAACAGAAGTTCCATGGCCCTGTGAGCATTCCGCACAGCGCGCGCAAGAGCCTTTGTTCTATGGCTATTTTGTTTATTTGGGTCCTCGCCGTTCCATAGCTGGCAATCAGGAATTTCCGTGAAGCCTAACTCGGCGACAAAATTATTGTAAGGCTTGTTATATCACGCGGGAGGTGATCCTCGTTAGATTCTGATGTTTGAAAAATTAGATACTATGTTCGGAACACAGGTTGTGTTTGCCCTGCAAATAGACATCATTGGCAACATCCATTTTGAATGCTTCTCAAGGTCCACGCGTTGGGAGTGATTCAACCAGTTCTTTGCAGCATATTCCAAAAGCAGGTGGTCATTGGTATAAACAGAAGCTTCGTCCATAACCAGATCGGAACCCATGGCCTCAATCGTGGATTGATCGAAACAGCAGTGAAAATACAGCAGAGTGATACAGATAGTTGCAATAAGCCTCTCCGAGTCAGACAACGAGAAATTGTGTCGCCAAGGTCCATCGTTGTGATTGATATTGTCTCCGGTCTGTATCGAAAATTCCTTGGCCATTTTGTGAATGAGGAATACATAGACACTGTCTATTGTCACGAACAGGCCACAAATACTTTTTTGATTCTCAGCTCGAATCCGCTTGAAATCTCGCTCCCAATACCCACATATGAACGATAATCAAGGTCACCCGTAAGAGCTCTTGCTATCCACCTGTCATTGACAGCCAAGGCTCTCGGGCCGCTAGAATAATATGCAGCAACCGTCTTGCGAGTTCTTTATCATGACATCTTTCAATATTGCATCGAAAGCATCAACCAGGCTGCGTAGAAAATCTGAAATGATTCTTTGCAGTTCTCATTTATGGCCGGCCTTTCACTGAGGCAAATTTCTTCTATCTGCATCAGGCTTAACCAAAGATACGTCCTGTTGTCCACAAGATGTAATTACCCAAGAAGATAGTTGACTGCTCGCTCATCAAATCCTTTTCTGACAGCAAACTTTGGAATTTCAACATCAATGACGTGGTCGATCTCGTTTTTGATCCTTTTGATTCTTCATCCTCCGACAGATGGATTGTGGGGGCTTCCCTCATTAGATCGTGGAGTGATTCGTGAAAATTGGAATAGGGACGGCTTGTCGAGAGAATATTTGTCGTAGCAGCTCTTCACGTTGAGACAATCCCGCACCAGCTGAATGACGTGGTGTGATTGCTGATTCTCGTTTGACGTGGCTAACTTTCCCTCCATTCTGTACAAGTTGCTTGTCGTTGCATGATGAACTTCATGTCAAGCCCCGTTCAGTCTCGACTTGTGTATGAGTATACGAAGCGGCGATTGGGTTGAAGAACTATCGATCTGGTTGCGATCATAATTTACCAAGCCGCGTTGGTTTTAATTCGCTTATTACTTCGCGTTCAAAAGCGTATACATCGTACCACCCAATCCGCCATACTCCATATAGGAATGCATAGATATTGTTAGGGGGCCGGTAGCGAGTCATATATTCGTCTCCTGATTAGCTGCTTGTAAGGAATTCGTATAGCAATACCGTCCAATTACCGATAACTTACCGTCCCTGGCCCCCAACTCGCATTGTGCTTTGACCCCCCGCTATATAATAGCTGTATTCCTAAATCTAAATGTCTTCCCCTATCCGCCATTATGTTTCGTCCTGTCTATGTTCTCGCCGCTTTGTCGGCAGTTATAGCATCGGCAACTGCTGCTGACCATGTAGATGTCGTTACTCTTCCACTTGGCCCAGGAAAAGCCACAACCTTCGTTGGAAAAGTGGTTGGATACGTACGTATCATTACTTACCTGATGACAGGATCTCACTCTAACCTATGCTTCCATAGTCTGAGTCCCTCACATCCTATGTAATTGAAGAAATCCCAGGTACCATCGTCGTCGGCGCATCTACGTACCACCAGACTTGGGTGTACCCTGACGGGGAGTACGACACCCCGGATCATCCTCTCAGTGAAAACTAGGAAATGCTGACAGACTTCTCTCACTTAGCTTCATGTCTCAAGGCTGCAATCTGCTCCCATCTTCGTCCATCGAGTGCGAAGTCTACATGTCAGATGCAGACTCAGGCTCGACCACGGTATCGCCCGTGCCTGCAGCTATGTTAAGCACGTTGGGTCCTTATATCGTGAGCATTACTGCCACAGAAACTGGTGCGCGGTCAGAGACCACTGTGAAGACAGCCACAGATTCAGTCACCCCTGTGTCCCCCACGGTGGAGGCAACGGAGACCACCGTCAAAACAGTCACAGATTCAACCACCCCTGTGTCAACCACAGCAGAGGCAATTGAGACCGGGAAGGCCAAGAGCACCTCAGAGCCGACTGGGGATGTTAGCTCAACTTCTGCTACTGAAGGTGCTGCAGGATCTACCTCGGTCGGTGCGGCTGCGCATCTAGCGATGAATGGGTCGTGGATTGGAGGCTTCTTCATGGCTCTACTGGCTGCTTTCTAGGCGCGTCATCGGTGGATACAAGCCATGTGTTCATGAAACGTGTATATGTATACCATACATCGTTGATATTTCTGACAATATACTATCCTTCCAAGCGAACGAAATACAAATCGTGTTCCGCCTTTTTTAAATAGCAGATGGGGTACAAGACGAGCGGAAGCAACAAGGTGATGTTTAATGGCATCGAAGCGTCTAAATCGCATGTATGCGTCGGTCCAAAACTCCCTTTGTGAGAAAAGTCCGTCAAACTTCCTATATCCAACCTAGTAGATGATCTCCACTCCTTCTGAAATCGTAACATCAGATTAAGCTATCTACCTACGTACCCACATTTGTACCTAAGTCTTAATCTTGGCGTGTCGATCTCTGCCGGGGCCGTCGGAGCCCCAGTTCAACCAAATCGAATCGAAGCCTCCCGAGCGGCTTATACGCAGCGCCGATATACTCCCCTTCGAAGGTCTCAAAAGTCGCAGCCCCTGGGAGGGCTGGGAATCCCAGGACAATGTGTGAACAAAAGGTGTCGTGGAATGTGTGGACAATGCCCTCAACGTGTCTCCAACTTTGTAGCCCAGTAATATTAGTTCTGACTTCATACAAGATGGCAAGTAGGACCAGGCTGTGTGATCTTCAAGGGCATGTTCTGACTGACGGCCGCACTTTGGCTACAAGTGCTAGAAGATACATGGCCACTCACTTACTGGCCAGAACAATCAAATGGCTTGCCTCCCGCTCACCAGCTATGCTTCAACACTGGTGTACTTTATCATATCCCATATCGACTTCGCCGCTGTCAGCCGACACTATTGAATCTCCACCAATGCCGTGCAGCTGCGCTTTCGACGTGCTAATGGGCATGTTGCTAGACTTGTAAAGACCCGAAAGGCAGCTCAGATGGGCGATAAAGACCTGACACCACAAAGGATAAGGTGGTTTGAAAGGAAAACCACCAAAAACAAAGATCTTCAGTGCACTGAACGGGAGATGGCGAAATACAAAGCCAAAAATCAAGGTACATCAGCTACACTATTAAACGCCAGAGAGATTGTATAGATATTTCTTCAACACTCAAAAACAGAGTCACCTCGCTCTATCATCCAGAGCTATACACTCCCATTCTTTTCTTAATTCGTGCTATAGGGTGAGTTCATAGATTGTATCCCACACAGCCTACTGCGCACACCTGATATCGAGAGAGGGGGGAAAGGAGACGAGGGTATAATTATATAATTGCAAACAAGTTCTCCATATCAGAAAGTAAAAAAGTATCACAAAAAGGCCTGATGTTCTCAGGGTATCAAGATTCCAAATGTACATGTATTTAACGCCTTCACAGTAAAGTGTATCTACTTGCCTCCAATAAGCATCCAAGATATAGCGCCAGCCCAGAGTATAACGAAGAACCCAGTCAAGATTCCCGCACCAACCCTATCACCAGTGGTGATAGCATCAGGTCCCGAGTTGCCCTCGCTGTCGGTTTCGTTATGGGGCTCACCCGAGGATAACCCACCATTGTCCGCATTGTAGGGGCCTTCGGCCGTATATGGGACCAAAACGGCATTAAGAACACCCAGGACAGCCATCTGCTGTTCCAAGCCCTTAGTCCCATCCCATTCTGACTTCTTCGTCCATCGAGTTCCGCAATGCTTCCCGTCGCTTCCACCGGAACATTGTTGACCGGCAGCGACAGCGGAGCTCTTGAATCTCCCCATCAGGTCATCGGTGACATTGCTCGGTACGATGAGCGACATGAATCCGATCCATGAAGTGAAGTAGGATTTGAAGGTTCTCTGATTGCGATCACACCTCTTGATCGGCTCGCAGGTAATTTCGGATATAATTGTTTTCCCACCGGAGGCGGGGAAGAACTGATCAGATGTCTTGATCATTCCTTTGATACCTTTGAGCCATTTGGTTTCGGTGCCATTGGTCTAGAAACATGTTAGTTTGGATTGTCAATGTTTTGAGAAAAGGGGTAGACGTGCGTAATTGTGCATATAGCCCGCACCGGAGATATACGTAGCATAGTTGTAAGTCCATTGATAATCGCCATGATCCTTGCAATTGGCCGCGTTATTAGTGCTATCGGCGATAACCCAGTTCTTCCTCAACAGTGGCGTAGTTGCGCTCCAATCCCAGATCTTCTCCGCCCACTCGGCATAGGTCGCGTTCTTGGTGTATAGTGCCAGACGCGCAGACAACTGGAACAATCCACCGTTGGAGATGGCGTTTTTCATACTATATCCATCCTGGTAAGGCCAGATTTGCCATCGCAGACCTCCGCCGCAAGCGGTCATATCCCAGCGAGGAACTTGTCCGTTGAAGACACCTGCAGCCAGAGAAACCCATGAGGGTTCGCCATCTCTTTGCGGGAAGTTCAGTTCTCCAGCGGTCATCGCCGCTAATCCCCAGAATACTTGATCGTCGTTGCCGAGGTATTGGGAGTAGTTGCTTGGGAAGTAATCGTTGTCGCTGCCCTTTTGCCAATACATGCCCTCCTGGATGGCGTCGTTGAACTGGTCGTCGCCTGTTAAATACCAGTATTGAATGAGGGTCATGAACATCGAACCACCCTCCCACCATGTACCGTCCATTTTGCCGGGAATATTTTTCGACTCGCGGGCATTGTAGAAATCAATCATCGTGGTGGCGACGGTCTTGGCGGCATCTTTGAGGGAGGCTATCGAGAGAGGTGTATGTCAGTCATTTGAAGTGTGTAGCTAGGATAGGAGATAAACCCACCTTCATCCTCAGGGTTGACCTCAATCGCGATGACATCTTTCACGAGAAGACAGGCCACAAGGGTGGTCAACCACCTAGCAAGGGTCACACTCGAGTCGAGCGGTGACCGACATCGGAGGAAATGCATGGGACTGCGAGATAGAGAGGTAGAGTTAAGTGCATTGAGATTAGGAGGAGAGTATGAGTTTGCATCCCCTAGGACAAAAGGGTGATAAGATAATGGAGCCCATCAGACGCTATCGAATCATCGTCATGAAACCAGTCGATTGGCACAGAGGCGCCACATGGGCGGGATTATGTACAAGTCGATATTCCAAGACATTGGCACAGCCAATCCTGCTGCCTGACTTCAGTCTGGATGCAGCCCTGCTCAGCACTGCCCGGTTTTCAGGCGCTTTGTGTTGAATTTTGCTTTGGGAAATGAGAGTGTAGTAATGCCAAGACCCACCCCCCTATCCGGTGTACCCGGGGTAGGCGCTTAGGTGAGACATTACCTCTCCACTTGAACATTTTCCGTCATTGAACTTCCCCAACATGAAGCTCTCCCGATGATTTCGTTACCAAAGGCCTCTGAGTGTGATTTCCCCCGGGTACCTGGTGCTAATGTTCCGACTTTTGCTTTGCATTTTTGCTTTCTCGGCTAGTGAGGTGGGGGGCACTACGCCAAGTAGCTTCCGCTGGCGCGGAGGGTCACGAGCGTCGGATTGGCTCTTGGCGCTACCGTGGGAACTTCACATGTTATTTTTAGTGGCGCCAAGGCACTAGCCAAGACCCGGCACTGCCACTCCCCCTTTTGCGGATAGCCCCCGTTTCGGGGTTAGTCTATGAAGCTTTGATCCTGGAAAGGGGTCCAACGTTAATTTTTGAAGGCCCATATGGATCTGTACGAGTACGTATGTTGCACGGAGTTGATTTGGACTAGCAATACTCCGTACTCCGTACACTCTTGAATAATTGAGGAACTGCAGAGTTACTTACGGAATATGCCAGCTCTCAAATTCAGAGACAAAGGTTAGCCCTTACTTTGTTGAGTGAAAAGCTGAAACACCATGGTATATAAAAAAACTTTCTTTTACTCCTAGTGTCTTGCTCAATCATTTCTTTCGGATGTTCTATAACCACCTTAGTCCCGCCGCTTGGCACATATCCATCGGACCATACGGTCCCATAGAACTATTCCCACAAGAGTAAACGTAGGATTGGCAAGGTCTAGGCCCTGCAAATACGATCCTCTGGGGTTCCAGAATGTAGCTTAATACTCCGTATGGAGTAGCCATCCGGCAAAGGGTGGAGATTGAACAAGTCGACAGTACGGAATACGGAGTACGGAGTACATATAAGCTTCGGTCATGTACGTCATACAAGGGGACCTGCTACAACATAAATCACTCCACTAGATCAACTCCACTATCGAATGAAGAAAGTACATTTCTGAGTTTGGATATTCTCTTCTAACATTCAGTATACGCCGTGGGCTCTAAGAATAAACAACCTGGAGGAATTAGTGAGGTCAAGAATCTCAGAGGCATCAATGGGACTCTTTCTATTTCCTTTCATGTGTGTACTTGCTCGTATGTGGTTCTCTTAGGTGCTAGAAAGAAGATCCTACAACCAGGATACCCACTTCCGGCGAACGCTCCGTATTCTGATTGACAGATCCTGTATCAAACGGAAATACCGGCTCTCATTGGATATAACACATTCTAGAGCCCCGCATTATACTAAGCCAGGTCTACAACATACTCAACTTGACAACGATTTTGAAAGAACTCGGCCGATGTAACCTGTTGTGTCTGCCCAGGTGGCTTCTAAAGTAGAAATTTTAGTTTCAAGAAAACCAAAAACACAAACCACAGGGAGACTACTAAGGTTGCATCCACCGAAGAATGTTAAATCAATAGCAAGCTTTTTTCTCGCTCTAGCATTCTCAGAAGCTGCCATTATTTCTGTAGAATCCACGATTTCTGAATGAACAGACTCAGGATGTTCTATACTCTCATAAATTAACTGACGAACAAGTTAGTGATGCTGAATCAACAAAGTAGGACCTAACTACCACTTGAATTCATAATTAATCACGACACGTTTTCAAATTGTAGCACATCCGTTCCTTGCTTAATACGGTATGTCTGGCGCTTTGGCACGATTAGTACTAGGGAGTTGTTACTCTCTGATCAAGATGATACGTATATAGGAAAAAATCAGTGTAGGAGGGGAAGAATACGTCAGCGGTTCAGGTCCATGTAGGATATTCAGGTGTAAAGGGGTGGAGTAGTATTCAGGTGAATGAGCCGAGGAGTAAGATGACGAGGAAGACTTTTTGAGCCAATCAAAAGCAAAAAATAACATACAACAGTGAGGATTCGCTGGTGGTCACCCACCCAACTACTAACTCACCGGCGTGTGGCTTAAGTACGGCTGAGCGGACGGGAAGCCCTGTTTTCCACACCCTATGGTCGTATGTACTTGCTACGCTATCCTTTCTATTTACAATGTAAGGTCGGAGTCATGTTCTGGAAAGTAAGAGGCCGAGGCTAAGGCGAGATGGGAAGTCCGAAGTATCATGAATTTGAATTTCCACCAGAGCCATTAAAGCACATTGGAATAGGAATTTTCAATATTTCTGTAAGTATTTTCAAATGGTATCTTGTCTATTTTCTTTAAGTATTCTACCTGATTGAGATCACCTTCCGAATTCGAGAACATGACACTTACCGGAAAACAAAGCCACTCAACGAGCCTCACAGACACTTATTAATGCTACTAGCCTATTGTGATGTTTGAGAACATCGGCCACAGCAGCACGAAGTTGGAGTGGTGCCTATATTTAGGTAACGTCTTTGATTGAACATCACAGGAGAGGATGGTGTCGTCAAATTAGAGATGGGCCACAGAAGGTCAAACAGCCTTTCGTACACCTGCTGAGTAAAGCTAAAATAAAGCTTGTATCACTATCAAATGGAGCTGCCAAGGCCTGCTATTCATGTGGTAGTAAGCAAGGATACAAGATATATGAAAGATATTAAAATGAATTCTTTGAACAATCGCCTGGGACATCGATTGAGTAGACAGTGTCAATATCAGAGAGCCCCTATCACTTCCACCTCAGCTATGAACTGAGGAAAGAGCCACCCTAGTGGCCGACTTGGATTTCTTCCATCAACATCATCCCAATCTCAATTTTCAGCCTGATCAAGGCGAATGTTCTTGGAAAATAATTTCGTGACAGGCAGAGCCTAAGTGGCCCCGTTGTCAGGCTTCGGACAGATCCTCCTTCGGTATATTGAACGACGCTCATTGCCCCCCTCTTGGGCTGTTACTAGCGCCTTGAGCTATTGCCCAATGCTCACCGACTTCACTGGCTACATGGATATGTGCTGATTATCATTATTATCAGCCTTGGCGGTTCCAAGGCGAGCAGTATAGAAATGACGAGTCCAGCTATGGAATTCTGTGCCAGTTGGCCGCTATCAACTGGCGGCTTGCCTGACAAGGAGAAGAAAATGACTGATCTCACTCCGTACTGAGGATACAAAAAGCGAGATCATGCCTTCCCCCGTCGATATTGAACATTATGGAAGACACCTACAGTTGTCAGCGAGATCTTCCAAAGAGTATGTCTTGCAGGCTTGATCGAGCCCTCCAACAACGGTCGCATCTTACAGAAACATAACGAAATAACTAAATCGCATGAGCAGATGAGTCTTCTACCTCAAACAAATACAATGGGCACAATATCCGGAATGATGGACCGAGATGACTGGATTGGTAACAGCGTGGGGCGGAGTCGTCATGATTCCTGGGCCCTCTTGGAGGTGCAAACTCCGACAAGTCTGGTTAGCAATCTCCTCCTTCTGAACTACCATATTGATCGCATCCTTGCTCATCGAGATACGGATTCATGATAGGTCTTGCGTGTGGTCCATCGAGCAGTAGGCGCATTGATCCCCATTCAACCTGGATTGGGATATACATGACTGGAGACTTTTTTTCCTCCCAAAACCATCGACCAAGATCCCATGATCGACATGGTTCCAATACATCAGTTGGAATGCTCATATCCCCTGTTTTTATGTGCTGGAGCACCTGAGCCCATTTCTCTACAGAAGCCAGCGTCCTCGACCATGAAAAAGAGGCGCTGCCGGGTTCGCAACTCGTGGTGTGGTAGGCCGACACGACTTCAGGGATGCTCAGATGGTGGTGAAAGGGGGCTAGATCACTCAATATTTTGCCTTGAAATCCTTTTTGGTCCTATGTGAATGTGACTACTAGAGATTTCGGTGGACCAGGAGGCCTCCAGATAGTCCTTATGGAGTGAATCGACTGATTCCGAGGCCAGTCCCTCTACTACCAGTCCCTCTACTATTTCCGTAAGCTTGCTTTGGCCCCTGCTTCACGTTTCTTCGCCTGCACCAAGGATGTCTTGCTAGTATGCTAGAGATCGTTATCGCTGCGAAGAAGATCCTAGAAGAATGGAAATAGGTGCTCGTGATAGCTAAGGATACTGTTATAATTACGGGAAAGCTACTGGCTGCTGTGAGAGCTTTCTTATAATCAAATACATAGGCTTAATATCTCTAATTGATCACTGCTTTTCTCGATGTTCTCTGTTCCTCTTGAAGACTCGTAATCGTAAATCAAAGGTTTCTTATACTATATACCACTATATCTGAGATCTTCTTGAAGGGGTGACTTCTAATGAAAGTAGGAACTTGTAGCTAAACGCTAAAGCTAGAATTTCTATCCGATCCTTTAGGCCCTAAGTCACCCGAAGAGGAAGAAGCAAGTCACGGAGAATTAAATACCAAGCGAATTGCGATTATACCCGAACAAGATATTTGTCCGATCATCCCAAAACACAAGTACATGTGATATAGCTGAAGTGTGGTGTTAAGCATTGTTAAAAACGACCATGAGACCGTGTGCATCGCTTCAATACCGCTCTCGCCTTTGATAAATATCCTACATTACCAATAGACAAGGAACTGCATAGACTCGTTTCAAAAGCCATCAGCAAAAGTAATAGGATTATCAATTGGGATATCAGGCTTAGTAGATAGTATTTACTTCTGCAATCAATGTACAACAATTCCAAGAGTACCACATTAAACCCTGGGCAGATTAACGCGCAACGCCCGAGGGGACAAGCTAGTCGCATCCCCATTATCATTTACTTCGAACTCAAACTCTGGGAGTCCGACGCCGCCATACACCAACGACTCGAGCAGAATCCACGAAAGGCAACTCGAAAGCATGGGCCCAGCATCTGTCAGAACAGGCAGGGCATAAATGACAGCCAAGAAGGAGATCCGTCCGGAAGCCTCCAAACCACTGGGTTGTAGACGAATAGTCAGCGCTGAGCGATCTGTTACCCCTTGCAAAGCCATTAAACTCTCGATCATGTCAACAGAGTTGTTAATCCACGAAGAGAGTATCAATCCGGGGCCATCATCAGCCGTGATCGTGATGGAGGCATTAGAGGCCCCGCCCGTCAATTCATAGGTCCCGCCAAAGCGTTTGAGTGCTTGGTTTCTGGCGACTTCATCAAGAATAGGGACCATAGTATCCGTGACCATGTCCGAAATTGTGGATGTCATTTGGTGAGAGTTGACTCCGGCAACAAGGACGGTGTATCCGATCTTGTGGTCTGGTGAAATTCCAAAGGAACTGGAATACAATCCGAGATCCCCGGATTTGGTGTACAGATCAGTCCGGCGAGGCGTTAGATAACTGTAGATTTCCCACGGGGCTCCCACGGAATGCTGTAGGGATGAGGTATGTGCCATTGGCCTGAGCCACCGTCTTGTTATGGCCGGGTCAATCAGCGCATTGGAAAAAATGGCGCGGCCAAATGTTGACATGTCTTTTGCGGAAGAGAACATGCCTCCGGCGCTATCAACTTATAAGTTATGTATACATTAAAGGGTTTCTTTAGAACTCACGGTGCTGCATCGCCAATCTTGAAATCAAACATGCTGTATGTCTTGTTGTAAGGTATCACCGCTAGTTCAGCGTCTGGGGCTTTTAGACAGGATCGAGTCAGATTGAGTGGGTTGATTAGCTGCTCGAATAGTATATCTTCATATTCGGCGTTGGCAATTGATTCCAATGCGTATCCAAGGATTTGGAACCCGGCATTAGAATACAATGGCGTATATGAGGTCGGAGTTAGGGGATCTATAAAAACAGATCGTGTTAACAGTGTGTTCAGTCTCAGTAGATTGGGTCCACTTACGCATATTGAGAAGGCCTGTGAAAAAATCTTGAGGAATCAAACTCGTTAGTTAAACCATTCTCGCCATCGCACGATCAGATATGACTGAAATACCTGTCCTATTGCACTGAGCGGTATTCCCACAGGTCAACGCCTCGCTTTCTGGCAGTGCAGGAAAGCCCATACTGTGGAGAACATCGCTTGACTGGAAACCAAGATCTCCAAATGCATCTAGAATCACGGATTAATATTGGACATATAGCGGAATTGCACCATGGGGTCATGATCATACAATCTCTTGCAATGCCAGCTTGGTGACTCGCCAGCTCGCCAATGGTCACATCGGTCCATCGCACGGCATCAATCACATTGGCTGTTTGCGTTTTGTCATTCCTGACGCGCAGCTCAGGAACATATTTTGCAACGGGCTCATGGAAGTAGCGCGTTCCTTCCAACGTCATGTAGAGGAACATAGTCCATAACTTCGATATACTGCCGATGCGAAACATTGTATTCTCATCTACCTCTTGGACTCCCGGTGATCCATTTACAGAGACGTGATCTGTATGGTAGAATTCAAATGCAGTATTCTCGTCTTCGCTGAAGATCTGCACTGCAATTGAGACGGAAGGTAAGGTTCCATTCTCGATGGCTTCATTGAGCTGTGAAGTCAACTTCTCCGATGCCCTGAGAAAGACCGGATCTTTCGAAAGCCCCTTAGGAGCAGGATATGCTGATCCGAGAATAGGGCATGGTGTTGTTTTCTGGGCGTTGGCTGCGAGGGCCAGAGAGCATAACATCCACAATGAACGCATTGTGAACGAAAATATTAAAACAAACACTCAAACCGCCGATATGATACTAAAGAATAGAAAGATAACTCGTCCAAGGTCATTGCTGTCATATTTGTAGCCCTGAATTACCCCAGGACCTCCGCACCTGTCGCCCTACAATCTCGGGGATGACGGGAATGTCTTGGGTTACACTTTACGGAGGATCTTAGTTCTACGCACTCGACGCTTAACGAGGTCCTCCAAATTAATTAAACTCATATCGAAGCATCCCTGACCAATCACACTAGATCGAAGAACAACGCTAGAAGCGCACGGCGAACGCCCCAACTCATCGCGAACAAAGAACCGGGCGGCACGATCCCCGTAGAGTCATTCCGAATCTCGCGGCCACCCCTGTCAACCCTGGCGACATCCCCAAACAGCCTATGAAAAGCCCCTTGGTGCGGAGATTTATTTCCACCGCTTTTGCTGCGCCCCTATCTTTGTTATACGATAGACTATCTCGACTAGCTGCATATGTTGAGCGATTGTCAGGCCATCCGGTCGAAACGCTACATCTGCTTTAAGACGCCTAACCGAAATCCCCGATCTTGGCATGTGAAGTTCTTTGTTTGAGGAGCTCCGAGGGATCTCTAGAGCCCTACATTGGTAGGGGTGTTGAGTTGAAGGATGAAAGTACTCCGTAAGGGCAACCCGACATTCTGTTGGCCCATGAGGTTCAAGGCATATCAAAATCAGAAAGGGAGCAGGACCCTGATCTCGATCAGCCCCCACGCATTTAATATGGTCATTTTCTAATTTCCGGACTTTCACATGAAGATAAATAAATCAACAGATGCTTGATGGTGAGGAGGAAGCTCCTCACCGTCTTCTTTATTCATACAAGTCCACCTTGGAACATGAGACAAGTGTCTAGAAGATACGACCGCTTTTCAAAGCACCGGGGAAGTCATCCTTGAGTGCCTCCCAAATCGGCTTGCCTCCTATTTGAAGATCCTTGAATGCAGGGCAAGTGAGGTTGAGCAAAGGTACCGACAGGATATGAGTGACAAATTCCAGCGGCTTGGCTAGAGTCGCATACACCCCAGAAAGCGCATTGGGACTGGCGAACTTGAGTACCTCGGTCACGAAGCATAGCAAGTTGTTATCCTTAAGCAAGCCGGTCAGGTTCAGGATTCCACCTGTCAAATCGCCGAGGTCGACTCCAGCAAAGCTGTCCACCTCCCCCAAGTTGCCTCCAATGCTGCATTCAGATCTTAGTGACTGTTCATGACTAAATGAGAACTTCACCGGGTAACTTACCTTCCAAGCTCGGGGTACTTCAAGACAAAGCCAATGATATCTAGGTTGAGTTGAATGAGCCCATAGTCGACGGGAGTCTTGTACCAGTTCTCGGGAATCCTCTCCCATCCTTCGCGATAAGTCAAATTATGCTCTTCGCCATAAATCCCGTAGAAGTTTCGGAGGTGAGTCTTGGCTGAAATACAATTAGTACATCCTGCGTAGATAATCGATAATTTCATCTGCATCAACTCACTCAAAACACCCTCCGGATTCTCGTGTGAGTGATTGCGAAACAGCCGACCCGCGAAAATATAACCGGCATTACGCGCAATCAGTCCAGTCACAGGCCCGAAGTAAAAGTCCGGGTTGGTATGGACGGTCTGGTCGAAACGGATTTTCGCGCGTTCGGCCATGAGATCCATATCGTAAGTGCCATCGGAGGACATATTATACCAGGCCATGAACTTGTCCATGTTCAGGGTCCAGCTGTTGCCGGTAACGTAGAGATCATCGCGCGTGTTGGACGAGTCAGCCTCGATGAAATTGTGAGAGCCAATGAGGCCTTGGGGTTCGCCTACAGCAGGTATTAGCAACAAACGGATATTTTCATACGAGTTCAAATGTTCTCACCAAGGACACCTCCCACGTTATTCAGCAGATTGTGAACACCGGTATCGGGACCACCAATTGAGAAGCTGGGTTCAAGGGAGATTGGGTCTCCGGTCCAGACGGTGCCCATGAGGGCGAGAATGGTGGCTAAATCGATGCCCATGCCATACACTGTGGAATCGCGGTCAATGTTTGCTACATTGATTGACGTCATATTTCGAACGTACCTTTGTTGATTGCCGCAATTACATGCACAAACTTTTTTGGATTAGCTGGCTTCCGATGTTGACGAGTTTCTTTAGATGACCTACTGATACCACTCCGCTTCGCGGGATATATCCGTGATTTGCAAGCGCATTCAGACCTGGACAGGGACCGCGCTGGTCGCCGTTTTCGAAGTTCGGAGGTTGGAATTCATGTTTGCCAGTGACTAATTCGATTTCTGTTAGAACACAAGACAGCAGAAGAGGGAACTTTTGTCACATACTATCGACGGGCCTTTTCATTAAGCTGAAGAGAAAACGTTTTTCAAGTTCCTTCTTTTCATGAAGCTGGCCATGGATCTGACCATGGCCTTGTCCATGGGCCTGAGCATTGGCAAATGGGCACGGCTTTGGCACGCCTCGATGTTCCAATTGGCCATTGTGGATGTTCGCTGCCCCCGGGAAAGCAGACACAAGGGCCAGGAGCGAGAGAGGCCACAACAATATCTCCGGTGTGAAGATGCGCATGGTCAACGAATTTATTGCTCCTCCTCTGGATTACCAGGGTCCCCTAAATACCACAAAAAAGCCGTAACGAGCGACTGAAGAACAAAATGTCCGGGAGAGAGGAATGGGTCCCTTAGATAGGCATCCGGCTTGTCCCTAGGCAAATCTCCGAGAGATACGGAGTACACATGCTGATAAATTAAGGTCTCCTGAGTGGTGCCCGTGTTAGCGGAAGAATCATACAAAAAATGCGATCATCACCAAAAGGAGCAGCCCGTAGAGACCTCGGGAGTAGGTAGGTAGAGATGGTAGCTGAACTGTATGGTAAGTGTATTGTCAGTACAGCGTATCTAGTACGAAGTAGGTATGCTTGATATTCGCGTAAATTAGAGGCTCCACTTGAAGCCGGTAATTGGGTTTAACGGTGGCTGATTCTCTTTGCCCAGAAAAGCATTGCATTGTAGATCGCTGTCGCCCCTGTAAATAACCATTTGAAGTGCTGGGTATGGAGTACAGAGAGAGGAAGACAGAGAGGAAGCCCCTTTGTTTCCAACAGGTCATCCGTGCGGCTCTATGGCTGCTGGAATATGAAAATCCATATCTTCATCCCGATGTCGATCATGTCTTGTTGGGGAATTATCGGATTCGCGCGTAATATGAGTTTTAGGGGACGCCCTCGTGGTAGATTTCAATCTTAACAAACGCCTGGTGGGATTTTAAATTTGAATTTCGTGACAGCGTCGATCAGGGCAATGGGCCGTAGCCTACTCCGTACTCCGTATAGGTCTCCGGTATGATCGAAAGAGCAATCTTTGGCTCAGAGGGCAGGACCCCCTCTCGAATACATACATCCTTCTGCCAAGTCTGACCGACAGCAAGCTAAGGCAAACCATTGTTTGAGGGCCTTGTTTCGTTCGTGTTGGTTCTCTGAAGACGGTCAATTATAGACATGAGACGCAAGACCCGTTTACCGTGGAGCTAAATGTCAAAAGTACCGGGTGTAGATCAGCGGCCCATTAAACGCTTTGACTTGCAACTGGGCGCTCAGGCCTGTTATTATGGACCCCTAGAACATCTAGAGCTTGTCCAAGAACTGGGGAAGGACTCGTATAGGGTGTTGATCCCAATTTAGAGCTTAGCCACCATGTGAGAGGCGAGCTTCTAGGCGTAGTCTCCGATGTTTCCGAGGTCCAAGGCTACCGGTCGAATAGATGTACGTGTTTGTACTTATGCCATTGAGTTCATGAATTTCCGACGATGTGGACCACAGTTCGACGATTGACATGGAGTCGACGGATTTCCTGCCATCTTGTCAATAGATCTGGTGCCTGAAGACCGGGCCAAGCAAAGAACAATATCCCACCAAGAAGACAGAATCTGAGAGTAAGGTGCTCATGCACTAACCTTCCCAGCGCGGGGGTACATCCAACTCTTTCTTTTGTGCCGACAAGGGATCGTCGCAGATCTCACATTCAATTCTCCTGACCCGCTTGGTCATATTCAGCCCATGTCTCCTCTGTCAGTCTCTTGACGAATGCATTCCCTACTGCACTTGTCATAATGCGTGTGTTCAAGATTGCAGTCCTCGTGGGCGCCTTATGCGCGACCACTGTGATAGCAGGGACAGAAGAGCTAGCGGTAGCTTTGCCCTCGTGTGCGGTACGCAGTTCCGATTCCTCAACCCCTCCTTTGGCGCAATCGCGATAAAAAGCTAACACCGTGAAGCTGGGTTGCATGAAGACTTCGGTGTCAGAATCATCCTGTGCGCCCACCGATCAGTTGTGTCTGTGTAAGGACGCTCATTACACTGCCGTGCTCGAAGGGTGCGTTCTCAACAGTTGTACGGTCAGGGAATCTTTAAGTGGGTTAACAATCCATCAGCGCCGATTATCGCTGCTAACCGCATATCAGCTACCAAAAATGTCACAACAACAGCGTGTGGAGCTCCTATCCGAGATCGAACCAAGACGGTCTCTTATGCAGGTGTGGCAGGCGGGATCATAGCTCTTGTGGCTTTTATTCTCAGGATGATAGCCCGACTGGGGGTCTGTGGCGGTGTTTTTGGTATGGACGATTGGACAATGTTGTTGACAATAGTAAATCCAAGTTCTCTTGTCGGTACTGGGCCTTATTCTCACAAAAGTTTGACAGCTGTTTCTCATTCCGCTTTCAGCACTATCGGTTGTCTGTATGTTTCCCATCGCTGCTGCTTCAAACTGCCCATTTGACTAACCAATTTATACAGTGGCCAATGCAGGTTTAGGGAAAGACATGTGGACAATTCCTTTTGAAAATGTCACCCACATTCTCTATGTGAGTGCTCAAGGTCCTTGCCTTGTAATCTTGCCAGAATGAATCTGTCTAATTGTGCCAGGTCTACTTCTGGGATGAACTGATCTATTTGAGCATTCTTCCTCTGACCAAGATATCAATTTGCTGTTTCTACCTTCGGATCTTCCCCGATAAAAAGTTCCGGACTGCAACTTATATTGCTATTGCACTGAACATTGGGTACATGATCGCCTTTATCCTGATCTCGGTATTCCAGTGTCGGCCACTACCCGGCGCATGGCACCGCTGGGATGCAGAGGAAGAATACAAGTGCAACGCTATCAATGCCCAGGGCTGGGCTGCAGCAGTGTTCAACATGGTTCTTGATATAATTGTCATGGCTCTTCCACTGCGCCAGCTATATCGTCTGAATCTTTCTGTGAAAAGGAAATCATACGTGATGTGCATGTTCGGTCTCGGTATCTTGTGCGTATCCCCAACCTGCGTTTTCTCTGATACAAATAACTAACTTGCGAGGACAGTGTCACTCTCGTCAGTATTCTGCGGCTTAACTCACTTATTCACTTCGCCTCTACCACTAATCTGACATGTAAGTGATTGGTCTTGGTCCTTTCGATGGGATGAAGTCTACTAACAAGTAGAAGGGGACTACGTGAGCATCGGCTATTGGAGTACTATTGAATGCGACGTCGGTGTTATCTGTGCCTGTTTACCGGCCATCCGATCCTTGCTGCGCCGTGTATCTCCCGGACTCTTCGGCGATACTCAACAAGCGAAATCAAACGGCATCAACTCTTATTCCCCCGGAACTGGATCTCAGTTTGGAACAGCTAATATCCAGAGCAAGAATGATGACCGCCACTTCTACCCACTAGATGATGTGGATCACTCCGATGAAGCCCGACTGCACCACCCGGTGTAGTCGAGTGTAAAAATACGCCTACTTTTTCCTGCAGGTGCAATGTCCTCTATTTCCTCAATTTTCCATTTTTTTTTATATGTAACTAGATTTATAACTTCTTCATTCACACATAACGGGCCATCAAATCCCGCCAGAACGAGCAATGACACTTCAGGCGTTATCCAATAATGAGACATGCATCTCGTCTACACAAGATCAAAGACTAGTTATGCAAAAACACCTAGCTAAATTATTGTGATTTTATGGGAGTCTCTCGCCAAGCAAAAAGGAAGCCAGTTGATGTCGCTGACTGGCAGTTCTGCAATAATAAGGGGCTTCGGGGATACAGATCGTCACAGCACCCCTCTCCCACCAGCTCCGTATAGAACATTCGTACCTCCTGAGTGGCGTTTGAGGGTCAATATCTCATCTCAATCCGAATATGAATACGGAGTACTCCGTAGCCAACGTCCATCCACTCCGGCCCACAGAGTGGCTTAACGGCCCGACAATTCTCAAAACAGAGCGAATACTCTGTACTCCTGTATTCTGTATGTTGTATTTCCGTTACAAACACAAAACACATTCTAAATAAAGCTGGCTCCACCGTTAGGTTGGTGGCTGTCGTCGAAGGCTGTGATCGACATGACAAGCGGGATACAAGCAGACGCTAGACGCTCGGCACGAGGGGCCTGGAGAAGTGAAGCTACTGATTGGCCCAGCACCTCCATCTCGTTGTCTCCATTTTGCTCCGACATGGCCTTTGAGATGGATCAATTACGAGTGCCCTCCTCATGTCCCCAGGCTGCATGGTCTGTTACCAAAAACGAAACGGTGGCGTCCCGCGGGATGGGAAGCCCACGCACAAGACGGGCTAATTTGGAAAGAGGAAGCTTATGTCGATCGCATTGACAAGGGAAGACGCCAGGCATGTACGGAGTACGGAGTACGGACTAGGGAATACAGGCTAAAATTCGTACAAAAGGCTTTTGGTGCTTTGGTTCGGCGGCTTTATAATAGAAGAAGAAGAGGTTCGCGGTCGATCTGTCCTAAGTCACTCTATTTTCTCTGCGTTTGAAGACGGCATTTTCTTTCTTTTCATTTTGCTTCTGCTTGGTTATATTTGGGAGCCTGTCTCCGTCCATTCACTTCTGCCATGCGTCTCTCTGCGGTAGTTGGACTATTGTCTACTATTTCTGTTGTCTTAGCCTCGTAAGTCCGCCCTCCAGGTACTGCTTGGGTTTTGCGAGCACAGAAACTAACAGACTACAGTGATCATAGGCAAAATCAGCGATATCATGAGACACACAAGCGTTCTCCGGATAATAAGACTACCACTGCCAATAACCCCAACTATGACTATGTTGTCGTTGGCTCCGGGCCTGGAGGTGGTCCTCTAGCAGCACGATTGGCTATTGCTGGATACAAAGTCCTTTTGCTGGATGCAGGAGACGATCAGGGAAATGCCACCCAGCAAATTGTCCCTGCTCTGCAGCTTCAGTCTACCGAATATGAGCCAATGAGATGGGATTATTTCGTCAATCACTACTCGAACTTGACCCGTCAGGAACAAGACACAAAAATGACTTACCGGACACCTGCTGGTGAACTCCATGTTGGAAGCAATGCGCCCAATGGCTCCGAGCCTTTGGGGATTTTGTATCCTCGAGCCGGTACTTTGGGTGGGTGCTCTGCCCACAATGCCATGATGTAAGTCATATTTGCCCGGGTGCCTATCAATTGTGAGTGATATGCTGACCGGAAAATTGATAGCACCATCTACCCGTACGAAAATGACTGGGAGCAGATGGCAAGTCTCACTGGCAATGATTCATGGTCTGCCAAGAACATGCGTCAATACTTCCAACGACTAGAACGCAACCGATACGCCCCGAGTAGCTTGATAGGCCACGGATTTGACGGGTGGCTTACCACGAGTCTGACAGACTTGCGCCTCGTGATCGAAGATCAAAAGCTTCTTTCTTTGATTCTGGCCGGAGCCACTGCTGCGGGCAAAACACTGATAGGCAAATTGATCACCACGGTCGCTGGTCTTGCAGGAGTCCTTCTGCGTGATCTGAACAACAACCTTCCCTTCCGTGACTATGAAGAAGGCCCCTATCAGGTGCCTCTCGCTGTGGATGTCCCTGAGTACAAACGGACAGGCCCCCGGGAATTCCTCATGAAGACAGTGAACGCTGTGAACGACGATGGATCGCGCAAATATCACCTTGATATCCAGCTAGACACTCTGGTAACTAACGTCCGTTTCGATACTACTGGAGCCAAGCCGCGGGCAACTGGAGTTGACTACCTTCGGGGAAAGAGCCTCTATCGTGCCGACCCCCGCGCCTCTCAGACAGGTTCCGGTGGAAAACAGGGGAGGGTGAGTGCTGCTCGTGAAGTGATCTTGTCTGCTGGCTCATTCAACACTCCACAGCTGCTCAAGCTGAGCGGTATTGGTCCCAAGCAGGAGTTGTCCAAATTCGGAATTCCCACGCTGGTGGATCTTCCCGGTGTCGGCCGCAACCTCCAGGACCGATACGAGATGGGCACAGTGGGCAAATCGCCAACCGATTTCGTCCTGACTTCCAAATGCACCTTCATGTATACCCTTCCCGACCCTTGTCTGGAGCAGTATGAACATAATCCCTTGTTCAAGGGCACATATACCACCAACGGAATCGCCATCGCCATTATTCGCAAGTCGTCTGTCGCAGAGGATGAGCCCGATCTTTTGATTTCGGGCGCGCCTGTCAACTTCCCTGGCTATTATCCCAATTACTCTTATGATGGTCTCAAGGACGCCCAGCACTGGACCTGGATTACCTTGAAGTCGCGCAGTCGCAACAACGCTGGTACTGTTGAGCTACGGTCTACCGACCCGCGGGACATGCCCTCTATCAACTTCAACTCGTTCGATGCTGGTGTGACCACCGATGGGGCCGATGACAAAGACCTGCAGGCTGTTTATGAAGCCATGCAGTTCTCTCGCACTATTTTTGAAGATCTTATCCCCCTTGATGGCGGGTTTGAAGAAGTCTGGCCCGGGCCTAATGTCACTACCGAGACGGAGATGAAGGACTTCATCAAGCAAGAAGCTTGGGGTCATCATGCCTGTTGCACTGCCGCTATTGGAGAAGATAATGACCCCCAGGCTGTGTTGGATGCTGACTTCCGTGTTCGTGGAGTCGACGGCCTGCGTGTTGTGGATGCTTCGGTCTTTCCCAAAATTCCCGGTTACTATATCGCTCTGCCCATTTATATGATCAGTGAGAAGGCCGCTGAGGTTATCATTGCGGATGCTGTATAATTGTGAGGCTGGTGGTTCATACTCTTTGTTACTATTTTTCACATCTTCCTTACCATTCTTGTATACCTTCTTAGACTAAACTTTTCTCTCATTCTCAATAATGCCCTTGCTGTTTTTTGAGCTTCTAATTCTATCTCAAGCTTGATTGTTAAGACTCGTGGTTTCTATTTTTGGATTCTCCTAGAAGAACAGAGGGAATTGATGTACCCGGGCAGCATTGAGTTGTAATTCCGCGAAATCCTTGACATTAGATGTTCTTGCTTTGCTTCCACCTAATTTTCGCATAGCCAGAGCTTATGGCTTCTTATTGGACTCGAACAAGGCGCCTAACGAGATGTAGGAACATACAAACCTAGTTACATAGATTCCAGCTATGTCTATTCTACTCGAGCTTCTTCACTCGCTGCGTCTAAGGTATTTGAGAACACTCAATTGGAAGAATAATTAGAATTTATTTTCTATATACAACTTGTCATGATAAAAAAAAACAAATCAAATCCTATAGCTCATGCAGCCGGGGCCACAGCAGCCGGCTCAAGCTCAAATCGCATCTGTGGCGAGGTTGCATTAGCCCAAGTAACAATTCTAGCAATACGTACCGTACCCCGGGGATAAGCTCCCAGAACTAGAGAAGCCGCAGCTCGGCCTAGCCTTGTACCCAGGAGCTCTTGGTATTGCTCCTCGCCGTGTTCAAAGATCATAGCTGGATGGTCTCGTGCATGACTCCACAAAATGCCTAGCAGGTTAGGGTAGAGCTCATACCGAATGTATGGGCCTGTTTCCTCGTTCATAATGTCAAGGAACACAATATAATTCAAGGTATTCATCCGATAGTTAGACTCATATACAGCCTGGGCGACTTCGTTCCAATGAAGACCATCATCCCTGAAGATACTCTCCGCCACAAGAACACCCCGAGTAGTACGATGGACATAAGCGTTTCCGTCAGTATCGCTGGTCCAATCCTCAGGCGGCCGGAGCTGTGCGATGTTTGTATAGCGATACCGCACCCAAGGTCCCTCGGGGAGCTCCGCTGTATCGGTTTCACCACCTCCGAAGTGCAGAGGCGGGTGTGCAATGTCATCTGCAAGGAATTCCCAGGGTCGAGGCTGATCAGGGTCTAACATGTTATCCAAAGTGACCGTTGTCCGTGGAATTGGACAGTTAGGTTCGTCGGGGTCGTCTATCCATGCTTGGTATCTGGCTCCTCTCGCCCTGTATTGAGCCACTTGATCCTCATCGGGTCTGCTGGTACTCCTATCAAGTGCACTTATATACTGCCCTCGGGAAAGTGGCGAATCTGGGCGTGCGCGCTTGACATTTCTACCTCCACGTATGGTACGTATGGAAGTATCACTTCCACTGCTTTCGAGGTTGAATAGCATATGCTCCGCGTCGTGACTACCTTGTTCGTCGTCGGGGGTGCGTTGGCGCTTCCTACCTCTAGTTTCTTCATTGGGTTCGACGTGCTCAACCATTTCGACATGGCCTTCTTCTGAATTATCGGATCCCCACTCATCGTCCGCATCCCCTTGTCCATCATGGCCAAATGTGGGGCTGTTGTTTTGGCTGTTGAGGCCAGCCTCACTCATTGCGGGGGTAATCCCGGTGCGGGAAATGTGCGTGCGCGCTGAGTGAAATGATCCCTCTGATGAACTAGGTGCGTTAGATTGTCTTGCGGAGTCGGATTCTTGACCAGACCAATTAGTGCCGCTCATGGGAAAAACCCTCATTCCAGGCGCATTTCCATGAGAGCGATAGTTGGATGGGGGAAATGGAGGATAAGCATTACCCTCCTCACTGTTGCTGTGGGTAGTATAACCATGGCTGTCTTCGGATGAGGGCAATGGAGGATAAGCATTGCCCTCCTCACTGTCGCTGCGGGAAGTATAACCATGGCTGTCTTCGGACGGGGGCAATGGAGGATAGCCATCACTATCATCGCTTTGGCCTTGGGAATCACGACCATATGGGTCACTAGAGGGATCTGAATGATAACCATCACCCTCTTCACCGTTACCGTCACTGTCACTTCGAGAAGTATAGCCATGGCTGTCTTCGGACGGGGGTAATGGAGGATAGCCATCACTATCATCGCTTTGGCCTTGGGAATCACGACCATACGGGTCACTAGAGGGATCTGAAGGATAACCATGACCCTCTTCACCGTCACCGTTGCCGTCACTTCGAGAAGTATAGCCATGGCTGCCTTCGGACGGGGGCAATGGAGGATAGCTATCACCATCATCGCCTTGGCCTTGGGAACCATGATCATAAGGGGCACCAGAGGGATCTGAAGGATATCCACCACGCGCTGGACTGGTGGGTAGGGCACCATAACGAAGGAGGTCTGCGGTCGAGAGCATTACAGCATAGGCAGGAGTATCACCGCCTTGGACTTGGAAAAGACTAGGTGTGTCACCGGATGAATCACTACCATCTTCACTTTCATGTCGGGACGGGGGTAATGCAACATTGCTCCCACCATCACTATCATCCGAGCCATCTTCACGTACCTCTCCAAAGTCTTCGCCCTCGTCCATCTCTTCAGGTTCGGCCATTTCCTCTTCAGCTTCAGCCATCCCATCTTCAGCTTCACTCATCTCCTCGTCAGCTTCACCCATCTCCTCCTCAGCTTCGCCCATCTCCTCCTCAGCTTCACCCATCTCCTCCTCAGCTTCACCCATCCCCTCTTCAGCTTCACCCATCTCCTCCTCGCCTTCAGGCCCGTTGTTGTTATCTTCAGCCTCAGCTTCGTTGTTCTCATCCCTATTCCCCTCTGAGGGCGGAGGTGTATAAGCTTCCTTAAGCCGGCCCGCACCCTTAGGCGCAGATGCACTCTGAAGACGCTTCGGGATGATATTACGAAGACGGCTAGATTTGTCAGTACCATTTTGGCTCTTGTCCTTGGAGAAGCGGCGTTTGAAGCCGCCCTTCACCTTATCGCGCATCTTTCTCAACATCTTGGCGAATAATGTTTTTGTATTGGATAATTGACTTCTGGTGTATACAAGAGAGTTGTTGTGTTGTTGTGTTGTTGTGTTATTGTATTGTCTGTTGGGTAATCAAGTTGATATGGAGATAGAGATGAACGGAGGAATACAGAGATGGTTATATAGGCAGCGTTGGATAAATAAATGAGCTTTGTTCATCGTATAGTTGCGACCCTTGTAGCTCAAGATAGAGCGGCATCAAAAGGGAGATAACAATCGAATTGCAATGGACAAGGAAGACGCAAAGATAGCCTCGAAAAACAAAGAGACTCGCATTATAACAGGGGTAGATAATGGAGTCGGCAAGAACATAGGACACAATAGCATACTAAGTAGTATGTCTATTTCAATAAAGCATCTCTATGAGCCCAGTCCGAGTCTTTCAAGGATAGAACAAGGAAAAGACAAAGGACATACCTTTGATTTACACCAAGAGAGACCGTTTCTACCAATCAATCTAGCCCTAAAACCTAACGAGATCCTGGCTCGATGCCTCTACCACTCGTAGATCGAGTTGGAATAGCAAAGCTATCTACACAGTGCTTTATTAATGGGATATCACGACGATGCAGCTTTTGCCAAACATGAGATGCGCAGCATAGTCTGGCCTTTAGAAGGGAAATACATTCTCTTCATTGGACACCATCTGCTAGGGTCATTTTATAGAAGGTAAATGAAGTACATGAATATATGGCCTCTTGGCTGGCATCTGCTGTTGAATATCGGCCTGGCACATTCTCAGGGTTTCTTTCTCTCGAGTCTTTCCCCGCCCTCTTGCTCGAGCTATGGATATTAAGCAGGCAAACTAGTAATCAGAAGACCAATTAGTAAAGCGAAACATGGAGTTCCACTCTTCATTATCTTCAGCATCCCCCAGCACACGAATCGGGAGATTTCGGGGACATTCTTACAATTTTTAATGCCGCAATGAATTTCCTTGGAATGGGAGTGGTTTATTTTTGATGAGCTCTAATGGTCTCATCTAGTGTACTTTGAATATTAAGCACAACCACTTCCGTCGTTATCATAAGACATAGTATATGCAGTTTCCAAAACTTTTAACCAATCGCAATAAATTTATCAAATACATATGTTTCAAGCACGTTCCTTCTGCTCGATCGCGCCCTTTTCTTCGGTGCGCATGTACAAGTCCACCTCGGCAGCCTCACCCTGGGGCAAGTGACGAGCCATGGAGACAATGTCCCACGCAGTCGGGGCATCCCGGAAGACATGGTTGAGAGCCTCCAGATTGCGATTCATGGTCTCGGGGTAGAAGAAGTAAACCGAGATGGGAATGCAGCCAGAAATGACAGCATACACGATGTAGTACTTGTAGCCGATGGTGTCGAGCGCGACGGGAGTGATCATGACAACCACGAAGTTCCACAGCCAGTGGTTGGCAGTCGAGACGGCAGACATGGCGACACGGAGACGCATGGGAGCAACTTCGGTACAGTAGAGGAAGTTGCCACCGAGGAAACCGATGGGGTAGAAGGAGTTGAAGAGGAAGATGAAAACGGCCGAGACAATGGAGGCCTTTTCATTGTCTTTGAAGCTGTTGGTGATGGCGAGAACGATCATGCAGACGGACATACCAGTACCGCTGATCATGAAAATCTTTCGGCGGCCGAGTCGGTCAATGGCGAAGAAGGAGATGAAGCTGCAAATGAACTTCCAGGTCATGGCGCAGGAAGACAGAATGCGAGCCAGATCGCTGTCCATGTTGAGATTCTCTTCGAAGATTGTGGATACGTATGTCGAGATCAGGTTACCACCGCACATCTGCTGGAAAAATTGCAGGGCGACACACAGACAGAATCGGTACAGAAGGCGCTCATCGTCGGGCTTGCTGAAGCTGAAGATGTCCATGAGCGAGGCGCTGCCAACCGAAGTCTCGAGTGAAGTCTCGATGCCCGCGATCTCAATGCGAACAGTCTCGTCATCGTCGGGGAGACCCTTGTAAGCGGCAAGACTGTTGTTGGCGTCTTCAATACGGCCGGCTCGGACGAGCCATCGGGGAGACTCGGGGAGCAAGAAGACTGAGAACAAGACAACAAGGGAGAAGAAGAAGGAGATGGCCAGCGGAATACGCCATTGCAATGCTCCGTCGACCTTGCTCAGGCCGAAGTCAATCCAGTTACAGAGCACATAACCCAGGCAGATACAGATACCGTCAACGACAACGTGTTGGCCACGATGTTTGGCTGACGTGCACTCGGACTGCCAGACGGGAACGGCAACACTGAACTGACCGACACCGAGACCAAGGATGACACGGCCGACGATGAATTGTGGCAAGCCGTAAGCCGCAGTCTGCAGCAACTGGCCGATTAAAGTAAGAATAGCACCCAGGAAAATGGTCTTGCGGCGACCGAACCGGTCGCCTAGAAATGTACACGAGAGAGCTCCAACAAGAGCTCCGAGTTGAAGGAACCGATGACGGTACCCTTGCCTGTAGAGTTGTGTGCACGTTGGCCGCCCTCTGTGTTGATTGTGTCGATTTCAGGGAACACCTTCACCCAGCTCTGCAGTGTAGCCAGGGGACCCAGGCCAGACTGGTTGTAACCGAAGACAATGAAGGCCGGTGCAACAATCAGCAGCGCCTGCGCGATGCGCAGGGACTTTCCTCTGAATAATGAGACCATCTTGGAAGCCCTAGGAATGTGTAGAGGAGAACGGTCACTCAGCACGATGGAAAAAGCAAGGGGACCAGGGAGACTGGTCCCTCCATGTGTTTATACCCTTCAAACCCCCTTCCATTCCGTGGAGACCCCGCATCGAAAATTCAACCTTCTCTGTGGGATAGAGGGAAAATTCCACAGTGAGCAACATATCTCCACCACGGTGCCACACCGACAGTCAATTTGTGAAACAATCGACTGTGACTCGGTCATGCCGCCGACTGCACGGGGTAGAGTGTGGTTCCGGTGAGCAAATGATCCCAAGCTTTTGCCACCCCCGAATTAGACCGCATGTACGCTCCGCAAACGCGGGATGGAGCCGAGCACGAAAGCTCACTGGCGGGCTGATCTGGGTTTGCCGTGGATTGGTATTGGGAAACCATGCCGAGTATCGGACCGCATCAGGGACACGGTTTCGCCCCCATATATATCCGGGAATACCCTGGCAGGGTAGTCTGAAGACTCTATATTGTTGCCAAGAGAGCAGAGCAGAATCGGGAAGAAGAGGCTCCCGAGCTAAGGATCTCGCCTACGAAGGTGGAGGCCTGCGATCGACACGAACAGTTAATATGTGTAACACACAACATTTTCCATTTCAACTCATAGAGGAAATACCTATATTGTACTCCGTACTCCTTACTCCGTAGAGAGTCCTGGAGAGATGTCTCAAAAGTCGGATTTCGGTCCACTTTGTCTTGGCTGCTTGTTTGAGGACTCGGCCCGGAGATCAAACGAAAGGGTCGAAAGGCTTATCCTCTTGCCAAGCGCCAAGCATCCACATCTCTCTGCTCTGTATTTCCCTCCGAATCTGCCCGTTCGCTCTTGGGGTAGAAAGCCAAAATCCAAGTTGGCATCGCCACCTAGAACCTGTGTTGGACGTTAGTACTTAATACGGAATACGAAGCACTTGGTGGATCCCAAATCCCGCTTTGGGTCCGAGAAGATTGAGATGAATGGCCAGATGAAGGGCCCGATGGAGGGCTTTGGAGAAAGCACATTCTCCACACACATGGACCAATTCGGTTCACCTGCCTCTGTGGATCTGAGGGAAAGATTTTGCCCTGATCTCAAAGCCGCAATTCAAACTAAATGGAGGTAGGATACGGCGCTCAACAAAACCCGTTTATAACATGTCTATATACCCAGGTAGGCGCATCGGTGTACATCGTAGTCCATATATGTTCCTGCTTTTCCTTTCTTGTGTTGGACTGCTTGGCTCTGGTGGATATCTATTACATACAAAATATCACACAGATGATCCCTCCTCGGTTGAGTCAAGTCTAACATATCGTACATGGAAACTACCTTGTAACCAGGACTTACATTTACTCGGCACAATCCTTTCTCCTAGAAATTCCGAGCCTTCATACTCAAATTAGCCTGGTCGAACCGTCATGGCTAAAGAAATAGCGTCATCGGATTCCTCTATGTACGTTGTACGGAGTACTCCGAAGCTGCGACTCGGGTACCAGTGCTCCGTAATGAACACTAAAGCCTAGACGGATCTTGCCCAGCCTATCCAGGACCTCTTTCTCCCTTCAACTCGAGGAATCGACGAATGATCAAGCTCCAGCATGATCTTAGCTCCTATCTTCTATGATATAGTGGTGGCCTCTGCTCAGCTAGCTCGACAGGAAAAATTGGAGCCGGTATGATATTTACTCCTGGTCATGCGAGACTCTGATTCCACGGCTAAATCGTATTGTGAATATGTCCTATGTAATTCTGGCTAAATGGTGGAAAAGTGCCGGATTTGGGCCAAGGTGGATCGTGGAGAGCCACGATTGGCCTTGTCTTGGCCTATTCCCTATCTTGCTACGTTATGCACCAAACACTGTCTTCTAGAAAGTAACAACCGGCAGAAAACGGACCTCGGGGAACCAAACCAGGTCCTTCAAAGGTTACGACCAGGGCAAAATACCCGAAAGTTACTTAGCAAGTTGTCTGAGCGCCCCAAGCCATGGATGGTTACATTGTTAAGATGGAGACTTAATCTTAGCTACATGCAGGTACTCCGTACTCGGGTAGGGGCCGTGGCTTCAGGCATACATCTGTGACGTCGCTTGTAGCCCAGTTCTCAGCTGGAGAACTCGAGGCTGTGAGCTGAAAGCCGAGAACAAAAACCGAGAGAACTTTTTACAACATATAGTAGGGTACTCCATAGCACTCCAGAGCTCGGCCAAGGGTGTTCTGGAAATCTTATTATTCCCGACTTCCGTTCTTTATCTTTTATACCAAGGAGCTAAGACAAACTATCTAAGCCTCGTTTGCGCCTGCCGCAATCTCCACTCATACGTACGATGAAGCCTTCACGATGATAGGGGAAATACTCCGTACTACATTTGCAGATATCTGTACGGAGTACTAGTCATACAGTGGCTTGTTCCCCCTTTTGTAAAACTGTTCGCTCAGAATATGTTGAATTTTGGTGTTTCTTGCCGTACTTACGAAATTTCTGGATGAATTGCATGACATGACTTGGGTGCTATCGAGCTATTAGATAATGTTAGATCATTCCAGTTACCAATTTTCTCTTCTTTGGATTCAAGATCTGTGTATGCTTGCCCTGCTAGATTCGGCTTCTATGTTTATTCTCGAATTGGTATGTTGCTTTTGACAACAGAAATAAGATTGGCCTTCTAGTCAATGGATGAGCCTCAACTAAAAACGAACACTGATTCCACTCGGTAATCTCTTATGGGGTATCCGTTCGAGGCCATCATCTTACCAAGGGGATCATTGACACAATGACCAATTAAGATTGGCTTTCTTATACCATATATTTTAGGTATTGGCATTGAAGTTGAACACGCTCACATCTGTTAAAGACGCTATCCATGGGGGGGGGTTCATCGCCCGTGACCGCCTACTGTCTATGCACTGGCATAGCCTTTGATACTACATATCAGGCAGCTCAGGTCTGTATTTCCCTCTTTTCTCTAGTGTACAGAGATGAATCTGAGAGGCAAGTATTGAAATCTTGCAAATTGGGATTTGGGCATCAGAAAGAGATACAATGGTATGGATTATGGTGAAGAGATCCGATAAGGTGGGCAGAAAAGTAAGGCGGTCGAGGATCGGCGAATTGTAGTTTGCTTTACATTGCTCAATGACCTCACCTTGACTGCTGACTGCCCATGCATCTTTCCTCTACCACCGAATTTCACATTGTCGCAAATCATCATGGATCCAGAAGAGAATATTGTCCCAACCGAGTCTCTATTTCGCCCAGCAAAAAAGCGCAAGTTCATGCGACGACGCCCTGACGACGAACCCGAAGATGTCGATGATCAAAATGACAATGCAGACGCGCCACAAGCTCCGGGGCGCAATAATCTTCGACGTCCACGCGCAATCCGGAAGGGTGGCATAGGATTCTCGACCGCATCTCGTCTAGGAGACGATCAGGGCCAGCAACTGGCGCTAGTATCAGCGGCCGGGGACACCGAGGATGAGAAGATACGAGCGATGAATGAACGTTTCACGGGATACAGTGGTCAGACAGTAGATGTCGATAAGCACATGTATGAAACCTGTCCTATCGCTGATCTTCCAGTTTGTGTGATTTGGACTGACAAGATAAGGATGGCATTTATAGAATCCGAAATGGCTAAGCGTTACCAGCCTACATCACAAACGGATAGTTCAAGTTCCAACCAACCAACCCAAGAAGAAGTCCCCGCGGGGCTGTCACTACATGGACATCAGAAACGCGAGCCTGCAACGTTAGGCAAACTTCATGAAATTGACCTCGGTCAAGAAGCAACATTGCGAAATATCGAGCTCACAGAAGCTGCGACTCGGAGAATGGCCAATAAGGGAGATATGTCAACGCTGGCGGGTAGTCCTGCCCCAGACACGGGTCGCTCTGTCCCAGATGGCAAGTCGTGGCGCAGTCGTCAGCGGAGAACAGAGGCAGATATCGAGAGAGATCGCCTTGTGGAGGAGGTACTACGTGAAAGTAAATGTGTGTGGAATACCCCCCAACTCTATCTGACATTATCTTTGCTAACGTTGGCTCTTATAGTGGATATCTATGATGAACCCGAGGAAGAAACATACCTTAATGACCAGCAGGCTGCTGATGACCGGGTTGCTGAGCAATTTCGGCGAGACTTCATGGATGCGATGCAGTCTCGTCGTCGCATTCGGCCTGCGGCAAAGCCAGCGGCCAATGCTGAAGCGCCGCGTGGTCCGAAGCTGGGTGGTAGTCGCAGTGCGAGAGCTGCAATGCGGGAAATACAATCAGGGAAAAAGTGATTGCTGTCTTTGAAATCGCGGGATTCCCTTGATATGAGCTTAATGTACTCCATGCTATGTTGTTGGTCGATATGTACACGATACCATAATGATTTTGCGCCAATACTATTTCTAACATGTTCGGACTACATATCTACTAGGTTTTTAGAGACAGTTAACTAACTAGATTGTAGTCTAGATACTCAGACGCCCAACCAGTAAAAGAGGGAACGGACATAGACATTTATTACGATGTGGGAGAGAACCAAGAGCTAAGATATATCATTGTTCTAGGAATTTTTAGATCTATTTGGCCATAAATCATACGTCACTTGCCATTTTAGGACAGTTTTTGAAGCGAAGCACTCCTCAACCTCAGTAGCAAATTCGGAGCATTTTAAATGATGCAGACTCGACAAGAACTATATGATGGTGCTCCTCTTGAAGCCCTCCAGGGCTGACTCGGGCGCTGGACTTGATTAGTCAGAGCATCCCCGATGGTGACTAAGCATTCAGTTGAACTGCCCGTTTGAGCGCCAAAGCTACACCCGCACCAAAAAGACCCGCCTTTCTCCCTGTCTCCAACCAGCCCCTCTGATTGTCCATCTCAGTTGCATGGTCACGTCTTGATCTGTCTCCAGGCGAATTTAACCAACTCGCTTTCACGATTCCTGCCACCCCGACCCCTTTCCAAGACATACCACCACAGCTCTCGCGATGAACCCTTCCAACCCACCTCAAACTGCCGAATACGGCGGAGGTATGTAATTATTTAAATGCCTTTTCTAATGCGCAAATTGCTGCGACGCAAAATAGTGGTTAGATGTCCTTGCGCAAATTGCTAACTATGGCACGATTGTAGATGAGGTCTCCGCCATTGTCCTCGATACGGGATATTCAACCACTCGCGCGGGCTTTGCCGGTGAAGATGCTCCCAAGTCACTGATCCCAACCTACTATGGGAAATACAACGCCGACGGCCAAGAAAAGTTTGTGTACGGCGACGATGTGTTCGTTACTCCGCGGCCCGGTCTGTCTATTCACAACCCGATCGGCAAGGATGGAATCGTCGAGGATTGGGATATGGCAGAGAGGGTGTGGGAGCACTCATTTATGTCGCGACTCACCGGCACAAAAGCGGGCAACCCATTCCAAAACGGATTAAACGATATCTCCCAGGATGAGCTCCCTACAGAAATGGAGGTGGAGTCAGAGGAGAAGCCTTTGTCGGACAGTCCATTGTTGATGACAGAGCCTGGATGGAACCCGGCGAAGGCGCGCGAAAAGACTATTGAAATCGCAATGGAGAAATGGGACACCCCGGCGTTTTATCTGGCGCGCACTGGTGTTCTTGCTGCGTACGTAGACTGAGCTCATTGAGCATGATATCCCCAAGCTTGTGAGATTTGCTAACTCGAATATACGCAGTTTCGCTTCCGGTAAGGCCTCTGCCCTTGTTGTTGACATTGGGGCTTCAAACATTTCTATCACACCGATCCACGATGGCATGATTCTCAAGCGGGGTGTGCAGCACTCCCCGCTGGGTGGTGATTACATTTCCTCGCAGATCAACGCACTTTTCAAGGCCAATAGCCCGCAACCCATCACAATCACGCCGCACTACCTTATCAGTTCAAAGTCGGCTGTTGACGCTGGCCAACCACCACAAGCGAAATATAAGACCTTCCCCGCCGACAAGGCCCCTGATGCGTCGTATCGTGCTCTTCTCGAGGAGCGTACACTAGCTGAGTTCAAGGAATGTGTCGTCCAGGTTTGGCCCGGCCCTACCAGACTCTCTGCCACCGGTCCCACGGGCGTCTCCAACGAAGACATGGCCCGGACCACTCCCGGCCGTCCCTTCGAGTTCCCCGATGGCTACAACCAAGTCTTCGGTGTCGACCGTTTCCGCGTTGTGGAGTCCCTCTTCGATGCCAAGGCAGCCATTCCTGATCCCGATTCGCCTTTCCCTCCCCCTACACCCGCTCAGACCATCCCAGAACTTGTCAAGGCTTCTTTGGCCGGCGTGGACGTCGACCTCCGCCCCCACCTCCTGGCCAACGTCGTTGTGACCGGTGGATCCAGCTTGCTTTACAACTTCACCGATCGTCTGAACCATGAATTGATGCAGATGTTCCCTGGCCCGAGAGTCCGCGTGACTGCCCCCGGTAACACATCTGAGCGACGCTTCGGATCCTGGATTGGAGGCAGTATCTTGGCCAGCCTGGGAACTTTCCACCAGATGTGGATCTCCAAGAAGGAGTACGAGGAGCATGGACCGAACATTGTGGAGAAGCGTTGCAAATGATCGATTCAATATCATCTTCACATGTCCGTTCCGTTGGGAGTTTTTTTTCATATGATGTTTTATGGGCGTTACTGCGCTACCTTGGGCGCTCGAAAGGAGGTTTTGAGCAACTCCGGTTCTGGCCTGTCTGCAAGAAAGGGCCTACAAAACTGATCTTAGATATTTTGTGTACGACTAATGCCACTTGATTTCTCATTTTGTCTGAGAAGAATATGCACAACTCCATGGATGGTGGTGTCCGTGTAGATCATGAACTTCATATGGGGATATATATTGTAGTTGCCCAGGTATTTTTGATCTTCGCACACTATCTACGATGTCAGATCTCCAGGGCTTTTTAGTCCTTTTCATCTCACCCACTAGACGTCATCTTTAGTGTGAGGGGTTTATTGGCGGGGATGTTCATTCGTCTGTGCCAATGCGTTGGCAGCCAACACATCGGTGGTCCGTGTTTCACTTATTTATCTTGCTCAACCCTGCCCAGGTGGACTGTCATTTTCTCCCTCCACCTTAGTCCATTCGCATCGTCAAAACACCTTGGGAGAAATTTCAAAAAAAGGGAGCCAAAAACGAGTACGACTAAAGCAAACGCAAATCGAAAGAAAGGCACAAGTATCGAATGGAAGCGCAGATGATCATTAACATACATCATTATCATGGATCCAACTTTGGAAGAACCCATGAGCAAGAAAAAAACAAGACAAAAGACTGCATCATCAACCTTGTTACAATCGAGATGGGCCAAACACGCTAGAGTCTACGGGATATGAACACAATCAGAAATGCGAAACATTCAAGGGCATCAAAATGAATGACGGGGAAATCGTGGGTCACAAAATCGGCAGACCAAGGGATCATCGGCTGGCTCGGGCAATAAGCCAGTGAAGGACTGCGTCGAGGTTGGTTTCCTCCTTGGCGCTGATGCCGTAGCAGCTTACTTCGCGACGGGTGATGGATTTCAGATCCATTGCCTCGATGATCTCATCGACAGATAGCTTGTCTGCAAGATCAGACTTGTTGCCCAAGACCAACAAAGGGATACTGTCTAGCGTGGGCTTTTTCATTAGATCATGGAGTTCTTCCGTCGCTACTGGGAGTGCAGCGCGGTCTGCTGCGTCCACAATATACCTGTGTTCACCTTTGTTAGCAGGTCCAGGTCAGATGGCATGAGCGGAGTGGATGCCACAGTAAATAGGAAACCAAGCAAGTCTTACACGATCGCGTTGACGCCTCGACAATACCGTTCCCACATCGGCCGAAATCGAGGTTGTCCACCCAGGTCCCAGCTACGGGGATATGTTAGTGCCTCTGTGCTTTGCGGACAGGAAGATGGACATACCATTTCAAAGTCACATGGCCTTTCTGCACTCTTTTGGTGTTGAACCCGATTGTCGGAATGGAGCTATGCCATCTGTGTTAGGACCCAGCTGACACGCACAGCATGAGCTGACCTCAAGGGATAAAATGGGACTACAACTCACTCGACCGTGAACTCTCCACCCTGTTGCATATGGTCAGCAACTCGGATCCACGTTCCCGAAAGCGAGAACCACGAGAATAGACTTACCGCTAGCACTCGCAATAGAGAAGACTTGCCGGCATTCTGAAGACCGATCATGGTGACATCCATCTCGCTGGCCCTACATGGGCGTTTAGCAGGGCTTCATCTGCGGGGACGGGCCGTGGACCCCCGAAAAATGCATCTATCACGGCCCACTTACCAGAACATCCTCAGAAGCCAGTCATAGATAGCACGGAAAATGCCGGCCATGACGGAGTCGTTACAAGAGGTCGCAAATATGAGCAGAAGACAGAAAGAAAAAAAAAGAATGAACTAAGTAAAATAGTAAAAAGGTAAAATAGTCAAATAGTCAAGTTTTAGAACCCGAGACCCAGCTGCCAGCAGCGGAAAGATTACGAGGTCGAGACTTGGGGAAGTGGCCGTGTGTGGGAAAAGCTCAGGATGACAAAAGTCAGAGTGGGGTCACCTTGTTACTGTGCAGCTTGGTTGATTTCACCTATCGGCACGTCAAGGGCCAAAAGAAAAGAGAAAAAAGTATGAACGTCACGAGAAAAATGAGAACGAGAAAAACGAGAAAGCAAGTTTTAATAGGGACCTATTATTAAAGGGGCGTTTAGGGGGGATAGCCGCCTCCTACGAGGCCCATAGAAGGATATTGGATCTACTCTTTTTTGGGGGACACAGATCTACGGGCACACATGACCGGTGAAGGCGCTTAGGCTGTATTATCCTCAAATGGAGGGGATGGACGGGGATTGACGGGTTGACGGGCGTTGTGCAGCATATCCCGTGTGGCGTACCTAGGTAGTGATATATTTAGTTTGGGGTTATGGCTGAGAAGCGCATGTTTCATGCGAGATTGGGGTGAGAGGCTGCTAGGATTAGGGGTTCGTGGGCATGTCAGGGACTTGCAGTTGAACTAAAGTGTAGACGATATGTCGGACCGTCTCCCAATCTGCCTGAGGCCAGAATGCATATCACCACGTGAAGATAAGCATCCGGCTCCACCCTCGAAAAATTTCCCCAAGCAGAACAGAGTCTTGCTCTCGTTTGGCAGCTGCCATTGTCGGTTCAATTCCCGTGGTCTTGTGGCTGATATCATTTTGGGAGGAGGAAACGAACCGATCTGATTGCGCTATCTTCTTTACATTGACCCATAAATTGAGCCGGTCCCCAGGACTCTTATCTTCTTTTTTTTTCCCTATACCGCAGCCGGCTGTTGAGAGCTGCGGATTTCTATCATGGCGCCCGCAGCCACAGACACGCAGTGGTCGGTCGAATATGACACTCTGCGACGGGAGAATCTGTTCCAGAATCCTCCCACGGATCACACAGCTTATCCCTCGCTGGCCGAGTCCATTCGACCGCATATCGATTCCTTCAATGCTCTCTTCGACGACAGCAAGATCCTCGAGGCAGGATTGAGGGATATTGGCACCAAGACCTTCCTTGATGGTGAATTGGAAACCTACGAGCAGAAGAAGGCTCGCCAAGCAGAAGGTGTTCGGGCGCCGAAGCGCAACCGCCTGAACGTCCGCGTGCGTGAAATCTTCCTCGAAAAACCCACCCTGCCCCCCACAAACAAGTACACCACCCGAAACCGTGAGATTTACCCCTCCGAGTGCAGAGAGCGCCACGCGACATACCGTGGTAAGCTTCGCGCTCGTCTCGAGTACCAGGTCAACAATGGAGACTGGATGGAGTCTGTCCGCGAGCTGGGTAATGTCCCCATCATGGTGCGCACCAACCGGTGTCACCTTGAAAAGGCAACCCCCGAGGAGCTTGTTCGACACAAGGAAGAGTCCGAGGAGCTGGGTGGTTTCTACATCGTGAACGGTAACGAGAAGCTCATCCGTATGCTGGTCGTTGGCAAGCGCAACTACCCCATGTCCATCATTCGTGGTTCTTTCATCAAGCGTGGTCAGACCTACACAAAGTTTGGTGTCCAAATACGATCCGTCCGTCCCGATCAGACATCGCAGACCAACGTGCTCCACTACCTTTCCGATGGAAACGTGACTTTCCGTTTCTCATGGCGCAAGAATGAGTATCTTATTCCCGTCATGATGATTCTTAAGGCACTTGCCGAGACCAATGATCGCGAGATCTTCGAGGCCATTGTCGGTGGTGCTTCCTCCAAGGGCATGAAGAACACTTTCGTCACCGATCGTGTCGAGCTTCTGCTGAGAACCTACCACGCCTACCAGAAGCACAGCCAGTACGATTGCCGGTCCCACCTGGGCAAGGCTTTCCGACCTGTGCTCGGAGTCCCCGCTGATATGCCCGACGAGGAAGTCGGTACGGAGTTCCTCCGCAAAGTCGTTCTCCCCCATCTTGGAAATGAGAATGTTACCGAGTCGCAAGACTGGGATAAGTTCAAGTTGATCGCCTTCATGATCCGCAAGCTTTACTCCACAGTCGCAGGAGACTGTGCTCCCGACAACCCCGATGCTGTCTCCAACCAGGAAATTCTGCTTGGTGGCTTCCTTTACGGCATGATTCTCAAGGAGCGTATTGAGGAGTGGCTTCGGTCATTCGGTCCAATTGCTAGAGATTGGTCTATCCGCAATAACGGCGCAAAGTTCACCGATGACGCATTTGAGCGGGACTTCCTCTCCAAGATCGTTAAGCGATCAAACGAGAACATTGGTAATGCGCTCGAGTACTTCCTCTCTACCGGTAACTTGGTCAGTCCTACGGGCCTTGATTTGCAGCAAACTTCAGGTTACACTGTCATTGCAGAGAAGATCAACTTCTACCGTTTCATCAGTCACTTCCGCATGATTCACCGTGGTAGTTTCTTCGCCCAGTTGAAGACTACCACTGTTCGTAAGCTGCTACCAGAGAGTTGGGGTTTCCTTTGCCCTGTTCACACTCCTGATGGATCGCCTTGCGGTCTGCTCAACCACTTGGCGCACAAGTGTTTGATTTCTACTGATAATTTGGATGTATCTCACCTGCCTCGGACTTTGGTTCAACTTGGTGTCCGATCCGAGTCCTCCGTGGCTCTGGACGAGAGTGTGGTCGTCCAGTTGGATGGCAGAATTATTGGTTACTGCTCGCCCAAGCAGGCCCAGAGAATTGCTGATACCATCCGGTACTGGAAGGTTGAGGGCATGAACAACATTCCTCGCGAATTGGAAATTGGATATATTCCCAACTCAAGCGGTGGTCAATACCCAGGTGTCTACATGTTCTCCCAATCGGCGAGAATGTACCGTCCTGTCAAGTATTTGGCGTCGGATAAGCTGGATTATGTTGGTCCATTCGAGCAACCCTTCATGGAGATTGCCTGTGTGGAGTCTGACCTGATCCCCGGCCTTTCAACACACATTGAGTTCACGCCGACGAACATCCTCTCCATTGTCGCCAACATGACCCCCTTCTCCGACTACAACCAATCTCCACGTAACATGTATCAATGTCAGATGAGCAAACAAACCATGGGTACGCCAGGTACCTCGATTGCATACCGTACCGACAACAAGTTGTACCGCATTCAAACCGGTCAAACCCCAATTGTGCGCCCGCCTCTTTACAACGCATACGGTCTGGACAACTTCCCCAACGGTATGAACGCAGTTGTGGCCATTATCTCCTACACCGGATACGACATGGACGACGCTATGATTATCAACAAGTCTGCACACGAACGTGGCTTCGGACACGGTACAGTCTACAAGACCAAGGTCGTTACTTTGGCCGAGAACGACTCCCGCCGAAACAAGTCCAAGCGCGAGGTTACCAAGCTGTTTGGATTCGCTCCTGGTGATGAGGTCAAAGACCAGGTGCGCAATACCATCGACGAGGATGGAATGCCGCACCTGGGTGCTCGTGTCAAGGAGGGTGACAAGATCGCAGCCTGGCACAATGTCCGCTTTGATCCCGCCTCCGACTCATATGTCAACGTCGACGGAATCACCCACTACATGAAGTATAAGGACGCCGAGGAAGGTTACGTCGACAGCATCCGTATCATGGGTTCTGAGTCTGGTAACGAGCCCGCCCAGTCTCTCAGCGTCAAGTACCGCATCCCCCGAAAGCCCGTCATTGGTGACAAGTTCTCCTCTCGTCACGGTCAAAAGGGTGTTTTGTCTCAACTTTGGCCTGCGGTCGACATGCCTTTCTCCGAGAGCGGCATGCAGCCCGATTTGATCATCAACCCTCACGCTTTCCCATCCCGTAAGTTTCCATTTCTCTAAACTCTACATGCATCCAATCATCTAACATCTCCCCAGGTATGACAATCGCCCAAATGATCGAGTCCATGGCCGGCAAAGCCGGTGCCATGCACGGTCTCCCACAAGACTCCACTCCCTTCCAATTCTCCGAAGAAAACACCGCAACCGACTACTTCGGCGAGCAGCTCCGCAAGGCCGGCTACAACTACTACGGTAACGAGCCCCTGTACAGTGGTATCACTGGACGCGAGTTCTCCGCCGACATCTACATGGGTCTGGTCTACTACCAGCGTCTGCGTCACATGGTCAACGATAAGTTCCAAGTGCGTACCACAGGTCCCGTCAACGCGCTCACCGGCCAGCCCGTGAAGGGTCGTGCTAAGGGTGGTGGTATCCGTGTCGGAGAGATGGAGCGTGATTCACTGATTGCCCACGGTGCTGCCTTCCTGCTGCAAGATCGTCTGATGAACTGCTCCGACGCCCAGAACACCTGGATCTGTCGCTGCTGTGGCTCCTTCCTGTCTACCCAGGTTGCTGTTTCCGGCTCATCCCGTTCTCGCACTGCTATCAACCCCGGCGCGGCTGCCGCGGCTGCCAAGGCTGCTCCTAACCAACAGAGCACTAATGCTCATGCTGCTGGTGCTATTGGCGCCGTTGGTGGTGTGAACGGCATCGTGCGCTGCCGTCGCTGTGCTCGCGAGGCTACCTTTGATGACTCCCGCGCTGAGGTTTGGGAAGATGGTAATGGTCTGCGCTATGTTGGTGGTGACAATGTTACTATCGTTGCTGTCCCTGGTGTGCTGCGCTACTTGGATGTCGAGTTGGCGGCTATGGGTATCAGGATGAAGTTCCGGGTGGATAACTGATCTTCTGGACTTCTGAGGCATCTCAAAAATTGTTTCCTTGTTTCAATGTCATAGGTGGCGTATACCTGGTTTAATGATTATACTCATCTGCTTTTCTCTCTATATCTTTTGCAAATATTCTTTCTTGTACGATCAGCATTTCCTAGCAGAATCAGACTTATTCCAGAAATCGGTCTACGTATATGGGGTTGGTTCTCGCAACGTGTTCAAGGGATTTTAGGGATTTTAGGGATTAACGATACTCTTTTGGTTTTTATTGATTAGAAGCTTCTTTTGATTGTTTAGGACTCGTATGGAGCCTTTTATGCGTACTACGATTACAGAGTGAGAAAGGACATCCCAAGCATACACCCAAAAATGATATTAAAGATGCCGAAAAGAAAATACATAGAAAACGGTCTCTGAGGATAACGAGATGAAACATTCATTTCATTCCATTGATACATCCCATATTACACGTCAAATTAGCTATAGTTACTTCCAATTATGTCTTGGTGCCTTGCGACTTTTGCACCTCAAGCCGAGTCGCCCTTGAGCTCCTCCTGCACCAAACCTGTCTTCGCAGTCGCGAAATCCCTGGTCCGCACCTTGTTCTCGAACAAGACATCCAACTCAGCATAAGAGCGGCCTCGGGGCTCGGGAAGACGGAAGAACGACCAGGTGAGACAGGCAATGCACAGCCCACCCCAGAAGAACCCGGACTTTCCTCTCCAGTCCCAGGCGTCCACATTCAGCATGTAAGGAATGATGATACCAGTGACCAGGTTGAGGATGTTGTACGTATTACGTGCCAACACAATAGCCTTGGTGCGGAGTCTGGATGATGGAATCTCCGAGACCAGCGAGAAACAAACCGGTCCGACAGTCGAGTCATAGATGAATGTATAGACAAGTAACATCGAACCCGTCGCCCACGAAATCGCCGACGTCGCGGGTGCAATAGACACAAATCCAATAACAAACAGGATAACAGCCAACACCGCCAGTCCGCCTACATAAAGCGTGCGACGACCGAAGTACGACATCAGAACCCAGGAGCTCAATGTGCCAATCAAACCAATGGCGTATTGCACCAGAGACATAGTGAAGGACTGTGACACTGCGAGTCCGGCACGCCGGTAGAAGACAGTCGAGTAACCCATCAGACCAGAACCACACAGACTCTGAGCTGCCCACACACAGCAAGCAATCTCCGTGCGTCGCAGATCAGTCCCCTTGAAGCAGTCCAGATACGAAGTGCCAGACTCGGTTTGCTGTTCGATGAGGTTCGTATAGACAATCATGGACACGGTCTCCTCGGCGTTGAAACCGGGGGTGTCGGCGCGCGCGAGCCGCTTCACAGCCTTGACGGCGTCCTCGCGACGATCCTTCCGCACAAGCCACCAGGGGCTCTCGGGAGCAAGATACACACCGATGAAAATCGGGACGGGCCAGACCCACTGAAGGGCGAATGGGATCCTGTACGCCCACTGGTCGACGCGGTCGACGAGACCCTTTAGCACGCCGGAGGCAATCAGCTGGCCGATGACCCAGCACATGTTCACGTAGGTGGTCAAGTAGGCGCGCAGGGCGACCGGGCACACCTCTGAGGCGTAGGTGACTGTCAGGGTCTGGTAGACACCGAGAGGGATACCCATGAGGAGTTCACCGGCGACGAGGGTGCCGACGTTTGGTGCGAAGAAGAGGATGAAGATAAAGCCGACGGTGGCGGCGAGACAGGCCATGAGGGTTTTGCGGTAGCCGTAGCGTTCGGAGACGATACCGTTGATGAATAGACCGATGATTTGACCGCAGCTCATTCCGTTGGTGAGACCGGCTTGCCATGAGGCGGCGAGACCGTATTCGTTGTCGGACATGAGATGGCCGTACTTCTGGTTGAAGGCTGGGTAGGCGAAGAAGGAACCGATGAGTACGACGTCGTAGCCTTCCATGATGATGGCGCAGGAGAGCAACAGGGACCAGCCGACGGCCTTGGGATAGAGTTTCAGGGCCTCCCAGGCGGTCATGTTATGTTCCTTTTCGATGGCGGCGTGGGCCTCGGTGGTGAGTTGGAGGTCAATCTTGTCCGTCAGGGTATGACCTGCTGAAACGATGGTGTCGACATGTTTCTCGTCATGCTCAGCCATGGCTTGCTTTTCGGAAGCCATTGCTGCGATGGAATTGGCAATGGAAGCCTTGAGGATGTTTCCAGATGGGTGGGTATTCGAGATGGACAAGACTGGATACGAAGGAATATCATGTTCCTGCTGCGGATGTGCGCAGTTATATGCACATTTGGTTAAGATTCGTCAACAAAGCCTGTCCAAAAGGCGCGATGATGGGGCCAGGATGCCATTGGCCCACTCGTCCGTCATGTCTAGTCCTTGCTTAATCCTTTCTGGAAGCGAGCCCGGTGGCGTGGGGAGACTTTCCCCAGTTTATGTGCCCCAGGGGATGCTTGGGTCAGCCCACAATCCCCGGATTTTCCTTGAGGACGATGATTGGATTGAATGTCGGGCCGACGCACGATGAAGAGGCATTTTGTGTTGCGCGAGTACTTTTGATCCAGCCACAGTGTTTCGTATTGGCCGAGACTGTTTTTTCAAGGCCGTCGCTTCTCCCAAAGCAGTTAGAGAGGCCAGGGCCCGTGATGCGGGCTGATTGGTGAAGTGTCGGCCCGACTCCCCTTTCCCCTCCCTTTTTTGTCCGCCCCCGGGGCAGACTAACGGCTGTCAGGTTAAGTCCGGGGGGAGAGACGAATCGGCCTGGGGTATCTCGGCATTTCCACATGATCAGTTCGGAATGTTGGATCAGAACCAGTGGGAAAGGGGGAAGTGGGCGTCTAGGCAAAGCCACTGAAACCTCACCAACCCTCGTTCACTATGAGAGCCCCCCGCAGGCGAACAAGTGGCAGACACTTATCGCCAATGTCTGTCGGCCCGACATCGAGTCAATCAGAGCGATGGCTGTCTCTCCTCGAAATCTCAATCTAACTCGGCCCTCCATCGTCGAGAGATAGGCGGTGATTATCTAAAACAGGATATCAGGGGTGTATATATAGCGCGTGCTCTTTTTTCACCCTGATTTCTGTTGGATCTTTATCTCTCTTCTGTCATTATTTACTGTATTGCGTACCTTCGCACTCAATCTCCCAGATGTCTCCCGCTCTAGTGGGTGAAAAGTGGTGGAAGAATTCCATCATCTACCAGATCTACCCTGCCAGTTTCAAAGACTCCAATGGCGATGGCATTGGTGATATTCCAGGGATCATTTCCTCCCTCGACTACATCACAAGCCTCGGTGTAGATGTGATCTGGCTTTGCCCCATGTATGAAAGCCCACAGATTGACATGGGCTACGATATCTCCGATTACCAGAGCGTGTATGGCCCGTATGGTACTGTCCAGGACATGGACAACCTCATTGCCGAATGCCACAAGCGCGGACTCCGCATCATTCTGGATCTGGTGGTAAACCACACCTCAGACCAGCACAAGTGGTTCCAGGAGTCTCGCTCCTCTAAGACAAACCCCAAGCGTGACTGGTATATCTGGAAGCCAGCCAAATACGATGCCAACGGGAAGCGTCAGCCACCAAATAACTGGCGCAGTATTTTCGGAGGTAGTGCTTGGGAGTGGGATGAGACAACTGAGGAATATTACCTTCACTTGTTCTGTATCGAACAGCCCGATGTCAATTGGGAGAATGCCGAGACTCGCCAGGCTATCTATGAGTCTGCCATGGAGTTCTGGCTGCAGAAGGGCGTGGATGGCTTCCGGGTTGATACAGTCAACATGTATAGCAAGCAACCCGGGTATGCCGATGCCCCAATCCTTGATCCCAAGTCCGAGACACAGCCTGCATTCTCACTATTCTGCAACGGTCCTCGCATTCACGAGTACCTGAGCGAGATGAACGAGGTGCTGTCCAAGTATGATGCAATGACCGTTGGAGAATGCCCAAATACCCACACTGTGGAAGGTGTTCTGCGCTATGTCTCAGCAGCGGAGAAGCAGCTGAGCATGGTCTTCCAATTCGACCTTGTTGACCTTGGCCAAGGCAAAGACTACAAGTTCCTGACCACATTCCCTGGCTGGAATCTTCGGGAACTCAAGTCTGCCGTGAAGAGCACTCAAGACATTATCAGAGGCACAGATGCATGGACCACAGTGTTCATGGAGAACCACGACCAAGGTCGCTCCGTGAGCCGATTCGGCTCTGACAAGACCCCCGAATTGAGAGATCGGTCCGCAAAGATGCTTGCCATGATGCAAAGCACACTTTCCGGCACACAGTTTATCTACCAGGGCCAAGAGATTGGCATGGTAAATCTGCCCCGGGAGTGGCCCATTGACGAATACAAAGATATCGATAGCACCAACTATTATCGAATGACGAGCAAAGTGACGAACAACGATCCAGCTGAGCTGGAAAGGGCCATGGATTCTCTGCAACACCTGGCCAGAGATAACGCCAGACTTCCCATGCAATGGAATGCCGAGGCCTACGCCGGCTTCTCACCGGCTACATCGGAAAAGCCCTGGATGCGCCCACACGACAACTACCCCGAGATCAATGTGAAGCTACAGGAGAAAGACTCGTCTTCTGTTCTTTCATTCTGGAAAAAGATGAACTTGCTGCGCAAGGAATATGCGAATTCCTTGGTCTTTGGAGAGTTTGATATTCTCGACGAGCCCAACCAGAGTGTCTTCACCTTCACCAAGACCAGTCGCGACCAGACTATCTTGGTGGTTCTCAACTTCTCCGACACACCACAGAAGTTTGAGAAGCCAGAGAGCGTGAAGAGCGAAGATTGGAAGTTGCTGGCTAGCAATGTAAACGAAGTTACGGAAGAGTTACAGGCGTTTGAGGGCAGAGTGCTTTTGGTTTAGGGCTGGGACTTGTACGGGTTATATAGCTGTCCATAGGTCCGAATAAGGACGATAGAGGACATTTTCATGTTTGGTAGGCCACAAATACATTCATTACTTCCAATCAGCTTTTATATCATTTCCCCTTCCGGTTTCCTCCGTATACATCCATGTAATCAGTATCCCTGATCTCGGACAGGCCGTTCCAAGACAACCTCATACCCCGGTCTTTACCAAGCTTTTAATTAAAACAAAAAAGGAAGCAATCCCGAGTCTCCCCAGCCGCACATGCTAATATCCCGGGATCCTCCCTGAGTCCCTACCTGCACTCCTGCGGAGATCAGACCGGTGGCGCTACGCTGAAAGAGTATTAATTCGCCAAGCCATTCACCATCGAACGCGGGGAAGAAGTACATGTTTCGACTAAACATCAACTACCGATCTACCCCTGATCCTGGATCGCAAATTTGGAAAAAGAAAAGGCCCAAATGGCAAGCCCAACCTCCCAGTCGCGAGTGCCTAAAGCATGCGACCCTTGTAATCGCCGCAAAGTCCGTTGCAACGGCCAGCAACGATGTCAGCAATGCGAGCACCTGGATCTCCTGTGCACCTACACAGAGAATCGATCCTCACGGTCAAGAAAGCATTCACTGCGACGGGGAGCCGTCATCTCAAAATACAAGAGCAGCAATACACTGCCCAAAACCACCGCGCTGACACCGCTGCTCTCCCCTCCGCTGGCACCTACAGCCTCATGCCAACTACCGGCCTCATATTTTGAAAGTCTCCTCCCAGACTACATGACCTATGTATACCCATTCAGCCCAATAATCACCGATGCCGAAGTACGCCTCTCGATCCAAAAAATGGACTCCGAGAAAGAACATGCCGCCTTCATCTACGCCTTCACCGCGGTAACCCTGGACCTAACCCGCTCCTCTCACTCGGCCACTACAAACCCCAACAACGCGCCCACCTCAACCCAAATCACAGACCTAATGCGCCAGTCCGTGGAAACCCAACAACCACTCGTAATAGGCTTCCGCCCGTCCATTCTCCGCGCTACAACAAGCATCTTCATCCAGATGTGCGCTATGAGCCTGGGCCACTACGATCTGGGCTTCTTCTACCTCCGGGAAGCAATCAGCATGATCCAGATCCTGCGCATCTGCGACCAAACAGTGCAAGCGGGTCTCAACATCGCAGAGCGCGCCCGTCGCCAACGTCTCTACTGGCAATGCTTCATCCACGAGCGGTTCATGTCGATCGTGTATTTCTCGCCCGTGACGCTGCCACCGCACACGCAGTACCCGGAAGAAGACACGACGACGGCGTCCATGAGCACGGGCATCCAGCAGGGCTGGACGCAGGTGATCAAGACGTTCTGCATGCTGGATGCGTCGTTCATCAGTCTGTGGATTGGGGATCGATCGCAGGTGACTGCGTCGTGGGTGGAGCGGAAGCATCGCGAGCTGGACGACGAGCTCTGGGAAGTGGAGGTTTCGGCGCTGTCGGAGCTGCAGCAGGCGGATTTGGTGATTACGCGACAGTGGATGCGGACGTTGTTGTGGCAGATGGCGATGTCGAATTGTTTGCTTAGTTCGCATGCGTCGTGTCCTTCGTTGGAGTTGGATATGCCGTTGCGGTTGTCGAGTCAATTGAGGCAGTTTTTGACGAAGATCTCGCAGAATATGATTCGCGTGCATGGGTCGTCGATGATTAGCAAGTTGTTGGAAATTGTTAATACTATCGCGGATGTGGTCATTCATGTGCCGCAGGCGACGACGGAGGAGACGACAAGTCGCATTGATGATATTGTGTTTATGCAGGGGGTTGTGCTTTCTTTTCATCATTTGCAGGTTATGTCGAAGGATATTCTGTTGGATAAGTTCCGGCTGATTAGGGGGAGATTTCCACATATTGAGGTAGCTATGCAGCTGGCTGTTTAGCTGGAGATCAGTATCATCCTGTGAAGAGAGCTGTTTTGAGTTGCTACTCAGACAAGAACAAATCAAAAGAAAGATCGAGTGACTACGAAGTTGGGATGGAGCAAGATCCTTCCATCCGACTGAACAGCAGCTCATCACTTGAAATCATCGTTGAACCCTAGGCATAATCCAATGGCATATTGATATCAATATTACACACACAAATTCATTTCTCTAAATCGTTCAAAGCTCAGACGTCACGTTGGAGAACTCGCCCTTCTCAAGCTTCGTCTTCCAGAAGATCGGGTTCATGTCATCGAATCCGTGGTGCACCCATCCTTCTTCCTTGACGTGGTACAGGTTAATGAAACCACCGGAGTAGGCATCACGGTGCATGGCAGCCAAAATGGCTCGGCGACCGAGGTTCAATGCTTCCTCCTCTGTCAGATCGTACTTGTACTCCGCGTCCAGCACACCATAAGCGAAAGTCTGACCGGATCCAACACAGAACAGGTTACCCGGAAGACGGGTTCCATCGGAGTCGATGTAGTACAGCGCAGGTCCTTCTTGAGGAGTCATCTGGGGACCGTTGTTAGTCTCCAATTTTCACAATCTTAGGTGGGCAGATCATACTCCTGCTAACATAGTTCCCATGCTAAGTCCGTATCCCTTGTAGGCGTAAGTGAGGTTGGCAAGAATCTTGGATGCAGCCGCAACAGTGATACGGCGCTTGTGTCGGATTTCTATCCAAAATTCCATTAGCAATGTCCCTCCACTCCCTGCATAGACCAAATTCCGCTGACTTACCGTGCAATGTGCACTGCTGACTCAAATAGCGCAGCCAATATTGACAATCCTAGCAATTCGCAATAACCATCAGCAACCAATGTCTTTCACACCGTCTCCTGTCTCCAACTCTTCTGATCCAGACTTACAGCAGCACCACCGGCCATAGTTCCCAGCAGACCTGGCGTCGGCTGGTCCGACTTCTTGTCCTCTCCCCGACTCAACCGCGATACAGGAATGACCTTCTTGACTGTCTGACTGGCAATCCAGTTGCCGGCTGTTGCTCGAGAATCGGTACACACAATCTACCCCAATATTTCAGTCAGTACACCATATCCCAAAACAAAGACCACCGAGATGCGGTTTGGATATAGGAAAAACGTACGATACCGCCCTGGAAACGGAAAGCCAGGGTTGTTGTGCCGTGGGCGATCTTGATAGGACAGCTGGGATTGGAGTGGTCATCGGTCATAGCACGCAGAAAAGCAGAGCGCTAGATAATAAAAAGCATTGTTAGTCTATAATCCCGATAGTATGAGGGATTCTAGGCCGTTGATTCTCTTGGATATAGCTGTGATGACAGCGCAGCTTGGGTTGACGTCAGGATGGGCGTAGTTCCCTCTATCAGACTGCCATCCAACTCAAAGAGAACCTGCCACGGTATTCGGCGACACTCACGTTGTCAACAGGAGGAAGGCAGAACTTCAGCGAGAGGGGAGGGACGCTGGCAGAGAAGTCCTCCTGCTCTTGCTCGGAGTACAACTCATTCTGATGGGGAGGGCGCGAGTATTGGGCAACGAGCTTATCCATGATGTGTGGTGTGAGAGAAAATCAGCGAAAATAGAGGGAAAAAGATGCTGAAAGGACGTGAAAGAGATTACGATGATAGTCAAGTGATGGTTGAAGCTCCGCTGGAGCTCGGGTTTCCGCGTCACTCTGGCGCCTTAGATCACGTGCATGCTTATATTTACACTACAATTTGTGAGATAGCTTTGGAGAGCAAAGAAAGAATAAGCCAATTAACGAATTAACGAATTAAACTATTACGATACACAATTTGCATATTTCCTGAGTATAAACCCCCGTTGCATGTCCAGTGCCAGCCAACGCCGTTCCCGAAAACACCTGCACCGAGTGGTGCCCAATTTGAGGCGCGATGAATTGAGTTTACACGTAACAGCGGCAGTATGTCCGTAGCAAACGAGAAAAAGGTGTTTCGACGAAGGATCGAATGGATTACGCAGGCTCAACCAACATCTTTGCGGGCGGTGCACCGCTCCCCACTGGTTCAGTGATACCAGTGCCTTCAATCACCGAGGTATCGTCGACAACATCCGACTCCTGCTCCGATACATCATTGAGAGGATCAACATTGCTTGCGCGTCTGCTATCGTCGAATCCATTGACTTGGGACTGAGACTCCTGGGCTGCGGCCGAGGTAATGGGCTCGACACTGGGTTCCCATCCACGGAGATCATTCTCGGCGTCCTCAAGGATCTGGCGTGCCATGGGCTCATGGTCATATGCCTGGCGTGCGTCGCCAGGGACAACAGGACTATCGTCAATATAGTTGAGCAGGCGACGAGCGTGGCGAGCCAGGATAGTCTGCTTTTCGGCGCGCTCAATGACAGCCGCCAGGTGAATATCATAGGCCTCCTTGAGCTTTTGCCGCGTCTATAGTTGAGATGAGTGTTAGCACGTGTGGACTGATGTCGCGTTTAAGAACGAGACAGCAAGACATCGGAATCGAACGTACGATATTAGACAGTTGCGCCTCGGCAACCAAGTTCTGAGCCTCTGCCCGGACGAGCTCATGCTCGAGTGTAACCAGACGTGTACTCGAAGGGTCCTTGTACTTGAGCTTGGCAATCTCATCAGTGATCTTCTGACGCTGGTCCCGCGACGGCTGGACCGAGGCCTCCATGTTGCGAATCTGCTTTAGGATACCGCGGTAGTCCTCGAGATTCTGCGCAAAGACGTCCTCTTGTTCACCCATCTCGGCGAGCATAACGCCGAGCTTGTCGGAGATGTCGGAGATATTGTCGTCCTCAGTCGCCTCTCCCCATTCGGAGAGCTGGGCAGCGATTGCGGTGCGCTCACGGCCAGCGGCTTCGTGGGCGCCGATGGCGGAGTTCTCGCTTTTGATCAGCTTGGTCATCTTGCGACTCAGTTCTGGTGCTTGGATCCCGCGGAAGGTCGAGATGAACCTGTGCCGGCTGGCAGGAGGCTCTTTGCGCGATCGGAATGCAAGATTGCGATTCCTGGTTGATTTAGTGACAATAGAAAGCCAAGGAAATGGGATACATACATGGTTCTTGTATGAAGATACGTTCAATCGATACAAGGTAGAGTTACTGTGAGGTATGTTAAGACGAGGAGCGCAGAAGCCAAACCTGGGGAGACAGGCTGTGATAAGTGAGACGACAGCGCCTTCCTATAGATGACGACGGTCGAACCCTATTCTCTTCTCTTTTCTTTTCTGAGGAACTACAGTCCCGGTGGCTGACGTCATGACGGGGAGGGGCGGATGTTGGACGAGTTGTTGATGCGCTGGCCCTTCCGATTGCGGAAATCCCTAGTTTTATGTTGTAGATTTGCAAGTGGTGGTGATGGTTACTGGGGCTACTATCCTGATCTACACATCGGTTGATCGTCATTCCCCTCCCGGCCTCCCGATATCAGGGAACGAACCCAAAGATATAAAGCTGGTCATTTATGATCTTATATATATCATAGATCTACATCCGTGCATATGTACCCGAAGAAATGCACAGAACATAGTAGAATGTCTAGATTCTTCATCTACTGGCCAATACATACCTACCCAAGGTATGCCTTGTCTTCGGACTCAACTGCATCCTTCCTAATTAGGAAATCCGTGCTTCGATCAGGTTTACAGAAGATGTGATAAAAAAATAGGGATTAAATTGGATGAGATCCCACCCTCTATCATCGTGATTCGAGGGGACAAAAAAAAAGAATCTCGCGCAGCCAAAGGGAGCAGAGAGCTCCCTGGCTAATCTTATGGTACACAGCCAGCTAAAGCGTCCTGCTTGAAATCCAAACCCCCGAACAGCATAAAGAAAGCCCCACAACACCTAAAGCAGATCAAAGGAGTTGATCTGCAGAATCATTCGTAAAAAAAAAAAAGGTTTCATATGAGAAGAACTCGAGGCAGACTAAGAAATGTCATCCGCGTCGGGGTTATGCGAGTGTTCGTTATCAGATGCATGGAATGCGTCGCCGAAAGCCGAGTTCTCCAGGTCTGGCAAGTCGAGCCCATCATTCTGCTCGCTATAAGCCGCCAAAGCATCACCGGCACTATCAATATTGGTGAAGTCAAAGTCCCCACCGACCGGGCCGTGGTCTTTGCTCTCATTGTTGACCATGACCCAGTCGTTGGCCTGGCCATTGGCACCGCCATGAAGCTGGTCTCCCAAATCCATGTCCACATCACCAGAGATGTCAGCACCGTGGAGTGGTTGCCCATTGACAGAAACACCTGCGCCGGCGCCAACGCCCGGGCTACCGAACTGGTTGAGGAGGTGAGAATCGTCATGGTCCATGACTATGTCATTAGTGAAAGAGTCAGGCTCATCCTTGTGCTCAGGCTCGATTTTCTCCAACAGACCACCTTTCTCAACACAGGACACCTTGGGTTCGGCGACAATCTGCTTCTTCCAGGCAGTCTCAACTTCCCGGACGACCTCGTCAACTCTGTATTTGGCCTTATCTTCAATGTAGTCCAACTGTGGAGTCTCGTCCTCAGTTGGGATGACAACTCGGCCTTCCAATCTCCAAATCTCTGGTCCCTTTTCGGTCGGGTCAGCGGCAGACTCTCGGAGGCGCAATTCGGCATCCTTAAACAATGAGCTTCGGTTGAAACGTTGCATCCGGCGAGCATGTTGTTTCTTCAGGTTTTCGATCTCAGCAGTCATATTCGCCACCTTCTTGGAAACCCGTTCGGCAAACTCCTCTGCCTTGGCTGCCTCCATCTTGGTGGCTTGTGGGGCATCGCCTGCCTCCTGGCCTTCCCCGCCGGAGGTTCCCACAGGAGCATCGAAGAAGCCCGCGGTCAACGATTCGAGCTCTCCCTTTCTGCCCAGACCCAATGAAACCGGTGTAATCTGTGAGATACTGTAGGCTGATGCGAAGATTTCCTCCATCCACTCGTGATGCTGCTGGTATCGCATTTTGCTAACTTCGCGAGGTGTCAGAAGATCCATCGCATCACCACTGGAGACGTCTTCATCCTCAATGGCAAAATCAGCTGTTGCAGAAGCGATAGCAGCCGAAGGCGCACGGTGTCCGCGTGGTGCTTTGGCCACGGGTGCATTAGGCGCAACTGCACCTGGATGGCCCTGAGAGGGGTAGAATCCAGGCCCACGAGGCGCAGCAGGTGGATAAGCACCGGGTTGCCCGAAGTTCTGTGGGTTCATTTGCGGGAAGTTGATCACTGGCCAACTATTGCGATCGTGAAGCAAAAAGTCCTTACGGGCTAATTGTCCTTGGCTCTGAAGGAAGCGGCGCTGACCCATCATGGCCTGCATTGCGGGTGTAACTGAGATTCGGTTTGCAGCGGTATGATCGGGAGGCGCTGCGCGTGTGTAGTGCACAATCCACAATGAGGGGTCGGGCTGGGGAGCATTTGGGACTTTGGACGCGGTAATGCGGTAGCGCTTGCGGCAGTGAGTTGCCACAGGCTCATTAGGAGGGTGGAAACCGCTTCGGTGAAGGTACATCTCGACGGTCTGTGGCATCGAATGTTAGAATGCAGTTCACATAGAGCAAGAGAAGCTCCGTCGCGGAAAACATACATAGCCGCGGGATTCAAAGGTAAAGGCTTGTTCTGGATCGGCCCAGATGTAGCCATCGCTGGCAAAATTGACGCCCATGTGATTTTGTGGTTGCCATGTGAGCATGACCGTTCCATCGGGGGGGGCCGTCCAGGAAAGTCCAATGCATAGGCTGGGATTGGCAGATGCGCGGTGCGCTGGTCAAATACTCGACAGCAGTCTCAGAGGGCATCATATGCATGCTAGGGTACCGGTTGCGTGAAACCAAGTGCATATGAGGGAGCTATCATAGTTGCGACAAGATTAGTTAGGACACAAGTCATGGGGCAATGCGCGGTATCGAAGTGTCGGGGTCATACCAGCTGCCCCGGGATGCGTGTGGCCGGATCATCCATTGCAGGCGCTTGATTGCCAACTGCAATCAACCTTGAAATCAACTTGGGAAGATATGGGTCGATTTGGTTCGAAGAAAGCGAGGCAATTGCGATGCGATGGAAGATAAAAGGGCGAAAGCAATGGCGGAGGGAGATGCTCAATGAACGCGACACCAACGACGCGGGAGATTTTTGATACGGTGACTGTGATATACCTAAAGTGCAATACACCTCAATCTTCAGGCATCAATATCTTTCTGTAACTATTCATGTGCTTTTGATTTCCCTTTCTAAACCATTGAATACAAAATACAATAGATGATTGATGATGAACCATTCATCCTTGTTTATATGCAACAATTATATATTCAAAGTCTTAGCCAATCAGTTGGAAATCGTGGATGTGCACTTTTTACCACATCCCTCACTCTATATACATAGCCGTTTGCTTCCCCTTGGTCAAGCACAACTAATTAGACATGAAACTATGTATACAGTAGTTCAGATCAATAACACACTCGGGTAATATCAGCTTTGAAAGAGAATCCCGTCAGAATAACCTCGGTCGCAAAAAGGTCGTGGCTCCACCTAAGCTTTTGCCAATGCCTCCGCATTTGCCTGCTCCATTTTTCGTTCTCCACACAGAATCTCGGAGACTCAGCATCCATTCCGAAGCAGAGATGACCAATAGATCCCAATAGCTCTTCAGATCTGCATTTGCACCAATTGCCGCAAATGTGACTCAAGCTGATTTTGCTCCAGCATACATCTGTCGATCCCGACTGGTTTTACCCCCCGCGAATAAGTATGCCTCCACAGACTCCCGAAGATCGACATGCTCGGTAGTTTCTTTGTCCGGTTTTCTTTTCAGTGCAATAAATCACTACCCCTTTGCAAGATTCCATCATGGGCTTATACAACAACCATGAGCCAGAGGATGCAATCCAAACAGCCCCCGATGAAGACGTGGAAAAAGTCACCCTGCCAGCTCATGAGGAGAAACTGGCTACTGCAATGCAGCCAGCTATCAACCCTGAATTAGAGCGCCAGCTTGTGCGGAAATTGGACTGGCGTGTTCCAACGCTGATGGGATTTTTCTGTATGACTCGATCTCTAGCTTTCGAGCAAACCTGGGTGCTTACCATGTGCCTTCGGGGTGTCTAGATCTCCTTGCTTTCCTCGACAGATCTAATATTGGGTTCGTGTGAAATATCATCTTTGGATCAGCGACTAAAAAGGCATCGCCGCTGACTTTTTGATACATAGTAATGCCAAAATCGCCGGCATGGAAGAGGACCTCAACCTCGATGGGAAAAAGTACGCTTGGCTCTTGACGATTTTCTACATCTCATATACAGTGTTTGAATTCCAAGCATTGATGTGGAAGATCATCAAGCCGCACCAATGGGCTGCCTTTGTCGTGTTCTCCTGGTATGTATCCCACGTGCAATGCTGTCGATCAGCTACGAGCGCAGATATATATGAATTTATGAATTAAGAACTAATGGCTTCTGAGAAGGGGCTTGGTGGCAAGCTGTCAAGCAGCAGTCACCAATTGGCAGGGTATGATGGCTCTCCGGTTCCTGATGGGTGTCTTCGAGGCTGGCTTTGGTCCCGGTGTACCCTATCTGCTGTCGTTCTTCTACCGCCGCCACGAGCTCGGTCTCCGATGCGGTCTATTCCTATCCGCTGCCCCACTAGCGAATACATTCGCCGGAGCCCTGGCCTACGGTATTACTTCAGGACAAGCTGCGGTGGCAAATTGGCGATTGCTTTTCCTGGTTGAGGGCGTGCCAGTTTGCGCAGCTGCCCTGCTAGCTTGGTTCTATGTGCCAGATAGCCCGCTGGACGCCAAGTTCCTGACCGAGGAAGAGAAGGATGTTGCGCGTGCTCGTGCGATGCAACAATCTGGTGAAGCGGACCGCACGGGGAAGGTTCAGTGGAAGGAACTGGCCATGATGCTTCTCGATGTGAAAGCGTGGCTTACAGCGGTAAGTCGAGGACCACAATTTCAGCGTACGGTTGTATTCACGGAGAGCTTGCCTGCTAATGTAACACTGTACCACTAGTTGATGTATTTCAGCTGTAACGTCAGTTTTTCTTCTCTTCCTGTGTTCCTGCCTACCATCCTTAAGCAGATGGGCTTCACAGCCATCAATGCCCAGGGTCTCACAGCACCTCCATTCTTTGCCTCGTTCCTGGTGACCATCGCGACTACCTGGGTGGCAGATCGTATCCAGCAACGTGGATTGATGGTCGCCGGATTATCACTAGTCGGGGGCGTGGGATACATCCTCTGCGCAACCTGCAAATCAGTGGGTGTCCGATACTTTGGGGTTTTCTTGGCAGCCTGTGGGATCTTCCCGTCGATCGCCAATATTTTGCCCTGGGTTCTGAGTGAGTCATCTCTTTTTCCGGGAGTTTTCTTCTTACTCGCTTTTACGTTGTACTAACCGAATTGTGTTTCACAGACAACCAGGGCTCCGATACTCGCCGCGGTGGAGGTATCATTCTGCTCAACCTCATTGGCCAATGTGGTCCTTTCCTGGGCACCAATATCTTCCCGGATGAAGAAGCCCCGAGGTATGTAAAAGGTATGTCAATCTGCGCAGCGTTTATGTTCTTCACTACTGTCCTTGCTCTGTGCCTCCGTGTGCTCCTTGTGTGGGAGAACCGACAGCTTGACAAGAAGTATGGGCCGTGCATTGTGCATGACCCGACCAAGTCTGTGGACGCCCCGGTAGCGGAGGACAATTACGGTGCGAATTACCGTTTCGTTCTGTGATGATTGCATTGTCTCGATTTACAACGAGATTCACTGTATATCCCTATATGGTGGGACTTTGATACATATAATTATCACACGTTGTGAGCCCGCGGCTACGATGATGCTAGGAAGCTCATCGAGATTGATCATGAGAAAATGAAATCATCCATCTGTATCAGACATCTTCCGTATTTTTCCCAACAAATCCACCAGAATTAACTAACCCCTTCAAGTGGATCTCCTTGACCATTGCTTCCATTCTGCGCTGTATAGTACTTTGGTACAAGGCCAATTCTAAACACCCGACCTGTTTGTCTGAACAAGCTTGATAGCAGCTCTCTCACAGAAGGTGATACTCATTGATCAATTGAAACTGGACACATCACACCGTGTTCCTATATGTTCGACAATCGAGTCACAGGGAACCCTACTCCGTGGGGCAAAAGAAGTCATCCGGGGCAGAAGGCTCCGGGCCACTCATGAAGCCAAAATACAGCCAGAAAAGCTAGAACGTCACTTTTCGACGGAGATCTGCATTTCATTCGTGCAATACAGCTCACCGGGGAACTATGCCCGGAAAACCGGAGAGAGTCGGAGAAATATGACATCTGGAAAGGCCGGATGGTGGGGTCTGACATTGGCATATAAGGTTATAGCGACCCCTCGCCGTTCTTCTCTCTCTTCTCTTCTTCCATCCTTCATCAATTGATTACTATACATCACAACAGTAACTAGCTACTACCGTTTACTCTCTTTCAGGGCTAACCATCTTCTAGTTCCCAAACGGACAAGTACATACTGCCCTTCCTTTGGGAGCCATGGATACGCTTTGGCTGGGCTTATTATCCCTCAGGGATCAAGGTATCTCAGGTAACTTCTGGGTGTGAGCCGGTGTTCGTTCCTGCGTCGGTGGTGAATCCAATTTCTATATCGGTGGTGATGTAGCTATCAGGTTCATCCTCGGCGTGGGTTCGTTCTGAGATTATACGGCTTTCAACTTGATCTGGATAATACCAGCGAAAGGATCATGCCCTCCCCTTCCCCTGTTCTCCCTAAACCAAGTAGGCAAACTAACTAAGGCTCTAAGTCATCTCTTCGACTTGATCTCTGAACCATTATGTCTCCTCCCGCTGCTATGTTTCAGTCTGCTACTGTTGCCCCTACCGGCATCAAGGGCAAGGTCATCGTCCCCGAGTCGGTGACCACCACCCTGACCGGCCAGGGTGAGTCCAAGCTCCTTGAACAGTTCGGCAACAAATGGGATGAGTTCAAGTTCGCCCCGATCCGCGAAAGCCAGGTCTCTCGTGCGATGACCCGACGCTACTTCCAGGACCTGGACAACTACGCCGAAAGTGATATCGTCATCGTCGGCGCTGGCTCCTGTGGTCTGAGCACTGCCTACGTGCTCGCCAAGGCCCGTCCGGACCTGAAGATTGCCATCCTGGAGGCCTCAGTGTCGCCCGGTTAGTCGTTCTTTATATACGGGAGCAGACACTCTCGTAGATATTCATATTAAAATCTTTTGACGCCACATCACTAACAAACATCCAATATAGGTGGTGGTGCCTGGCTAGGTGGCCAGCTGTTCAGCGCAATGGTCCTCCGTCGCCCTGCAGACGCCTTCCTGACAGAACTCGGCGTTCCCTTCGAGGAAGAGCCATCGAACCCGAACTTCGTGGTCGTCAAGCACGCCGCGCTTTTCACTTCGACCCTCCTGTCAAAGGTCCTCTCCTTCCCAAACGTCAAGCTCTTCAACGCAACCTGTGTCGAAGATCTGATCACCCGCCCAGACGGCGACAACATCCGCCTCGCCGGTGTCGTCGTCAACTGGACTCTCGTCACCCTCCACCACGACGACCACTCCTGCATGGATCCCAATACTATCAACGCCCCGATCATCGTCAGCACCACCGGCCATGACGGACCATTCGGCGCTTTCTGCGCCAAGCGTCTCGTTTCCATGAACTCCATTGAGAAGCTGGGTGGCATGCGTGGTCTCGACATGAATGCTGCTGAGGATGCCATTGTTAAGAACACCCGCGAGGTCGCTAAGGGTCTTATCATTGGTGGTATGGAGTTGTCGGAGATCGACGGCTTCAACCGTATGGGCCCTACTTTCGGCGCTATGGTTATGAGTGGTGTTAAGGCCGCTGAGGAGACTCTGCGTGTCTTTGAGACCCGCAAGCGCGAGTGTGCTGAGTAAATTCGCACACCCTCGGACTGACTTGACTAGTTTGTCCTTTCTATGCGCGTCTTTTGCGGCTGATGGATTCGATGGAGGTTCATTTAGCTTTGATGATGATGATGGCTTAACAAATGCACTCTACGCTCGTTTCGTGCAAGTATTCTTCTTTTCGTATGTACACATACCCGTAACCGTAGACACCATATAACTGTTCATCATGCTTTTGAATTCATAGAACTTGAGTTGAGTAGAAGACCTATCTATACCTATCGTGGTCGAACTTTTTAACAGTATTAAAAGCATTATCAATTAGTTTGGCCGCTTCGGGATGAATCGGCCAAGGTTATGTTATACTACACTTCGTAACCGATATATAAACAAATGAATGAATCACGCCATCCAGCCAAGTCTCGTATACATATTCTCCCATCTTCACATCAGGTCGTGAGGAATGAGTAACACTTAAAGATCCTTTTGATCTCTCTCTGTTTCTTCTGAAACAGCCCGAGAGTCGCCCTCAGCAGCAACGACCAAGCTCCTCGCATTGCTCACCTCCCACTCAAACTCCTTTAAGGCACGCAACTCGCCAGACATAAATAGCCCACCAATTAGACCATCCAGAATCCCACCACCGAAGTTCAACGTGCTGACAAAGATGAGGATAAATCCAATGTACGTGCGGCTGCCAATCCACCAGACACCGATCATGCAACCAATGGAAATCACGATAGAGGCAAGGAAATGCGCCAGGCGCCAACGGCGCTGGGATCGTTCACGGGCCACGTATGTGTGGATCATGTCAATGATGTGGTCGTATGTCTCGGGGGAAAGGGCGGCGTTGGGAGATACAGGTTTTGAACTTGTCTTGTGCAGGGTAGGTGAATTGGGAGAGGCTGGGGCAGAATCTGCCGAGGGGGAGGGTGGACGGGTTGATGCCGTAGGAGAGCGGGTGATGACAGCCTCGACAGCGAAGTGGTCGCTCAGAGAGCAAAGGAGAGTGGGATGGCGCTCTGTCATAGATACTTGAACAGACTGGACCGACCAGGTAGCCGGCGGGAATGCAGGAGGGTAACCGCCATCACCAATGAAGATATAGTCCAGACGTTTGGCACGTGGATCAGGGGTATCTTTGTCGATGATAATCTCTTCACCCTTCTCTAGGCGTTTGCGCATAGCCTCAGTCCAGCGCCACGTATTGAAGGACCCATCGCACGTAGCTCCATTCTCCGTGAGATTGAACTCGGCGGTGGGGATAGGCCGGTTGCGTGCCTGTTCAACAGGATCAATTGCTGCCGCGAGAGAGGAGTCAGGATGGAGCTCGCGCCAGGCGTCGCGGACGGGGCTCTGGGCAGTGATGAGGCGATGTGCGAAAGAAGAAGGAACCATGTTGAAATCACCCAGGCCAATGACTAAGTGGCCGCGCTCTGCAGCGCCACGCATGAGCTTCGCAATCTCCCAAGCTTGCGCGGTGCGGTGACACAGATATGAGTCGTTCGGTTCACGCTCATACGGGGCATGTAGGTGAGTGCAGAACACCTCCGCAACGTCTGCAACACCAGGGCCGAACCGCACGCGTGCGCTAGCGACACCTTTGCCCACGTACCAGTCTCCCCGGAAGAATGCCGTAGGTCTACCATTCAATGGGTAGCCAAACATGCTACTTTCTTCAATCGGCCATTTTGACAAAATCGCCAATCCCGCGCCAAAGATGCCCCCGTAATAAAATTTCCCATATGGCAGGATATGTCGAGTTTGGTCGCGAATGCTTTCAAAGTCCTTCTGTGTCCAACATTCTTGGAGTCCGACGATTTCTGGCGGCGGCGTGGTTAATGCCAGCTGGCGCCCAATTTCTGACATGCGCTCATGGCGGTATTTGGCGATGTATTTGAGACCCCAACAATTGAGCGTGAGGATACGAATATCGGTAGGAGCTTCAAGGGGGATAGAAGAGGACATTGGATCTGTTATCCACCAAGAGGAGCTCCTGGAATTGGTCAAGCTCCTTAATCAAGCCAGGTATATTTGATGAGCACTTGATAAATATTGACATTCCACCTGAACAGCCAACGGCCTCGGTAGTATGACGCAGTCCAGAGCAGGGGTTGTCACCGCCCACCACGTGCGACACCGCCTTCCTATTATTCGAACGCGTTCAATTGATTTTCTTCCTGATGGACTTGTGTTATTGGCTTTTGTCCCAACGATCTCGGCGCATTTGCATTCGTTTGTTTGGATGCTTCTGTGCATTCCTTGTGCATGATGGATCGTCTCAAACCCCAACCTCGTCGTCGCGATCCTCGCGCTCAATCTCCCAGCGAGTCTTCCTCCGATGAACTCGCCGCAGGCTCCGATCACGATGAAGCTGAACGCCGCCGAGCCAGCTGGACCCTGCAAAAGGGCTTTACTCCGCAGCGTCCGCAGAAGTCTGGACGTCACTACAGCGAGTCTGAAAGCCCCGATGAACTAGCCGTCGATGCCGGCGAGTATTGGCGTTCCTCGCGCACGCGCAACCGCCACCGAAGCCCTTCCCCGATTACTCGCGCCAGCAGCCACGACGAGGAATCTCAGCGCGGATCAGATGAGCTCCCCGAAGACAATTCAGTTGACTCGGATGAGGACCAGGCCCGTGAAGCCGAGGACTGGTCTAATCGTTCTGCCACTCCTGTTGCGCCTCCGCTACCCCCCAAGCCTGAACATCTGAACTACAAAGAGAAGTTTGTTATGCGCGGCCACTTGCGTGGAGTATCTGCTGTGCAATTCTCGCCAGATTGTTCAATGATTGCTAGTGCGGGTATGTTTTGCACTCGCACTCACGCGATTACACAAGTATGTAACTAACCTTGCATGAATGATAGGTGCCGATGCAGCTGTCAAGGTCTGGGATACCGCATCTGGTAGACTCATTCACACCTTTGAGGGACATTTGGCTGGTATCTCTACTCTTGCCTGGGCTCCTAACGGCGAATGGATTGCCACTGGCTCTGACGATAAAACGATTCGTTTTTGGAACGTGAATACTGTAAGACTCCGATTCAGCATTTCATGTCTTGAGACGTCTTACTAATTTCAAAATACAGCTCAAGGCACATACTAAGGTCTTTGATGGCCACCACAATTACGTGTATCAAATCGCATTCGCTCCGAAGGGCAACATTCTTGTTAGTGGTTCCTATGACGAGGCCGTCTTCATGTGGGATGTGCGCCGAGCACAAGTGATGCGCTCCCTTCCAGCCCATTCTGACCCAGTCGCCGGCATCGATGTTGTGCATGACGGAACTCTCATTGTGTCCTGCGCTCTGGATGGTCTCATTCGTATCTGGGACACCCATAGCGGCCAGTGTCTCCGTACCCTCGTGATGGAAGACAACCCACCTGCAACTTGTGTGAAGTTCTCTCCCAATGGCAAGTATGTCTTAGCCTGGACCCTTGATGGCTGCATCCGCATGTGGAGCTACGTCGAGAGCCGCGTCCTCAAGACATTCCAAGGACATGTCAACACGAAATACAGCTTGTCGGGATGCTTTGGTACTTACGGCTCTCCTGATGTGAACTACCAGCCACCTTTATGTTTTGCTGTCAGCGGTAGCGAGGACGGTGCCATTATTTTCTGGGACATTGTCAGCAAACAAATCTTGCAGCGCCTCGATGCTCACTCAGATGCCGTTCTCGGTGTTCACACGGGCACGTTACGCGGCAAGCGTATGCTTGTGAGCTGCGGACTGGACAAAACTGTCCGGTTGTGGGAAGAGGTAGGTGAAGATGGATTCGAGTCTAATGAAGACGCGCTCGGCGAGGATGCTACCCCTACTCCCGAGTCCCACTCGCAAAACAACACCCCTGCGCATGATGCAGATGGCGATGATGCTATGACCGATGCATCTGCTGTGCCCTCTACTGCCACCACTCCGGCGGAAGATGTGACGATGACATGAGCTGATCTCTGTGATTTTCTAACGATTTTTCTTTCTTTCTGCATGGGCGGTTGCTTTTCGGGAAAAGGAAAATACCCCGGTGTATGGTGTCGTCCTTATGGACAGTTTATGTTTCTCCCTCATCCGTGTATTCGGCCTAGGCTTTCATTGTTATCAATGAAAATAGCTTTCATCTGATTGATATTGCATTGCATTCCAGCATGTGAGATAACGAGCGAATCTGATACTTTCATACTTTACCACAGTGCCATCTTGGTAGTAAAACCTACATGGAAGAGAATCCCAAGAGACTAAGTAGTATAAAAGGTAATGGTATAAAAATACAGTGTTCCTGCTATAGGTACCGAGTCCATCTTTCTAGACGTTGGAGTCCCTCGTCCTAAGATCGAACTGCTTGGAAGAAACCATAGAAGCGTGATTTCATATTCCAATGGAACGGCCCTTCTTCTCTAGCGACAAAATGTTCGTTAAATGTCCCCGAGGTGGATGCTGCGGTCTAAATTGAAAGGTGACTGATGACCAGGAAACTTCTCAGGTTGATATACACTGACCATATAAACCTTCTGGACTTCTACTTTGTGAGAAGAGTTGATCTCAAGACAGGCGAAGTACGTGAGGTCCATTGAATAGGTAAAGGAAAGATGTATGGCACTTTTCTTTGGTTTAGCTTCTTTCGCCAAGCTGTATGGCCGTGATACCCTAAAAGCCCCCTTGGCTAGCACTAAACCTATCCTTCTTTAGCTGTATCTTTATGAAGGCTGATTTATATCGAAGCCCTACATGGGCAAGGAGTTCGTTCAAGTCTAGATACTAGGGTGTCATTCGTATGCAAACACCCCTAAAAGACTGATGTACTATCAATTCCATCATCAAGTCAAAACGCAGCCTCATTGTTGAAGCAGAAATATGGGGATACACCTGGTATGATTCATGTAGAATTGCGCACGAGCCCTCTATGCACAGAGTAACAGAGCAATTACCACAAATGCCTGCCCGGATCTTCGATCAGACCACAAGTCTTCCAATCTCATGATCTGAGTTGGGGGCTATTTGCAAGCATATTGTCTGACATTAACCGTGGTATTTTGGAGATCGTTGGTATGAAGCATGACGCGGCAAAATTGCTCATAATACTGACCTGTACAGATCTGTTGATTCCATGTTAAAGCCTCCTGTAATGAAAAGACTCGTGTAGGTCATCACATTGGATGCGATTGATGAGTTTTTCGTGTTGCGAGTATCCTAGGCTCTAGGCTCCGCATGAAACTGGGGGTCAATTATCTACAGTTTATATAGAGTATGCCATCGGACGTCATCAGATAGTCGCGCAGGATCAGCTCTGTGATGAAACATTTGCTCCAGTTGTCCACAGGTCTCATACAGCCGACACTTGTAACTATATGCAAAGAAGCCCGCTCGAACATTGACTGAGCAACGGTCGAGCTCCTGAACGCGCAGCGCCGAAACCCTCGAAATATTCTTTTACAAAGTCGTCTGACCGTTGACATTACGAGTAGATTCCGACTCGCTGGATGCCAAACCAGATCCAAAATCACCAGGCCAGTCAGCAGGAGGTGTGTCATGCGACCGAGCAATTGGAGCCTCTTCAACTTGTTTGGTAGCTGCTTTTGCAGCCAAAGATCGAGTAGCAGCCTGAGTCTTCCTCAATCCGTCACCATTAAGAAACCGACGAAGTGACTCCTTGCCGACTTTGTAATCCACTAGCACCAGCAGGTCATCATATGTAATTTGAGGATTCGCATGGAAGGCCTCGCGGATTCGAGCTCTGTCATCTTCCTTCAGCTTCGATGGTCGACCCGAGCGAGCCTGGGAGTGATTATTGACTCGATTGCTCTCGCGCATTATTGTCGATTTTATCGTTGAGAGCGGGATGTGTGGGTATTCATTCTGGATCTGTTTGTAGGTCCATTTGGCTGTGGTTCTGAGCACGCAGAGCCGTGTGCGCAGATATGGATCAAGTTCGGCCCCACGTCGCCGAGATCTTTTCTCGGGCTTATCAGGGATCGTGGGCTTCTCGAGGCCCTCGGGCCCCATGGTAGCGAGCTTGGTGCCTGGGAAGAGGAGTGACTAGAGGCGCCACGGGGCACCAATCTTGGGATCTCTAATTGCGATGCGGTAGGCGGTACGAATGGTACATTTTCTGCCGGGTCTTGAGCTATGTTTGGAGTATGGGTATTTGCCTTCTGCTTTTAGATACTATATCTTGATATTCATTGTACGGAGTACCATGGTCCCAATTGAATCAGAGAATTCAAGCAATTCTATGAGCGAACATAAGGAGTACTCCGTACTCTGTATAGAGCTGCCAGTGGGAAGCTCTTTGTTGTGGATAGTATTGGGTGGAACTGTCAGAACACGGGATCAATGCCCCTTTTTTGGACGATGGCACAATAAGGAAGGATCGGTTCATTGGTTCCAATCAACCTGAAACTCCGAAATGGACATTCGAGGATGAGATAATGGCAGATTCTTCACTGCTCTCCAGCTCGAATCGACCTGGATACTGTGGACGGAGGATAGACTCCATGGATAATGTATGGACAACCAGTCAGCGCTAGAGGTGGCTGGCATGGTGATCATCACAATAATTGACCGTTTGCCATAGGCTGCCAGCAGAGACCAGAATAGCTACATATCTGTGAAAATCGAGTGGCCCCCTTGTGCTTGGTCCTGTCTCACATTGATGATAGGGCGGACTGAAGGAAGAACCCACCCAGGTCTAAAATTTTGTGTATTTTGATGTACTCCGTACTCGATACAGATTCACACAGCGAGGAGACATCCGTGCAGTGCACGAAATGTGACTCCGAGTCCGCTGGAATCGATTGGTCGTATGCACAATGACACGATTTTCACCAGGAACATTATGTGTCCAGAAGCCTGTAAGGGGTCCACTGGGAAGGCTAGATTTGAATTTCACAAGGATCTTCGATCGGCGCTCCAACTGTGTGTCGGGCCCTGCAGCTCTGTCCTCGGAGGCTTGTGTGCGCAACATTTGCCCCTCGCGGGGCACGTCACGCCGAGCGATAGAGACATTCGACACGTCTCTGAAGAAGTGGACCACAGGTTTCGGGCTTGCAGGTACCATTTTCCCCGAGTGCCTTGCGCCCGATGCTTTGATTTGAATGGTCAAACATAATTCAGCGAGCGCTACGGAGTACGGAGTACGGAGTAAAGAAAATTGACCTGCCGTGTGGCTGGTGTGGCGTTATTGTCGCTGATTAGTGTACTCCCTCGATTGGTGTAGGGCAGGAATGCGTTCCATGGGTGGCGACCGGGAGAGATTTTAGCGTGCCTCCTTCAGGCTGGTAGCTTTGGGCGGAACCTTGGTAACTTAGGGGGGCAATCTTGGTTCCAATACTCCGTACGGAGTACTCCATACGAAGTAGTCCGTTGGGAGCTCTACGGAGTAATGGGAGCTTCAATGGATTATCTTGTCTCCTTTCACAGCGTTAGAGGTCATCTGAATTTATGGGAATTAGAGCGTTAGGACAGTAAAGCCAGGATATAAATACCAAATCTAATGGAAATAGTAACATACCCGAACGTTAGGCCCAGGCTTTGAAACGGGGTCAGGGCCAATCAGTCCCAAATTCAGGGGGTCCCCCAAGTCCAGACTAATCGTAAAGTCGCAACCCTACGGTCGAGACTTCTCTCTCTTTTCTTCTTTTCACTGATCATCGCATTCTTGTGAGAGGGGGAATTTCACTCACTAATCTCCAATCACTACCTCTCCTACTACTGTCGCTCACTGTCTCTTGTTCTGTGTGTTTTTTTTTACAGCTCCTGGTACTCGAAAACCAGTGTCTCACAACAGCCCACCTCCTCGTCCTTGCGACCCTTTGGACTCTTATTATTGATTTGTTTTTGTGCTGTGCTGCCGCGGGTTGATCCTGCCTTTTGTTTTGGTCTTTTGCGACTTCTCCACCCTCGCCTCATACATCGTTTCAATCCGTCCGATTATCGTGTCAATCGATCCCTATATCCTTAATGAATCCGCGCCTACTCGATCTAACGTGTTAGCTTTGGATTGGTATAACACATTGAACATCAATTGTGCCTGGCCAAGATGCGGAATTTCATCTGGTCTCTGCTAGGCTTGGCCATCGTGCCTCGCGCCTTGGCAGGGGACACTCTATCTACGAATGGATTTAACCTGTGCATGACCGACTCGGCAATCAACATCCAGAAGATGGATGTTACCTACACTCGTTCCAGTGGAGTAATTATCTTCGACGTGGCTGGTACCAACGCGAAGGAACAGAAGGTGCGGGCTGCTATCACCGTCACTGCTTATGGAAACGAACTTTACAGCAAAGAATTCGATCCCTGCGGTGATGACATCCATGTTGATGAGCTCTGCCCCGTTCCTAAGGGAACTTTCAAGGCCAGTGGATCGATGGAAATCCCCGCCGAATATGCTAGCCAGATTCCTGGAATCGCATTCACTATGCCCGACCTGGATGGTCAGGCAAAGCTTATCCTCAAGTCCAAGGAAGATCAGAATAATTTGGCATGCATTGAGTCCGAGCTTTCTAACGGCCACTCCGCCAAAGTTGAAGCGGTTCAATATGTCTCAGCTGGTATTGCGGCAGGCGCTTTGGCGCTGAGCGGTCTTTCTGCCGCCGGTTCGGCGGGAACCGTTGGAACACCTTCATCCAGCCCCGGCTTTGGCGATGTAATGGGCTGGTTCCATAGCATGGCTACCAATGGCATGCTCAGTGTCGCCTACCCCCCTGTCTATCGCAGTTTCTCCTCTAACTTCATGTGGAGTACCGGGTTGATCCCCTGGGCTGGCATGCAACACTCCATCGACAATTTCCGGGCAGCCACTGGTGGTAACTTGACCACCGAGAGCTATGACGCCTTGAGAAATGCCTCGATGTCGCGCAGCAGCTCATCTAGCGACATGTCGAAACGGAGTTGGGATTACACCATCGAATTTGGCGAGATGGTCACTCGTTCAGTTGACACGTCTGACGTTGATACATCCAGCGATGCTAGTGTTTCAGACAGCTCTAGCAAAGAGGAAAGCGACGATGACGACAGCAACAGCAATGATTTGATCACCAAGGCGAAGGATATCACCCAAGATCTCATGGTTCCCTCTGCTAATGTCTTCATGACTGTTCTCTTGATCTTTGCTATTGTTATCGCAGTTGTTGTCGTTGGTATCCTCCTATTGAAGGTCATCCTGGAACTGTGGGCCCTATACGGAAATTTCCCAGCCAAGCTGACCGATTTCCGGAAAGATTACTGGGGCCTGATGGCGCGGACAATCACGAACATGATCCTCGTGCTCTACAGCATTTGGGTGCTCTACTGTGTCTATCAGCTAAAGAAGGGTGACTCGTGGGCAGCAAAACTGCTTGCTGCAATTACCCTCTCCCTCTTCACGGCCGTTCTTCTGTTCTTTGCCATTCGCATTGTCTACATGGCCCGCAAGTACAAGAAGACGGAGGGAGATACCACCGGTCTGTACGAGAATAGAGAAACCTGGAAAAAGTACAGCCTGTTCTACGATAACTACAAGAAGGACTTCTGGTGGATCTTCATCCCCGTCATTGTGTATGCTTTGGTCAAGGGCTGCATTATCGCCGGAGGTGAGGGCCACGGCCTCTTCCAAAGTGCCGGTCAGCTAGCCTGCGAGATTCTTCTCCTGGGACTCCTGCTATGGAGCCGCCCATATGCCACCAAGGCTTCGATGGGAATCAATATTGCCGTTCAGGTCGTTCGCGTTTTGTCCATTGCTTGCGTTCTGGTTTTCGTCGAAGAACTCGGCCTCTCCCAAACAACAAAGACCGTCACCGGAATTGTACTCATTGTTGTGCAATCAACTCTCACCGCCGTTCTCGCTATCCTCATTGCAGTCAATGCAATCATCAACTGCTGCCGGGAGAACCCCCACGAGAAGCGCAGAAGAGAAGCTGGTAAGTCAAGTCTACAACTATTGATTTGGATACCAGCCCATTATGTGTATGTGCTAACTAATTCCTCGTAGAAAAAGCAAACCGCGACATCGATGACCTGACTCCTTTGGATGCCCGAGACTCCCTTCTCATGGACCACCCACAACGCAAGGAGTACTCCGAGATGAGCAACTTTAACTTCACGGGTCCCTATGAATCATACCGGGACCAGCCCAAGCGACCCGGCTCATCAGGCAGTAACGAGGGCCGCAGTCTTGTTCGCAACGATTACGGCGTGGCACACGGACGCAGCAACAGTCCCGATAGCCAGCGTTCGCGAAGCTCCATGGATGGCCGTCATCCTACAGCGCCAGGCTACGGGATGGCATATTAAAAAAAAAAGAAACAACGAAAAAAGCTTAAAAACAAACAACGAGAGCGTCATAAATCTGATCAGACGCCACCATTCTTCTTGCTCCTACCCCCATTTTTACTTTCATCCTCGAAATCCTTAGATCGAGCACGCACGTTGTGGCTTCGGAGTTCCTTTTTTTTTGACGGTTTTTAGCGTGCTTGAAAATGACGGTTGGGCATTTTCGATCTTCTTGCCCTTAGATGCATCTTCTTGTGTGATATCACTTCCTCCATTCTTTCTCCTCTTGTCTCTATACATACCTCATTCTTTTACCATCTTTACCATCTATCATTTATATTACAGCTTGCAACTGATGAGCATTTATTGAATTTTGGGTCTCTTCGTAACTAGAGTGCTTTGACTTGTGTAGTCCTTCTTATAGCTCAGACAAGATCAGCATTGGAGCCATAATCTACCGTGTAGCCAAGTTTCTCTGATATCCTATCTAGCAACAGTCTGTTTAGCAATGGCAGTGCTATAACATTGGATTATCCTTATGAATGAACTTTCTTCGTAAAAGGCTTTGACCATCTTGATTATGAAGATCAAGGTCAAGTATTCCAACCCTTTCCTTGGTAATGCATTTGCAACCCATCGATACTCACAGTCCTGATGATTTCTGAATGGTATCTCTCCTTTGGAGCATTGGAAGATTTGGGGCTTCAATCCCTACCAAACACATGTATGAGAAATTCCTGGTTGTGCATGGATACATCTTGTTTGATTGCCAAACCAGCAGCAATTTACCTGTGATATGAACTCAATATCAAGCTTTGCTCTTGCCATCTCATGAATATACTGGGAATGTCAGATCTTGATTGATCTATTGTGAGAAATGGTGACGCTCTGTATGTGTTCTGATTCAAGGTCAAAAATGAGTCACGTGGGCATATGGACCCTATTTGGAAAACCACTCGTGGAATTCAGTTTGACCATCACGCGATGATAACCATAGTCTACCGAGCCAGACTTCAAAATAACAGCGCCAATAGCCAAATCCTTGCTTATGTACTATAAATTAGGGTTGAATACGATTTGATGGGGTTGATGTGGCTTGGTCTGGGCCTGTCATGGTCACATTTCCGACCTTGTTGATATCCGTAGCAGCTTTGAACAAATGTCCTTACATCCCATGCCAAAACTCTTCACCCTATCGTAGTTGGTATTGAAGCACAAATACCCTCAATCTACGCCCCAAGCCCTAGAGCTTTTGCCATCGAAGCACGAATACCCTATGCCCTAGCGCTTTTGATATCGAGATTTGAATTATACTGGCCAGTCTCGGTCAAATGGAAATTTTCAATTGTGAGGCTAAAATCACAAAGAAAAAGCAATGTACCACCGAGAGAGTGCAAGACTTGAAGATCCACGCCGTCACAGATTATTGATCAGATTTCCTCTCCCGTTTAACACGCAAAACCTTGACTCAAGCTTCGATCCTCGACCCTCGCGAACAAAAAATGCACACATACGAAAGCACCGAACCACAAGAGTGAGAAGATAAAGATTAGAAACTGTCAATGTAACCCGCTCGCCGGACCCTCTTCTCCTTTTGCTTCGTAGTGGTCACGAAGATATCAATCCTGAGGCCCAAAATCGCTGGCCGCAGGCAAAAAAAAGACTTAAAAAACACATGAAAGAAAAGAATTTGTATGCGAAGCGACAGGAGACTGGATGAGTCGCTTGTAGTATCCACAGCAAGATGATTAGCGCTGGTAGGGGTGATAGCCACGGTGTCCACCTCGGCCGCCGCCACGGTAGTTCGCACCAGGCTTGCCGGCGTTGCGTGGTCCGGTGGGGGCATTAGCAGGAGCAGCGCTCTGAGGTTGGGGGGTGGTTCCTGTTAGAGAAATGTTAGCTACACAAGTACAGAACAAGGATGAAAGGGGTAGAATATGCAGAAACTCGAAAGAATCACATACCACTACCCGAACTTCCAACACGTCTCATACCTGCTGGTCCAGTGGGAACGTGAGGCTGCGGAACTTCGTCATACATGCCCTCCCATGAAGTCGGGCCACCTTGCTGTTGATAAGGGCTGAACCCGCGAGGGTCCATGGAGCGGCGAACCTGCTGCTGCTCGTACTTCTGCTGCTCAAAGGCAATCTGCTCAGTGGCGTTGTAAGCAGGTCCAGTCTGAGCCCGGGCTGCGTTTGCGGTTCCGTTGTTGTAGTTAGCGGCAAGAGAAGCAGCGTTGGGGCCAGGGCTGGCGTTGTCGCTGGGAGCACCACTGGGGACAGTGCCGGCTTGGTTAGGCTGCATCATAGCGGGGTTCATCATGTTAGGCATGGCCTGCTGGGAGCCGGGGCTCTGCGGGTTAGGGCTCATGGCACCTTGCGGCTGATTGCCCATCTGTTGTTGCTGTTGCTGCTGCTGACGCATTTGCATTTGCTGCATCTGCTGCATCTGAGCCATCATGGCAGGGTTCATGGCGTTCATGTTCATGCCAGGCATCACTTGGCCTGCGGCCATGGACTGCTGCATCATCGCGAAGTACTGTTGCATGCGCTGCCAATACTGGGCCATCATCTGGGGAGTCATGGAACTACCCTGTCCCTGCTGGGCGGCTTGCTGCTGACCTCCATCATGCTGGTTCTGGTCGCGATATCCTCCAGTACGATGACCTCCACGTTGATCGTTGTTGTCTCGCAGGTTACCACGGGGCTGTGCTTTCTTAACCTCAATTGGCTTGCCTAGAATCTCCAGAGGACGAGATAGAGCTTTCTCAACAGCAGCATCACCATCAAAAGTGACAAAGCCAAATCCACGGGGACGCCCAGTATCCTTGTCCATCATAAGAGTAGCATCAACAACACGGCCAAACTGCACGAAAAACTGCTTGAAGTCCTGCTCAGTAGCCTCTTGACTAACACCACCAACAAAGATCTTAGAAGTTTTCTCCTGTTCATCACGGGGAATAGCACGCTTGGGATCAATCTTTTAATCCTGGTTAGCCACATGATACGTTGACCGGATGTACGAGTTAGGGTTTAGCTCTTACAATCTTTCCATCGAGATAGTGCTCCTTGACCATAACGGTATTCACAGTCTTAGGGTCACGGAAGGTTAAGAAGCCAAAGCCACGGGAGCGGCCAGTGGCACTGTCCCGCATCACGGTACATTCCTGAACCTCACCGAACTGAGAGAAATAGTCACGAAGGGACTCTAATCCGGGGGAAAAGTATGTTAGTATGATAAATCATGATAAACCCCCAACAAAGTATGCGTACCGTCTGTAGTTTCCCAGTTCAGACCACCAATGAACATTTTTCTGTTGATCAGCCAGTCAGCACAGATTCAGGCATCATACAAAACAAAGCAAAATGCAGGGAATCAGAGGCTAATCAAAACATGATGGTGACGGAAAAGAGATAGGCATTGATGATAAGGAAAGAAATGAGAATATGTGGGAAGGTATTCTGGCTAGGAATGCTTCGAGTGTGCGAAAAGCTTCGCTATTCTGGAGAGCAAGGCCCCGAGCAAGGCATGTGCTAGGGTAGTTCATGGACTCTGTGCCTCATAGTGGTTGACAATGTACACTTGAATAGCCTTGGGCAATTCTGATACTCATGGCCGGGATTTAACGTCAAGCCCACTGGTTTACATGAGCCCGGAGATTGATGCATGTCCTCCTCTTTTCTTTTTCTTTTTGAATTGCTCAAGCCGGAGACTGGCGAAATGAGTGTGGATGTTCAAGTATTTCAGTCGTAAAAAGTGAATTGTCACTGTCTGTCTGTCTGACCCGTGAAAGCCTTTGCCTTGTCTAACACAGAGTCCCAAGCTAGATAGCTACTTCTTGCTCTGCCCTATCAAGGTATATCGACAGGAAACTATATAGTATCGGCTGTACTATATATGAATCGTCCGTGGCAAAGGTATGGCGGGTGGCGTGAAGTTGGTTTGCGCAAGCACTTGTCTCGATCCAGGGCCCAGGTGATGTGTTTGTTCGTCCACTGCTTGATATCGTGGAGTAATTGCCGGAGTATCCCACTGTATGATACGAACATCGAATTTGATGCAAATTGTAGCCGTATCATGCGTTTTCACAAACAAACGCGCTGATTGATCTCGACCCCGCATTGTATCTCCCTTCCTTTGAAGACGAATAGGCCATCAAACAACCGGCGAATTTTTCCTCGAACAGCCCAAAAGCCCAGATAACTTTCAATCCGTAGCCAGGTCACCCCTTCCAGTACCCAGATTTGTATCCGGAATCGCGAATGGCAAATTTAGCCACCCAGGCTTCTACCAGCGAGATAAAGCCCGATACCAGATGGATACATGCAATTGGGGAAGAATTATGCAATTGAGACAGGATTATACAAGCATGAGATAGAAAAGAAAACAAAATTAGTGGACTTACCCATCTTCCTTGATTCCCGTTCCGTGAGACTCTGTCTCAGCAGGAGGGGGTGCCTGAGTAAGGGCAGGGGCACCATACGCGTTTCCAGAGCCATTGTTGTAGCCCTGACCAAAGTCCGAAGTCTGGGTAGCTGGATGCGACTCGTATTGACCAACAGGATCAATTGCGGTTTCCTGTTTCGGGGAATCTCCGCCAGGTGCCAGGCTTGACACGCCTAGATCAGGCTTCGGTGCCTCTACTGCTGCAGTAGTTCGGTTGGTAGATTCATCGGCGTCATACCTAACAAACAAATATCATTAGCATCCTCAGTTCAGCATAAGATCAAGTAGGGGCACACACAGATCAGCAAAAAGATCATCTCCATCCTCGGGTTCAGCCATGATGACAAGAAAGTTAGTAGGAAAATAAATAGAGAAGCAAGTCACGGGAACACGTGTAGCCCTTATAGACCGGCGAAGTGAGACTAAAGTCAAGGGAGCAGAGTATGAGCCTGAGAGCAAGTAGAAGAAGAAGTTGTGAAGTCCAGCAGAACGGGAATCGCGAAGCGGAGCGCTTACATAACCAGCCTGGTGTTCAACTCATGAAACTCAAGCTATTTGTATCTATAGAACCTGCCTGATTCCTTTGGTTTGTCCTGTTTCTTTGAATTAGAATACCCATTATGCTCTATTGATTTTTCTATTCTGTCCTTACATGGCCTGCCTGGAGGATAGACGGCATTCATACCATCACAACGCCACCCCGCACCTCTATCAGACTCCCGCATGAGATCACCTCCTTTGGAATCCCATAAGATGGCCAACAAAAAAGGGCAACAGGTATGTTTTTCTTGTCATCCACTAGGCTTCCTTTGTTCGTCCGGTGTTTTTACATTTAACTGACTATGACGACAGGAAATGGTCCAGGTTGGTTCGTGTCCTTTGCCTCCCCTTGCATTTTAATCGCAGCTATAGCTCACATGGCCTTTCTCTCCCTTTGGCAGACAATTCAGAGTAGGTTTGAAGCTCCATATATCCTCTCCTACAGCTCAAGGGATAGCTGCAGTACTTAGGAATGCTAATGTTCTTTGAAGGCGCACCGAATCGCCCTTCTGGGCCGGCCGAAGTACGTCCCTAAACCAGGGATCTTCGAAGTTCTATGGCTCAAATACCGTTGTCGGCGCATCATATTCACATGGCAGCATTGTACAGTATGTTTTTGCTCATCTATTCTTCGGATCTAGCGATTGGCCAGAAACGATGACTGACAACTGTCTTCTTTTGGCAGACCTACCCCCCACGCACGCCCGAGAACACCGCCAAAGATATCAGCAGCAAGTCCCGGATCGAAATTGAGTCGCCATCCAGCAAACGTGGTTGCATCGCCTCCTCGGCAACCTTACCCCGGCATTATGACTGAGGGGGTCGACGAGTGGAGTCGTGACCCCACTGAGGAGGAGGATGAAGATGACGACGATGAGATTGTATACGACGACGATGAAGATGAATTCGGGCTTCCAAGTCTCGCTAGCATGAGAAGGAAAAAATCCGCGTCTTTGAAGTCCAAGAACGTTGATTCCAGCGGTGGGGCAACTGGCAGCCTCTCGGCACTTGGATATGGATTAGCAGCCAGCAACAGACAGCGGGCGAATAGTGCGGACATCGCGGAGGAGCGAGGTGCTCCGATGTATCCAACCGCTCACAAGAGCGAGGGAAAGATTCTTCGGCCTCAATACAAGGATATTCTACAAGGTATGCAAGACATCATGTCCGAGAAGCGGGAGAATGCTAACAGGTTTAGACCCTGCCAATGCTTTGAACCTCATAAATCACTCTCCACCCCCTACAGATGCCTCACCGAAAGAGAGGGATATCCATTCGAGTCACATTACGCGAATCAACAAGTTCAAGCGCATCCTGCAGGCAAGCACCGTATCTCCCACTGAGCTGCGGAATCTCGCTTGGTCAGGCATCCCGGAAGAAGTACGACCAATGACGTGGCAACTTCTACTCGGTTACCTTCCTACAAATAGTGAGCGACGTATCTCCACTTTGGAACGAAAGCGCAAGGAATACCTCGACGGAGTCCGACAAGCCTTTGAGCGAGGTAGTGGGGCAAGCTCTTCTAACCCACCTGCTACGACTAAGAGTCGCGGCAGAGGTCTTGACGAGGCGGTTTGGCACCAAATCAGCATTGATGTTCCCCGCACCAGTCCTCACATTCCGTTATACGGCTATGAAGCTACTCAGCGCTCTTTAGAACGCATCCTTTATGTTTGGGCCATCCGACACCCAGCAAGCGGATATGTCCAAGGTATTAATGACCTGGTCACACCATTCTGGCAAGTCTTCCTAGGCGTTTACATCACCGATCTGAACGTGGAAGAGGGCATGGATCCGGGCCAACTGCCTCGGAGTGTGTTAGATGCAGTGGAGGCAGACACTTTCTGGTGTCTGACAAAACTGCTGGATGGTATCCAAGATAACTACATATATGCTCAGCCAGGCATCCACCGACAGGTTAGGGCGCTACGTGACTTGACGATGCGCATCGATGCAGCACTCGCCAAGCATCTGGAGCAAGAAGGTGTGGAATTTATGCAATTTAGTTTCCGATGGATGAACTGCTTGCTCATGCGGGAAATGAGCATCAAAAACACGATACGCATGTGGGACACGTATATGGTATGTATTAACCCAAGGGCTATTTTGCTTGACACTGAACTTCATCACAGGCTGAGGAGCAGGGCTTCTCTCGGTTCCACCTTTATGTTTGTGCCGCATTTTTAGTCAAGTGGACAGATCGATTGGTCAAGATGGATTTCCAGGTATGTCATTCTCGTTGGATATCACCACTATGAACATGAAACTAACCGTATTCCAGGAGGTTATGATGTTTCTTCAGGCATTGCCTACGAAGGATTGGACTGAGAAAGATATTGAGCTTTTACTCAGCGAAGCATTTATTTGGCAGAGCCTCTTTCAAGACTCGCGTGCTCATCTCCGGCCTGCTGGTGATGAACCTCCTGAAAATGGTATCTTTTATTGATAGTAATCATAATTCATCATCCGAATTCTCAACTTCTTTCTTCGGATGTTTTTTCCCCAGGGGAGATATGCTCTTGCTCGCTCAGTTGAAATGAATGCCCTTCTGGTTGAATGCCCACAGCAACTTCAAGAAATCATTCTCGTCACACATTCTTGCGCGCCTCTCTCCAAGGTCAGTATCGTCCTCCAAGACCTGGCGCACCTTTTCACGGACTAGCTCTGCAACCTTCCCACGCTTCTTGCGTGAAGCACCATTCTTGAGCGCTGCCTCAAGGCGGGCATTGGTTTCCTCCTTGAAGAAATCAGGAACATCATCGTCATCCATTTCCATGACCTCGTCAGCCGGCTCCTCGGCAGCCTGTTCTTGCTGCTCCTCCTCATCACCCATATCCATTGCCATCGCATCGTCATTGGCGACTTCAACCGGGCCATCCTCAACAGGAATGTCGTTTTGGGCACACCATGTCCGATAGTTTGCTTCGAGCAATTCCATGATGCTTGATGTACCAATGAAACTGGACCGAAGAGTTTTGTTCTTACGCACAAAGACAATCCGCAGAAGACCATCCCACTCTTCGTAGTTGATCTGTGGCCGAGGGTTCTTGGGGACCATCCGAATGACGCTGGACTCGACCTGTGGAGGCGGCTTGAAGTTGTTCTTGCCAACCTTCATAATGTGATCGATCTTGGCCCACATCTGAGCGTTAACTGAGAGTCGACTGTAAAGCTTGTCGCCGGGCTTGGCAAATAACCGCAGAGCGAATTCGCGCTGGAACCTGTATGGAGAGTTCGCGTGTAAGTTTCCAATGGCATATAACGAGGGGGAAGTTGCAGCTTTGCCGGCGAGAACATACATGAGAACACAAGAACGAGGAGCAGGGTTTGTAGCAAGGAGCTTGAATGTGAGAGGAGAAGAGATCTGGACTTTGTTAGGATTCGGGCATAACTGTTGGAAGTGGAAGTCTGTAATTGTACATACCTGGTAAGGAGTGTTGCTGATGCAGACATCGAAGTATGGGAGCTCCGTCTTCATCACATCTCCAAGAATGACCTCCAGGCGCTTTTGGTATGGAGTGGACTGGAAACGCTTGGTGACTTCTGCGGCCATGCGAGGATCCAATTCCACGGCAATGCACTTCTTCGCCTTTTCCAAAATCTTGGCTGTCAAGTTACCAGTACCAGGACCAATTTCAAGGACGATCTGGGTAATTGACACTGCGTTAGTGTTTGTAGATTTAATGAATATCTTTGTATAACTCACATCGCTTTGCTTGAGCTCGGCCTTGTCCACAATAGCAGCTAATACCCAACTGTCAGCAAAGTGATAGCATATTGCAGCGAGACTAGTATCCTACCAGCAATACCAGGGTTCTTCAGAACGTGCTGGCCAATATCAGTGTTCATCTTGAAGATACTGTGAGCAGCTTTTGTCTTGGCAGCAGCATCTGACATGCCCTGTGAAGCGCTATTGCGCTTGGGCTTGTTGACCTTAGGCATCTTGAATAATGATCCCCGGAAATCGAACAATTATAAAAAGAAACCGAGAAGAAACTCTGCAGTAAAGCACCTCGACTTCAATGTGGGCGGCAACTTTTTTTGCGATAAGATTGTCGGTACCGGACTTACTTTCTTCCAAGCCCGCCATCGCCTTCTACGCCGTCGACCTTGAGCTGTTGTTCGATCTGTGTTGTGCCCAATATGGCGTCTGGACGAAAGGATTTCCTAAGCCAGGCTGCGCCTGAAAACTACGTCGCTGGTCTCGGTCGTGGTGCGACAGGATTCACCACTCGCTCCGATCTTGGCCCGGCGCGTGAAGGACCTACGCCCGAACAGATCCAAGCTGCTTTAACCAAGAGAGCTCAGCTTTTAGGAGCCGCTGCACCTACAGCTTACGGCACCACTTCACGCGAGAAAGGCGGAAAAGACGAAGATAAAGAGGAAGAGGATGAGCGGTTCCAGGATCCCGATAACGAAGTCGGATTGTTCGCATACGGACAATTTGACCAAGAAGATGACGAGGCAGATCGCATCTACCAAGAGGTAGATGAGAAGATGGATAAGCGCCGGAGAGCTCGCAGGTTAGTTTCATCCCTCCCATCGCTTTTCGAAACCATTTGTTCATCGGGTTAGCCCCGGTTGTTTGGACAGAGTACCGACCTGAATCGCTCGCCACCTACAGGGAAGCTCGAGAAAAAGCCGAACGAGAAGATTACGAACGAAACAACCCGAAAATCCAACACCAATTCGCCGATCTGAAACGCACACTTGCTTCGGTGTCTGAAGAAGACTGGGCCAACCTCCCAGAGGTTGGTGACCTGACTGGCAAGAATAGGCGAGATAAGCAGAATGCTCGCCAGCGTTTCTATGCCGTCCCGGATAGTGTCATTGCTAGTGCGAGAGACTCGACTCAGTATGATACCTCAGTTGCCGAAGATGGCACCCAGACGGGCACCGGCGAAGGAGAGAGCGCCGACGGTACCATGACAAACTTCGCAGATATCGGTGCAGCGCGTGATAAGGTTCTCAAAGTTCGACTTGATCAGGCTGCATTAGGATCCTCCGGCGACACATCATCTGGAAGTGCTACCAATATCGACCCCAAGGGCTATCTGACTAGCTTGACACAATCAGAAGCCAAGGCTGGTGAAGTTGAGGTGGGCGATATCAAGCGAGTTCGTATCCTGTTGGAATCCGTCACCAAGACCAACCCTAAGCATGCTCCTGGTTGGATTGCTCTTGCTCGTCTTGAAGAGCTTGCTGGTCGGATTGTGGCTGCTAGGAACCTCATTGCTAAGGGATGTGAGCTCTGCCCTAAAAGTGAAGATGCATGGCTCGAAAATATTCGACTCAATGAAGGTCACAACGCGAAGATTATTGCAGCGAACGCCATTAAGAACAACGACCGGTCCACACGACTTTGGACCGAAGCTATGAGATTAGAAACGGACACTCGTGCCAAGAAGAATGTCCTCCGACAGGCTATTTTGCATATTCCGCAATCGGTGCAGATCTGGAAAGAAGCTGTCAACCTGGAAGATGATCCCGCCGATGCGCGCCTGTTGCTGGCCAAGGCCGTTGAGATCATTCCCCTGTCAGTCGAGTTATGGCTTGCACTTGCTCGCCTTGAAACCCCAGAAAATGCACAGAAGGTCCTGAACGCTGCTCGCAAGGCCGTTCCCACAAGCTACGAAATTTGGATTGCTGCAGCCCGACTTCAGGAGCAGATGGGTACATTTGCAAAGGTCAATGTCATGAAGCGTGCTATCCAGTCTTTGGCTCGAGAGAACGCCATGCTGAAGAGAGAAGAATGGATCACGGAAGCCGAGAAGTGCGAAGCCGAAGGCGCGGTGCTTACATGTGGCGGTATCATACAAGAAACTCTTGGATGGGGTCTGGACGAGGATGATGACCGAAAGGATATCTGGATGGACGACGCGAAAGCCAGCATTGCCCGAGGTAAATATGAAACTGCCCGGGCTATTTACGCCTATGCATTGCGGGTCTTCGTCAACCGCCGATCAATCTGGCTTGCAGCAGCGGACCTGGAGCGCAACCACGGCACCAAAGAAGGCCTCTGGCAGGTTCTCGAGAAGGCAGTCGAGGCATGCCCCCAGAGTGAAGAGCTTTGGCTCCTGCTTGCGAAGGAGAAATGGCAATCTGGAGATATCGACGATGCCCGACGAGTCCTCGGTCGTGCCTTCAACCAAAACCCGAACAACGAAGACATCTGGCTGGCTGCTGTCAAGCTCGAGGCTGACGCCAAAAAGACCGACCAAGCCCGAGAGCTCCTGGCCACAGCCCGCAATGAAGCCGGTACCGATCGAGTGTGGACCAAGAGTGTCGCATTTGAGCGTCAACTCGGCAATATCGACGAAGCTCTGGATCTGGTTAATCAAGGTCTTCAGCTCTTCCCGAAGGCCGATAAACTCTGGATGATCAAGGGCCAGATCTACGAATCCCAGAACAAGTTCCCCCAGGCGCGCGAGGCATACGGAACAGGCACCCGGGCATGCAACAAGTCCGTTGCACTGTGGCTGCTTGCTTCGCGACTAGAAGAAAAAGCCGGTGCCGTCGTCCGCGCCCGATCCGTCCTCGACCGTGCCCGTCTAGCCGTTCCCAAGAGCGCCGAACTCTGGACCGAGAGTGTGCGCGTTGAACGCCGTGCCAACAACCTCGCCCAAGCCAAGGTCCTGATGGCCCGCGCGATCCAGGAAGTTCCGACATCCGGCCTGTTATGGAGCGAAAGCATCTGGTATCTCGAGCCCCGCGCCCAGCGCAAGGCCCGCAGTCTGGAGGCTATCAAGAAGGTTGAGAATGACCCGATTCTGTTCATCACCGTTGCGCGTATCTTCTGGGGCGAGCGTCGGTTGGAGAAGGCCATGACCTGGTTCGAGAAGGCCATTGTTTCGGATAGTGATTACGGCGATGGTTGGGCTTGGTATTACAAGTTCCTTATGCAGCACGGTACTGAGGTTCGTTATCCCTTCATTATGTTTTTCTCGGTTCCATGTTATCATTAGAATATCCAGCTGACATCTGTTTACAGGAAAAACGATCAGATGTCGTATCAAAGTGCATTTCGACGGAACCCAAACACGGCGAGTTCTGGCAGTCCATTGCGAAGGACCCGGTCAACGCATACAAGACCACTGAGGAGATCTTGAAGCTCGTCGCAACTGCTATCAACTAGTTGACATGTTCTTTGCGTGGTGTATTATCTACAGGCGTTTTGGGGGGGGTAAACAGCCCATGGAATTCAATATTCGACAGAGATGAAATACGTCTTTGTTAGACTTACGTCTAAAATCTAGCATCCTCAAATGTGACTATGTAATAAAATCTTGAGTCAACTAAACTGTAAGGTAAAATCCATGGGTATCGAACTAGCTTGACCTCCTCCCAACAGGCCATGGCCATTGTTTCGGCTTTTTGAGTCTTTTTCGTTTTGAGCTTCCCCGAGAGCTTCATTCTCGACCGCTTCACCTTGTCCCTTGGTAAGAAATGATACTATACATCGTTAAGGTCATCGGAGGCACAACCAGGGTAGGAGGGAGAGAAAACACGAGGGAACAAGGCAAGGCAAAGGCGATCGAGAACGGATAGCTAAGACATATCTTCAAACTCCAAATCCATATGCAAATCGTGTGGCGTCACAAACCGTGACAACCTCCCTTGGTAGTACCCAGACGCCGTGAGCCACCATCCATCAAAAACCGAAAGTAGAAACAAGAGCAAGGTAAAAAGCATGCAATGTGGCAGCGTGTATGAAAACAACGCAAGAAAGAAAAATAAAAAGGACAATCGGGGGTATAAAATTCTCATGCGGCCATGGACAGACACTCGTCAAGCAATGAGCTCAACTGCTCTCGGTCACCGACAGTGCCGCCTTCCCAGTCTAGCAGAGAACCGTCTTCGTCTTCGTCCAAGTCCATCGCGTCTTCATCGGGTTTGATTTCTTGATGTGGCTCACCAACGCCATTCTCCAACCGATCTTGCCTTTCGGTCTCGAGTTCATCTTCAAAGTACCCGCCCATGATTTGGTCGACGATTAGTGGCATGTGGCCAAGAACACCGCCGCCCAGCTCTAGAGTTAGTCGCAGATCTCTGACCCCCAAGGGTCTTCGAATGCTGGCTTCTTTTGCCTCCACAGGGAGCAGGCCTGTAGCGGCATCCTTTGCAATCTCGCCACGTGTATATGCAAGTTCTTCAACTTCAAGTTGGTGTCGATACTTGCGCATCATCATGTTGTTGATTGTACCGGACGGTCCATTCGAACGGGTGCGTGAGAATACCGCGGACAGAACTTCCTTCACGAATGTTTCTGTCGCAATCGCCATAAACTCTGCACAAGGAAGCCCGGCACCACTAGTTAGCGATTCCTCGTAACATATGGGAACCATGCGGGCATGGATAGATTCGGCATCGGGGAATTCGCCGGTTTCTGCGGCGAGGGGCTGGGCGTAGCGTTTTCGGATTTCGAGTTCCCAATCTGCCAAGGAGGATGGTCAGTACTAAACTTCATTACGGGGAAGAGGTTATGGGAACGAAGGGCATATCTTGAGTCCGAAGCGGGAGGTGTCGCCTTACTAGTCTTGTTCAGCCCACCTGCACTTGCAGGAACCTGGCTGGGCAATTTGATTTGCTTAGCCAAATGGCATAGTTCGAGCTCTGTGGGCACTGTCTCATTGGGATCTCGCTGGTTATGGTCAGTGGTCTGCCTTTGGGGCCAAGGTAAGCGTCATCGTTTGCGACTACGTACCTCCGGTATTCCCTTGATGCGCCGACGGTCCCTCGGAGGTAATTTCATGACCTCCGTCTTTAATCTTTGTTCTGCGGCATCTCCGGAGACAGGTTTCGAAACCGTTGATGGTTTATCATTCGCCGATACCCAGTTTGCGACGCCATGATCGGGGAGGTCTCGGGTCAGGTTTCCGATGAGCGCGCATACGAAGTTGTTATGTAAATGTTCATTCTTGGGATCGGCGCACAAGAAGTAGTCGACTCGTGATGAATATTCCGTTTGGTTGTAATGTCCTAGAATCAGGCAAGAGGTCAGGAGGTGACTGTACCGAGCTTGGTGCGGAGGGAAGGAGAAGCCAGGCTTCGCGTCGCTCAAGCAATCGCTAGGTAGACAAAGATCCAATGCGCCTCACTACATACCTAGTAAGAACAGAGCTGTGGATTCTTTATACTCGGCCCACTTGTCTCCGATGGCGGCCTTCAGGTCCGTGTAGGCATGCTCCAGCTCCAGCCGCGGCACTGAGATCAGAGCTCGGGAGGTCTTCGCGGATGCCGAGCCGTTAGGCGCGGCGCCTTTTTGGTGTGAGATGGAGTCATTCCGGCTCAGAGCCGCCGGATCGATCTGCATGGTTGCTGGGCTCGCGAGAGCGCGACGGGCGAGGCCGAAGGGCAAGAAATATTGGCACCTACGCCTTCATCAAGAAGGATTCAAGGGTTCAAACCAGGAATAAAGAAAGAGGAGATGGGTTCATAAGATGAACTGATATATTGAAGATGAAAATTGATGAAGTGAAAGAGAGGGCGATGGGTTTGAGTGGAAGGGAGGTTCGGACTTGCGGTTCCCCGCCAGACGCCAGGAACGGATACATCGAAGTGCGCCGAGTCCAGTAGGCAGCTGTGTCTACATCGACTACATGTGTTTTGCAACTAGCAATTGTTATTTTAGATGTTTTTTTTTAAATGTAAAGATCAATAGATCTGCTGCATTCTCAAGCTAGCTGCACTACGTCTTCGCTCAATACCCCAAAGAGCTCTCCGATCTCCGCAATGATCGCCGTGATCTCATTCGACAATTGGCCTGTCACCAAAACTAATGCGAAGTACAAGAATCAGTACTGGAAAAGGCAATGGAAACTAGCAAGACTCACTGTAGGCATAGAGCAGAGCACAGTCTTCATCTGTGGTCTGTCGAGATGCTTCCCGATCCAAGCGATAGCGGTATATGCGAGCGAGGAGCCGGTCTCTGGCATGCTCAATGCTGGGCAATACATCGCTTAGAGGGTATTCAAGTTTCATTGATGAAGCAATAACTGGAAGATAGTCAGCAGAAGGACATCCGGAAACGCTAAATGGAGGCTGACCTGTTAATAGATGGCTCACGCGTGCAGACAGCTGTTGCCGCTCCACTGCTGTGTATCGAAGAAGGGATATCTCCCCTTCAGTTGCAATATCATTATTCATCAGCTCGATGTTCATTGTATGGAAAGAGTTCACCATGTTGCGTGTACGGCGGACAATATTAGTGTAAGAGGATTCAGGGAATGCACTCTTCAATTCAAATTCAGAGCTTGCTGCAGCCCGAAGAGATTCCAACCGAGCCAAGAATCTTTCAATCTCGAGTTTCTCCCGGGGAGTCATGTATACAACGGACTTTTCGTCTTTGGCCATGATGGACAAAGGATCGCGCTTCCAGACAAGACTCAAATGTAGCCAAATAAGACTGAGACTCTCCTTCAGCCTGCGTCTTGCGCTGATGGGCCAAATCATGCGAGTGATGATAATTCCCCAGATGCATCCGGACAGCACGGCAACCACCCGGTGGAGTGCGATTTCGCTCATGATTGGATTGGAACCACCTTCGTCTTCGTCGAGCTTTGCCTCCTTCTGAGCAAGAGAATAGCCATATAGTACGGATAGATTGTAAGTGAGCATGATGAACCGCCCCATGGGCCCATTACCACGAACAATAGTGATATACCCGGTCCAGATGGCCATTAGCCATCCCAAAAACGCGAGGCCATATAAATTTGCTCCTGTGACGTCCCATGCCACGATAGCAGCGACTGCCCCCAAGCAAGTACCGAGAAAACGGGCATATCCCGTCGTGTTAGAGGCACCAATCGTCATTGAGCAAACCAGCATGTAGGACAACAGACCCCACTCCCCACGCCAATGTCCATAGAAAGGGCGGGTTGAAGGTAAGAAAGCAGGCAACGCATAGAGTGCAGCTCCGGCACCAACTTTGATAGCATATTTCGTATCATCCCGTCGGAAGAATCCAAGACATTTCCATAACCGGTACCCGAGTCTTTGCTTTGCCGTTCCTTTTGCCGGGGCAATTGTTGGGGTTTGGATCTTGACAGGCAGGCTATCAAAGGCAATTAGGCCATCTGAAGCATGTCGAGCATGACCGTGAGAGTTCTGGTTTAGAACAGGCGCACCGGAAGCTCTGGAACCTGCTTCTGCGTGGCAATTAACATACTGTCCACGATTTTGGGGGTTGGGAGGGTTTGAAACACATACCAGCATCGATAGAAATCATTTTTGCAGTCTCTGCCTTCTTTGACCACTGCCAGACTTTAAGCCATGACCAGGATCGTCCATTAGGTCTCTCTTCTACTTCCAGCTGCAGCTCATCTAGAATGGACAGCATCTCTTGCAATTGCTCTCCAAATTCAACGAGGGAGAAGCTGAATTGACCACAACTGGCTGAAACTTCCTCGAGATCAGCTTCAGCTTCTCGGTTCTTTAGTTTCATCGTTTCCTTTTGTTGATATAAGGTCGCAAGTGTCTTCTCGCGAGATTCCTTGTAAAGTTCAAGCGCCCGATCAAGACTGATCCGCAGTCGACCATTTACCGAGACTGTGTAGTCTGGGGCAGGTCCAAAGGGAATCTCCTTGAAGATTTCTTTCATTGTAAAGGCCAACGATCGCTACTACGAGTTAGTCTTTGAGCTGTGTTGTCTACCCTTGTATTCTTAACTTACCATTGAGGGACCCAGATGAGAGATAAAAATAGTAAAAACATCCGCTGGAAGAAGTGCAGGTTTGGGCGTCGGTCCCGGACTTCCATTTGTATGGGAACGGACAGAACCACCTGGAGAGAATTCCTCCTCTGATCGCTCAGCGATAGGCTCCAAATAAGACCCTTCAACAAATGACAACGGTCGCTCAACGGGGGTAAAATAATCCGCATAAGTCGAGTCACTTTGCTGATCTTCCATAGAGGCAGACTCGCGAGCAATTGTCTCGCGAATTAGACTGAACTGGAGAGAGGCTGCATTACGCAGTCCTCCCATGTTATGGGTGATGTCTTGCACCCAACGGACGAGGTTCTTTTCGAGTCTGTATTCTCTTTCCGTCCCCGCCACGTAATGTTCAAGTTTGCCTTCGCGGACGAGCCGGTCGAGCTGACCATAGGCCTTGCGGTGTCTCACCTCAGCATCTTTGAACTCATCCGAGAGAAGAACCTCCTCGGAGCCGCTCAAAAAGCTTTCCGTAATAAGAGCCATCATAAGAGCCAATGTATCAGTGACCGTGGCAAGATTTGCACGCAGCTTTTTACGCGCTGAGATGGGGAAGACGAAAAAGGATACAGCCATAACGGCCACCACGCCCATCAGCACCATCTTCAAGACTTGGAAGATCTTGGCAAGTGATAAGTCGCCGCTTTGGACAGCACCCTCCTTGGTCAAGACGGTAATTGTAGATAGGGAAGTGAGTGAACAAGCAACATTCACCAAAGGATCTCCAAGTCGTTGCTTGGTCCAGCCCACAAACCCAAGTCCGCCGCCACAGAAGACTATTAAAACTACTGCATGGCCAAGGGCAGGCCATTCCAGAGTGTCCTGGAAGAACATCTCCACGAACATACTTGTAATCGTCAAGCAGGCCGAATAGCAGAACGCCAAAAAAGCACAGATCAAGGCCTTGAACATCCCTCCCTGAGACCTAGCAGGATGGAAATATACTGTGACCGTAGCCACCATGTGTTTTCCATCCTGATGGCCCAGAAAAGCCGAGATTGCAGGAATAAATGTTGCCATAGATCCGAGCAAATATGCGAGACTGTACTTCAAGACTCCAATGCCTGGTTCAGACCTGACAAATTGATTTGCCTGTGCCCATTGTCCTTGTATCCAGCGCACAAGTTTGTCAAAGGGACCCTCATAATGTTGAATTTCATTTGTGAGAAGCGCGCGTCTTTCGTCGATGTTATCATTGGAGGCGGGGGAGGAATTTCGGAGATTGATGAGACCTTTGAGGCGCTGGCCTGTTTTCGGGAGAACAAATGTAGCCTGGCGAAGCTTCACCAATAGTTAAGTATAATTTCTTGAGCGTGGTAGACAGAGCAAATGAGTACATACTAGTGGGCGCGAACGGCGAGACCTGCTTGGACTTCCAGACGGCATCGTTCAAATTTGTGTCACTTACTGGTAAATTCACCTGGGCATTGTGCAAGCCGCGTGACACATATTCGATGATGCGCCCTTGCTCGGGGCTTTATTGAGACGTCAGAGGTTGTGCGGAGGTGCAGATAGCTATGCAGATTGGGCTGCGATCGGGGAGGTATTTACAGCCACACCCCCACATGATATCGCCACGCAGCTCCTTGCTTTGTTTACGATTTATAGAGGAGCTGATGCAAGCTGCTCAGTGGTATGCAGGTGCAAGCTTTTGCATGTTTTACAGTATTTCATTCTTCCCCCCCTCCTAAAGCCTTGGCTAGTTTTGAGGACTAGATGTACCGATATATCGGAAAATCTTGCTCTTTCTGGTTTAGTGCCAAGGGAACTTCTGATTCTGACGTAATCAGCCAATCGGTTCCGAGCATCACGCTAGTCCACTTTGGGCTCTAAGGTCAACGCGCAGCTGAACTGGTTACTGAACTATGGGCGCCTGAGAATCCACTTCAGTCTCCAAGTGTCTCTTGAAACCATTAACGGAAACGAGCTCCGAAGTTCAGGACGTAAGCTGACTTGAAAATGGCTTGCTACCGGTAATAAAGCGTGGGATTGAGATTTAGTTCCCTCTATAGCACCAATAGTATCCATGGGCAGTTATCTGTTACGAAATCATATCAAAATAACCCATGTCTTACCAACTTGCTGTCAGTACTTAAATTCACCTCAAGGAACGTATATGCTCTGAAAAAAATCTACATTTTGATCCTATCATTTGCTCATAAGAAGCACAATATGGAAGGTCCCTTTGCGTTCATCGGTAAGTTTATATAGTCATTAAAGATCCCCCAGCTATTCAAGATGTCTAATAAGAGGGACCATTGCAGGACTTGGATCCATGGGATCTGGATTGGCGAGAAATCTCCGCCAGAAGATCCCCTCTTCATCCAAGCTGTACATCTACGACACCAATCGTGCAGTATGTGACAAGTTTGTCGCCGATTTCAATGAGTGTGGACCTATCGAGATTGTCGAATCACCGAAAGAGGCAGCAATGCACGCCAAAGTTGTGGTATCGAGTTTGCCATCTGTGGAAGCTGTTCGTGCAGTCTACCTGAGCGAGACAGATGGCTGTATTCTTGCGGCCCCAAATGCAAACCGCTTGATCCTCGAGACTAGTACTATCGAGGCCTCTGTGGCTCGAGAGCTCTCCGTCAGCCTGGAAGCAAAGGGAGCCGGCTGTTACGTGGATACTCCCATCTCGGTGCGTCGAACTTCAGATTCTACGTGGTTGTTGTCAGGCTAACGCCGAATCCGAACAGGGCGGACCTCAAGCAGCGGCTACCGGTACATTGTCTTTCATGATCGGGAGACAAAAGCCAGACGAATCTGATACATTGGGTCAGACACTTCGCCAGGTTCTAGAAACGATGGGCGACTCTGAGAAACTGTTCTGGTGCGGCAAGACCGGTGCCGGGCTCACTGCGAAGATCAGTAACAACTATATTGCTATTTCTGTCTTTCTTGCAGTTACGGAGGCGACCGCAATTGGAGTCCGATCTGGTATAGACCCAGATGTGCTTCATGACATTATCCACAACTCATCGGGGCAGACATTCATGGGTGATATCCTTAGGAGGGTCCCAAGAGCAGCGTTGCAGAGCAACCATGTTTTCCCAAAGGATATCATGGTCAAGGATATTACTCTTGGTGTGCAGGCGGGAAATGAGACCAATGTCAATCCTAGAATGGCTCTGGCTGCCCAGGCGATTTGGACAGAGGCTGCGAAGAATCCGGAAACCCTCTATCTGGACGGTTTCCAGGATGTTAAGAAATAAGGTGCTGTTTATATTCACGGAGGTGCATAACCCAGAACTTATTTTTGAATGGAAATTTTGGTAGCTGTGAATCAACATCTGGTACGGACGGGTAGGGGCTATAATGTAATTGCGATATATTCCGCCAAACTATATCGTGTTTCCTAGAATTTTGCTGTTTGAATGGCCATCACCCTTATCACCACACCCTAAACGCTCGTTAATAAGTGACCACCGCAACGTTTCTGTCTGTTTCTCAGCCATCCTTTCATTCTTCTAATCTGACAGGCTGACTGACACCTATGATCACACTACAGATGCCGAAAATTAGGCGGCCAACAGTCTTCTCCATGGAGATGATCTCCCCATTAGATACGGCTCGTGCTAGATTTACATCAACGTCTTGCATTCTCTGCGCCGCAATAATTGAGACACCAATGTACCGGCCAAAGAGCGGAAGTTTGAAGTCATTATGGGATGGAAAAAAACTTGTGATATTTGGCCATCTGAGCTTCTAATGATTTTGTGGCCGAGCAAAAAACTCGAGAGTAAGAATAAGAATGGTCAACATGGAGGTATAAAGTATATACATGTGAAGAAGCCGATGAAGATGCGCTCCGATATTCCCAGGATTGGGACTTCCTCCAGTACCAAGGGCTTAGAGGAACGAGAATATATACCTGGATAGTCTGCTGGGTCCAGTGTAACAAATGTTTATCTACCCCTAGGCTATTCAAGGGCAATGAAAGGATTGTTAAAACAATTGAGTAGCCTTATTTACGTAGCTCCGAAGGGCCATTCTCTTGACAGACTTGCTATCGCTTAAAACCAATATCTGCGGTAACAATTCTTAGGGACAATATTGGACTTGCGCTGGGTCATTGATACGTGATACTTCTTTCCTCTGGGTAAAGTCTAGAAGATAGGTCGCGGACCGAAGAATCTTAGTTACAGCAAAACTGCATTCGTGGCTACCTCACATTTATTTCAGACCTTCGACTTTCCACACCTTCACAGCTGCATCAGCACCAGCTGAGACGATCTTGGAGCCTCCTGCAACCCATCCGACACCATGGACACCCTCCTTGTGGGCGTTCTGCAGCTCAATCCAATCGCCGGGCTTAGCCAAGCTCCAAACGAAAATGTTTGTATCTAGGGAACCGCTGACAACGTGTGTTCCAGCCTCGTTCCAAGCAACCGATGTGATTCGTGCTGTGTGTGCCGTCCAGCGGTCCGTCACCAAACTGCCATCTGCAACCTTGTAGACCAGAACACGTCCTCGCAAGTCACCCACAGCCAGGTGGGATGCGTCTGGAGAGAAGGCAAGGGAGGAGATTGGGTTGCGAGAGGCGTTGATATCAGCCCGAGGAGAAAGTCGAGAGCTGGTAATGACACAGATCTGAACAGATCCATTCTCACCTCCAATGGCTGCCTGGGAACCATGTGCGGCGATGGTTGTGGCCGTAAAGTCGGTCTTGAACTCCCCGGTCTTCTTGCCATCCTGGAAAATCTCAACGGTTTCAGCTTCGCCAACAAGGACGGTCGAGTTGCCAGCCGTAACGGCCTTCGGCTGTCCATTGAGTTTGGAAGCGCTGCCAGTATAGGTCTTGGCTGCAACATCGATGGAGCGAAGAGTGTCGTCCCAGCCGACACTGTAAATTCTACCACTTCCCTCTGACGTTGTTGCAAGCCCGGCAACGTAACCGGGGTGAGCATCTCCTTCAATCTCTTCAGCCTTACCCGTGACCACATCCCAGGTACAGACTCTGCCATCGAAGCTGCCTGTCCACAGGGTTTCTTTGTTCTCCAAGGTAGTCTGGTTCAAGGAAGTAATGCTCTTCTGATGGCCCGAGACAACTTGGCGGGGTGCGGGAGTACCCTCAACCAGGTAGTTCAAATCTCCGCTAAGAGACAAACTGATAAGAAGGTTATCGCTTCTACCTGGGGGCCAGACCACACCAACTTGGTGGTCACGAACAGCCATGGCACCCTCCTCTCCCAAAGTCCAAGTCTGCGTAGCTTTGCCAGCTTCCACATCCCAAATCTTTACGGTCCGGTCTGCGCTTGCAGTCACAAACTTCCGCGAGTCTTTCGCCCAAGATACGCCAAAGATGCTGCCCTTGTGCTCGCCTTCACCGATCTGACCCTTGGTCTCGCCTGTCTTGCCGTCATAGAGCCAGATCTTGCGGTCTGCGCCAACACTGACAAGATTCGAACCATCCGGGCTGAAACCAAGTCCGTAAATGTAGTTTGAATGCTTGTCTGCAATTCCGTTGTTGAATTTGAACGGCGCTCCATGATAGAAGACTGTCTTCATGTCATCACCAGCAGTGGCGGCACGCAGAGGACGCTGCTGCCTAATCGATACAGCATTGAGCTGTTTTGTATGGCCGTGAATCTCGCCAACAGTGTTTCCACTGTCCCAAGTAATGCAGTGTCCGTAGCGTTGCTTGCCATCGCCGACGGCAATAATGCGCTGGGAGTCACCGTCCCAGGCCAAGTCGTTGATGCGACCATTAACAATGCTGTATTCTCCCTTGGTAATTCCCTCACCAACGCAGTCCCAAACTCTCACAATTCCAGTAGCATCACCACTTGCAACATAGAAACCGGAGGGAGAGAAGCGTGCAACCGTTGTCTGCGCCTTGTGTTCGGTGTACTGTCTAGCAACTCCGGGGTCGTCGATTGAACGCAGGAAGATGGATTTGTTGGACTGAAGTCAAGTGTGTCAAGACTAGGAAGTATTATCGTAGAGATTGTCAGAATCACATACTGCATAAGCCAATCGCTCGCCTTTGGCATCGGAAGAAAGCTGAGTGGGCTGGCCTCGGGTGGTGGAGGGGCTAGCAGCCCAAATGGACTCTTTGGACACGTCAGGATAATGAAAGATAGTATGAGGTTGTCAGGTTCTCACCATTTGTAAGTGACATTGCTAGGGTTTGTACACTCTTGAGGAGTTGGAGAAAAAGCAAAAGGGAAGTTGTTTACTGACGTACGACGCACTCGGGCCACAATAGCGGGGAACACAGCCACCCGTCAACGCCTGGTCTGCCATAGCGTGTGCCAATAAGGTGCCAAAAAGGTACTTCAAATCAATAGTGAAGCATATGCTTTCTATCTAGCTTCAAATGCCCCAAGATGAAAGGAGTTGAAAGTAGTAGCTCCCAATAAAATCAATGCATAGCGCTAAGAATAATAATACACGAAGTCGTGCCCATTCCATCAGACATCGACCTGTACTTGTACAAGAAAATCTGCTCCCAAAGTCTGGCCAAGCACCCAAAACGATGATTCCAAAATGGTATATTCTGCTTAATAACCACCGGGGCCCTCCATGCGTGCCCGCATCTCGGATGCGATAATCTCGGGGTGACGGTGGACACTAGGCATAAGACCCATGCCAATGGCTCTGCGAAGCGCCTTAGCAATCTTGCGCTGGTTGACAGGTCGCAGTCCGGTTTCGGATCTGTGTCTAATACGGCCCATGCTGGTCATGTATTCGGACATGACGGCGAAGTTCTATCATGGCGAAAGAGCACACAGTTAGCAGCTGTTCATTGCGGCATATATATATAGCCCGAATAATTGTTCTGGTGACTCGGAAATTTCATACCTTGTACATATCCATTGGGTTCAGGTTCAATGCATCAAAAGCATCCGTGGGAGGGCTCTGGCGCTTTCCCCATTTCTTCATCTCGGCCGGGCTAAGGTCGTGAGGGGCGTAGACATCTCCGGCTTTGAAATCACGAGTTTGATATCTCTCCAGGGCTCGGCTCTCGCCTTGCGCCTTCTGGTCCTCAAGGAACTTCAGGCGACTGGGTAACCGGCGACGTTGGACCACTTGGGAGGCTATCACGACACGTTAGTGGCCAGTCACAATCAAAGTTGTCCCAGATCATTAAATGAGACAAGAAAGTATGGACATCGGTGCATCGGATTCATCACATACTCTGTGAGCTTGTGCCGCGCTGCGAAGTGAAGGCGCTCATGGCAGCGGTCGAGCTCCAGCGACAGAGCGACAAACCGACAGTGGCTGTGGTGGCGGCATTGCGCAGCAATGCTGGCGAGGAAAAGAGGTTCAGAGACATCGTGACCTGTGAATCTCCGAAGATTAATCGTCGATGCTGAAGACGGTGATAGGGAGACCGGGCAACGCGGAGATGAGATCTTTTTTCGCCAAGACTTCTTCCGCCTACCTCCAGATCTCTCCGCGTCGCAAACCCCCATTTTTCATGATTCCATGTTGCAAGCCAATTTGTGCCTGCTCTTTTTTCTCCAATCTATCTCACTCCGTTTAAGCTTTAAGCTCACTTAATACCATTCATAATGCAGTCTCATCTTACGAGACGAGTGTTCCGAGCAATTATCAACAACGAACCACTTCGATTCTCGCAATGCCACCGAAATCGCCTACATACAATTACCGCAGCTCGTGTACGACCTGCTGTTCTGAGCCTTCCTCATGTCTCGCGGCGCAATATCTTTGTCTTCAGCTCGGATCCCGAGCGACAGCAGAGTACATTGCCCTCCGAAAAGGGCCTGAAACCAATGGCAGACTTGATGAGGGCACTTAAAGACAGAAGTAGAACTCCACCAGGGGATCTTCTCGCAAAAGCATTCCAAACGTTCTTCACAATGCGACTCGAGACACCGATGCTTATCAGTCATTTCCAAGCTCGTGCGCTGATCGTCACCTTCAAACACCTACGGGCCCAACAAGATGAAATGGAGGAAAAAGACTGGCAGAATGTTTTTTCGATTGAGAACCTTGAAAAGGTTCTGGATGTACTCTCCGAATCCGAGTGTGCCCCACAAGCTCGCGAGACCGTCATGAACCTTGCGCGATACGCATATCAAGAGCTAAATCTCGATCATGGATTTGGTCCCGGAAAGATTAGTCGGCCAGCCCTTGGTCTCTATATCAATATTTTGGCTATGAATGGCAACCCAGAAGATGCTAGACATACCTTACTGAAGTTTTGGGGTCAGATGAGCAAGATTACCCCGTCACCCTGGCTTACGATTATGAAAGGATTCGCCATGAAAAACGATCTACGACAGGTGCGCAAGATTGTTGAGGAGTGGGGAAATCATGGCAACAAGTTTGATCAAGCTTCGCATGAAGAGCTCGTCAAGTTTCTCGTCGATCACAATCAATTCAAGGCAGCACAAACGGTCTACGACTCTCCAATTGCCGATGGTTCGCAACCCTCCCTGGCTGCGAGCGAGGCTCTTATCAAATATTACCTCTTGAATTCTCGGGCAGATTCCGCCGAGGAAATCTTCAAGTCTCTCCCTGGTGAACTCAACCAGGACACCACCGGTATCGTCTTACTTTGGGACGCAGCAAAGGGCAGCAATGCTTCCGCTCTTGTGCAAAAGGTGGATGCATGGACTGCAAAGACCCCTCAGATCAAGAACTTCATCACCATTGAAACCGTTAATAACCTAATTCAATATGCCAATGCGATGCAGAATCCACAGCTGGCTTCTGATTTTATGGCGCTGGCAGGCCAATGGGCTCTCACACCGGATAGCCAAACTTACATCTTGCAATTGGAGTCTCGCATTCAGGCTGGTGATGTCGAGGAGACTCTGAAGCTTCTTGAAGAGAAAGTTGATGCAACTTCCCTCACTAGCCACAACCTACCAATTGCAAATAAGCTCATCGCGATGCTTTGTCGATCTGAGGAAAAGGAAGCTTTGTTCAACCAGATCTCCTCTCTTCTCGACCCGCTTTTCCAAGACAACGTGCAATTGGAATCTGCAACCATTGCCGCATTGACACATATGCTCCTGTACCGCCACGATCTCGAAGCCGTATCAGAGCTGCTCCGTCCCCGACTAGGCGGGTACAGTGACGAACAGAAGGCGCCAGTGCGCGATGCGCTGGCCGAGTACATCCTTGACAAATCCCAGTCCGACACCGATGTATGGAATGTATACGAGCTTCTGAAGATCGCCTTCCCAGAGACGTGGGTCTCGATCCGCACCAAAATCATGACCTCTTTCTTCGAGCGAAAGCGCAGTGATCTTGCCGTCTTGGTATTTGGGCATATGCGACAGGCTGACGAACCTGGTCGACGCCCTAGACAAGACACCTATGCTCGCTGTTTCCAGGGCCTAGCTCGTACGGCTGACGCAACCAATTTGGAACTGGTGCACAACATGCTGAAACTGGACCTTGAGGTGGATCTCAACACGAGGATCCTCAATGGCCTCATGATGGGGTATGCCGCGTGCGAGATGCCAGAAAAGAGCATGGAAATTTTCCGCCAAATCCTTCAGTCTGAGGAAGGACCTTGTAATAAGACTATCACGATCTTCTTCAAGGTCTGCGAGAAACACCACAATGGTGCCCAGGAGGCTATCAAGATGATGAATAAGGTCAAGAAGCTGGAGATCACGGCGAATCGGCCACTCTACTCGGCGTATATGGAGGCCTTGGCAGCGCAGTGCGAGTTCGATCTGGCTGTTGAAGCTATCGATAATATGGAAGCTGAGATTGGAATTCCTCCCACTAGTAATACGTGAGTATACCTTTTCGCTGTTTGCGCCGTTCATCGATCATCGCTAACATTTGTCTTAGTATCGGGCTGTTCTACAACGCTATCCCCTACCAGTACTGGAAAGATGAGGTCGAGAAATGGGCCAGTCAAAAGTATCCCGAGCATTGGGAGCATCTGATGAAGACGAAGCGCACTGAGTGTGAGGAGGGGCTGGAATTCGACGGCATCTCGAATGAAGTGTCGGTGTAATAATTTTTGTATCATCTAGGCAGCTAGCCAATTCATATGGATCATGTCTACCTCTGAAAGGGGCAACCCACAGTCTCATGCCTCCAACTGGCCGTAATGCCATCAATTGCTTAACATTACAGGGAGCAAGTCATCCGAGAAGATAAGCATCTGCCACGGTCACATGTGCATTTCCCGATTTGGAACCACCAAGCTCTCTCGTCGTTGGCCACAACCGCTGCTCCTCTACCATCTTGGCTAACTGAACGGTGTCTTCATGTCATATCCACGCCATCATGGGGCCTACTGGGTAGAATCCTAGTAAAGTAGGTCCTTCGGTGGCTTTGTTCTCGCACTCTCTTACTCTTCTCTCACTCGTCACCAACGTTGGTTTTTTTTGGCACGGGGTATGCCATCTTGTTTCTCTACGTACTTTTGGCCCTGCCCACTAGCTTACCTAGCTAGGTATGATATTATGATGATCTCGTCCACCGCCCCCCATGAGGGGGCCATGGGGCTGAAAAAGGACAACCCATTAAGCCCCGGATCAGTCCTTGCTACTTTGTTTCTGCATCTTGAGGATAATTCCGGCAAGCTCAATATGGCCGTCAATTATACCGCAGCATGTCTAGATCCAACAGAAGCATTCAGCTCTATCGAGTCCCTCTATCATTGTTTTGAGATTCTGGGCGAGCTACAAGAACACAGCCAGAGCTATACCACGAATGCAACCACCTCGTTCGGGGCCATGATTGAAGATTGCATTACACAATATTGTCGCAACCCCGATACTAGCCTTGAGGGGTGCTCTAAATATTCATCGGATTCCCCGGGAAGTTATGCCGTGAATGCATATCCGTCTCCGCGATTCATGTCAGATAACTGTTACTATGTCGGCGAGGAAACAAACGAAGATATTTCTGGTCCCGGTGTAATTCTCCCCTACCCCTTCGGTGTTGACTGGTATATGAAAGAGGTTGTTGCTGATCAGAGGAGTATAGATTATGGTCGCATACCTAATGCAGCTCCTAATGGTGTTCATTATCTGGCTGATCCTCCGAGTCATTCAATTCATTCCCTTCTGTGCACGACGCTTGTCTCGCAAAGAACAACGGATGCCCCAGTTTCTCGAGAGACTGAACCTCTCTGGACATGCATCGATTGTCAAGTCCATTCTAGTCGATTTCCAAGAATCCCAGTGCTATTTCGTTCTCTCCGTCCAGGCCGCCGCGATTGTGGCCTTGACCGGTGATGCAGGTGTCCTAGGTGCCACAAGTTTACAACAACTTGGGAGAAATTTCGAAACGGTATCTCAGTTGTCATCGGGATATATTCCAACATTGACCTTTGGCCTATGGATGTTACGTAGGTCACTCTTGGACTCGGCATACATCTTTGCCTGGAGTTTTGCCAGCATTGTAGTCTCGGCATACAATCTGTTCGGAAAAATTGGGCGAAATCCGAAAACTACTGGCATCAACCCAATTTCCAACCTCGACGACCTAGACAAGTGTGGACACAACCCTCCACCGCTCGTTTACTGTTGCTCAGACTTCTATGGGATGTATACTTCTTCGCAGATTATAAGTGCTGGTTGTCTATCTATATTCGGAGTGCTGATGGTGCAGAAAATCATCTCCTACCTCGAGCAACATCTGAATTGCTACCCTGCTGTATCCCGTCTGCAGGATACCATGAAGCCAGTGCTAGCAAGCAAGGCTATCCGAATGTTCTCAAAAGTCTGGGCACTGTTAGTGGAGACATTTCTCCTTATCAACAACTTACTCTACATCGTCTCGAACTCGTCGACGCCCGAGGGTGATTGGTCCTTCGGTCAAATCATTGCAGTGACAATCTGGGTTCCGGTCATTACCAAGTACATCTACTGGTCATTTTGTATGGAACACTATCACTCTTGTCATGAATTAGATCAGCAGCCCATGCTAACTCATTCACAGTTGGCACTAAGTCCTATTCTGCAACCCGACTTTCCGAGCCCTTCCATATCGTCGAAGTCGAACCAAAAAGGGACCCATTGGCCGAGCTCGAAGAAAATCAAACATACACATTTCAGCCGTTAGACAGCACGATAGGATCGCGACCAACCCCAACTAGGACATTTACCTGGAGTTGAAACGTATTCAACATCTAGTGCTCTTCCTGTGTGGTGTGTACGCAGCCCAAATACGACACTATATCAAGCAAAACATTCCCGTCGAAGTTCCGAAAACAACTGCCAAACTTGCAATGGACAGTTCTCTTGCAGTCGCCGCCCAATCTCATCAATCAGCTTCGTGACTCGACCACCTAGAAACCACTCCTTCTGGAGTGGCTTTAGCAAGACAGCGTATTGAGCCAAAAGTAGCAATGCGCCCGGATGGCTGCGATCTAACAGATCAAAGTACCCGGGTAAGACTCGCATCGGCCACGAGTTTAGAGCATCCCAAATACTCAAAGAGGAGCCGCATTGTCGAGCGAACTCAAAGGCCTCTGCTAATTTCTGGGCTGCGTCCTGGTATATATGCAACTCATTCTCTGGTTGTCTTTCACAGCCAACACTTTCATTTGAAATGACAGACAATAATGACCTGAGCAACGGATCATCAGATTTGATAGTGACGTCCAGATCGTCCTTCCATAGCGCTGCAAAGGATGCCAATGGTCCGTTGGTCAGTTCAGACCAGACAGGACACAGCATCGAGCAGCCATTGCGCAAAAGACTGATCCAGTTTGACGACGATGGGGTAGCGTTTTGATCGCCGAGCAATAAAACTTCATGTTCACTTTCAGAACTGAACGCATAGAAGACAAGGAAAAATGCAAAGCTCAGTATTGCTTGGCAATTACTGCTATCAACATGCATAGTTGCCAAGTGAAATGCGGGGAGTGCTTGATCTTGGTGTCGGATTGCCTGAAGCATGTAATAATCTCTATTATCGGGGTGGCTGGAAGCCAGATGCAGCGCTGAACAGGCTAGCATGCCATGAAGCAGAAACGGAAATCGTGTAGCCAGCTGGGGAACAATCACTCGGAAGGCACTGTCAGTATCCGGACCACATGATAGCGTTTTATAAGTGGAGTTCAAATAATGGTCGAAGAGTTCTGCACTTTCGGCGTTCAGCGATATGTTGTAGTTGCGCGTGGATAGAATTGACGCTTTTTGCTGCCCATCGATATCCGGGACTGTGATGGTCTGGAAAGAACAATCAAACAGAGAACATCGTATAATTTGTTTAGTCCTCTACCTACCGTACTTGGAGATTCTTCGCCTGCACTCATCAGCTCGTCTGTACTATCACTTGGCGACGCTAGCAGCGCTGGGTTTGTAAAGTATCGCAAGGCATTTCCCCGGAAAAGTGTCTGCAGCGGCACTGAACACCAGAATATTCCATTATCGCTAGCGTTTAGATGGTGTACAGTTGACCAGTGTGCCTTCATTCGCTTGGTAGTTATACATAAGTGATTGCACCCCTCAAACCGACAGGCTAGTCCGTCATGGATTGGGAGCACATCCACCGGGAATTGCGTTTCATCAGGTAGAATAATTGCATCTAGCGGTGCTAGCTTGAACTGGGATGCATAGTCGACAAATCCCCGACGTCGTAAGCGGTTTAGATGGTGGGTCTCTTTGAGATGACGGACGATAGCTCCAGGTTGGATGGCATAGTGGCAGTGCAGGCAAATCAAAACCCGATGGGTTGGGAGATAGCGTAGCAACTGAGCCGGAAGAACGGCTTCAGGAATAATCTCCGGTATCATGGTCTATCTCAAGTAAAATATAGAGCGTTGTGAAAAGGAGATGAGAACGGCACCTTCAGTTCCCAGGGCGTTAAGCTTAAGCCCAGCCAATCACAGCCGAGAACGGCACCGTCGGTTTTCTATACGCAGGAACCTATACATATCACTTTGAAAAGGACGAGGATAAGATGTATAGAAGTTGACTATTTAAACTCCCTGTACCCCTTCTAATGCATATATTTCAATTTCATACTTCCATACTCCTCCCCCATTGATTCCAATATGTCTTTCTACAACTCCTACCCCGGTTTCCTATACCGGCAATTCCTAGTTTGCCCTCCCAAGGCACCCTCGTCCACCTCTCTCTCAGGAAAAGCCGGCCTGGTCACAGGCTCAAATACCGGTCTAGGCTACCAAGCATCAGCCCAGCTACTGGGACTCGGTCTCTCCCATATCATCCTAGCCGTGCGCAGCCTCTCCAAAGGCGAAGCCGCGCGCAAATCTCTCCTCGCCTCCCTATCCAAGTCTACCAAGCAACCCGTAGTTGAAGTCTGGGAGCTAGATATGAGCAAGTATGCTAGTATCATAAGCTTTGTCAAGCGTCTCCGAGAATCCGGCATTCATATCGACTTTGCCCTCCTCAACGCAGGCGTTGCCAACTTCCACTATGTTGCAACCCCATCAACATCCCACGAGTCAAGTATCCAGATAAACTGGCTGAGCACTGCTCTTCTGACTCTGCTTCTCCTTCCCGAGCTCAATAATCAGGCTGCAGCAAACCCGACACAGCCCCATCCGGTGATATCAATTGTCAGCAGCGAGACTGCCGCGTGGGCAAAATTCAAAGAAGCGCAGATCTCCAACAATAAGGGAGTTCCACTCATTCATGTGCTGGATGACAAGACACACTTTGACATGGGTGATCGCTACTACACGTCGAAGCTGCTATACCAGCTCTTCTTCCTGGAGCTTGTCAGCAATCACCGAAGTATGTCTCATGGTGCAATTCTCAATCTCGTCAACCCCGGTCTCTGCTATGGGTCTGAATTACATCGCACGGCTGAGGGAGCCTTTGCAAAGGTTCTTTCAGGTATGAAGAGGGTTATAGGTCGTTCTGTCTCTATGGGTGCTCGGAACCTTGTTCATTCAGCGGTACTGGCTGGTGACAGCTCGAATGGACGGTATTTGAGTGATGGTAAAGTGGCTCCGTTTGCGAGATATGGGGAGACCGAGGAGGGCCGGAGGATGCAGACTCAGGTGTGGAAGGAGACTGTGGATGAGCTGAGTCGGGTGGTGGATGTAACTAAGCTCTTGTTGTAGGATTGATATTTTTGAGTCATTCTGTCTCTTGTGTTCTGCTACAATACTATACACCATTTGATTTGATTAGACTATGATTACGGCTCAAAAGGAAAAGAAATAAATAAATCGCCGCTGATTGAAGTCACTCTCTCTTTCTGTCGTTACTCAAAGAGTCAGCTTTGAAAGAAAGTCTCCATGCCATTTTTCCTTGAATGACCAGCCCATTCGCTCGTTTGACATGTGTTCTTGTCTCTATTGCGGAACCTCCATGATTCTAAGATCATTCGTTGATGTTGCTAAATCTTTGACTCTTTATGCTGGGTTTGACCACTTGGTGTTGACTGATCCCGACATTCTTTGGAAAATTCGAGTTGACCTCCAAGCATGACCTGTAGTATCGTGTTAACAGAGTCCAAGTTCGCGTACGTGAGTCCTGACTCACCCCTAGGTCTTTGATCTTTCGCTTAAGCATTTTATTGGAGGAAGGCAAGCCCACGTTTTGCGGAATATGACCTGAGAGTCCACTCTGTTTAGGACCATTTTCGGAAGCAGCCTATTACCACCACTTTCACCATCCCCAGCACATTGGGAGAATGATGGCGCTTGACGCGCTGATGTGGTAAGGTGAGAGACTGGGAATGAACGCGAATTTGGGGATTGAAGATGGAAAAGTGTAGTTGGGAAGAGAAACAGAGATGAGTTGGAGGTCTCTGTCTCTCCCTTTCTTATATTAGGGCAAATGGATATTAGCAGAAGTTAGGAAAGGACAGGGGCTAACATGACAGTCGCTTAGATTTTGTCTTAAGGCCTTGCGCAATGAACACATTCTTTTGTGAATGGAATTCTAAAAAGTGCACGGATTTGAGATTATACTGAAAAGGCACAAGCATCAATCACTTGAAATATCGTCACTGAGACCTCATTGAAGGAATCCACATTTCCGTGCTGCGAACCCCAGTACCCCAAAAGAAGCAGTGGCTCCAGTGAAAACAATAAGACCCCCAAAACTCGTCCCATATCCCAAGCCCCCAGAATGCCCAGTCCAAGGCCAGTTTGCGTTGATCAAGGCTGCGCTGATAGGTCCACACACTATGGAGCCAACTCCGCGACCAGCTGTAAGAATTCCCAGGACCAATCCCACCGGAGCTGTCTCGTCGACACTCCTAACTATCCTAGCAATGCCAGGCCAAGTGGCACCGGCGCTGCCGGCAAAAATGCCATATAGCAGGGCAAAAACACAAAGAGGTGGTAGAGACACAGACAGACCCCATATCACAAAAACACTTAGAACAGTGCAGACAGTACTAACAAAGATCACAGTCGCAGCATGCCAGTGGTCGATGAAATAGCCAACCAATACAAACCCTATTACCGTGCCAGCATTCAAAGACGTCAAGGGGGCCGTAGTGCCGAAGCTGCTTTCCCGAGCAACTACCCGAGCATAGGTCGGCAAATAAAGTGAAGGAGCGAAACATCCTAGACTTTGCAGCAGACTCCCAATTTGGAAAATGATAAACGGCCGAGATCGAAGAAATCCAAAGCTCAGCTGTTGTGGCCTTGGGGTCTGGGTGGCGCTGACTGGGATCCGCGGCTTCACGAATGGCAAAAAGGGACACACAAGAAGGATAATGCCCACGGACCAGGCCCACATAGTGACCTTGAAAGAAAATCGGGAGAGCATCCAGCGGACGAGAAATGGGAATACCGTGCCTGCGACGCCGCTCCCAGCCTTAAGATGATTTAGTCTTTTACCTTTGACTGTATGAAAAGCAGACTTACCCAGCATATCCCAAACGCAAGTCCTTTCCTCCGGATGAACCATTCATCAATAAAGAGCAGAACCGGGTAGTAGAGCATACATGCCCCGACTGGGTATATAATGCCTTGGGTGATAATGAGTTGCCACACGTTCGTGGCAAACGAGGATGATAAAACGCCGATGACAGCAATCGCCAGGCCGACTAAACTGCTCATGCGACAGATATGTGGCCAGCGTTGAAGAATAAAAAGGCTGATGGGGGAGGCGAGATATAGAACACCCTAATGCCATATTAGTAATGAAGTCTGGAATAGCACAGATCCCGCATACCAGGCAGCATGATCCTATCACGGACACGCCAGAGATATTACGAGAGAATGGCTCATTCTGGGTGTAGTAGTCCTGGAGCACACCGAATGAGACAGCGAAGCCTTTAAAAAGTCATTCTAGGGCAGCAACATTGGAACAGAATCGAACGTACCCCAGACTACCACCTCTAGAACAAAGCCGCCCACTAGGCATAGCCAGGCATCTTTGCCTTGGTCTACCGGCGGCAGGGAAAACTCCCGGGGTCCTGGGATATTGTCATCAGATAATCCATGGCATTGGCTGTCTCTTATGGGAAGTGGCTCTAGTTCTATATCGGGCCCTGGGATTAGATGTAGATCGGAGTTCGTTGGCCGATGAGAATGAGTCAACTCATTGACGGGATTGGCAAGATCCTGGTGCATTTTAGCTCAATCGACTGCAAACAGCTCTGAATAAAAGAATGCACAGAGCAACAGCGAGCTCTTTTAAGAAACGAACCTCCGGGTTGAGTTTTCCTATCCTCCGCTGTTCACTGGTTTCGATTGCCCTTTTCGGAATCCGGACCCGCAAGTTCACACCCAGCGTACCTTTGATTGACTCTCAAGAAGCATAACTTTAAGCCATGCCGCGTGTGAAGACCTGACTGGATACCTGGTGAAATAATGCAAATCATTTCGGGAAGTAATAGGCGATGCGTTGATCCTAGGCTGATCCTTTCTTTGGGAACGAAACCGGCAAGCAATGAGCGGCCTCGGGGCGTATTCTAGATCAGCCACCCCCTCAGGCTTAATATCGAGTGGTTGGACCAGATAACCCCCCTCGGCGTCCTCGCACCCTACCTGGTTGATGCCTGATTTCTGCTTAATGAGTTGATCCCCCGAAAAAGGGAACCTCCCTGATCGCCCTTCTCCTTTAGACCAAAATCATTAGAATCTCTGAATATGAATACCTAAAGATCCAGGCATCAGATTGCCCAAAATGGAAACAGTTGTTGATTTGAAAGAGCGCGGCAATCAGCCAATCCTAACCTGAGCCTAGTAACAGCCTTGTCTCTCCTTCTCTCCTTCTTTCCTCTATGTACCGTCTCTTCTCTACCCTTACTACTCCGACTCCTACTTCTACTCCACGCTTGCCTCAAGATAAACCTCTATCGCCGAAAGTAGGGGGTTGCGAGGACGCTAAGGGGGGATTGTCTGGACTAACATTCTTAATATGAGGTGGAGAGAATGGTCGTAAGAGGTGTCTTGCAAGTCGTCCACTGATTGCCTCTCTTGCCTTTGCTCCCACAAACTGTACCGGCATCTCCTAGGCGCCAGGCTAAATCTCTGTTGCCCCCATGCAAAGGAAGACACTGTTTTGGAAGAGAGAGATACGGTGTATAATTCTGCTCGAATCGCTTCATAGCTCTGTTGGTAAAAGGAAAAGGCCTCTAGGAGACTTGAAAGTTAGGGATCATAAATGAATGAGAAATGCAAAGGGGTAGTACCTGTTGTGTGTGAAACCTACATGCAAGATAGGCAGGAGTGTCGACATTGAACCAGTTGGGTTTCACTAAATTGATCTGTCACTTCTGGCTTTCCTTTCCTCAAAGTCAGTTCTATCCAAGGTAAGTAGTGAAATATTTCATAATAATGCTTAATACTTTTAACCAGCACTGACCCCGAAAATGGGGGAAACATCGTTCTTGGTCTCTTCCATGGATAGCGAAACTAGGAAAGACATATTTTCCTAAAGCTGTTGTCCAGAGTTTGTTTTCTGAAACTTCAAGCGGCATTTGTATCGTGCGAACGATAGAAAAGGCTTGGTGGGGAGGGTTTTACCGAGGAAGACTGCGCTGGACCTCGGGATGCCTCTTGAGTTATGCCAAGTAGAGACATAGGAGAAGGTATAAAAGCACACGGAAATTATTCTGAAGACCAAATGCCTGGGGCCGCTGCTCGGTAGATGTTGAGTCGCTTCCACCTGACCAAGCTTGATCAGCCTGCACATGGTGCCCAGGCGGATTCCTTTAGTTCGGTTTGTGAGGGTTTCCGGTACACATTGTAGATGATCGATTTCTCTGGTCTGGGATATTATCAAGGAATATAACGAGCCCTGGATGGTTTGGCCCATTTCTCATTTGGAGTAGGAATGAAAAAAGAAAATAAACTCAGATCCCCTATAGGATATATATAAAAAAGGATTCTCCAAGTCAGGGTATCAGGATGGCAGATGCATGGAGTTGGTAAGTCGTGTTAAGGACCCCCCAAACGGAGATAAGGAAAAGTTGGAGACGAGAACATCCGGGGGATGGCCCCCAAATCGTACGACTCCCGCTGAAGGACGGAGTACGGAGTACCATATATTGTGCATATCCAACGCCAGAAGCCCAAACAAAGCCACTTCCCCCAGACTCACCATGGCCTCCGGACTCATTTTCAATCCCTACACTCTCCTCCACGTCCTCCCACTTGCAACCAGCACAGGGACACTCGCGCACGCGATTCTCGAACACACCGCATTCAATGCCTTCCTAACCCCATCCATCCGGCAACCCTCGGACAAGATCCTGCCGACGTGGTTCAGCCGCGTCTTCAACCGCGCCGTGTGGACCGTGCTCGCCCTGAACTTGGGCACGATCACCTCCGCCGCCGCGACTCTCTTCTTGGACCGCCATTACCCGTCCCGGCGCCCGCTGCAGACTTCCGCGTTCTACTGGGCGGGACTAGTGGGCGCCGTGGGACATTTGGCGTTTGTGCCGTTTGTGGCGGGGCCTGTGCAGCGGATTGTGGAGGATACGGCAGTCAAGGAGGATGCTGGGGAGAGTGGAATTGGGGCGACGGGGGATATGGCGCGATGGTTGAGTGTTCATCGGATTAGGATGGCTGTTGCGGATCTGCCTGCTTGGATTGCTTTCGTGGGGGCTATCTTGACTTTGTAGTATTTCTTGTTTGCTGCATTACTTGGCCTTTTGAAAACTCTCCCATTCGAACCCCAGGACGCAAATGATTATATGCAAAGAAAGAGAAAATATGCATCGCTAAAGTAGAGAAATGTACAAATACAACCCGCTCCGAATCTACAAACTGAAAATACCGCTCCGCTTCTTCCCGTGCGGATACACGATCAATGCCGAGATAAACAGCCCGACCGAAATACCAATCGCCGTCTGGATCATACCATAGCCCAGCGAGGTAAGCGAGCTATTAGACGTCGCACTGGTATTGGTGACATTACCAGAAGCCACTGCCTCGGCATACTCCAACCCGGAGATAATCGATCCACTGGACGCAAGACCAGACGGGACGAGGGTGAAGATACCGGGGATGATAGCAGCAGCCGCATGACCATGCCACAGCCGACTATACAAATTGGCCAGCAGACCAATCGTGAATGCGCCGACGGTATTAGCGACCTGGTTCGAGCCGAGTTTCTTCGTACTGAAGTAGTTCGTAACATAGCCACAGACTCCCATGAAGATGGTCACAGGGAGCTGTTTAGGCTTGGACTGATTGATCAGTGCTGCGAAGAGACAGAAGAGCGCGACGAATGGGAATCGCTGGATATACTCGTTGCCCCATACATCTAGACCCGAGCATGTCGACTCATTCGTCGCGTTATGGTCCATCAATCCGTAGATCGTTGTCCCGACTGTAACTCCGTACCCGAGGAAGAGCGAGTAAATGATTGTGAACACGAGCCGGATCGAGCCTGCGTTCATTTGGTGCGATTGTAGCTCGAGACTGCTACTTAGTACGGCAAATCCGGGAAGGATCATAGCTATCGAGGACTGTGCCATTGCTGAGAAGCAGAAGACCCGCTCGCCGTTGTGCTGAATGCTCCCGAAAGCGCGCGCGATGAAGGAAGTAAGGATTGCGGCGGAGACTTCCAGCACGTTCGAGTAGGTCGCCGAGTTCGGCGCGATAATGTGCTGCATGAAGCCCACGAGACAGCCCAGCACAAAAATGATGGGTAGGTCGACGGGCCGCGCCATGAAGGAGTACGGCCCGACGGCGACGCTGGCGCAGCCAGTTAGGAAGACCAATAGCCAGCGATTATAGCGCGGCTTGCGCTGCATGATCTGATCAAGTTCGTTGGTGGCTTGTTCGACGCCGACGAGGTCATGTACAACATTCTTGTAGACGCTGTGTGTCTCCGCGAGTCGGGATAGATCCAGTCCCTGTATCACGCGGATAATCTTCACCTCTGCGGTGCGTATCAACGGGTCATCAAATGACATGAACATGCATCCTGGAATGTACAGGAACTGGGCCTTGACTTCCAGCACGTTCGAGGTCATCATCATGTACTCTTCGAGTCGATGGGTCGGGGCGCCGTACTTCATCAGAGCACGGCATAGCTGCATAATGTACTGCTGACGGGCAAGAAGAGCGGCGATGTGCACGGTGAGCTTGACGCTTTTCTTGCTCTTGCGCCTCTGCTTCTTGCGTTCTTTGGGATTCGCAGGTGGGGGACCCGTCGCTGTGGGTACCCCGACCCGACCCATGTCCATAGATGCCTGAACGAGAGAAGAAGTATAGCTGTGATTTGGTCTTCGATGGCCGGCATTTTTGTACCATTTTAACTTGTCGTTCTTTCCACCTGGTGTCACTGTGCCAGATGGTGGCATGCTCTCTGTATCGAGGTCGGTTTCTGACGACGTGGAGACCACGCTCATCCGACTCGCCGTGTGGAGATTACTGGCATAGACACGAAGTAATTGCGATAGCAACCCTCCCGGTGGACCACCGGGCGTTGCTGTCCCATGTTCATCTGGGGTTCCTGGTGTCGTCGCACCGGAACGTGGTTCTTCAAAGCGTGGACGCCGAGGCTCGGGTTCCAACCCCAATCTTTCGACTAAAAGACGAGCTTGTGCATCATAGTCTGTGCCGGGAAGTCGTGATTCCTCATCAGCTGCCTGGCGAGCTTCAAATCCTTTGATGTCGTCCGTTGCTCCATAATTCTCCGGTAACATCGGCGAATCCAAACCATCGGCCTGATTTTCGTGGGGTCGTCCGAGCTTCTCGGCTATCGTGGCTGCATGGTTCCGAACCCGCTTGCTTGCAGTTCGCCATCGTTGGGCAGTGGAGACATTAGGTTTCACACCGAGCTCGTCTGGAAGGAGAGTATCTGTGTTGGTGGCATCATCGGGATGGTGATCTTTTTTTTCATCCCCATCCTTATCGGCATCCTCCACAGTAGGATGGGAAGGAATGGGCGCAAAATTTTGCTGCGAATCCGACATGGCGTTCAGACGCACGGCAAAGTTGGCTTCTTCCGGAAGTGGCCGGCTGTGTGGCTGCAGGACTTGTGGGTTAGGTGGGAGATATCAGAGGGAACTAGGGGGCTTTGTTAGTAGACCCCGGTCTCGCGCAGCAAGCCCAATACGCAACGATCCGAGAAAGCAATACCCCACAAACGGCGACACTTCATGTTCCTGGGGAGAGAAACAGAGGGAAAAAAGAAAAAAGAACGGATCCACGGGGGATGGCAGCCTCTTGACTGAAATGAGGAGAACCCGGCTCGAAGCCCGAATGATTGGAATTGTCTTAATTATTCTAGGACCCACGTCGCTAATGCAGTTGGAAGTCATGGTTATTCGCGTCAATTCACGGATTGCCTTGGCTGTTTCAGAAATGGGCGAGTTCGTAACGGGGTTAGCTGTTCCTGGGCTGATCCTGGGTTGATCGAGGGACCTTCATTGGATCCACGAACAGAACCAAGAAAGACCAAGAGCACCCCCTTGGCCGTCTTACAAATAAGTGACGGTTGACATCTGACACATTCTTTGTCAAAACAAGCTTCTTCCCCAGCCACTAACCCGCACTAACCAATACCTGATCTCTCCAGGCCTTTAGCCATCCTATCGGCACGTTGAAGAGCCATGATACTGCATAGCAGTGCTTCTGGAATTGCAACTCGACCAGAATTCCCTTGAGAAAAGTCTTTTCTTCTGCCTGAGATGCAGAATTTTCCCTTGGTCTGGACCGCGCCTCGTTTTGATTACCTCGGCACCGTGTGGGCCTTGGTTCCACCCAACAGTTGGGGCAATCATCGTGATGGCCGTTGGAATTCTAGCATCCAGTTGTCAAGGGCCAAGGCGGGGGAATCCTATGTAGAGGATGTTTAAGACAACATGCCATCGTACAGTCTGGGCGAGAATCCTATATCGTATGACCTCGGCAAAACGGTTCATCCGATTCTATCCGGTTTGATGCGCCTTGATCACTGCCAAGTCAATAGAAAACGGAGAGTTCCATCTCACTCGCGACTGTGGGTCAAAGGAAAAGTATTCTCGGATCTCACGTTAGATACTCCACACTCCGTACAGTCCTATGCCCGGCGTTGGGATATGGCTCTATCTCAGCACTCACCGCTGAACTGCAACAGCGATGGGAATGAGTGAACGCCGCATCATCCTACATAGGCAGGAACCCAAAGTGGACCGAGCATTGTGGGACTTGAAACGCAGGATCGATTGGACTATCTACGATCTTTCCGGGGGAAACACTGGGGTTCTGACCGGCCATATGCCACCGGGGGATATACTAGACCAAACCACACTACATGTCATCCGTATAGTTAGATAGGCTGTATGAACCGCTATTCGCTCTATTCTCTCAACTCATGATGACCAAAGTCAGTCACTCGCTGAGCTCATGATGATATTTTAGCAACTGCAAGGTCGCCTTGCGAAATCAAGCAAAATAGATCTGCAGTTCTGGTCGATTGGAAGAATGGAGGAGTGATGCAGGCGCATCCTATGTGATTTGGAGGAGTTTAACTCCGCCATGCAGCTTACTACCTGATATCTTGATTCTTTTAAGGTTCAGAGATGCAAGGGAGTAGAAGAACTTGGGCTAAACGTCACCAAGGCCTAAGTATGAAGGATTCACGTATTTAAGACTAAGTATCAGTCACTTGCAGACTATCACACAGCCAGCTTGGACCTTCATAGATCGCGGGCTCAGAAGAACCATCCATTGGTTCACCATAATACTCTTCTTATTCTCCCTTCACTGGATACTATACCGAACCCAATCCTCAAAGATGTGGGAATACTATAATGGCAAAGTCATTCTCATAACCGGTGGATCTGGTTTCCTAGGGACTGCTATTGTGCATCGCCTGCTCAGTTGTTCATCGGTGGATCATATATTCTTGCTCTGTCGAGGGGGAGAGGAGTATGTCGCATTTATGAACACTTCCAGAGAAAACCATCTCGCTAACCAGCGTTATATAGAAAGCTTCGACGGAAATGGGAAGAATTCCTGCCACTCGACATGGTCGAGAAGCTCTGCAATCCATCTCATCTGACTATACTCAACGGAGATATCCTCCTACCAGGAATGGGGCTTTCGCAAACGGAATTAGAAACCCTACGATCGGCCATTAACATCATCATCCATGCCGCATCTTCAATCAGTCTAGCAAAGCGCCTTCACAGCTTGTCAGCACTGATTATCGGGGCAAGCGAAGCTATCGCAGAATTTGCATTTACCTGCAAGAACCTTGATCGATTCGTCTACGTCTCCTCGGCGTACGCAAACACCCATGTCTATTCTCGCAGCGAGGCGCCTCCCTCTGACATAGAGATCAAAGAGGATTTCTACAGCCTCGAAAAGCAAGGAAACCCAACGATCGAATGGGACGCGGTGCGCAAACACGGCACAAGCGATGCATACGAAGCAGAAGATTTCCCATGGGCCTATGCCTATGCCAAACATCTAACAGAACGACTGCTACTGCACCAATTTGAACAACACTCCGCAAAAGAAAAGTTCCTTATCATCCGGCCTTCTATCATCGGGCCCGCTCAAAATGTTCCATTCCCGGGATACAGCATGCCTATGTCTACTCCATCCACAATAGTAGCGGCTGTGATCGCCCTCGATCCATCCTGGAAATGGAAGATTGCCACACGGATGACGTTTCCAGAGATGGAAGTCACTATAGATGAGGTTCCTGTGGATGTGGTAGTTGATCGTTTGCTCAGCCATCTGGCTATAGAGGCTCATGGATGTGTCCACGCTGTTAGTGGGAAAAGAGCCCGCGTGAGCCCTGAAGAATGGTTGGAACCGGTCATGAAGCTTCGTCGGATTCCCTGGACAATGCTGCCGCATTGGCTAGCTGTTGATTGGAAGTCTCCGAAGCAACATCCGATTAGCCGCTTATATGTGATTTTGGGGACCTCGTTTGCGTTTTCAGAAGACCGGACGATAGCTTTGAGTCAGAAGCTTGAAGAAGCGCATTCGGATCTGCAGCTTTTCGCTCGGGTTGGCATGAGGGAACGTACATTTAGCAGAGATGAGCATGTTCGGCATGTTATGGACAAATTGGCACAGAAGAGTCTGGTTGCTTGGTTGATTATCCAGGTGTTTTATCGAGATTACGGACGCAACAAGTGACCATACCACGAGAAGTCCAATTTTTCTCGGAGAGATCAGTTTAGAGGTTTTCAGAGTACCTGCCAGCGTTTTCGGGCTACATATCACTTTTAGCACAAGCATTTGATGTCCTGGAAAGATTTGATTAAGCGGTTTATTCAATTCAGAACACATTTGTAGATCATAACCAACTCTCCATGGATTTCAGTACAAATACCCAACTACAGTCTGGATTCTATACTTCCCAATTAGGCAATCCCGTCTCCACCAGCCATCCGGCACACCCGCCCCCACATCAACACCAACATCAATCTCTCCAACTCTTCCCTCAATAGGATCCAATCTCCAACAACACAAATCCCTATTGTATTGACTCTTGAAACCCCCCCCCCAACGCCAATCCCCACATCCACCCCCAGATCCTTAATGCCGAAATCCACCCCCCTCACAGCCCCCGCAACACCCATAGCTCTCCAAGCCCACCACCTCCTCTCCCCACCCCCAGACCGCCTCACAAACACCGCAACCACACTAAGCATCTCCCACCCCCAAGAAGACAACCCCATCCACACCTTCACCATCCACCGTCTACGCGCCCACGAACCCCCCGACAGCCCGGATAGACAAGTCCCCCTCTACACAGTATGCAGCAAGCCATGGCCCAACACAGCGCGCATAATCTGCGATACGGAGGATACGCCCATCCTGCTACTAAGACGGATTTGGCTATCCGGGGTGCGGAGGTGGGGCGTCCGGATTCCCGGAAAACCAGGCGATATATTAGAAGCGTCCATGCCGTGGACCGGGGAAGGGCCGGGGAGCAAAGTCGGCGTCGGGAGTGGTGGGTTTCGGCTTGATGTGCGATTTGTGAATGCGCTACGCGCGACGAGGGTAGCATTGGACGAACCGCCGCCGTATAGTGCGTTAGAAAGAAATGGGAATCTACCAAGAGAGAAAGAGACATCCATTCCAGATTCTGTATCGACGTCCAGACCTGCGGAGGACTCGACGTTGCCTTCTTATGCCTCTGTTCGGCGGGATTCGCCGAACGAATTGCGGGATCTGCTTGATGCGATTGAGCCGCCGCAGGAGCCGGCGCCGGCATCGTACTCGTTGGCTGGGTCTTCGGCTTGTGCGCCTGGTTCTGGGATCGGTGCTTGTGGGTCGAAGGTTGAGTTGAAGGTTTTGCAGCTAGGTGTGTCGGGGACGAGTGTGATGATGGGGAATCATAAGATTATCCATGTTACGCGGCATAATTTTATGGATTACAGCAAATCGAAACCGAAGTCGAGGCCGCGGTGGGAGGCTGAGGTTGCGGAAGGTGTGGATTTATTACTGGTAAGTCTTTTTGCCATATATGGGTTGAGGTGTTTTCTTCTCTTCCAACTTTACTGACGTCTTTCTAGGCAGTGAGTATTGTGCTGATTATGGCCGAGTCGGTATCTCAGAATAAATGGAGGTGAGGGTAGGGTGATCGTTATAAATATAATATCATTTCCGATGCTATAGTCAAAACTACCAATCTCAAAGTGGGAATTCCGATTCTAAAGGATCGCAATACCTAATGGGTCTCTCTCGCCAAACTTTTCTAACCATACATTCGTCAAGGGAACAGATCTTTTTTTTTCGTTCCATATTAAGTATTTCGTTGACCCAGAATTCTTTCTGGTCACAAAGGAATCACAACAATGTCAAAATAATGTCAAAAACAGGAATTCTCGCAAAAGGAACGTCTCATTTCCAAAAGTTTAGGACTGGATCATAGCGAGGCGCTTGGTCATGAAGTCGAAGAAGGAGAACTGGCTGGGCTGGTTGCCGTACTCGTACACGAAACGACTGGCCAAGTAGCTGCCGAAGATGGCACGGAGGTAGTTCTCGGGGACCTGGGATTTGTTAGCGGGGGGGTTCATTGACAAAATGTTTGGAGGAGGGGTAAACATACACGTCCCAAGATGGTCTCCAGACCGATCTTGTCCAACAGACGACGGGGCAGAGCGTCACCAAGAACAGAGCGACGGAGTGCAACATTGTCCCAAAGCTCGGTGGTCTGGAGCTCCTCGTCAAGCTTGGTGATGGCCAAGCTGAGACGATCACTGAGCACACTGCGCAGCACACCGGTCTGCTGGTGTTCGCGCCAGATGGCCTCGAACTCGAGGGCGGCATTCGACTGAATGACTTGCTGGACTTCCTTGACATAGGCCTGGTAGAATTCGGGGACAGTGCCGTCCTCACGGATGCACATGTGCTCGACGAACTCCTCATCGTTGAAGGACAACGAGGCGAGGACCTCCAGGGAAGAAGAAGTCACACCACCCTTGTTGGCGGAGGCATCCTTGTACAGAATGCAGCCAGCCTTCTCGAGGCGCAGCTTGGCGTCCTGGGTGATGAACAGGTTGGCGCCTTCGACAATGAAGGGGATGATGGACTTGTTGTCCTTGATGAGCTTTCCGACGGAGGCCAGGTCGATGGACTCGGGACGACCACCGCAAGGGACGAACACATCGAACTTCTCCTGTGAGCGCAGGTGGTAGGTGTTACGGAAGACCATGCCGTTGTGGACAACCTCGCCGCTGGGAAGCTTGATGTTCGTCTCATCGACAAGAACGCGGTAGCCCTCGGGCGACAGCTTGGTCATATCGAACTCTGAGATCATAGCGCGCTTCTTGGCCAGGCGGATAAGCTCTTCGTGGTTGAGACCGGTAGGATCATAGATCACACCGGATCCATCGACAATAGCTCCGTACTTCTCGTTGGCGAGCATAATCTCGTTGGATCCGAGATCACCGTCGGGACCACCGGTCTGCAGCTTGAGCTGTGTGGAGGGGTCGATGCCCAGCTTGCGCTGGATTCCCAGCACGTACTGGCGAACCGAGAGGGTGGTCATGCCGTAAGCGTCGTGGGGAATACCACCCAGCTTGGGGCTCTTGCCAGTGAAGAACGACTTCCACCAGGGAGCGCCACGGATGCGAGCGTGCTCGGTGGCCCAGTTGACGAGCTCAGCGGTGTTCTCATCGGGACCCATGAACAGAATCTCGTCCTTGCCGTGCAAATCAACGATAGGGTCCTTGATACCGGGGCTGACGGGAGGCAGAAGCAAATCAAGGATACTGTCGATGTACTTCTCGAAGGCGACCCGCGCCTTGTCCTGGTGATCGGCATCCAAGAGAATGACACCCTTAGCACCGCCTTCGGGGATATCCTTGTTCTTGCGCTGTTGGGTGTTGGCCAAATTGTAGTTCTCATCGAACAATGAGCGAGCGTTGATGTTGTACGCTTCGCCGTTCCGGCTCTTGACAATACGGATACCACCACGAGCGATGTCACGGAAACGCAGGTGGAAACCGCGGAACTCGGAGCTGATGACCAAGAACATGCCGTACAGGGGCTGGGGATACTCGTGCTCTGGCAAGAAGTCCGGCTTCAAGCGGAAGCTGAGAGCCACCTTGGTGGGTGTGAAAAAGTTGGTCTTGAGGATGGAGGAGTTGAACACGCGGAAGGAGGTCATGACCATCTCGTCGTGCTCGTTGACGGCGGTGCTACGAATCAGCTGCTTCAGCTTGGCACCGTCGAGGACCTCATCGACCTGGAGACGCAGGTAGCTGAGGGTGGGGAGGAAGTCATCGCCAGAGTCCTGGGTCTGAACGTAGTGGGTGTTGGCGAAGTCAAGGTAGAGCTTGTGGATCAGCTCGGGGTATTTGTTGATGATCTCGAAGATGTAATCGGCAGTGAAAGTCTCAGTACGCAGACGCTTCTTGATCTTGGAAAGCAGCTCTGCGTGAACGCTGTTGTTGCTATCCAACAGAGCAGACAACGAAGTGTATTCTGAGCCCAAACGGTTAAGGAACTGCTGTACAAACACCCACGCGCAGTGAGCGTAGATGGTTTCTTGCAAGCTCAGACGGCCACTGGCAAAGTGACCCTGGAAGCGGTTCTGGGGGATACAGTAAAGAAGGGAGACCTCCTTCATGATCTGGTGGATAGCGGCCTCAATGGGAGGGTGCTTGGCTGAAATCGCGGAATTGTCCGAGGGACGCAGATAGAGCGAAATCACAGTGATTCCGTTGGAGAAGTTCTCCAGGTACTTGCGCGAGCTGGTCAAACGGTAGTAGTGGTACAAATCCGACAGAGCGCTGAACAGACCCATGGCGGATCCCTGGCGGTAGGCAATCACCAGACGCTTTTCACGGCTGCCCTCGATCTCAAACATCTCGATGACGGGACCGGAGCGACCCACAGCAGTAGTGATAATTTCTTGGTAGATGGCCTTGGTGTTGGGGGTGGCCTTCTGCAAGAAGCGCTTCTCACCAATGATATCGATGTTGGTCTCATTGGGTGAAGGGTTGGGGTTGACGAACTGGCACTTGTACACGAAGTAGCAGCGCAGCTGCTGGCCATTGTCACCCGGCAGAGTGGTGGGCGAGCGGAAAGTCTCCACACGGTAGCTGTTGGCACCCTTGGAGTGGTTGACGTACTTCTCGTCGATGCGCTGCTCGTAGCGAGGACCATCCATAGAAGACATACCGGGCCGGCTGGTATCAATGTACACAGCATGGTCCTCAGCCTCCTTGTCCAAGCGGATCTCGAGCTGCTTATCATCGCGGGCATAGGCAGCGACCTTAGCGGCATATAGGGAGAGAATCTGAGTCACGATGGCATCCACCGACTCGGTCTGGAAGTAGGTGTCGTCGATGCCAAGCATGTTATAGAACCAAGTGGTCTCGGAGATGACAAAGTCACTGGGGAAGAACCCCTTCTCTTCCAATTGATCCATGACTGTTTCCTGTTAGTCCAATCCTATCATGTCAATACTCGGGATCAATTCCACTGACCTTGTTCCATCTGTTTCTGCTTGCCCTCGAAGGTAGCCGCGATGTAGCCCGGGTCCTCTTCGGAGAGCACACGGTGCGGGGTACCGGGGATGCCCAAGTGTGTGGGCTGCGGGGAAGGTTGGCGCAGAGCTTGTCCAACGGCATGATCCAAGTGCTTGTTGTGAGGGTAGCGCTGGAAACCGATGGGGGTGCCGGCGCCGGAGCTTCCATCCTGACTCGTGGAGAGCTTAGGCTGAGGGTGTGTAGGCAAGCTTACACCGTTGCCAGTAGGAGTCTCCGGCTGCAGGGTAGATACAGGAGAGGACATGATGGCGTATGTGAGGAACACCTCTTAACACGTAAGAGCAGAAAGATGAGAGAAGCTATATATAAGTCCAGAGCATTAGCTGAGATGAATCATCGAGGGCACGTGGGATGAGATAAGGCAGCACAAAGGATGTGCTTATCTCGTCCAAATGGCGACAGGGAAGCAAGGAGAGGGCAAAAGCTTATCACTTACTGGCAAAGACAATAATCACCGATCGTCGCCATGAACTGAGGTGATGGGAAATTGGGATGAATGAGCTTGGGTCAGAAAATCCGGGGAACCCTGGTCTTTTTATAACAAACTTGATTCTTCCACCCTTTTCAGGAGCGTTCTCTATTCGGTCAGAAAATGGCAAATTCCTAAATCACTTTTACTACTTTGATGTATTCTATTATTATTACATATGTCCCGCAATCCTTGACCAGTCATAACCGATGCTAGGCGGGGGGGTTCAACCGTATCCCCGAGTCTCGAAGCCCATTCACATCCGCCAACTCCACCCCAACTGCTCATGCTCCGTCCACTTTTGACTAACAACCGGCGACGCTCTCGAAGCTGATTGGAAGCTATCGCCCCTCCTTCCGAGCTCAAGCCGAATGAAAAAATGCCGCTGCGTCATGCGGGCCGATAGAAAAATTACCTCAGGTCTGGAACGTGGCTGAGGCGTTGGGCTAGTGTACAGGAACAGGGGCAAAAACAGCGCGGGTGACTTGCAGAGTTTGAATCTGAAAATAGAGAAGGATACGATGGTCACCTGAGAGGTTTTACTATCCTTCAGCGCAGGTATGATGCGATATCGAACGTCGTGGAATGCAATGTGTCATGGCAAACCCACGAACCCACTCCAAGCGTCAGGGATAAGAAACTGGTGGAATTTATTTTTCCCTGCAGTTTTGCGTCTTATCATGCTATCGAGGTAAAATGCCTCATTCTCAATGTTCCAGCCCCAATGGTGTCCCCCAGATCGCATCGTGATCGACTACTTCGTCCTAGATCCACCGGTGGCTTGTTTCCGGGGGATTTTCGCCATTGGGGGAAAAGGTTTGGCAGGTTTGACAAATTTGACAAATTTGACGGGGTTTGACTAAGGCTAATTGCACCTCCAGGGCTGAGTCTTTGCAATTCGTGCGCATGTCCCCGGCCCGGTGACAAGAGATGTCTTGGAAGCTCCATATCTCCAGAGGGGCCCTCTTTCGGTGCGTACCTGGATCATTGAGTTGCGGGGTAACATTTTTCCCAACTCGTGTCTTTCCCCTTGAACATCCGTTCTGCACGTTTTCTCGGTTGGGCATTGTTATTCGTTAGAAATCACGCATCGGGACCTCTTTACCCCAACAAATAATGGGCACGTTTCTCACGCAATTGAGCAGGATCCTGGAAATTCTGGATGTTTGGCGGGGCCTTTACGTGATAGCGGATTCTCGGCGCACTTGCGATTGGAAGCGCCCGCCGCCCAACGGAAAAGATGAGGTAATTGGCGTCTGCCTCGAGGGGAAATGATTTTCCGCCCCGTGACGTACACCCGACATTGTAGCCTCAGGCATCCTCCCCTCAAAGTCTGGGGAAGGAGGCACTGTGATGTCGGAAACCCTTCCGATCAATGTTATGATGCACTTTCGGGGTTACTCCTACCCAAAACAAGGAGCTGACAGTGCTTTCCAAGGTTTCCGGGTGCCTGCCTGGTGTCACCATCTGACACGACCTCAGGCGCGGGCCACGTTCGTAGCGTGCTACCTGGAGTTCTTTCACTGGTGTTGGCCGTCCGGGAGATCCTAGTGCCGTGAAGTCCCAAGACAAGACACGGGAACTAACAAGTCAGGAGATCATCTAGAAAACAGTCGGCGCCCTTCCAAGCATGTGTTCTGCAAAGTTAGATGAAGTGGCATTGGTAGAGTTCAAGTTTTGTTCAAGTACGGAGTAGGGCTCCCGTTCCTCAGGGATTTTGGGTACACAATGATCAAGGGATCCCTGAATTCTATTCTTGAAAATCACTTCGTTGGCTTGACTTGGTACATCATACATTGGAAGCCTGGTAAGCGCCGAAATGGAACGCGATTGCCAGTCCCACATTCTTCGGCGCCAATCTGTAGATCGGGCACTCTTCTCGACAGACCATAGAGTCGATTCTTCACTTTCGATCTATCTCGAAGTATTCCCTTGCGTACGGAGTATAGAACACGCTATCCTGCGCTCGGTGTTTTCATTCTGGGCTGGGGTTATTGCCAAGGTACCAAAGTATGCCCAAGAGAAAGATCTATCTTTTTGAACACGATGTCTGGCACCTATGTACGGAGTACAAGGATATTTGTCCGGTGATAAGGCAGCCGAGCGTAAGACCTGACGTGTCGGGTAGACCAACATCGATCTTATGTACACAACATGTCCAAGGCCGAATAACCAGCACCCATCAAACACAGGTACCTGATTTGAATCATTGCCATCACGAAGTCGTCAGCTCATTGATAATCATGCATGAGGATGTGTTGTACATCCTGTACCTGACGAGACCATTCCACAGTGCCACAGCTGCAAATAATAAACTGAGTGGTACGCTCGGTTATCTGTAAAACACACCAACTCGGCCAACTCATCACTTCCCCTCCCGGGCCTATCTGTGTCGTCCCATAGTCAAACTACATAACCACAGGTATCTCTCAACGAGCGGTGAACACAACAAGTCATGCCGCAGAGCTTATCTTATGTGGTACACGACAAGAATGCTATTTACACCGTTTTCACGAGGTACTTGGTGCAGCTCCATATGCAAGTATATTCGACATATCTCCAACGTCAAGGTTACTAGTGTCCCTATTTTTTTTTATCATCAGACTACTCCATACTCCCTATGTGATATCGGAGTCTCCTAGCCCCGGATGTAACGGAGATTCCATCCGCGATCGAAAGGGGCCCCCCGATCAATGCGCCTTAAATCACCGTCGGAGACCCGGCGCCCTGGTAATCAGGAAATCCGGAGAGTGGAATGCGCATTCTAGAACCATACTCTACCCCTTTCCCCCGGAATCATAGAACGGAGTACGTACGTCGCAGGTGGCAGGTGCATTGCAGATATTGTAAATAGTATATTCGCTCCTGTGGCCCCTTGAATCCGGGGGAAGAAGAATTGTGGAGTTTCCTATTCGGATGTCGATCAACGGCGAAACGGTCACCTTTTGCGTACTTCTGTAGCTCACTCGTCGTGCCCCTGAATTCATCCATGGTTATGGATCAGAAGCAACGAAATGTTGGGAGAATGGCCGCTCATGGATCGTATCCCTGTGTAGATACCTTTATTTGCTGTACGGAGTACGGAGACATCTCAGACAAAGAATGATTTGATATGCGCTCCAGACTGTCTCGGCCCCTGGCGTGGATCCACTGGAATCCCTTTTTCTTTTCTTTTTTTGCTCTGCGATGTGAGATTTAAGCGATGCTCCTAGACTTATTTAAATTAATTTATTGCGCGGCATCCTATTCCATGGGAAGATTTTTCCTCATCAGACAATGTGTGAGATTTGTGTGGAGTACGGAGTACATCGTATACATCATACTACCTACTCCGCATGTATATATTTGGCATCACCGGGGTTTGATGAGCCGACGCGTTTACAACGGTCTTTGGGCAGTCTGGTCCCAATTTTTAGCGGATCGCCCATGGTGATGCATATCGGGGCTCGGTGACCATGTCAACAAAGATTGAAAGAGATCAAACCCCTAACGGTGAAGGGATGCAGTCGCTTAATATTGGACAGCTCTTCCCCAGAAAAAGAAGCGAAATAGGAGCTCCGATTTCTGTCGCCACCCTCAGCCGATCGCCTACACCGCAACGGAGCAGAGTCCATCCGTCTAGCATCCCGGTGTATCGTACCCCGGCAGTCTGGTCGTTGGGCCAGCTTTGCTATGATCGCCGTCTCCGCTCTCATGCCGAGGTTCACAGGCGAGTTATCTCCGGGGACGCTAGAAGGCATAGAATGATCCCAGAAACCCTTCATAACTACAACCCTCGTAATTCATTAGCTCTCAAGCCTTGCCGATGTAGCCGGTCGGCTTTCAGTCAGCTACTTTCCCCGTACTCCATAGTGTATTGATGTGTTTTATACAAAAAATATTATGAAATGCTCGATTCGTCAATTCCCACCCCTGGTCAATCTCTCCCCACACTAACGCGTCAGGCTCCATCTCCTCCTTTGTTTTTCTCCCCGACAGGTGTGCCGGGTTGGGCTCCCGCGGTTCCGATGGGGGAATGTGCCCATCCCTACCTCCATGGCTGGGTTATTGGGAGGTTTAGAATGAGGCGATTGGCCTTGGCGGGCAGATCTCCAGGGAGTAAGCCTTGGGCCTGGCCAGGTATGCGTGTACCGGGTACTTTCTTTCTTCCCCAGGGAATGTATTCCTCCACACTTTTTACGGGGGCCTTGTTTTTGGTTTAATTATCTGTTTGTTATTTTTAATTCTGGGGGGGAAATATAAACTAGTTGGAGACCCTGCATCGGCTCTTAGGATTCCTAGTTCTGTTCATATCTAAGATAATTCGCAACCCATTTGCACCTTTAGCAACTGCCAACAGCTTTGCTAGTCCCATTCGCTTTGATCATCTCAGTCTTCTGTCATAGAAGCACTACTACTGTGGCCATAATCATCTTAATTGAGCCTCACCACCAACTATCATTCTTGCCACATCTCCCCTCTCCCCCAAACCAAAACCCACGTTTCGCCCACCAACCTCCCGTCTCGAAAAGACCGGATCTAGATATCTTCCATTAATCCATGTAAGTTTGAACTCCCGTCATCACTTGCCACATCATATCGCACCCTCCGATCCGATGCTCCGAAGCCGGGTCCTCGGGCAAGTCCGGAGCCTCCAGGGCTCCATCTATACCGATAGGCATATGCCAACAAGTACAAAGCACAAGCATGTTGCACAACAGAAGACTGACTTTGAATCCTGTGAAGAACGTCACCCCTGCTCAGACAATCCCAAGTCCCATACGTCAGCCTTCCTCACTTTTCAGCCGAGGTACTCAACCCATCCTTATACTTTCCTACAAGTATAAGACCCCAACAACAACCGCATTCTTCAACAATCTCAACCCTGAAGAACCAACCTTCCTACCTCTACAATCCTACCAACCCATAAACCTACCTCCAAAATAATGGCCACTGTCTCCACCAAGACCGCAACCCCCGTCATGCCTCCCTCCTTCTCCATGTCGCAGGACATCTCCCGCGCTATCATGACAGCCTCAGTCCAGAAGGCAGAAAAGACCCGCTCAACCCTCATCGACGGCATGCCTCCCGCCCCTCCCCCATCGCCCGTCAGCTTCGCCAAGAAGGGTTCCTACGATCACATCCCCAGTCTGAACCTGGAGTAATCCTTCTTCTTCTTCTTCTATTTCGGGCTCCGTTCTCACCCTGATTCAATACGTCTTTTTCGCTTGGGTTTCTCTTCTCTCAGAGGAGGGATTTATTGTACCACCATCCCAATATTTCCCAATAATCGGTTCGTGGACACGGATATACAGCCTTTTCTGGTGTCTTGTGTCCTTGCCGTTTTTTTTCCTTCCGGATTTGATATCTGCGATGCTTGTTAGCCTTATGTCCCTTTTTCGTCTGACTCTGTTTTTTTTGTCGCCTGTTAGATTTAGCGTGTTGCATGGCGGCGCGGACATCATTCTGGGTTTGCGCGCTGGGGTATGTTTCAACAAAAGTCTGGGGATTCGGTGTTATCTAATTATTTTTCCCTGGGCTTTATCTGGAAATGAAGATTTGATTTTATATGATCGGTGATCTAGTAAGATTCGATAAAGGATTGTAGTTTTGGTTATGGGAAATTTCTACGACGGATAGTCGACACACTGTCTTTGTCGTGGGTCCGCTGTACGGAGTACTCCGTTAGCTATACTCCGTATTCCGTACAGACAATGCATTCTGGCGGTGTCGGCGATTCAACCTCGGGAATGTCGGGGAGGTCGGATCTGCAACATACGGTGTGTGACACCTTGACTCACATTGCCCCATAGCCATTCTAGAACAGTACTTCCGTTCTACAGGGGTGTAAAGTACCATGTACATAGTACGCAATGTGGAACCTCTAAGCCGATGAGAACATCGAACCGTCTACGGTATGGGTAGCTAGCTGCAGTATGTGAGGATAGGTCGATCATAACGTCACCGTTCTCGCCTCATATGACCTGCCTTGCAGAGGTTCTGATGCGCAAAATGATATCGATGCATGTAAGAGTCGGTTGTGGGAGCAAGTTTTTACGATATACATATGTCGTTTTGATATCATGGGCTTGCGTGATCAAGAGTTTTTCATAAGGGAACAAGGATGCCATCCCCAGTATTGGGTTTGGTCATGACGTTGCCTTGTAGATCCCGTAAATTGAGTTCGCGTTAGAAATATTGATCTAACTGACAGGGCCCAATCGATGTGTTGTTCGTGGGGCGGTAGCATACCCGGTGATTTCTCGGTGTTGCGAGGATTGTGGCTGGTTGGGGATTCTTCGTTCCCACTTGATATCATAGCTCTCTCCCCGTGGTGAGAATTTCCATTTCTGCGACATACACTGCCGCAAAACGATGATATATATCTTCTCCAGTAGTTATCCTCGGCTCATGGCTCCTGCTTCCACGTGACAGCACAGATCGGCTATAGATATATAGCGTAGAAACTAAATCCAGTGATATGCCGAGACCCGAGGGCAACATCTAAGCTGAATGGTCGGTGTAGAGGCATGGGTCTAGACCCGAATCATAGATCGCAGTCAAGAGCCCGGTCGCTGATTTGCTCCATACGCCTTCACGATATAAGATCGTCGCTTTCAGATGTGGAGTCGAAATCAGAGTCTAGGTCGGAATCAGACTGGGACTCAGAGTCAAGATCGAGAGGATTTGGTTCTTGATTAAGCTCTTGAATGAGTAGCTCAAGAGTCGCCTGCGCCTCCACATCTCCTCTCGAGGCACGTTCATTCAGTCGATCGATCTCAGCAAGCTGCGCCTCAGTGCGAGCCCAGCCCTGCATCCTATCTGACAGATCTGGCAGATTCGGTTGACGCCGTGTGCTCATGACTGTGCGCACAGCATCGGTCTCTCCCTTGGCGGTCTTGATCTGCTGCAATTTGTGGAGGAACAATGCCTGGTGGGATGGCGCTGCCGGACGACGGGGTACGGCGAGTGTTTCAGCGTTCTGAGAGGATAGGGGTTCGGCTCGTCCCGCGAAGGTCTTTTTGTTCACGTTCTGTGCGAATTCCGGCTCAGCGCTGGCGGCGAGTTGTGCCTTGCGACCAAGAATCTTCACACTGTTGGCGGCCACAAGTTCATAGGAGGCCCCACGGTGCAGCGGAGCGGAGTTGTCGGTTTCAGGTGGTGTATCGGGGCTGGAAAATACTAGTTCTGTGCCGATCTGATCAGCCCAGGAGCAACTGAACAGTTGATTGTAGTAGGAGATGATTGGGTTGTGAGTGTGGAGGTCGAGGATCTGGATGCGTTCATTGGGGACGCTGCCGGTCTCAGCACTCTCAATCGGGGGATAAGAATCGTCCTGGTGATCTTGATTGTTCCTGTTTGTTGAATTTTGCGGCCCTATATTGGCCTTTTCCCCGGGGCGACGGCGTGGTGGGCGTACTGCACCATGGTGGGCGGTCAGGTCCAGATTGATGTAGAAGGTCTATCAGCTAGGTTAGCAGCCGGTAGAGGGAAACTGACAATATCACATTATGATTCTGACCTCGGTTTCTGAACCATATTCATATTCATACTCTCCATCTGAGTCTGGGTCAAGCATTGGGGTATCCATGATCGGGCCGTCTGGATCGTCGAAGAACCCAACCTGCGCAGGGCTGTAGGGCTGCGATAAGATAAGGCTGAGTCAGCTGCAAGGCGGTGAGCCCGGTCTCAGGGTTCCCCTCTCCACCGATCAGGACAGTCAACAAATAATGAAGCCCTGGTGGCGAATGTTGTGGTTGTTTTGGTTTCAGATGATTGAGGGGTATTTTCAATAGCGCAATTGGCATATTCGAAATTTGAAAAATCTGATTGCAAGGATATGCTACGTAGCCTTGGGCAGTAGGGTACAACCTATACTTCGTATACGCTCTCCACACCATATACTTCTTAAGTAGAGTTCAATCCTTCTTTCAGCCTTAGACTGCCAACAGCCTGGACAGCAATGGGGCCATCACATCTTCGTAAGTCTTCCGTCCCTTCCGTTCCGGCTCTCGACGGATGGCTGCTCAGGCATACACAACGGTGTATGCATGAAAGTGGCGATCGCATTCGGCTTGGTAATCCCTTCAATGCATTTCCGCACGCTCCCGGCTGGTGTCTCTGACCAGTCGAAGCTCCATTTTTTGGGTTTTTTTCTTTTATGATTTCTTCATCGGGCGATCTTAGTTCGAGCCGGAAGGCCGGAGCTCGCTAACTATGTGGATTTTCTTATAGATAACCCCGCGGTCCTGTTGTGCGCCCTTCTTGTCCCAACTCTTGTTCTTTCTCGTCCCACCATAGATCCCGGGGAATGCCCGACGGCTGCAGCCCTACCACTCGACTCCATTGAACCGGCCTCGACTGAAATTCCTATAGTCTATGAACATTCTAGATCGCCAGCCCTGACAGTTTATGTCGGCTCGCTTCAGCAGATGACCCGGAAAGCCAAGGCAACAATTGCCCTGCTCTCGACCCTGATCGCCTATGTATCTATTAACAGCCTAATCCACGCACTGAGGCCGGCTGCTTTCATCTGGTATGAGGAGGATCGGGAGGAGCGGAGCTGGATTGCGAGCTCGCGCTCGTGGCTTGATCGCAAGGCCTGCCGATGGCTTAGCGTCTGCGGCGCAACCCATCTCCAAACCGCGGACGGGGAATTTGGACACCGCGATCCAGCAAAGTGGGCAAGTATGCAGGTACAGCCCGAGACACCATGGCGGTCGTTCTGGCTTAGCGGGGCCAATGAGTCTGAGTGGGATCCCGAAGAGCGGGCTCGGCGGCAGATCCCGGACTATGTTTTCCACTACGCCCCACTCGTCCACCTTTATTCTGGCGAGCAGTTCTGGCCCGGGGATATCGCCGAACACTTGTACCATACCACTCCGACCCTGAATTATACCCCAATTCAGGCCCAATGGGATCATCCGACACTGAGTGACTTGCATGAGCTGAACCAATGGGAAAAGGGTAGGCCTGTGTTCCTGACAAGCAACGACGATGTACAGACGCGTCCACCATGGTTGGAGGGCGAGAGGAATATCCCTGAGACAAATGATGACAAAAAAGAATCATGGGCTGATTGGGATGGTCGCGTCGATGGGGATATCCCCGGTGACACAGAGGAAAACCGTGCCAAGTGGTATGATTTCCACCAATTGCAACAAGAGGATGCCTCGGAACCTGAGTCGAACTTCAACGAACATTTGCAAGCTCAGCAAGTCCTCAAGGAACATATTCGCAGACGGTATGGCGGCGAGGAGATTTATAATGATGTCGGTGCCGGTGGCCGAAGTGACGCCCCTGCAATCCTGGTAGTCATGGATAAGGGCAACGGGATTGTGGATGCATTCTGGTTCTACTTCTACAGCTTCAATCTTGGAAACACCGTGGTCAATGTCCGGTTTGGCAATCACGTTGGCGATTGGGAGCATTCTATGGTCCGATTTCACAACGGCAAACCAAAAGCCCTCTTCTTCAGTGCCCATCAAGGCGGAGAGGCTTATAGCTATGAAGCCGTTGAAAAAATTGGACACCGCGTAAGTTGCCAAACAATAGACTCCGCGATTGTGGCGTCACTAACTTTACCCGCTTAGCCCGTCATCTACTCTGCCGAAGGTAGCCACGCCATGTACGCCACAGCCGGTGTACATGAGTACATTCTTCCCTGGGGATTACTGCACGATATAACTGACCGCGGTCCACTATGGGACCCCGTTCTTAACTCTCAAGCCTACACGTATGACTTCGACAATGAGCATTTGCGAGCGTCGACCTTCAGCCCCTCTGCCCCAACAGAATGGTTCCATTATAGAGGCCACTGGGGTGACAAGTTCTACCCACTGGGTGATTCCCGCCAATACCGATTCGCAGGCCAGTACCACTACGTGAACGGACCTCTAGGCCCCAAGTTCAAACATCTCAACCGTCACAAGGTGTGCCAGGGCCCCGATCGTGCACCATGCGTCATCAAAAACTACATCGAGCAAGGAAAGCGATCTCGGCGGTGGGGACCAAACGGACCGGGAGAGTAACTTTTTCATGGGCTTCCAATTTCTCTCAAGACTCATTCGACAGTCATGGAGCTGGTGTGCCTCTTCTCGCGGTCAGCGTCCGCTCGATATCCACCAATTTATACTGCCAAATTGGGCAGAACACCCTGGAAAAGTCCGTTGCTAACACATTCTTTTTTCTTTCTTTCTTTTTCTTTCTAGGATCTTTATGTTGACCCCCAGATACCCCCTTTGTTACTGGAGTTCCTTCACCAAGGGCAACCGACAGTATAGCCCTCCCACGAATAAGACCATGCTCCCCTCATTTGATATGACACGACTTGCATGTGCTGTGGCGTGTTTACTGGCTTTGATTTCTACTCTACCTACGTACTCTTTCCTTTTCCTTTGGACCCGGGCGTTTTGCATGCTTGTTCCTTTGCTAGAACGTTATCAACGATCTCAACAATATGACACTGCTACGAGAATATCTTTGCATATAATAATTTATTGCTTGTAGAGAGGAAAAGGTCAATGGACGCCTAATGGGAGCGACTTAAGTTCTCTCAAACTCAACGGAGACCACATCGACCTCCAGGGCTACAACTCGGGCTGATGAAAGATAATAAAAAAACATATGTCATTATAGAGACAATATATAAATAACAGGAAAACGTAAATCTTTTATTTGAGATAGAATCTCTAACCCCGAATCTCCCAGAGTCGGATGTTACCCTGCTCATTACCAACAGCCAACTGCTCGGAGTTCGGTGAAATAGCCACGGAAGAAATCCGACCCAATGGCGTGTTAGCAGTAGGCCAGTTACGGTATACAGTGCAAGTAGGAAGGTGAACTATAGAGAATCCAGTTAGCAAAGTGCACAAAAACCAAGAGAGAACAGTAGGAAGAACATACCAAGACGCAAAGCATCACGCTTCCACCGACTCGCCATAATCATCATCTGTCCATCAGGGGCAAAGACCAAATGGCTGATGGGAGTAGTAAGCTGATCCAAGACACGCACAGGTTCAGGGTTACGGGGGATACCCGACTGAGCAGGCGAGTTCTTATCCGCAGTCGAAGCATTGGCATATGCGGCCGCCCAGACGCGACGATCGTAGATGTTGACAATACCACTGGAAGAACCAATTGCAACCCAGCGATCACCTCCAAGCTGTGTCCGGCCTGAGCGTCCACCGAGGCTGAGAACTGTCGTGCCGACGGCACCGGCATCGAGCCAGCGCGCGACAATGCGGCCTTGGCGTCCGTCCCACTCGGAGACCTCACCGTTCTTCGACACGACTGTCAGACCCTCGCCGTCAGACCACCAGGCAAAGTCTGAGACACCGCCACGGCCGTCGACGCGCACTTGCGCGATCCATTGCGCGGTGGTGGCGTCCAGGACGTTGATTAGACCGCCGCCCTTGCGGGATGTGCCGACCAGGCCGATAAAGCGGCCGCAGGGGGAGAGCTTGAAGCGCTCCATGGACTTTTGCTCTTCCTTTCGGTCGGAGGAGCCGTTGACTTTGTCGACTTTGCCGGTGTCCAGGTCCCAGATGTGGAAGTAGCGCCGGCGACTGGAGGCGAAGATCTTGTTGCCTGTTGGAGGGGCGAAGGCGGACGTGTGGATTGGGGTGCGCATGATGTGCATGGAGGTGAGGAGGGGGTTGGGGGCGGGTGCGGAGGGGGAGATGTGGTGCAGGAAGAGAGTTGAGGCTGGTCCGGAGGAGAGCAGGAGCGGGTAGTGTGGGTGGAAGTTCAGGGAGTCGACGGAGGACGGTTGGGATTTTCCGATATCCTTCAGTCGCTGAATGTCGATGACCTCCTGGCGCAGCTTGCGCTTTCCGCCTGAGCGCGCGTTGTCTTCTATGCGTGTCAGGTCGGAGGCGTTCTGGAGGAGCTTTGCGAGGGGCTGCATGGATAGCTCCTCGTTCTCGTCGTCGGAGTCGATCTCGTCTCCGCTGCCTGCCTCCGAGTCTGAGTCGGTCTTGCGGCGCTTGAGCTCGGGTGTGGCCCACTCGGGGGTTGGGTGCAGTCGTGTGAACTGTCTGCGCAGTCGTCGGACGTATTCCTTGCCACTAACTACATCTTCGTCTTCGAAGTTGCGCAGTTTGCGCAGCTTGGCTTGGCTTCCTAGCGATACGGCAAGGCGGTCGTCGTCGCTGTCATACCAGACCGCGGGTTCGTCCTTTTCCTCCTCGTCTTCAACATCTGAAGGAGTTTCCGGGGAAGGGATCATATCAATGGTAGCAGGTGCACCCGAATCGAGGAAGAAGAGCTAGATAAAAACAGTATGGTTAGATTGAAAGCCTGGAGACTTGGAGTTGGAGTCGCATACATCTGAGTCGGCCAGGCCAGCCAAGTCTTCGCCCTCATCTCCCTCGCTGGCATCGCTTTCGTCATCACTGTTCAAAGTGAGAGCCATTCCGGCCTCGCGATCCTGCTGCCTCTTCAATGCGCCCATGAAACCCTCATCGTCGCCAAAGAGCATGCGCTCCAGCTTCTTCTCGGCCTCATCTTTCTCGGGCACATCTTCCTCATCCGAGCTGGTTTCGTCGTCCATTTCGATATCTGAATCTTCCGGGCGGAGATTGGCCGTAGTGTTCTCCATCGCAGACCGGGTGTTTGCCTGCTTGGCTTTCACCTTCAGCCCTGCTTTAGGCATGGTGACGGGTGTGAGAGAATCTGTAAATCGAGAAACTTTGCTTGCAGAATCGACCACCGGATTGATATCGGGAGGCAATTGTGCAATTGTAGGCTTCCAATGTTCCTCGGAGCTAGAATATTTTTCCTCTTTGATTTTTCCAGAACCGGCAGATCAGAGCGGTGTGTAAGGCGGCATATATTATGGCCTTGGATTTAGGGCAACAAATTGATATCAGGGAACCGTGGAACGGACCAAACAAACTTCACTCAGACTCGTTGATTACGTTTTCATACTCTGGATTAGTCGGGACAATCCTTTCTTTCTGTATCAAAAAATGGAAAAAGGCATACAAAAAAAAAGCGTTCGGGGAAGATGGAGTGCCAAGCAAGATAAGCGACGTTCTTCCCTCTATAGAAGATCTTATTTGACTAATCTACGAATACCTGATACTTACGACGACCTCTAGCGGATACCTAGGTAAATATTGTACAGCCTTCGAAATATACACACTACATAATTACATGTAGGTACTTAAGCAGTGGAAGAGTACCTATAATAATGCTTAATTTGCAAGAGCAAGATAATCGTATACACAAGCACACGTTAAACAGTAATGAACAATCCCAAAAAAGTAAATATGTAACTCCCAAATGCACAAACAAAGAATTAGTGAGTTCCTTTGCTGGGTTCCGTATCATGTCCATTGCGGCTGCTACTCGAGCTTGCTGGTTCATATGGAGGCACAGGATTATGATCCTCAGTAAGCAAATGCTCTGACTCATGGAGAGCATCTGTAGTGGCCTTTGGCTGTGATGTGGTCTTCGGGGTTTTCCCAGGTATTTCATCGTCGGAATCCGTTGAATATGACTCGTCCAGACCATCAAGAAGAGCCTCCCGACGGTGAGCATCGTCACCTGTGGCGGCATCCTCTGTGTTATCTGCTGTGTAATGAGAGGCTGGTTTCTTGATGAATATATCGATGATGTAATATTGGATGGCGTTCATGATGACCGGGAAAAGAAGCATGACGAAGAAGATCTGGACAGCAGCATTGCCTTCTGTCCATCGTAGAGCCCAGTCGCCGACCTTGACAATGAAAGGTAAGAGCTCAATGAGGAAGAAGACGCATATCTTCATGCCAAGTAGCCCCATAAAGTAAACTATGGCCTGTTTAAGCCACCATGTTGCGCGGGGTGGATGGCCATAATTCCCCGACTCGATCGATTCCGGGGGATTCGCAAGCGGAGTGTAGGATGCGAGGCGGTTGAGAACACGGAGAAGGAGGATCAGAATCGGGATCCCAAGGGTAGTCTGTTCAATCAAATCCTAGTTAGCAAACAGGCCCTGAAGGAATGTCAACGCAGATGCAAGAGAGACTTACATCAATTCCCAAGTTCAGTATGTAGAATGAGCATGGATTCGGCTTGTATGACTTCCGAATCTCAAATTGGCCCGCAGAAAACATCGACATGACAAGATTCAACATGTGAAGCATCACTGATCCAAAGACTTGCTTCGAGACGTCGAAGGCCCAGACCTTGATCGGACGCTGTGGTCGCTCTCTCCATCTCTTGTAGACTAGAGATAATAATGCAAGGCCACCGAGAGCAACCTGCACAAACACAGAGAATGGACCAAGTAACTTGCATTCTCCCCCTCATCGTCCGGATCCTGTGGACTAGTAGAATTTGTCCCATAATGATATGATCCGTGTGCGTCCGAGGTTGCGGGGAGAGCTGTACCGACGTATGAGGCGAGAGTGCCAGTTGCGGATATAAGGGTGGTTGTGGCTATTGAAGCAAACGAGCCTGCAGTGTCCGCCATTTCTTGGCCTTGTTTAGCCAGATAGGGGAGAAAACAAGAAGGGTCAGAAAGCAGAACGCGACATGAGGTGGAAATCAAGTGTAACGGTCAGCGTCTAGTAAGGTTTATCAAAGGTGGAGGCGGACGTCATACGCGTGACATCAAAATGGGGGAGTGAATCAGGCCAGGAAGCAAGGGAAAAGGTTCTGTTGAACAAAGAACAAAGCAGATATGGCTCTGCTACACAGAGAACAAAGTGATCTAAGGGTTCAATCTTTGTATCAGGAGCAAGAGGGTGGGTTTATGAGTCTGCAGAGTGCTGCGCCCTGGGCGGTGTCGGGTCCCCGCAGTGGGATCGACAAGGCCGATGTTTCCATTCGATCAAGGGACCCTGGCTATTTTGAGGGTCTTCGGCCTTGGCATTGGGGTTTGCTCCAAGTTTCAGCATATCTAGAAGAGCACTCCGTATACAGATTGGTGTCCAAGTCCATTCCAACTCCCCAGCTGCCTGCATCGAGGTGGGTATGCCCTGATGATGCCCCGGGTGATGCCCCGGCCCGGCGCACTCAGGTGCATATCGCGCAGACCCTAGTTTAGTTATAGATTCAGATAGCGATATAGAGCTCTCGAATAGTTCAATATCAAGCCGTGGATATACATTCCAATACTTGATCAGACATATCAATCCATAAATCTAGAAAGAGCACGAAAGACAGTTGGAGTGAGCAAAGTGGAGGATCGAATTGACGAAGAGTAATAATATAATGGTTAAATATGGTAAAAGAAGAAATCAAATCTCGCCGGACGTGTTGTTCGCACGATCATTCTTGAGTCAATATGCCTGACGACCAGAATCAGCCTCGCCCACCATCAAACCCTCTGAAATAAGGAAAAAAAAGCCCAGGGAATAAAAACGCCGGAAACCCCTCAACCAAGCCGCGATTGAATAGTAGAGCCCTTGCAATACAATGCGCGGCTAAATGCGAGCAGAGGGCATCATGAGAAAGAGAATTCGTCACATCATTCTATCCCGTGTTGCCGTTTCAACCGTTCTAAATTCTCCTGTCTTTCCGTAATGTCCTCTTTCGTACGGACCATCTTCTCTGGCTGGTGAAACAAGACTATAGCGCCGAAGGTCAGTCAGGACTGTACACTCCCCGAAGCTCATTCAATCCATGTGTAATACATACCGACCAAGTATCTGTTCTGGAAGTTGAAGCCATTTAGTTTATCGCATGCCTGTTTAGCGTCGCTGACGTCCTCGTAGACAACAAAGGCGGTTCCCTTGGAAGTATTCGCGATACCTTGACGGATTTGGCTGCAAGTAAAATGGCGTTAGATCGAGCTCTAAAGCGAGACCATGGGTAATTATTACCGAATGGGACCAAATTTGCCAAAAAGGTCAAAGAGTTGCTCCGCTGTTACGTTGTAGCTGTTCGAGGATATGTCAGCGATCTGCTCGTGACTTGCAAATGAGGAGTTGTGGTGCTGATCCGCCGGGGAAACAAGCCAGAGCAAGGCGAGTGATCAAGTACGTACTTGAGGTTCTTGACGAAGAGAATCCTATAGAAAAAGAAGAAAAATGTGGTCAGCGCTAGTCACTTTTATCTGCCGGAGATCTACTAGACCCAACAATGACCCAGTTGATGGTGAAATGGCACTGCTGCCGACAATCGGGGGAGGGGCATGGAAAAAGTATTCTCACATACCGATTGGCTTCGGGGGCGAGCTTTCGGCTCATTCTCAGAGGCGAGAGAGTCCAGGAAGAGGTTGAATTAAGGTATGGACAAGGAAGATACGCAAGGTATCGGTTGTAGGTTGGAATAGCGAAGATGCAGAAGGTGAGAGCAAGGCGCAAGAACAACCACGAGGTTTGTCTTGGCAGAACGCTTACTTATCCTGGGTTAGTGCCAGTGTGGTCTTAAACCGTATGTGACAGAGTCATGTGACTCTTGTGAGGGTGGTGATCGGTCAAGGCCAGCACGTGATGGTATCAGGATGGTATCGGAACGTATTATCAAGACGGACGCTCTCGGCGTCGCCAACTTCCTTTCGACTACAAGAGAAATTGAGCAGGTCGGGGGGGCACCCAGATAGACACAATCGCATCCTATGATCAGTGTTCTTGACCTTGTAACCTAGATACACAATTCTATCTTTCTAATAAGAGCTCTCGCTGGGCGCACCGTAATGTAGAAGCCCGCAGCTGTACGGTGTACATACCTTCAAAGTTGCTACTCGACTCCCGCTTCCTCCCCCAACACCTCGCGCTCATCCGCTTCTCTCTCTCTTCCGGTGCTTCATCCATTCGCATACTCATCATTTTCCATCCAGTTGGCAGGAATCAGTTCCTGGCTACTGGATCTCGTTTAATCTCCTTCCTTAACTGCCCTCAGGTTGCGGCGCGACTCTCGGCGCCTTTGTCCTCCCGCCGCTCGAATCAACCCCCTCAACGCAACGCTCCGCGAATACCGTCGACCACTCACTTCGCCCTCAATCGTCCATCGAATATCTATCATATCCCTGCGGTTTGTTATGCGCATGCTTTCCTGCCAGGAATGACATTCCCTTCGCCTGCGCCGGCCTCTCGCTAGCCCGTGTGGTCCAGTATCCCCGCTTTGCACCCACCTACCGCAAGCGCATCTTTTCGCACCTCCGACCCTCCATCTTTAATTTCATTTGAACTATACTTCACTGGGTTGCGAAAATGATGAGTGCGGCATCATTTGCGAATCCGATCGGCGGCCGTCCGCCGCAGTACCGTACTCCGTCCCCTCCATTACGCGCTGTCGAACCTATCACTCCATCCGCAAACACCGATTTTTCCTCCTCTTGGACGAACCGCGGTCCTCCCCGAGCTGCCAGTCTTGATCGCGATCAGCGTCCATCGAATCACAATCGACATGTCGCTGCAGAGAGTGCCTCACACCAGCGATCGGGCCATGGCCGCTCAAACTCCACCATCGATACACTTGCGACGATCGCACTCGCAACGAGTCCTACCTTCGCACCGCTTCCTCAAAATCCGCCTTCCCCTACGCCTCGGTCAACAATTCCTCTGTTCCCACTCGACTCCGCGGACGCTGAACGTCCGGCCAAGCGAGCACGGTCGGCGAGAAATCCGTCGCCCTACCGCCCGCGGCCAGGGATGCTGACTGAAAATCCACAGTCAACTGGGCTAGAAAGCATGACAACGGATGCAGAGCTTCTACTCAATCTCGCACGGCCTACTAATTTCCACCCAGGTAACCACACTAAAAGAGTGAGCATCGACGAATCGTCTCACCACTACGCCGGTGATTCTATTCGTCAAGCTCGAGTTGGCTTTGCTGCCGCAGGAAATTTGGGCGACAGCGATGTCAAGTCGAATCACAATTCCGATGATGTTCCTTATGCGCGCATGCGCTCTCGCTCTGATGGATCAGCCTTCATCTCCCGTCCTGTGATGCGTGGAATCCGGCCAACGACCAGCTCCGGTACTCTCCCACCAATAGTTTGGGAAGATGAAAATCAAGATAATACCTGGCATCCGCCCGGGGACACGCCTCGTCATTGTGCGTATGTTGCTCATCCTCCGGTCAACTCTCAGGAATCTCAATGCCCGAAAAAGTCTGTGACTATTCCGCCAAAGATGGAAGATGAAGAGAGCGATACCAGTCAAGCAAGCTGTGGGGCATGCCATTTGGTGCGTATCCCGGTTGAGACCGAGGAACAAGACGAAGACACCTGGATCAGCTGTGATGGATGTAAACGATGGTTCCATATTGTTTGCGCCGGTTTCAAAAATGATCGGGAGGTTCGCACCATCGACAAGTTCATCTGCCGGCCATGTCGATCAACATACGGCCAAACAACTTTCGTGCGCAAGTCCTCGCGGGCCCGTACAGCCATTGACTACGCAGGCCTGAACCAAGGTCTCGTCAAAGCAGCCACCGACTCACTGGAACATCACTATCTTGAGCCCATTCGTCAAGGGAAAATTCGATTCCAACCCGAGAGCTTTCCCCGGATGAAGCCTGAGCTGGTCACGGCGGAATACTTCGAACGGGGAAATGGGTGGACGGAACCTATCGTGATACCTGCCTGCTGGAACACATGCCAGCCCATTTCTTCGGAAAGTACAGACTTCGAAGCTTTAGTCCAGGAAGCTTCATCGCAAGAAATGTTTGATGATCTGCTCGATAGTCTTACAGACCAAGAGCCCCATGTCGAAGAAACAGTTGATTGTGGGCAAGACCTCTTGGGTATGGTCATTCCCCAGGGTCTTACTGTCCGCACTGTGGCCGAGCTTTACGGACCTGAAGAAAGGGTTGAAGTCATCGATGTCAAGTCTCAGCAAGGAGAGGACAAGCGATGGAACATGCAGAAATGGGCAGATTACTATGAGAGCAACGAGCTGGACAAGCCTGTCAGGAATGTCATCAGCTTGGAGGTATCGCAGAGCAAACTGGGCAGACTCATCCGACGACCGAAGGTTGTGCGTGACTTGGATCTGCAAGATTCTGTGTGGCCAGAGGAGCTGAAGGCAATTGGCGACTATCCCAAGGTTCAGTTCTACTGCCTGATGTCCGTTGCTGACTGCTATACCGACTTTCATATCGACTTTGGAGGATCTTCGGTGTACTATCATATCTTAAAGGGCAAGAAGACTTTCTTCTTCATCCCACCTAAAGACAAACACCTCAAGAAGTACGAGGAGTGGTGCAACTCTCCCGCGCAAGACTCGATATTCCTTGGAAACCAGACCAAGGAGTGTTACCGTGTGGATCTTTCCGAAGGAGACACCATGTTGATCCCCTCCGGCTGGATTCACGCAGTGTGGACTCCAGAAAACAGTTTGGTCATTGGTGGCAACTTTTTGACCAAACTGAACTATGGCATGCAAATCAAGGTCCTCAACATTGAAAAGGAGACCAAGGTTCCAAAGAAGTTCCGATATCCTTTCTTTCAAAAGATTCAGTGGTATACAGCACTGAAATATCTGGAAGATGACCCCATCCCGCAAAATGTCATGGAAGCATTTATGCAGGACGAGAACTACCGGTTCCACCGCCAATATCCTATTTATTATGAATTTGGAGAACGTGCCAACCAGGAGCCTCGAGGATCTCCTCATCACAATGCACGTTTCTATTCGCAAGCGGAGTTGGAGGGTCTACTTGAACTAACTAAGTATCTGCTGCGGACTGCGCTCATTGCGGGGGGCTATACTGTTGACGGGGCCATCTCCATGGACGTTCGAAACGCAGTCAGACGTTCCATCCCCAAAGGAACCGGTGATCCTGTGGATATTATCAGGAAATTCGGAGTATGGGTCGCATGGAAGCGAGGCAACGAAAAGGCCCCCCTATGGACTAGACCTGGCATCATCGAAAGCAATCCTAAGGTCTCCATCACAGAAAAGAAACCCGCAGGGCGACCAAGTCGGCGATCTGAACGCAATGTCGATAATCAACGCACATATGCCGAAAGACAAGCAGTCCAGTGGCCTTCTGAAGAGCCACCAGCAACCCCGAATCCTCCAGCCAACAGTCTGGCTTACGCACAATCGGATGGAAGTGCAACGCCGGCACCATTCAGCGTTGCTCCAGATACCAGCATCAAAGAGATTGCTACTCCCAAGCCTCGAGCTGTGCAGCGAGCCTCAGGCCTTGGGCCCAAGCGAGTTGCATGTGACGCTTGTCGCAAACGACGTATTCGTTGCCGACACAAAGATGAGCCCAGTGATTTGGTGCTGAATGGGCAAGTCGCAGTCAATACCTTGACACCTGGTTCTGGTGTGAGCACCCCTTCATCCTTAGCCCAGGATGCTGTTTCCGCATTGAACTCTCTAGCGGCAATTGCATCTCAAACTGGGTTCCAGAACAATGGGCATCTTGTTGACCTGGAGCGATTCGAGAGCTCGGGAAGATTTCAATCCGCCGTCATGGGCAACTCCACGGGGGCTGCCAATCGACTCATTGATGCGAGCCCCGACGGAACCAATGGAGGGAAAAAGGGGCGCAGCAAGGCGTGTGATGATTGTCGGAAGAGTAAGGTTCGTAGTCCTCAAAATTACCTCTCTTGGTCCTTCTACTGTTACTGACTCGAAATTAGCGCCGTTGCATCCACGATGAATACGGTCGGATAGATCCAATCAAGGCTCAAGAGCGCTCCAAACCTCGTGCGAATGCTTCCGCCAAACGAGCACGTGCTGCTGATGAAGATGATATGCTTGTCACTGCCAAGAAAACGAAACAGGAAAGCACGTCACCTATGGTACAACCCGCCTTGTTTTTCGATCATGATGGTGATGAGCTGATGGCACAAGCCGATTTGATGGATGTTTATGACCGTGAACCAGCCAATCAAATCGATCCAACAAGCGAGCATATTCCTGGGCCAGATGAAGAACCTCAAGATCAAGCTCTGTACGCGTCGCCGCCTGCTTTGCAGGCTGATTCTATAGATGCAAAGGATGTTAAATCTGTGCCTGAAACGATGCCTGTCTCATCGTCCAAGCCTAACGCCTCCTTGGTTTCCCCACCCACGTCGCTGGCCGACGAGATGGATGGGGTCCACGAGGGAGATGCTGTACAGTCTGTGGAGGGGGAGGTGTCGACTGCTCTTCACACTCCCAACTCCAGCTCTCGTCACTCATCTCGTCAACCCCGACACGTCGATCGATTCGCGCCCGATGCATCTGCAACCCGGGCTCCAAAGCCAGCGGCTAGAGCAACGTTTTCCAACATTGGCGCACGCAAGACCACTCCGGTTCCACCGTCATCGAGAAAGCCTTCGTCGCGTCCCTCGTCCTCACACGCCAAGAAGAGCTCTCCGATGTATGAGAAACACTTCACTCGCCAAGCCCCTACATCATTGTCTCCGCGTCAGCACAAACATAATCAGCACCTCACTGGAGATGAAGATGCTGATGAAGAGAGCCTTCGTTTAATACGAGAGCTCCAAGAACAGGAGTTTGGTCTGCGAAAACGTTCTACACGAGTCTAAGTCTGCAAGAGAGCCGTTGGTCTTGCAGCAGACTTTGTATTCAATGACAGATGGAAGGGGTAGAGGATGTCTTCTTATCTCTTTGCGTTCTTTTTGTTCCTTTTTTTTCTCTTTTTTTTTCTCTTCCTTTGTTATTCGGATATCAATTTACCAAGGGCTCAGGACGGAGATCCGGTGTTTTTTGAGGATCATTTCTTATTTTTATGTTATTGCTGGCGTTTTCTGGGTCTGGGAGATTAGGAGTTTTGGATTTTGATATCAATTCTCGTTTGCATATTTATCTTTCTTTGTCAATCTGACCTCTTGTGCCTTGCTTTTCTAGGTCCGATTTCACTTCCTTCTCCTCTAGTCCGTCCTTTATTCTATCTTATTCCATCTTCCTGGGTTCTTTGTTTCCTCTCGGACCGTTTGACCACCAACACTTTGCTTGCTAATTGTCTGTTGGGCTTTCCTTCTCTCTCCCCCCCTTTGCGTACCGCAATGAGGCATCCATATGCGATCAAACTTCGCATATATCCTTGTTCATTTGTCCGAGACAATCTTCTACCTTTGTTTGCCCGTATATACCAACCATAGGGTTCCGTAGCAATTTCTTGAATCTGTTGGATTTCCGTGCTAGTTGGCCTGTTGCTGCCCAATGACTTGGTCTTTAGACTGCTCACTTGGTAGGTATGTGACTAGGACTGTAACCGAACGGCCATCTGCCCGGTTCTCGGCTACGAAGTGTCAGCTTGGATCTCCAGCCACCTTCCAGGTCGCAATGACCCTTTCTGTAAGACGATACATATGTACCTTGATCCTATAACTCATCATTTCCAATCCGCCTAGGAACAGATCTGATGCTCGCTACACTCATCCAAAAAGCGTTACCTCGCCAGAGCCGCCGATGTGATATGCAGACCTATTTGCAGTATCACGCCAATGCAGCCATCGCCAGTAAATGCCCGGTTAAGGATAATCGAGTAGCTGCCGTGGAGGATCTACCTCGAGGGCGTCTGCCAACTCACCCCCATCTAAGACATTAAATATATGAACACGAATACTCTCAGCCCAAGCGGCACAGGGCAGCTTGTGGTGGCTCCCATCCTATAAACAGCATGGTTCTCAATGGTCGCTTCTGCTCGTCAGGTCCAATCAGAGTACTCATGATGGTATGATAAATCCTATGCATTACTATTCAGCATGTCTGCGGAGTACCGAGTCAGATGTTCCCCGTATTCTCTGGCTAGATTGACCCTGTTGACATAGTCTGTCCAAACATGATTCGACAACCTGATTGGAACACGCCGATCTCAAAGTACCGGTGGCGTGTCGGCTATGGGCAAGGCACGCGCGATACCTGGACCCTTTGATTCAGGGCTCTAGCGAAATACGAGGATGGAAACGGAATACTGTTGGGAAACTAATGAGTATCGAAGACAAGCACTGGAGCCCATTCCCTCTGCCCCACAAACTGTGGATAGAAAAAAAAAAGCAAACCCGATCGCACGTTATGGAGCCCAGTTAGTTCGTATTCCCCCAAGCCGACCCGAGCCGGCGAAAACAAAAGAAGCGAAAGACACAGCCAAGATTTCCCACCTTCCGGCAAATCCTTCCACAGCCTTATTTTACTCCCTGGGCTCCTAGTTCAGCACGGACTCTGTTGCCGGCTCTATGGTGCGGAGAGTGAGCGGTATATAGTCCGTCATGGTTTCAGCTGAGGTACTCCAGAGCAGAGAGTACAAGCCATCTGTGCCAGTCGGTCTCGCGTAGAAGTTGGCCCCGCTCATGCTGACCAGGACATAGTTGCCGTAGAGAGACCATACGTTGCTGAGCTTGTTTGACCGCTCAGTCTCGGATGTGCCTGTGAAGCCCACTTCATTGGACTCGTCACCTTGGCCGAGATAGAGCGTGTTGGTTGAGAGTGCAGAGACCCTGTCGTTGGAACTGGAAGTGGGGTGTGCAGTCCAGGTGCTTGGCGAGTCATTGGAGGCAGTGACTAGGGCGTTGTTAGCGTCAAGAGTCTTGCTTCTCGCTGCAAAAGATCGTCTCTTACAGTCAATCGAGGTCATTCTGGTGGTGTCGACTTTGGATGAATCGGCAATTTCAGCAGTACCTGTTCAAGCAAATGAAGTTCAGGAAATTAGTCTTTCTGACTCGAGAGTGGGTTGGACTACCGTTGCTGTAGAAGACAGGCAGTCCGCTAATGTTCTCGCCATATGCGTATAGCTTGAAGGACTCGGTTGATTGTCGCTTTTCAACTGGCTGCGCAGAGCAGACCAGCCCGTAGGCGAGAAGTAGAGGAAGAATGCAGGAATACAGCATCTTGTAACGATCAAGTCTTACAATAGCAAGTTGTATACGACAGGAGAACAAGGTGAAGCAAAACTTATAGACTGAACAAAACACAGAACAGGAATCCCGCCGACATGATAAACGAGATGCCGATGTAAATAGAAGCAGCAATGACCAGGAACCGCCCCAATCAAACTCATGGTTCCCTGTCGATTTCGCTCTGTATTTCCCAGTCCACGCTTTTTGATTCGGACTGGTACAAGCTGACGGGATACGTACCTCTGCCACTTCCCTGATACGAGTCAAGAATCGATACTTGGCATCGTTCTCGTCTGCATGCGCGAGATTAAAATCCCAGCCCCGGCTATTCCAACCCCGGTTGCCAGATGGAAAGGCCGGCTTATGCACAATGGCTGCACGCTCGCAAGAATTGGCCATCCGGGACAGCTGGCCAAAAGGGAAGCATGTCATCAGCGACGTCATCTTATTGATCCTCGTGCTCGCGATGAGGCTTACCGCAACTCGTATCGACCGAAAAAGGGCAAGACAAGCATAAACCCAGACCCTGTGTCGGGGAGCTTAACCCTAATGCAAGGTATGTCAAGCCAATCTGACTGCGATTAAATTGCCCGATCTGCAATTCTCCGTCATTGGCTGGTTTTCGCTTTCTTTGAATCATCTGAGACATCCAACTTTGGGTCCCTTGTTCTATCCAAGGTCTATCGATGTTCTCGGATATCCGTATACAGGAAAGCAATGACCGATATCTGCGGATGCAACACCGCCAATGCACACGTGGGCTGATGCCTGATTGATACAGCAGTGTAACGATCAATCCGTCAGCTGGGAAGCATTTTGAACCGACCTTCTTCTTACGTTTTGAATGGTGGACGGGCCCTGAGCTGGGAATCACTCGGGCTGTGTTGTTCGGGTTTGGACTGAATGCATAGCCTCGATACGCGATATTGACTCTTCACGATGGCTATTCGTCCATTGGATCGTCATGTGTGTCGCTGTCTTCCCCTCTCCCACAGTGTCCCCGGGTGGGCTGCCCGGCATATCCTAGCGAGCTATGGATGCAGGACATCTCGTGAAAAGAGACCTGGCTTTTTCTTTTCGCGTGCTGGCGGAATCTGACCCTAGTTTCGTAATATATGAGACTTGTCGATGGCCTAGAAGCTTAAGTAGAAGGCAATTCTCTTGGTTGAGCAGCAGTGGCAAGTCTCATTCGTTTCTTGATATCCTTTGAAGCTCTTCTGTTTCTATCGAGCTGTGTTTAATGCTTTGGAACACTATATAGAGCTATATCCTTCCGTCAAGCGGGATTAATCTTTGTATGAGTGTCCTGAATTGGATATAATCCGCAACTATGAGGCTTCAGTCTCTATTCCTTTTTGCATTTGGTCTGACTGCTACCGTTGCGGCTATCCCACAAGATACAGTCGATACAGCCAACGCAGTCGAAGTACAACGCCACAGACCTACAACCACCACCACCAAAGTCAGACCTACAACAACTAAGACCAAACATACAACAAGCACCAGCACCAGAGAAAAGCCCACTCATACCAAAACAACCAAGACCAAGACCAAGACCACCACAAAGCCTCACAAGCCAACAGGAACACCCTGCCGTGGTAACACACCTCGCAGCCGGTCCCAATGGTGCCGCTATGATGTGAACACCGACTACACCAAGACGGTGCCAGACACCGGCGTGACCCGCGAGTACTGGCTCAATCTCGAAGAGCACAATGCCGCACCCGACGGTGTCAGCCGCCCCGTAATGACTGTAAACGGGACAATCCCCGGCCCAACCATCTTCGCCGACTGGGGCGACTGGGTCATCATACACGTGAAGAACAATCTTCACAATTCCAAGAACGGCACAAGCATCCACTGGCACGGCATCAGACAGAACTATACCAACGGCAACGACGGCGTGGTTTCCATCACGCAGTGCCCCACTGCCCCTGGCTCAAGCATAACCTACAAATGGCGCGCCGAGCAGTACGGTTCCTCGTGGTACCATTCACACATTGGACTGCAGGCGTGGGAGGGCGTGTTCGGCGGGATTATCATCAATGGCCCGGCATCAGGGAACTATGATGTCGATAAAGGCAGTCTGTTCCTGACGGATTGGTCACATCAAACAGTCGATCAGCTGTATTCGTTTGCTCAAACTCGTGGTCCACCAGTGCTAGACACGGGCTTGATCAACGGAACGAATGTCTTTGGCAATGATACCAATGCCACGGGCAAACGTTTCCAAATGAAAGTTGACCAGGGATCCTCGTATCGACTGCGACTTGTGAACTCCGCAGTCGACACGCACTGGAAGTTCATGATCGATAATCATAAACTCACCGTCATCGGAATGGACTTCGTCCCCATAAAACCGTACACCACAGACTACGTCAACATCGGAATGGGTAAGTGAAGGCCATCTCATCTGCTACCTCCAACCCTAACTCCCAACTAACAAACCCCAGGCCAACGCTACGATATAATCGTAACCGCCAACCAACGCCGCATCTCAGACTCATTCTGGATCCGGGCAATCCCCCAAGTCGCCTGTTCGGAAAGCGCAAACCCAGACAACATAAGAGGAATAATGCACTACGACCGCCAACCACGCACCCCAGAAACCACCGCGTACGAATTCATCGACGAATGCGTCGACGAACCAGTAACCAGTCTCGTCCCGCAAGTCCCGAAAACCGTCTCCGCAGCAGACTGGCAAGACCTCACCGACGTAACAGTCGCACGCAACAGCGCGAATCTCTTCCGCTGGTACCTCAACAGCACAACGATGCTAGTACTCTGGGAAGACCCGACACTGCTGCAACTCTTCAACAACGAGGCGACGCCAGACTTCACCGAGTCGAGCGGGGTGATTGAGCTCCCGCGCGCGCACGAGTGGGTGTATCTGATGATCAATACGAGTCTGCCGATTGCGCATCCGATTCATCTGCATGGCCACGATTTCTTTGTTTTGGCGCAGGGCACGAATCCGTGGGATGGGAGTGTTCACACGAGTAATCCGCCGCGCAGGGATACGGCGATGTTAGTCGGGAATGGGTATTTGTTGATTGGGTTTGAGACGGATAATCCGGGGGCTTGGTTGATGCATTGTCATATTGGGTGGCATACGGATGAAGGGTTTGCGTTGCAGTTTTTGGAGAGGGAGAGTGAGATTGAGCCGTTGATTGATGAGGATGGTTTGAGGGAGAATTGTGCTTCGTGGAATGCTTATGATGCAGCTAATGATATTGAGCAGGAGGATTCGGGGGTTTAGGTATTTGGAGGAGGAAATCAGGGGTGATGCTAGGTGGTTTATATATGGCATTTGCTTTTTGGTTTAAATAGTGTCGAGGCAAAATATCGGGGTGATAATATACATATGCTCTTTGCGCGGTATCTACTTGCGACTCTTGTTTTTCTTTTAGGAGATAGTAAGTGGGTGCGTTGATCATTCATCTCATTGGTATGTACTAGACACTACTCTCACTTTATTCTATTCACTAGCCCTCAAAGGCGAACATGCAGAATCGATGTATCGTTAAACATTTCGTCAAATCCTACCAGCTCGTGGCATAAATCAAGCGCAGAAAGCAATATTCTAACCCATCATAAAGTTGGAATTGATGTAATTACCAACATAGGTCAAATAGTAGTTTTACCACTGTGAGCCCAGTTCGCTTAAATCAAGGTCCTCATATCATCCATGTTGCGGATACCGACCAGATTACCAGCCTTGACACGCTTGAGTGTCAGGGCGGCAATCAGGGCAGCTCCAACACCGGAACCATCCTCGGCAGCCAAGATGGACACCTTGTCCTTCTCGGTGGGAGCCCAGTCAAGGATCTCACGCAGGGCCTGGGCACCACGCTCCTGGAAGTGAGGGTACTTGGTGAAGACGGAGCCGTCAGCACCAACGTGGCAGGAATCAATGTTCTTCTTGGTGCAGATAGCGGCAACACCGCAGGCGGACAGGCGAGCCGCGCGGGTACCGATCAACTCCGCAAGACGACGGGTCAATTCAAGCTCCGGCTGAGTTGGGCGAATATTCAATGTGCGTTCAAAGAGCTCCAGAGTCTCGGAAAGATTCTCATAAGGATCCTCTTCGATGTGGGAGAGGAAGGACGCGTCAAGCAGGTAGGGCGTACGCAGCTTGGAAACATCTTGGCCATTGAAAATCAGACCGGGTCGGTTATCGATCAGGTCAAGCAGAGCGAGACGGAAGATCTCGCCGAGGTACAGACCAGCGGTCATCTTCTCGAAGGCCTGCTGGCCGGGGCGGGGAGAATCGCGGTCGATGATGTCATCGTATTTGGTGAGGGGGAGCACCACGTGCTCATTATCAAAGGCGCCGTATTCGCAGTTGATGGCCACGGGCATGTCGGCTGGTAGGTTCATATGGGCGAGCTTGGGCACAGACCCTACGTTCTCCATGTATGCGGCGTTGACGCCGGTGCCGAAGATGCAGCCAATCTTCATGTCGGTATCCGTGTAAGCAGAAGCAATCAGAGTACCAGTGGTATCATTGATCAGGGCAGCGACTTTAATGGGAAGACCCTGGAGAGTTATTGTCAGTTCTGTAGAATTGAATGGTGATGACAGCCAATTCCAGTATCAATCAACATACCCGCTTCTTCAAGATCGCCTCCAGAGGGGGAACGACGTCCTTGCCCTCGACACCATCAATATCGAAGCCCTTGGTCCAGCGCTGCAAGATGCCGTGATCGATATATTCTTGGGTGGCGGGGTAGGAGAAGGTGAAACCGAGCGGCAGCCTGGCGAGGTTTCCTTCCTCGTGGTGAGTCTCAATGAACTGCTGCAAGCAGTCGGCGATGTATTCCCACAACTCCTCGGCGGTACCAGTCCGCAGCTCCTCTGGCATTTTGTATTTGGATTGTGTGATATCGAAAGCGCCCTTCTCGTCGGTCAAGGTAATTTCGCAAACACGCAGGTTGGTGCCGCCCATATCGAGGGCCAAATAGGTTCCTTGCTCATTGCCATCAGGGAATCCCAGGACCCAGGTGACATTCATAGGCTATTTGCTCAGGTCAGTACATGTCGGAATCTGGGGACTGCTATTATTGCTCACAATATTGCCGCCCTCAACAGTCAGGCCTATGTTATGTTAGCTGCTGACGTGGAGGATCCGGGGAGCTGCGGGTCAGTAGCTCACTCACCCTTCTCGAGCTCCTTAACAAAGTGGTTGACAATCTCCTTGAGCTTGGAACGATCTACCGTGAAGGCCGTCTCGAATTCCTTGATCGGGCCCAAGAGGTTCTGGGGCAGCTCGTGCATAGACCCTGGACCACATAGTTAGCACAGCTTGGTTAACAGGGATTCGAAGAGCCTCACCCTTGCGGGACGGCGGGTGCTTAGGACCAATTCCGACCATGGTGAATTATGATTTAGTAGCGAAGTAGGAAGAGTAGTCGAGAGAACAGAAAACAAAAGGGTATGGGAACGTGGGGCAAGCTTAAGATGGATTTGGCTGCGGTGGGCAAGCCGATCGGCAAAGGTTCAGAGGGGCAAATTAAGGGGAAATCAACACGAGAACCCTGGGCTATTCCTGTCAAAGTATTTAAAAGAATCCAAAGTCCCAACCGGTGAAATCCGGACTTCATTGACCACAGAATGACTTCAAATGATCGGCGGTCAAACAGGATCAGCGGTCTCTTGGCGTTTTGACTTGCAGCGACTCCACGATACTCCATACTCTAGTGAGATTTATACTGGTACTCCATACTGGTAGCGCTTGTTAGGATAATGACTTGAATATTTCTGCTTCAATGAGCTATTCCTCCCTGATTACCTAGACATCGCATTCATGAAAATCGTAACTCCGCTCAATGTGACAGCTTACGCGCCAAATGGGGGAAAACATGGGCGAGACCCTCAGACTGGCGGTGTGCCTGTGTCTCGTGTGACTCCAGCTTCTCGCGTACTTTGCTCTGATACGCATCTGTTAGCTCCAGAGTGCGATCGACCTCCGCCGTGAGTCGGTTCACTTCGTCCTGCAGCCGTTCGTCCCGAGTGAGCGGGGGAGCGTCCTCCGCCGCCCTTGCCTGGGCATCCGGGTTGGTTGTTTCCCACAGCGCCTCCAATTCCTCTCCCCATCCCATGGCCTTTGCAAATTTGCGCACCCCCGCATCGCAGTCACCCAGCATCAACACATCGTCCCTGCGCGATCCAAGTCCGCCGACACGCTCCATGTTGATGAGCACGCGAGGCACGCCCGTGGGAACCATCGTAGGCAGACTAGCAAAGGGCTGGACGCACAGACTAGTTCCCATGACAATGCAGAGATCCGCTTCATCAAGCAGGTGGCGGTTGTCGAAGAATCCGGATGGTAAAGCTTCACCGAAGAATACAATGTCGGGCTTGACGAGGCCGTTGCACTGGTGGCAGTGCGGGATATCGGCCTTAGCCACCATCTGGTGCATTTCTTCATCGGGGAAAGTCTCCTTACATTCAATGCAGCGCTGCGAAGCAAAGCTGCCATGAGCTTCGACAATCTTATCGCCTGGCACACCTGCCTGGCGCTCGAGGCAGTCGATGTTTTGAGTAAAGTGCTTCAAGAGCATTCCTTTGTCGTAAAGCAATTTGATGAATGAGTGCACAACAGTTGGACGATAGCGTCCAGGGTACAGCTCGTGCGCCAAGGCATAGAAAGGTTTGGGGTTCTCGCGGAAGAACTCAATATCAAAGACTGCTTCTGGCTCCGGGAGATCCAGCTTGGCCAAGTTGGCGTAGATTCCAGTATCTGGTGAGCGGAAATCCGGGATACCTGCTGAAGTGCTAATGCCCGCTCCTACCTGGATGCTGGTTAGCGGTGATGCATCGTTTAAGGCTGAGTTATCTGCAGCTTACCATCAACACCACTTTCTTAACATTACGCTCTTTGATGTATCTGGCCACCGCCTCAATATTGCGCGCCTCCAGCACCGAGGGGAGCGCGTTATCGTCCACCATGGTCGACTCTTCGTTGCCCATGGCGCGAGGTCAGTTCTGATGGGATTGCGATGTCTGATAACAAGAATCCGTCAACGCGAAGTTGAAATCTCAGGCTTTGAAGACAAAAGTATTCAATGATCAAGTTCTGCCAAAGAAAAAAAGAAAACAGCGACGAGGCACTTATATGGAATCGCGAGCGTGGGGAAAATGACGTCGAGTTGATTCACCACCGCATTAGGACACGCCAGATAAAGAGGCAAACTAAAATAGCACAAAGGGTTCAAGATGCGTAGGACAAAGGATTGCCTCAATTAGAAAAACAAACAATCCCTGTCGCCTCGTAGCACAGTTCTGAAGCTGAAGCTGTAAAAGTGCCCCTCACCGCCCGCGGGCCCCCTACAACTGGTGTATTTGGCAACAGTCAAAGACCATTGCGACAACAATGGCGCCTAGGATGGCTGCAACTGCTAATGGGCATACGGCCCTTCAGAGCCCTTCAAGTAATGTCTCACCAGAGACATCTCCATCCCTACAGCCAGACATCTTCAATGCCAGCTCCGTCGCCGAGATCAAAGCCACGCTGTCCCACCTCCACACCCAAGAAGCGTCCGTGACTGCCCGCCTCGATGCCCTAGTGACATCCCAGAAAGACCTCTCCCGTGAGCTGGGCCGTCTGGACCTGATGCGCGCCAATATCGGCTCCCACGCCACCACCACCCGCTCCATCAGCCATGGAATGCTCTCCGAAGCCGCCGGCACCGCCGACCGCATCTCCAGCGCGGTCCGCCGCCTGGATCTCGAACAGGCACGAGTGAAAGCTACACTGGAGGTTGTTGAGCAGGTCGCCGAGCTCAAAGCGTGTGCGCTGGGTGTGGCAGGATCCATGGGTGCGCCCCAGGACTGGGAGAAAGCCGCCAGCTACCTGCACCGCGCAGCGCAGATCCCAGCGACGGTCGTCAATGGCTCCTTTGCTGCGGAGATGGTTCCCACGGCTGAGGTCCCCGATCCCCCAAGTGTGACTCTGGATAACGCCGCGGAGTCGCTGTGCGGGCTGTTCCTGCGTGAGTTTGAGAAGGCAGTTAAGGAGAACGACGGCGCCAAGATCACCCGTTTCTTCAAGCTTTTCCCGCTCATCGGTCGCTCCGAGGTTGGACTCGATGTTTATGGTCGTTATGTGTGCCAGGGCGTGGCGGCGAAGGCTCGAGCTAACCTCAATGGAGCTACAGGGGGTGTCCAGACCAAGGATGGGTTCTTCTATGCCAATGCGCTTACCAAGCTGTTCGAGCATATCGCGCAGATTATTGATGGCCATGGTGGGCTAGTTGAGCACCATTATGGCCCACGGAAGATGGGGCGAGTCATTGAACGGTTGCAAGTCGAAGCCGATGTACAGGGTGGTATCATTCTTGATACCTGGGGCGATGAGCGACATGTGGATCGCAAGTTGATGGATATCAAATCCTATGCTTTCACTTTCTTGGTCCAGAGCTTCCTGCCTGCCCAGAGACCAGGTCCACCTCGGGCACAGTCACCCGCCATGGGAGCAAGCGTTGCCGCCGACGAAGAAGGAGTGGATATGAAAGAAATCGACGGTATCCTGAATGAGATGGCTATAATGCTAGGCCGCTGGTCAATGTACTGTCGGTTCTTGGCTGATACATGTAATGTGAGTTGCAATTCCCGACCTCCTTCTCAACACCCATACTAACAACCTCTCTAGTCTTCGGGTGAGAATGATACAGACGACGAGAAGCGATTCGAGCTTCCCACCTTCTTGCAAGAGTCATCCCTGGCCCATAAGATCAATGATCGCCTAGTGGCCCCATTCAACGCAATGACAACCTTCTTCTTCCGCCGATCTGTCGAAAAGGCCTTCCAGCTAGACGAGTCCCCATCAGGTCTCACGCTGAACCTGCAACGACCACTGAAAGCCCACCCACCACACATCACCTCAGCCGTCGACGACATAATGTACATCGTCAACAAAGTCCTCCAACAATCCCTCGCCACTTCCCAAGAAGCCGTCGTGACAAACGTAGTCCCAACCCTATCCCGCGTCCTTGGCTCCGACTTCATCGGGATGACCCAACGCAAAATGCGCGACGAATGCTACCCCCGAGCCCCAGTGCAAGGCGGCCAACCACCCGAACAAACCATCATCTCCTTCCTAGTCCAAATCAACAACCTGGATCTAGCAATGGACTACATCCGACGAATCGTGCAAAACAACACGGGATCCAAACTCCCCGAACCCAACGAACCCCAACCCGACCCCCAAGCAACCGAGCACCTCCTCACAATCTTCCCAAACCGCACCTCCGCCCAGAACATCCACCAAACCCTCCTCACCCTCTCAACCACCTTCTCCGGCAAAATGACCGACCTCCTAACAGACGGCATCCAAGTAATCTTCAACAACATCATCAAGCCCCGCCTCCGCCCCATCCTCGCCGACACCTTCCGCGACATCGAATACACCGACCAACCCGACTCAACCTTCGAAACCAAAGAACTCGTCAAACCACGCTTCACAACCTCCTGGGCCGACCTGCTCACCCCACTCGCCCGCATCCTAACCCCAGCAGCCTTCGACCGCGTCCTCGGCGTGACAATCGCATATCTCGCGCGTCTGCTCGAAAAGAGACTGTGGTCATACCATTCGCGGATCAACGCGCTGGGCGCGGCAAGACTCGAGAGGGACGTGGCGGGGCTGGTAGGCGCAGCTGTCGACGTGGGGTATGTAGCCGGTGGACCCGGGCGGTATAAACACCGGGAGAGCTTTGCGCGGTGTGTGCAGATGACGCTTGTGATGGGGATGGACGAGGATGAGTGGGAGGAGGTGAGACGGGGTGGGGAGGCGGCGGAGGTGGTTGATAAGCTTGGGCGGGAGGATTTGTTTAGAGTGAGAGGGATGGTGAGGAGGTGATTTACCTTGGCTCTATGGAGATGTATACCATGGAGCTTGTATGGGGTATATAGATTGGGAGGGATTGTTGATGTTGTGATTACCCTTATTTCCTGTTCTGTCTTTGTCTTCAATTCGAGTCTGGATTTTTTGTTATACATAAGATACCTAGGTACATCCATATTGCATGTGTGTACTGCCATATATAATCTACTGAACTGCACGTTGATAAAAAGTAGTAAATAATTCATGTCTAAATCAAATTGTCTCGCTCTATACTGCAAAAGCAAAAACAAAAAAAAAAAAAGAATTAGACCAAAAAAAAGGTATTCTCCTCGTAGTAGTTTGTGTACACGTAAAAAGAGAGCCCAATTTAATATCCCCATCAGGCCCAAAGCCACAGAGCGCAGAAAGAAAAAATGGAGCGCCGGGCCGATTTAGACCATAATTCAAGTTGCTTTTCCCGGGGTACAGGGTGGATTTGGGTTTGGGTATGTCGAGGTGGGAGGTAATATATGGAGGAGGATTGGAGGGTATGTATGGTCGGATAGGGTGGTATAGTAAAAAGCCCCAGGCTTTTTGTAGAAACAAGAACACGCTCAAGGGATATCGAGATAAAGAAGCGAAAAAAAACGAAGAAAATCAAAGCTGGCTGGATGGAATGGCGTATGCGAAAATGTATGCCATGCAAAAGAGATGGAAGCGGAAAGGATAAGACGCCGTGATTAGTTCTCCGTCTTCTCGTTGACCGGTTGCAGGACCACAGGTTCGAGGTGCTGTGGTGTGTTGGAAGGATGCTCCTCAGCGACCTGGCGAGGAGCAGGAGCGATCTTGACTTCGTGCATGGTCATATCACCCTCACTGCCGCCGCGACTGCTCTGGCTGATCTCGCCATTGGGCGAGTGGCCCTCGAGCATGATCTCACGCGGTGGGCCACCGAGCATCATCTCGCTGTGCTCGCCGATTCCGTAGCGCTGGGCGGCGGGAATTTGGTGGCCGTCTTCGAGCTGATCGTGGTTCTGCGGGGTCCAGGCGAGGTAGTCACGGCGGACCTCGACGTAATCGTAGGCGAACTCGCCCAGCTGGTCGTCGTCCATACCGAGGAGCTCGGCTTCCTCGGAAGCACGCAGGTTCAGGCCGGGAATGGCGTTAATAGCGTAAGCGATGATAGCGGACATGACGAAGGAGTAACTGGCGGTAGCGACAATGTAGGCGATCTGGATGTACAACTGCTTATAATTGTGAATAACCCAGCCGCCAACCTTGGTACCAGTGTTGACGCCGTCCAGGCCGACAATGGCATCGTCGCCGAAGAGAGCGTTGAAAATCAGGCCGACAATTCCGGCAATGGCGTGCTCAGCCAACACATCCATAGAGTCGTCAATGCGGATCCAGTATTTGATCTTGGTGGAATAATTGCACACGATGCCAGTCACAACGCCGAGGATCACACTGGCCCAGGGAGAGATGAATCCAGAGGCGGGAGTTGCAGCAACGAGTCCCGAGATGGTACCGGAACACCAGCCGACCATCGACCACTTCCGAGCCAGACGCCAATCGAGCAGAACCCAAGTGATGGCTCCGAAGGCGGCAGTCAAGTTGGTGTTCCAGGAAGCCATTGTGGCACGCATGTTAGCTCCGAACGAGGAACCGCCGTTGAACCCGAGCCAGCCGAACCAAAGGAAGACAGTGCCGAGAAGAATGAGTGAGACGTTGTGCGGGCGGAAGTTGAGCATCATGCGTTCTTGTCGGCGACCGAGCACCATCGAGTAGGCGAGAGCTGTAAAACCGGATCCAATTTCGACGGGACCACCACCGGCGTAATCCATCACACCGTATTTATATGCCCATCCGTTGGAGTTCCAGATCCAGCAGACTAGGGGGCAGTACACAATGGTAGCCCAGATGAAGACGAAGACCATGGCGGGAAGCAGACGGCCCCGTTCGGCAACCGCTCCCATGACGATAGCTGCAGTAACACCTAGGAATTGCATCTATCGAGATATTCGTAAGTATCAACCTGTCCAAGAACATCGTTTCCCCCATCCAGCCATACCTGATAGAAAGAAAAGAGCAAGTTAGGGATCAAGGGAGAACCGGGGCTTGGATCAGCCAGGGTCTTCATCAAGCCGAAGTTGCGCAGGTTGCCGATATAACCATTGGTTGCGGTCGGTGAGAAAGCTAGCGAGTAACCCCAGAAGTACCACTGGAAGGTGATGACGGACAAGGAGGCCATACAAGCCCAGATCATACTGAGGGCGGACTTTCGACGGGCCAGTCCCGAGTATAGGAAGCCGAGACCGGGAATCATGATCATGACCATGGCCGAGGACACAATGATGTAGGCCTGGTCACCGGATTGGAACCATTTGTTCACATTTTCGGTGCCTAGAGGGAATGGTCGTTAGAAGCTGATACAGCAGAATCCAGGGAAGACGCGTACGGGAATCACCGCCCAAGTCGGTGTTGGTTGTGAGATCGTAGTTGGCGGGAGCTCCAATCCAGTTGTAGGAGGCGTAGTCCGGGGCGTACGGGGCTTTCCCGTTGAACGCCATGGTGAGTAAGAGACTCGAAGCTCGACGGGTAGTGACGGGAAGGTGAGACAGAGGAAATGAGGTTTCGAATGTCTGCCCGAAGATAGGAAAAGAGAAGGGGAAAATGTGTCTGGAGAAGAAATTCGCCACGGGGGTCTTTCGTATAAAAAAGAAATCGCAGAGCTAAAAATGCAGAGATAAGTCGGATCGACGGGGTGGGTCTAGGGAATTTCCAGTTTCGAGGCCAACACGCCAAATCAAACCCAGTCCAGTCCAGTCCCGTCCAGTCCAATCCCGTCCAGTCCAGTCCAATCCAATCCGAACAAGAGAGCAAAAAGGTTAAAAAGCGACGGGGTGCTTTCAGAACGGGAGGCGCGGTTAAGAGGAGAAAATCGGAAAGGGCAAAATGTGGTCTGGAGATTGTGACAATAGCAATGGGATAATCCCCGGTCTTCCTATAAGTTTCCTTTTTCCCCCTTCGGTCTCTTCCCTGCAAATGGCCTCTATACCATCTCGCTGTATTTTGTCTTCTTGTATCCCCCATCACTCATCTTCCGGCATCGAGGTATACAGTGATGAGCATCGGTGCCATGGGTCTCGATAAGCCCGTCTTGGCTGTTTGGCTGTTTGTTTCAACCTGATAGCAAGATCTCATATGATTCCTTGGCCCATTGTCCGTCATATCCGGGGAATAGTTCCTGGGGATCTCAAGGTGGATGTCATACGGTCTTGGGGGTTCTACACTTATATACAGAAAATCTAGACAGAGCTCCAAAAACCCGGTCAGTTACCAAGATAAACTAACGTCACCCACACATACCTCATACTCCATGGGGCGATAACGAATCCCTCTGCAGGAGCCCTCGAAATGAGGGCCTCATGGACTTCCCCATGGAGCTTATCGCGGATCTCTGAGCTTCGGAATCTTCAGAATCCTTCCAATTCCTATCCGCCACCAACAATTGGATGAGTGACGCTGGATTCTCCCCTCTCTGATTGGCTACAGATAAAGCCGTTGCCACTTGCACCAAGTGGGGCTCCGCCGCAGGCCAAGCCTTTCCGCTTCTGTGTTAGCGCCGCGATGTGGGTGCGAGCCAACGATTGGCGACAGATAAGGTCGTCCCGTTTCGCCTCCTCCTTTCCGTATTCTCCCGATCCCGGGTCGGGCAGGGTTCATGTACTCCGTACTCCGTAGTCCGTATATGCACGGAGAATGCATGCCGTATTCGGGGTTGTGGTCGAAGGCACCGATGCCGGAGTTGGAGCCTATTCACTCCGTATATAGGCTTAATCAATGTAGCTATTACTATGCAAATAAATAAAATAAAATAAAAGATATAGCTAACTATTTCTCTTGACTTCATCCATAGGCAAAGAAAGAAAAAAAGGACGAGAATCAAAACTCATCCGCCTTATCTGAATAATTGAAGGTTCTTCTGCGGTCCTCCGTAGTGGCATTTCTACCACTAGCGTCCGTTTCCACGGCACTGGGTCTTGGGCCGAGAACCATTCTACGCTTTCAGCATCGTATTAATAGCCCCGCTAAGTTTAGAAAGCTTCGCTGCATTTCATCGATGGATACTCCGGTACGGAGGGTACTGCCCTTCCACATAGCGCCATTCCAAGGCCAATAACACCGTGCATCGATGATCGATGCCGAGAGCCAAGCTTTATCCCTGGTATCTGCACGTTATATTTCCACGTTCTGTCCAGTCCTAATTAGGTATGTACAACATAGTAGATCGTACCATGTGTGCAAATATGCAATGCAAATCTACCAACCGAAGCGCATTCTACCCGAGCCACCAGGCAATCTAAATGGTTATCGTTATAGTCATCCTATGTGTCAGATAATCAATTGAGATCACTCATCACCGTCGATGACGCCAAGACTCAACGAGGTACCCTCCGTGGGGAGTGGAAATGAACCCGCGCAAGAGGATCCCACTCCGCCCTCGCTTATAATACACATTCTGGCTACTTCTTCCATCAAGGCCGGCTGGCCCAATGGCAAGGCGCTTGACTACGAATCAAGAGATTGCAGGTTCGATCCCTGCGTCGGTCATCATTTTTTGCGGCTTTCTCAGTTTGATCACTGAAGAGGCTGCTTTTTGTTGCGAAAGATATTTCTCAATTCGGAAGGGGGTTGTCTTTTTGATTAGCTGCCATGTCAAAGATGTTTCTCTATTGGAACAGGAAAATACAAGGTAAGCAAGACAGAAGGTTGATATCAAGTAGTTGAATTACGCTATCCGGTGGAAGTTGAAGGCTATCCAATGTTGTTTCATGGAATCCTCAAAAATAAGATAGGAGAATAAAATATGCCTAGCCACAGCTATGGATCTAGCCCATTTTCAGGTCTCGGGTGTATAAATTGCAGTTCATAGTACTGGTAGCCCAATACATATTTTGAGTGTCCGAGTATATATTTTCTACCCGCAGACCATTAAAGGGAACCAAATTTGATGGAGTAGACGAAATCACACAGAAAACCCCGACGTTCGAATTTGCCTTGCCTAAAAATCAATCAAGATACAGGTTGCGCGTTTCCTTATACCTGCCCAGCTTATGATCAGTGCCCTAGATCAAATATCAGCTGTGACCTCGGCACCAAACTGGAACTGGCGAACCTACCAGAGCTTCCACGAAATAATTCATCAATTCCCTTTCATCGACAAACCACTGGAGCTGCCTCCATCTCCCAGGATCAAAGAGCTGGGCAATTTCATAATCGATTAATAGCACCCGACCGGATGCACCTTGGACCAGCATGTTCCGGGGGTAAATATCAAGATGGACTATTCCAGCTTCGTGAATCTCGATCAAGAGCTGGAGGTTGCAGGTCCTTTGCTCCGTATAGTTAGAAAGATCTAACGGGTGGCTATCTGGTATATATTCGACCAGGAAGCCGCTTGGACGAGCTTGATTGTCAAGGCCCGGAGGAACACCGCGGATGCCAACTCTTCGTCTTAGCGTTGATATTATCAACCACACCATAGAAATCGGGGACCCTCGTTGTATATATCGGATTCATCAGGAAAGAAACTAAGATCTTCGAACATCAATTATAGGAAAGCACAACATACATTCGGACAACCGACATTTCTATTATGTATATGGGGAATTCAATCCAAAAATGATAAACTACACATGTCTGTATCATGGAAACCTCTAAAATCGTAACAGGCTATCCGAGCCGTGCAATCCCTGCATCGGCCGATCAGACATTGACACTATAGCCTGAGCCTACTCCACGCCGACGACGAACCGCGTTCAGATACTTGCGGCCTTCATCCGCCCAGAACACTGAACTGGCGATGCAGACCAGCTTGAATAAGGACCCGAAACCAAGAGCTTCCGTCTGGAAAATACGCTGTAGGAATGGCAGATAGATCACGCAGGCCTGACCGGCCAAGGAGCCGAGAACGGCGTAGTTGAACATTTTGTTTCCAAACAGAGACATTTCACCGCGCAGGACGGATTTGCTCTCACTGCGGCAGGTTAACGCATTGAACATGTCGAAAAGCACGAAACATGTGAAGGTCATGGTGGTGTCGTGGGCCGTGACGACGCGGGAACGTTTTTCGAGAGGGCTGCCGTCCGTGATATCGCCCATTTCGTGAATATAAATGGACAATGTGCCAATCATGATGATCATGGCTGAAGTGAGCACTCTCTGGATCAGAGGTTTGGTCAAAACACGAGCTGTTTTAGGTCGTGGCGGGCGGTTCATAATGCTGGGGTCGACGGGTTCGACGCCTAGAGACTGGGCGGGCGGGCCATCCATGAGAATATCTGGAAGGACTGTTAGGATAGTTCAAGAATAGCGACAACACATATAGGGTAACTCACTAATCCACAAGATTTGCATAGCATTCAGCGGATTCTTGAAGCCAAGAGTAGTGCTCAGCAGTACAAGACTGAGTGCAGCCACACTAGTACTCAACTGGAACGTGATGAAGTTCTGGATGTTATAGAAGATGCCCTTGCCCTGTTCAATTGCTCGTAGAATAGTCGAGAAATCGTCGTCCGTCAAAATCATGTCCGCAGCCTCCTTCGCAACATCGGTGCCAAGCTTGCCCATTGAAATACCAATGTCGGCTTTTTTCAGGGCAGGTGCATCGTTAACACCATCACCAGTCATGGCAACCACATCACCACGGGATTGAAGAGCTTTCACGATCTTCATCTTGTGGTCTGGGCTCGTGCGGGCAAAGATCGATACTGTTGAGATGGCCTGTGAAAGCTCGCCGGCAGTCATGTGGTCGAGCTCATCACCTCGGATGACTGAGCGTGCACTCGGGGAGTCGTTGACTGGCATACCGAGCTTCTTTGCAATAGCCACAGCTGTTGTCTCGGCGTCACCAGTGATCATGATCATTCTGACTCCACCAGCCATCAATCGTCGAATAGCTTTGTGCACATCTTTACGCGGCGGGTCGTTCATTCCCACCAGCCCAGCAAAGACCAAGCCGTTATAGCGCTCGTCACCATCACCCTGAGCGAGCTTTGGGGACCGGCCACCGAAGCCTCTGCTACCTCTAGACGTGTCGCGAATGGGCCCACTGGCGAAACCGAGGACTCTCAGACCCTCCGCTGCCATTTTTTCTGCTGCTTCCCGAATGATTTTGCGGCGCGGCTCATCTAGAATGACCTCCCGGCCATCCTTGGTGAGATAGGTGTCTGAGCGTGCGAGGACCTGTTCGAGAGCACCTTTGATATAGGCATGGGAACTTCCAAATGAACCGGAACTGCCGATAACAACACCCATCCATTTCCGCTCAGAGCTAAACGGAGTCTCATGAACGCGATCGCTGATACGATCGCGCACATCATCTTCTCCTAGAGCGTCTAGAAGATCCAAAATGGCCACATCGGTGGGTTGACCCACCCACCGACTCTTGGCAGCAGCTGAATCACTATTTATAGTCGAGGAAAGTACTGCTGCAGAAGATGCGCTGGCTGGAGAGTTTGCATGCATTCGCGACAGACGAGAGTTGTTGGCAATGTTACCGACGCGAAGAATCGTCTGCGCCGCGGGGTTAGGAGGCAGCACGGAGATCGTATCTTTTTGCACCTCGAATGGTTCTGGGCAATCGAAATGCCACATTTTGGTAACAGTCATGTGGTTCAACGTGAGAGTGCCAGTTTTGTCAGAGCACACGACATTGACAGACCCAAGAGTTTCCACGCTAGGGAGTCTTCGCATGATCGCCCCTCTCTTAGCCATACGCAAGACTCCCAGAGCCAGTGTGACGGTCACAATGATGGGCAATCCTTCTGGAATTGCTGCGACGGCCAGCGAAACTCCAATTGTGAACATTTCGAGAATTTTGCGACCTTGAATAAGACCGATAACTACAATCAATCCGATGACACCGAAAGAGATGTAACTCAGCTCCTGGCCCAAACGATCCATAGATAGCTGCAAAGGTGTTCGGGGGCTTTCGATTTCTTGAAGTGAGATGGATATAGCGCCGAACTCTGTCTTGGCACCGGTCGAGATAACGATGCCCTGACCATATCCTGAACGAACTAGTGTACCCATGAACGCAATGTTGTGCTGCTCGTTCAACCGAATATCAGCACCAACAGCACCGGTAGCCGGCGCATCATAGAATGGGGATCGAGGTGGTTCTATTCCTTTTGACGCTGCGAGGGTTCCGCTAGGTGTGCTGCGCAGAGCTTCCGCATATTTTGCTACAGGCTCATTCTCTCCGGTTAAGTTCGATTCGTCGATGCTGAGGTGCGTCGCAGCAGTGATGCGAATATCGGCAGGAATGCGGTCGCCTGTCGTGAAGAGAACAAGGTCTCCAGGTACGAGTTCGTTCGCGGGGACGGTTGAAGAAGCCTTGACTGCGGCAGAAGCCGAGCCTGGACTTTTGCTCCGAATTTCGTTCATTTCAATTCCAGAATCCAATGGGGGCGTGCCGCCATTCTCAGCAGCCATCGGAAGATCACGTATCAAATGGGCGTAATGAGGTACAAGACGGCTCAACGCTTCCAAAGATTTCTCCGACCGGTACTCCTGGACAAAGCCCACCGTCACAACAATCGTCACCGCAAGAGTAATGCTGATGGCATCGTCGTAGTTGCCCATCACAAATGATATTGCAGCAGAGCCGAGGAGGAGTAGAATAAGCGATTCCTTGAACTGTTTGAGAAAACGCAGCCATAGAGGTTCGGGCTCTTCGTGGGGAAGCTCATTCGGCCCATCTCTTGCTAAGCGCACTTCCGCCTCGGCGGGTGTCAATCCGTGTAAAAGGGAGGTTCGTAGTCGCTCGGCAGTTTCATGAGGCTCGAGCAACGAATATGTTGAGGTGGATGTCTGGAAGAGAACAAGATTATGCGTTAGAATCCTCCTTGTATAAGAGCGCGAAGAAGCGGAGGGGTAACCAGTACACAGAGTGCATGAATCGAATATACTCACCGACGATGGCGCATTCGGCCGTCCACTTATAGGTGTTGTGGAGGGCGGCCGCAACGAGTCGGCGTTTGATGCATTATGCAAAGGTAATGAAGGTGTTGCTGAAGTTGACATGGCTCATGCTTTGGAAGAGGGAATAGAGACGTTAAGACCAGATGCTAAATATGTCGAGAAGTGGTTTTCATCCCGTCTCGATAAGAATTGACTGTGTTGCGACAAGACGCGTTAGATGCGATCTGGCAGCAGCTTCACACGGGGGCTAGACCAACAGTTGGATTTGTGGAGTCGGCGCAAGTCGGTTGACGACAAACAGGGAACTGACAGATTATTTGATACCCAAAACTCAATCAGACCTTCTGTTATAACCCAAGGCGCAAAAAAAAAATACTGTTCACAACATCGAGGTCACTTTGAACAGGCCAAATCCCATGATGATGCTTTGCCCGTTGCGGCTTAGTATACCGGGTAAAGGGTTTATCCGGACAGCGCATCAAGACTAGCGTGACATATCACGTGCACAGTAGGGTACTTCTGATGTATGTATACGGAGTAGAAACGAATGAGATCGAGCCATCGTGATATTTCAATACGTTCTATTTGTGGGATTTCAGGGCAGATTTTTTGATTATTGCTTTGAACTAGCGATAAAACCTATAGAAGTAGTTCTTCGATGCAAAAAAAAATCCATTGTCATCATCCTTGTTGCACTGGAGGCCTCTCCTTTGTGTACACGGCACGTGACTGCATTCCCAGCCCCCTCAATTACATCAGCAAAAATCCCGCCCAGGCGACGACTGGCGCCTGATCTTCCCACCGACGCGCATCTTCCGTTCCTCTTGGTTTCTCAGCCAACTCCAAGGTATCCCTCGCGTGCACACCCCCTCTCCAACACCATCGTATTCGATGTCTTGAACTCGCGCGACAAAGTGATAATTATCTTATCCTTTTGGTCATATCTTTATCTCCTTTTCACACAATTACCGAGTGCGAGTCAGCCCGAGTCATTGTTTTCCCGAACTCAGCGCGTCGCCTTTTTACTCCTCACCCCCGCGTCGGGCGGGTCCTTTAATTTATTGAATTCATCGAAGGACTTTGTATAGCATCCCGCTGCGATAAAGACACCATGTTCTATTCCGAGACTCTCCTATCGAAGACCGGGCCATTGGCTCGCGTTTGGTTGTCGGCTAATATCGAACGCAAGCTTTCAAAGTCGCACATTCTGCAATCGGATATCGAGAGCAGTGTCAATGCCATTGTTGACCAAGGCCAAGCCCCCATGGCTTTACGATTGAGTGGTCAATTGCTGCTAGGTGTGGTTCGCATCTACAGCCGTAAGGCTCGTTACCTCCTTGATGACTGTAATGAAGCTTTGATGAAAATCAAAATGGTAGGTATTCCCTTGATGTGGTAAATACCGAGCTTAATCTAATCATATACCAGGCTTTCCGTCTCACAAACAACAATGACTTGACCTCTACTGTTGTCGCACCGGGAGGAATTACCCTTCCGGATGTGCTTACTGAATCTGATCTCTTCACCAACCTTGATACCTCTCTACTTTTCCCTCAAACTCTCGACCTAGAGCCCGCTGCAAAACGTCCTGGTGGCCTGGATTTTGGCAGTCAGCTTCTTCCTGACAGCAGCTTCCGTCGCTCCGTTTCTCAGGAACCTGCACGCCTCGAAGACCCCTCTCTTGTTGACCTTGACTTCAGCGACGATGAACTGCCCCGTGGACTTGGAAATGACTCCGCTATGGAAATGGGTCGAGACGCTCCTGCGCCCCGTCCCGTGGAGGAAGATCTTTTCAGTGATGCTGGAAAATTGAACGACGACGACGATCTAGGCTTGGACTTTGGAGATGACGCCCCGCTCGACGAGATGGACCTTGCTGAAGATGGTCACAATAACCTGAATGATCTGCTTCCTGATGCTCCCATGGACCTGGGTAACGATGACGATTTTGGTGGTGGCGAGACCCCCCGCGCTGCCGACAACCGATTCGAACGTGACTCCGAAAGCCCACTGTCTGATGCTGGCTCCGATCAGATGAACCAGCTCGAAGAAGAATTCAACCGAGATGTATCTGCAACCCCGGATGCCGTTAGTGCCCAGCAGGGCCAGCGCACCAAACGTCAAAAGCTCATGGGACTCGACAAAGAAGTCGCAATTTCCAGCTCCAAGATCAAGGACCAGCAGAATGATCGCTCCTCGATTTTGAAACCCGCCTCGTTCTTGCCCCGTGATCCCGTCCTGCTCACTCTCATGACCAGACAGCAGAATGGCGACTTTGTGTCTAGTGTGTTCGGCGAGGACCGTGGACGCGGATGGGCACCCGAGCTGCGCGGCATGCTTTCTTTCGACTCTGTTAAGAAGGCCGGTGAGCTGAAGCGCAAGCGCGACAGTGGAATTTCTGACATGGATGTGGCTGCTGCCGATCTTCCTGCCCTGGAACTTGGCGATGAAGAAGCCATCGTTCCGCTTGACGAGGGTATTGCTCTTGATACGACTATGAACCAGCGCTCTGATATCGAGTTCCCCGCCGATGATGGCGAGCATGTTTTGCAGCTGAGTGACGATGATGGCATGCAACAGCCCATGGATGAGCTCGATGACACCATTGTTCACCATGTGGATACCGAGCCTGTCTCTATGGGTACCAAGCACGCCGTGCACATCCTCCGCGAGAAGCTAGGTGACTCAGCCACCCAGCAGAAGAAGAGTGTTTTGTTCCAGGATCTTCTTCCCGAGCAGCGGTCCAGCAAGGCCGATGCCACCAAGATGTTCTTTGAAGTTTTGGTGCTGGCCACGAAAGATGCCGTCCAGGTTGACCAGGGCGCTAAGTCTATTGGTGGTCCTCTTACGATTCGTGGCAAGCAAGGACTCTGGGGCTCTTGGGCCGAGGAGAACGCTGCTGGTGCCATGGGCCAGCTCAGTCAGGCTCTGTAGAGGAATTCCTCTCGACTAGAAAAAATTATGGGATCTGCCGGCGTATCTTTCTCTTCTTGTACAGCTCAATCTTGGGATGGTTCGATGGATTATCTCGATTTGAGATCCGGTGTTTACTTCGGGGATAGCATTGAATGACTATCAGGTGTTTAGGGATTGGAGAAACAGGACTTTGCTACTGGGGGATTTTGTTTGGACATTTTGTCCCTTTCGAGCGATATTGATGAATTGTTTTGGTAGTGTTAGCTTAGCTTAATTGAACATATCTCTATCTCAAACCATCTCCCATGACAAATCTTTTGTGTATGGTACATTGTGTCTCGCACGTACTGAACCGACTCTCAGGCTGATCGACATCAGAGATGATACGGGGACTCTTAGGATAAAAAACCTTGAGAGTCAACAGGCAACAGTGGTCAATGACCTGCTACAGAACATCGACTATTCATCTGACCAATGAGTTGAGACCTGAGGCTGCTTGTCCACTCATAGTTCACTGATTCGCCATTCGTCATCTTTAAGCCGATATGCCCCCAAAGGATATGAACACCTGCAGTGTTGCATGTCTGAGTGATCACATGAGGTCGTCTTGAACTTTTCCAAGTGTCTTGAGATTGCGCCAGAGCGAAATGTGTTGAGGTTTGTCTGTTTGACGATATCAAACCACCGGAGACGTGCTTGCCCACGAATCATCTCAGGCTATGAGGGACATGTCTGATATGTCACATGTTCCATGTAACTCATAGACCGGGCCTTTTCAGACTAGATGATCTCATGCGAGAACCTTACGAGAAAGCGTTGGTATTAGTATACTTTTGCGATTCACATAGCGACACTTTCCGCCCACGCCATGGCCACCTCTGCATATCCACTGGCTACTTCAAGACATTCTCTAGATTCCTTTAAGTATTCAGCTGCAGCCATTCTTTACTAAAGTGCATTGAACGCCACTCAGGCTCTATTCGATGTTTGGTCCGGCAAAGAAGCCCGAACGTGGTGACGTGGAATACGAAATTGAAGCCCATCCATGGATGGGTATGGGCTCTTCGCACCTTATTACTCCTTCACCTCCCCATCACAACCCAAGACATAATTGACAGCTATCAAGAACTTGGCCCTCTAACAAGCCAAAATGCCCACCGGATCCTGCTTCTGCGGCGAAGTCAACTACGAGTTCTCCAAAGGGCCGATGCAGAAGGTGACATGAATCTGTTATTAGTTATACAATCGTGTTCAGCTCTCACCCGCTGACTAGGTCATCTGCCACTGTCTGAGCTGTCGTAAGATCACCGGCTCGACTTATACCACCAACTTTGCTTTCCCCGAAGAAAAGTTCTCGCTGCTTTCCGGGTCCCTTCGAGAATGCACTAGGCGTCATGAGTGCGGTATGGACATCACGGTGTTTTTCTGTGGGAACTGTGGATCGACAATTTACAAGAAAGCCACCGAGCAAACATTCTACGGCCTGATTATCTTACTGGCGGGCACGGTAGATGAGGGAGAAGGGGTGGAGCAGGCAGCTCCTGAGAGAGAGTTTTGGGTCAAACATCGTGCGAAGTGGGTTCAACCGGTTGTAGGAGCATTGCAGGATCAAGAGTTCCCTCGTTAGTATTCGGATGCGACTAAAACGGATGAGAGGAGGAATGTCTTGTAGCTGGAATTCATGGGATTTGGGACAGCGTTGGAGTCTGTGGGGATTTCAAATATCTACTGGGTAATGGTGATGTGGTGATCTACAGGCGATTGATATAGTTCATGGTCTACAAATAGGTCAAGAAGAGTATTCATAGTCAGGTTTTTGGCAGTTGACTAAGGTCTGCCTCTGGTCGCACTGATGCATGTCGATTTATTAGTAGGAGTCTGCGGAAATAGCCTAGACAGAGGATCTCTTTTTGGAGCTAGCATCGAGAGAAATTGTCTCTGTGATTAAAATTAGGGCTGGGCAAACCCACATTGACAGAAGACAGTTGAGGAAGCACTCCACAGAGGGTCTAGCGTCCTAATTGTGTACCTGACGCCTAGACTGCATAAGGTCCATATAGCGACATACATACATGTACACATCTGTATGTAGTCAAATAGTCTTGTCCACAGATGTTATCCCGTCTCGTTCTGATCTACTGATTTAATCCACGCTCATTTCGAGGCCTGGGTCGACGCAAAAGGCGCGCGTGATCTCTTCAATCAAGACCGATTGTGCATACTCATCGATGAAGAGTGCCTGCAGACGCCGATCGGTTCATAGCTGGAGGCTGTTGAGCAAAAAGCCGAGGAGGAATCAAGGCGCTTTGTGAAGATCCTCGAAGCGTGGCCGACTGTGGATCAATATGACGAATTTCCGGAATGGATGAAATGTTGGTCGAAGGCGACATGGGATCTATGGAGGATTGATGATTTTTGGGAGGTTTCTTGTGAGTGAGATAGCACATGTGCCCATGGGTGTTTAGATGCACTCAAGTTGACCGTAGAAGGTTGTTTCATTATAAGTACTCAGTAAGCCCAAACGGGGGCGGCTGTATAGAAACATCCATTGCAATCCCAATCTTAACTCAAGTAGAAATATAAATATGCACAGGAATCGGATCCCGAAGCTCAAAGTTCTAATCTAAGAAGTCAATTGGGATTCGTTTTATAGACTTCATGTATTTACCTTGGACGGGGATGTTATCGGCTTTCGCCCGAAAAAACGAAGCTAACGGAAGTCAAGCCTGCGCTTTAACGAGATCGTCATTTTGATTGATCAGCTCGGCTTTCTCAGCGTGATCTTTGGCGCTAACAATTTCTTTTCCATATGAAGATAGTGACACATACCCGTTCCCCAGTAAAGTGTTCTTGTTTTCTATTTAGAATGACTTCGTCGCTAACACAAAAGTACCGCAGATGAAATCTTGAGCCTGAACTTTTGACAGTTTACTCATTGGGCATATCGTCGCAGTCGAGTGTGGTCGTCCCTTTCCCAAACACCGAGGGAAACCCAAGCACCATGGACTCTGAAACACCCAGTGTGAGCGACGAGGGATTGAACCATACCAAATCCGAGGTTAGGACCTTTGCGCCGATAAATTCTCCTATTGCCGATGAACGAGATGCGCCGCTCCAAAAAAAACGTTCCAATGCGTCCAGAGCAGCGACGTCAAAATCCTTGGAGCGCAGCTGGTCGCTGAATGACGGCGTCAGCATTGGGGGCCATAGGGTCGACGAGGCCGCGGTGGCGCATGACGACGCAGCGTATACTGTGGGCTGGGAGGAAAACGATCCCAATAACCCGCGCAATATGCACACAGCGCGACGTTGGCTTATTGTCTGTATCATCTCGATGGGCTCGCTTTGCGTGTGAGTATACTTCGGTTGAGTGTTGGTTTTCTGCATTCCCACACAGAAGCTAATCTACAATGTTGTACATGTAGAACCTGTACCTCGTCGATATATACAACGACATATACTCAACTGATGAGTGAATTTGGATGTTCGCGAATAGTTGCGACCCTTGGGTTATCGTTCTTTATCTGGGGTCTTGGTTCGTGCCGATCTTCTAATCTGTCGCAAGCTGGACTATGTGTTAATGCCTTTTTGTTGGCTTTAGGAATTGGCCCGCTCGTGTTGAGCCCTTTATCTGAGGTTTGACAGAGTACCTTGTTTTCTGATGATTCAGTTGCTAATCTGATGTGGCTTAGTTCTATGGCCGGCGGAATATTTACATCATTTCTTTCTCACTGTTTCTCGTATGGCTTGTCCCATGCGCGGTGGCCAAGAACACCGAGACAATGCTTGTCTCCAGGTTCATCAATGGAGTAGTAGGCAGTGCATTTTTGAGTGTTGCCGGGGGTACTGTTGGGGATCTATTCGATCGCCATGAGCTTGCCCTTCCTATGATGCTCTACACCGCGAGCCCATTCGTGGGTCCCGAAGTTGGGCCACTGTAGGTTCTTCACTGCACTATCTCCTCATCTCGAAACTAATGATTATTAGGGTTGGTGGATTCATTAATGCCTTTACCTCATGGTAAGTTTCAAGTCACGCTTTAGCGCGGATTGGAGCTAAAATTTATTCCAGGCGCTGGTCATTCTATGTGCTTCTCATCTGGACGGGCGTGCTGCTTGTGTCGATGATATTATTCGTTCCGGAGACATATCATCCAGTGTATGTATCTCCTGTTCCCAGAGCCACCGGAAAGGAAATGCTGACAACCGGTCTAGGCTTTTGAGGCACAAGGCGCAGAAGTTGCGAGAGGAAACTGGAGACGACCGATGGATAGCTCCCATCGAAAGGCTAAACCGCTCAGTGACCAAAACGGTTCTGCGATCCATGTACCGCCCTGTGCTACTCTTGATATTGGAGCCAATGTGTCTGTGCCTTTGCATTTTCTCGGCCATTCTTTTGGGTATTCTGTATCTCTTCTTTGGTGCCTTCCAGCTAGTGTTCTCTGAGGTCTATGGGTTGTCACTTTGGCAGCGCGGCCTATGCTTTCTCGGCATATTTGTCGGGATGGTCATAGCCATTCTGTCAGATCCAATTTGGCGCCGAAACTACGATCGGTTGGAGCGAAACTACAGGAAAGCGGCAAACAACGTTGACGACTTCCAACCGGAGTGGCGATTGCCTCAAGGTGAGTTTTCCAACTGAAATCTCCCTCAAAAAAGGAAGTTGGCTAAGTACAACGACCATAGCAATTCTGGGAGGACCTCTGGTCACTATAGGTCTTTTCATGTTTTCGTGGACAATCTACCCCAATGTTCATTGGATTGTGCCTATCATTGGCAGTGGTCTTTTTGGTGCTGGGTAAGATCAATCTTCAAATCTCACCTGACTGGATAACCATCCGTTGGTCCTTGAATCCATAACTAGGTTATAGCTTTTTTACACTGCGTGATGCTAATGTGTTGTGTTACTGTTAGAATGATCCTCGTCTTCTCAGGCATCTTCACATTTCTAGTTGATGCATATCCAACTTTTGCAGCCAGCGCCCTAGCAGCAAACAGCTTCACTCGATCATCTTTTGGAGGAATATTCCCTCTCTTCGGTATCCAAAGTAAGTTTGTGTACACTGGATTTTTGTCATAACATGATTTGAAATCCTATGCTGTGCATGCAGCGCATAATTCCAAAAGCGGGCTGATGCATTGCATCTCGAACAGGCCTATCTGTACCGCTTGCTCAATGCTTGATAGCTTTGTTTTGCTAGCATGTATCCCAGATATAATGATTATAACTAACGGATATGCAGTGTATAACAGACTTGGATATCACTGGGCGACTTCACTCTTGGCGTTTCTAACCCTTGTCATGATTCCTTTCCCGTAAGTGCTGGTTTAACATTCCTGATTTCCCTTTACGCTATGGCCCAACCATTTATTTCCCCCCTGCATCTTGAATCCCGAGTAAATGCGCCTCAAACATGAAAGTTTCATATGGCAATCGCATGTGGTTATGACATCAAAGATCCCTATCAAATCTCCCATGTGCTCTGAACCTTGTCTCCGTACTGACATCCGTAATAGGTACATATTCTACCGATACGGAAGTTGGATCCGAAGTAAGAGTCGGTTCGCCAAGTCAGAGATGTGACCAATTATACCATGCACACATAATACCCCATCATGTACGGAGTAATCCCACGCAGGTTCCAAGGTTGATTGCAGCCCGGGTCCCTCATGAGGGCAGCTACAGGTTCATCCCTGGTGCCACTGCATCTCAACACTTTATCAACCGCTCTCATATTGGCACGGCATCCTTTGGTCATCTGTTAGGGACCTATAGGATTGAGACGTTTAGCTGGGGATGTTAACGTCCGGATCAGCATCTGGCCCGCCACCATCGATCAAGACCTAACGCCTCCAGCTGTTGTCCACTACCGTCTGCGGTTGAGAAGCTAATGCAGAAGACCATAATCAATATTACGCATGACTAGCAAGGATCTATGCTTCGTGTCTTGGATAATGTCATCCCATTTGTAAATGCATATGAGATCTAGCCATTGTTGATAACCAAGCACGCCACGAAGGATTTGATACTGCTAGCGTGCTTGACCGCTAGAATAAAGTGTTCTTCCACTCACTCTAGAAATAGACAGGGGATAGGTCTGGCCCAGGCTTTAATTCTCCGGCGGCACCCTCCGTCAACCAGGCCAGTTGTGAAGAGTCAAGACTACGAGTATCATATGGTTTTGGGGTTTGCAGTCACAGGCAATCATCCCCAATCGACCATGGCTCAGATGCCATCAGGCATGCCAATACTTCATGTGTATATCAACCATCATAGCTGAGGGATATACTTGGAAGCCTTGTAGCCTCGGCCCAGTGCGCTCAGCTAACCTCGGAAAGAAACGGGACGGGACTGTGATTCCCCATTGTGACAACCCTGGAGCGGGGTATTTCGGGAGAGGCCCCGGGTCTTGGGAGAAGAGCATGGCTGAAGTGATGACTTGTATCAACCGTTTATATTGTGGCAGTTCCTATCTTCAACGGGTATACAATCTCATAGTGCCGCACGTGCGGAATTGCCCCAGCCGCGGGGTTACGATCGGTATGCGTTGGAGCAGATTTGGTACTGGAGGGCATTTCAGCCAATCACCGCCTGTAGACGCGCCAAAATTACACGTTGCTTCCGGTAATGCGATTGAAACGGAAGCCAAAAGGAAGGTATCCTCCAGTGGCTGTTCACCTGAACGTCAGCATGTGAGTTAGACCCTAAGTCTTATGCAATATATTCATTGTGCTAGCTCTCAAAAGACACTCTAGATTCATTCGGATTCTCTTTTGACATCAAGCCATTAAATTCCGTCGAATCCCATTAAATCCCATCGAATCCCGCCCAACGTCAGATTACGTTGGGTAGCAAACGCCTCGTTTTAATTAGGTAAAAGGTGGCTGTTTAATAGGATACGAAGTATATCCAGGCAGGGTTCGAAGGAATGCGAAAGCGCTAAAATACCCCAAGTAAAAAAATCGGTAAAAAATGGTAAAAAATGTAACAAAAGTAAAAAAAAAAAAAAATAGAATCACGCGAGTCTACTTTCGTCCTTTACAATCGGACTGCGCCGTGTTAAAAGTCCTACTTGTTGATACTTAGACACCAGTCACGGGAACACTCCGATCCAGCCCTTGCCAGAGTCATCCACTTCTTCCTTGTTCCCCGCGAATATTTGCCTCTAGCCCTTTCTCCTCACCGTGCCCCAGCTCATCGACCGGCTCCTCATCGGTGCTCCGTACAGCTCTCGCCCTGGGGAAGAAAATTGACGCCTTCCCCGCAGCTGGACGAAGCCCTTGGTCTGTTCACTACAAAACAGCCGGCCCCCCGAACCTGTTGCGGCATTTTTCTGTTGTCAGCTTTGCGCCAATTTCCTTCCCTCTACAAACCACATTGAAACCCTTCAATGGGTCAGATCATCGTACATCCGTCGCAACTTCAGTCGATTGTCCTCCGTTACACCCGTGACTCGACTCGTCGTGATCTTGGCTCCGATTCCCCACCGGCTGTTGTCGCAAACGCGCGATTATAGGAACCAAGGCCCGGATATACTTCTGAGCTTCGAAGAGTGATTCGGGTGGATTCGACGACTTATCAGGGACCATAATCAAATTGCGATCGTTACCTTTTGCTCGTCTCACAAGCTGGGCAGAATCTCGTGCACGTGCTCCGCTCGCCCGCTGAGATCGAGGCGTGGATGGTATTATTAGTATTGTCGCCACCACACTCTGTTTCTTAAGCTCAACGCAAGCAGACGCACGAAGTGGCATACGGGTATTGAACCACCAATTTACCTGACTCCTGTGGTCGTGTCCATAGATCTACCGTTTTCGGGATACATGCCGAAATGAACGTGGAAGCCAAGAACGGCTCCGCGGTTTCTGCAGCAGACATTAATGGAGACCGTGACTCTGCCGATGTCACGGAACACGAACAAATGAACGTCAAACCCAAGACTAATGGCGATAGCAAGGCAGATCGCAAAGCGGCTAATGCCAAGGACCCCTCCCGCCCGCGACGGAAGAAGGCCCGGCGAGCTTGCTTTGCGTGCCAGCGAGCTCATTTGACTTGCGGTACGATGATATGTTGATCCCAGTGTTTATGAGGATACCAGACTAATGTATAGCGATTCTAGGCGACGAAAGACCATGTCAACGTTGCATCAAGCGCGGTCTTCAAGATGCGTGCCATGATGGTGTTCGCAAGAAGGCCAAGTATCTCCATGATGCTCCGGATGGGGCGTTAATGCCAGCTGTCAGTGGCGCCAACAACAATCTTTACAACAACACGCTCCGCAATAATATGCCCTTGTCTAGAAATGGTGCAAACGGGATCACTTCCAGCAACCAACGAAATCAACATAATCAACACCACAGCCAACAATCCACGAGCTCCAACGGTAACAACTTTTACCCTACGCCTCAGACGCAGGCTGGCTCTTACAACCCATACCAAGACTCCTCTATGAGCCAAAGTCCCTTTACTACACAATCACCCGTCTCGCCTACTTTCAGCATGAAGCCCAACGGTCGGAATCCGAGCCTTTCATCTAGCGTGAATCAGCAGCCCACTCCGAGTACTGCTCTCTCTGGGGATACTAGTCAGTCTCAGAATCCTTTTGCAGGGCCATTTTTTGATCCCAGTGATCCAGCGCTCTTCAATTTCGATCTATCAAGCATGAACTTCGAGAACAGATATGGTGCTTTGGAATTCGGCATGCTTGGTCACATGGCTACCGGGGCCGGTGATTCTCCAACTGATTCTGCAGGACAACGAGGGTCGATCGGGCGCAGTGGGTCAGCCCAATTCTCTACACCAGCTCCTGGTTTTGGAGAAAGCCCCGGCAATCAGCCTTTCATGTTCGGCGATCCTCTTCTCAATGAGTGGCCGTCCGGGCCGGCCTCGGGCCAGCATGTGAACGTCGGCGGTGTGTATGGTCAGAACGGCATACTCTCCGAACACATGAAAGCGAACGCGCCACATGCTTTTGCGATCGAAAGTGGACCGGCAAGCTTCACTAGTCCTGGCTCAGCCACAAGCCCGCACATTACAACGGCTACCTTCGAAGACGGCCCATTCAATGTCGCTGCCACCCAAAAGTCCAATAGCCTTGTGCCAAATGGACAACGCCAGGTATCTTCGGCATCGATCCTGAAGCATCCGAATCTGCAGGCAGGAGCTAAACGGCGCCATCGCAATCCTTCCTCAATTTATGAGAGTGTGAAGGAGCCGTATGCATACACAAGTGGTTTCCACAACCTGACTGCTTTCATTCAACGCCGCTTCACGCCTCAAAAGACCGTGCGGATTGCCAAGGCGCTTGCCTCCATTCGACCATCTTTCATCGCAACCACTAAGACTCTTAATCGCGATGATCTCATTTTCATGGAGAAATGCTTCCAGCGAACTCTATGGGAGTATGAAGACTTCATCAATGCTTGTGGTACCCCGACCATCGTCTGTCGACGCACCGGCGAGATTGCCGCCGTGGGAAAGGAGTTTAGCATCCTAACCGGCTGGAAGAAAGACGTGCTCCTAGGAAAGGAGGTAAACCTCAACGTCAACACTGGTGGGTCAGGCGCGCAGTCTGGAACAACATCGCGCGGCAGTTTCACACCACGCGGCTCGGCGCTCGAGAATTCCAACAGTGGACGTCCACAGCCAGTTTTCCTAGCTGAGCTTCTCGATGATGACAGCGTCGTACAGTTCTATGAAGACTTTGCGCGTCTGGCATTCGGAGATTCTCGCGGCAGTGTCATGACTCGGTGCAAACTGCTCAAATACAAGACCAAGGAGGATATGGAAGTTGCACAGTCCGATGATAATGGAAAGTGGAACAACCATATCCGCAAGGGTGGAATTGCCGGCGAGGCTGGCATGAACCAACTTGGTTTCAAGGACGGAAAGGTTGATTGCGCGTACTGCTGGACAGTCAAACGCGATGTGTTCGATATCCCGATGCTCATTGTGATGAATGTAAGTTTTTCTCATCATGCAACCTGCTGGAGTTGGCTCATACTAATATGCCATGCTTTAGTTCTTGCCATGCATTTGATTTATTTGTTTTTTTTTTCGGTGATGCAGTCTACTGCTTTTGTTTCAAACTACACTTACATACCCTCGGCAAGGCTTTCACATCATGCCTGTCTTCATTTCTTCTACTGTTGTTCTACCTGGTACATATTTCCTAAATTTGGGATTGTATGATTCTCTCCGGTTATGATTTTATTCTGACCACTGACCGATGGAGATCTTTTTTCTACCTTTTGGTCGATGTTTCCCGTATATACGTTATGTTTCTCGGATGCCTGGTCCCGATTCCGGGCTTGTCGATATGCTTTCTTGCCTTTATATGTTCTTCATGCGGCGCTCAAAAAGGGACGAAAAAAATGATATCTCTGGGACGGAATCGTTGTTGTTTGCAGCATAATGCCATGATATTGAGTGGGGTCAGTTCTGACCTCGTTGAGCCCCGAATCTTTCTAATTTTGTAACAAATAAGCTTAATTCAACCTCTAATTTTAGTTTGAGAATTGATGCCTTGATGCCTAGTGCGTCACTCGCAACATCTAGATTGTATATAGACTCGATCTGCAAGTTGTGGCTGAACCGTGTTATCATGTGATTTGGTTTCGATGCAACTTTCATGTGATATTCTCCTGGCTTGGTGGCATCTTGATTTTGACGATATATATAGGAAGGATCACAGTGACAAAGTGGTGCAATGGAGGCAAGGGCGATTAGCCATGAAGACTGCAGATACCGTGTAACAGAACATCGCTCTTCCAGGTATTTTCTTTATCTATGGACCCCGAAGTCACCCACAGACCAATTTCGGAATACATGCTGCCAACCACAATGCAGTAGGGCAAGAAATCGAGTCTTTCAAAGTGATCATGACTGCACCGAGTCGCTCAGAGCTTCGGGATCATAACCAAGGACGGCCAAAGCGAGTAGAGCAGTTGCTCCTGGGTCATCCATGAAGATTCACTAACTTCTATGTTCTAACGAGGTTCTAGAGATTATTGCCCGAGTGAATGTGCTTACAGATGGCTATGGTGCCAATGGCTTGAGGATATGTTTCGGCTGACTGAAAGTGTCGTGGTCTTTCTATGTACCAGGAATTCGATGGGAAGATATAGCTTGATTCAACATAGGAATTCCATAAGCTGCTGAGCCAAAACAGGTAGTTGATATCTTTCATCCAGACTGGGCCACCGATGATGAGATGTAAAACATGAGTTTCAAGGGAAATATCTGCAAAAACCTTCTCATTCAAGCTGGCTTTGTCTTTACAGCCGTAGAAGAAAGAAAGATGGAGCTGTGTATGAGGTCTTGATAGTCTCAACCTCAGAACCTTGGAAAAGTCCCAGTGCAGAATAAGCTTAATTCAACCTTCACTTCAATTGTGTATGAGATTTGATGCCTGATACCTCAGGCGCCTCGGCACATCTGCTTATCGCGATAACCCCCACCACCGAGGTTGGTCCTCGTATTTAGTCGCACTCGACACCAGCATGACGCATAATTATTACTAAACTACACCATCACTACCCACCAAACAAAACCAGACCGATTGACAGGCCTGGTTCTGCGACTCAGACTACTTCCCCTTTCCTCGCACCATAGAATCCCGCCATGCGCACCGATAAACCCCGCGACCCGGTTGCCGGCCCCGATGCAGGCCCGGAAACTCCTTACCCCGTGCGATTGTCAGGACCAGTGATCAAGGGATTTGGTCGCGGGAGCAAAGATGTGCGTGCTTCAACTGGGATAACCCCTCCTCACCGCTGTGACCCCATAGCGCAACAGACGTGATGGACTTGCAGCTGACTCCCTTTCTCGGATGGCTGCAGCTAGGAATCCCCACCGCCAATATCCCGGCCGATGACCTATCAGAGAAACACCCGGAACTGACAACTGGAGTCTACTATGGCGTTGTCGCACTCGACCCAAAGACGTACCATCCTGAGACATCCGAGGGTAACTCATCTACAGCGGTGGTATTGCCCGCTGTGCTGAGTATTGGATATAACCCTTTCTATAAGAACACCGTGCGATCAGTGGTATGTAACCCAAGTCAAGTCAAGTCACAAAAAAAAAAGGAAACCATCAAATAGCATAATATGCGTTGGTGGCATCAGGCTGATGCGGTTGTCACTCAATCTAGGAAATCCACATTTTGCCCGCTCTCACGGAACCATCGCCCACTGCAGCGGGGCAAGAGGGCCAAACCAAGTTTAACCGTCTGCCTGACTTCTATAAAACACAACTCAACCTGCTGATTCTGGGTTATATTCGCCCCGAGTTTGATTATGTCTCGCTAGAGGCACTGATTGAGGATATTCGGGTGGATTGTGAAGTCGCGCGAGAGAGTCTGCTGCGCGATGCTTATAGGTGCTATGTTGTTGACACCGGCAAGGCACCAGGGAAAGTTGGCGAGGATCGTGCGTGGTTGCAGAGCTTTGATTAGGTGGGGCGAGATGACATGCCATTGAGTCGGAGGGATGATCATCCTGCCCTACGGTCCTGCTTCCATAGCGCAGATCTGATTTTTTTTTATACACATAGATTTAGAAGATGGATCTTTTGACATACACTACATCGCCGCTTCCACTATTCATCGAGGTAGGTATCCACGGGTACGTACTTTGGGCCCCAAGGGTGGTTCTTATCGCGTGATATGACATCAACTACGTCACACCAAGAAACCCTAAGCATTGGCATCTGCTCGGCATTGCACTTTGTGTCTTGACATATGTAATACCAAGAAATAACATTCCGGGCAGTCCGAACAAAGCTGATATTGCCCAATATAAGCAAGGCTGGATGTCCCGCCTCCAAAAGTACAGCTTCTTCACTCAATCCGCAACCCGACAAATATGGTGAACGTATTCCAACTATTCACACGACATCGAGCTCCGAGCTCCAGCAGTGGTCCACCAAACCAACCTGACGCAGATAATAATGGCCCTAATTCTGCAGCTGCTCATCCACACGGAGCTCAACGCTCGCTCAGCATTAGCTCTGGCAAACGCAGCCAGCGATATGAAGAACCGTCTCCTCGACGACTCATCCTGATCTCCGATACTGCGGAATTTGACACTCACGTTGTCCACCGCTTCCAGGGAGAAGGGTTTGATGTGACATACTTACCCTTCCTGGGCAGCGGAGATGCAGAGAAAGACCGCAAAGCGCTCGAGCATGCGGTGCATGAAAAAGAGGATCAGCTCGAGACTGGGGAGCGGTATGCGATAGTCGGTAAGCTTTCTGTTGTTCTTTCTTCGTGCTCCTTCATATGCCCTTATATCAAAACAGATACCCAAGTTCTGCCAGATATAGTACAAGCCAAGCTAGATTTCTGTCTACATCTACTAATGATTATACCAGCATACCATCGCCCTGCCTATCTTCTTTTATCCTCCCACCACCAAACACACAGCAAGACAAATCCATTTCCCCGCCTATGCGCCTTGATAGCCTACTACCCTCTCCCCTCTACAGACCAGTTTACCTACAAGCAAAAGAATGACTGCTCGCCACCCGGCTGCTCAGACACGACTTGTATATTCGAGCCAGCTCCCAAATCAACATTCCTCCCAATCCAGGTGCATCTTCCCGGCCCGCGTGTTCAGCCCTGTGCACTTTGGCCATGGATTAGCCTGAGCGCTTCGGAAGGCGATGTCACCTACAAAAAGAAACACCGCTGCCATGTCTATGTGTACCCGGGATCCAGGGCCGGCTTCGCAGAACGGGAGATTCACGACGAGAAGGTCGGGGAGATAGATGAGACCCTGATTGCAGAAGATGAGATTACCTCCCAGCTGGCATGGAGTCGCGTGCTGGGGTGTTTACGACGCTCCTTCAACGTTGGCAGCCACTGGGCCGTTGTTGATATCGAGACTGTTTGGGAAGAGTATTGGGACCGAGTTCTCGGCGAACTCGAGACACGAAAACAACACAAAGAACGGAATTACGAGCATGCCGTTGACATGTTGACTGGACATGGCCATTACGGAGAAGTTGGATGCCCTGCAGGCGAGTCGTCTATAGATTGCGTTCCTACCGCGGCTGGAGGTGAGTCTTTTATTTATTTTCAATCCCCAACCTCCTGCTTTAGGACTTGGCTGATCAAGTATGTATACTAGGATTTAATATCTCCACCCTCAGAGTTTTCTTCGATCATGTGTTCCTTCCCAATGGACCGGATGATCAAGATATCCGCCTTTTATCACGCACTGTAGGCACTGATCAGATCGCGGACGAGGTGTTGTTTTCTTGCAGACATACTGCTGAGATTCCATGGCTGCTACCTGGTGTTCAACCAACAAACCGAGATATCAAGGTGATCTTGATTGTGGTGGCAAACTTCTGCGCCGGCCAGATCACACGCCAGAGTCTGTATTGGGATCAAGCGAATGTCCTTGTGCAGGTTGGATTGCTGGACCCGGCACTTGTGCCATCCTCACAGGCTCTCGAGGGTTGAGTTTGCTCTATTAGGGTTTGGTGTCTCCTAAATGACAGTATCGAGGCCAACAGGGTATTTTATGATAACATGCCAATAATGAAGCGTCATGCACTGGTGCTTTTCTTTGCCTTGATAGTCTATCCAAGAGTAATTTGCACATTTGAAGCTGTAAGAAAGAGCTTAGGTCGTAAAGTCCCAATAAACACACGTAAAGTCCGGGACAAATTTTGTCTACCTCTATTATTGTTTATTGAAACTGAATAATTCGGCTGATTGGCACCAGTCACTGAATCTGAGTTGTATATTCTCAGACAGAGTGAACCTAAGCGCCCCTAGAAAGCGGTGGCAGCCCCAGTGAGCCTCGGAGTTCAACCAAATCTTTGCTCACACCTCCAGCGCTAGCAAGTGTTTTCCGGCTCGCCTCCTGAGCAATAGGAATGATATCTTCAATGCGCACAGAAGGATCCTTAGCCAGCCCAGCCACCAGAACACCCAGCAGCGTATCGCCCGCCGCATTGACACTAACAATATCGTGAGAATGCATGATTGTGGTAGGCGGGAACAAGCGCATGTAGACACCACCGAAAGACACGTCAGATTCAAGCGGAGCGCGAGCAAGAATATACGGCGCCGACTCCGGGTCCGTAAGTCGCGGATCACCAGGCGGGAGGAGCTGAGTGAGGAGCGCACCCGCATTACCGAGTTTGGTAACAATGCAGGGAATGAAAGGAAGGAGTTGAAGGGTCTGTTGTGGAAGTCCCTCGTCGACGAGAGACGACGAAGTCAAAGAAACGAGACGCTCGCGCGAGCCCGCCGGGGACAGATTCATACAATTGATGATGTGCCACCAGCCCGGTGAGTCGAAGAGAAGTGACTCGCGCGCAGAGGTGTACATAGCTGTCACCTCGAGGCGGTTTGGACACGCGAGACTGATAGCATTGTTTGGTACCGTCTGATTTTGAGTGATGGTTGTGCCGGTGCTGTTGGCATCGCTACCAAACAGACGTCGGGATTTGGCTGTTGAAACGGGCTCAAATGCCACTCGGGCGCCGTGCTTGCGTGCTATCGAGCTCCATTTGGATATCACCTCTGGGCGCCAGTTGGCGTCGACGACGACCCATTTGGGCTTTGTGCGTTCGAGGAGGGGTTCCCAGAAGCCATCGAAGTCGAGCTTGGATTCTGTTAACTCAATGATGCCCATGTCGGCCATCGCTACGACGAGGTCTTTCTTGATATCATTGATCGCGATATACTGTGCTGTGCGGGTGCATGGAGTGGCTGGAAGGACTTGGATGCCTTCTGTGCTCAGACCTTCTTTCTCAAGGGTTGATAGTGCTGCGCGGCCGCTTAGATCGTCTGCAACGACGCTGCAGAAGAGAACGTCGCTCCCAACGTAGCTAGCGGCGACGGCAACATTGTGGCCAACGCCTCCTAGACTCTGCCCGATCACTGCAGGGTTGGAGGTATGCGGTACTGGTGCAACCTGTGTGAGCTCATCTCCAAATGGAGTATAATCGCAAGACAGGTCGATGGCTAGGGAGCCGGCAACCACGACATCTGCCTTTGGTGCTGGGATGATAGGTGTCTCGGTGATGACTGGCTCAGGATTGTCTTGAATTTGCGAGGCACTTTGACCTGTCGAAGCTACACCCGGGATTGCTGGCATGTGTCTATAAGGAACAGAATCTCCAAACTTAGCATTGATTGTGTCTCGTATCTCGTATCTCGTATCTAGAAACAAAACTCACCGAGACGATGTTCCTCGGTCAGCCTCTTCAAGCTTGGCAAGTTCCACGGCTACTAGGGTTGCACGCTTGGCGTTCGACTCAATCAAAGCTTGGTTAGCAACTACGCTCTCGCCACACATTTCCTTGATCTTGGAAAGCACGAATGGCGTATTGTCACTGCCGTGGTAGCCCTCTACATGGGAAAGGCGGATGGCCTCTTCAATCACAACATCCATCTTTGCTTTGGGAATTGAGTGCTCCAAAGGAATCGGGTTGGCGAAATGAATTCCAGAGGATACCGGGAGTTTAGATTGCGCATCTGGAGATTCCGTTAGTAGGGTGGTATTTCTTGAGGCGCGGTATGAACTTACAAACTATAGCAGCGGCTTCAGCTTCATTTTGAATGACCCGAGGACTGCGAATGCCACTTTCCCGTGTATAGAAAGCAGGGAAGTCGACGGCGCCCTCCCTACCATCGGCGAAGGTACCCACGCAGACGCCCTCGGTCTCAAGATATTCGAGAGTTCGAGGGATATCCAAGAAGCTTTTACATCCAGAGCTGATCACAGTCACTGGAGTACGTCCAAGCTCAGTAAGATCGGCTAGAAATAGATGTCAATAAATGGCCAGTGTTGGTCTTGTTTCCGAAAGAGTGTTTCCTACCAGAGATATCCATCGAGTTTTCTGCTCCGCGATGCACACCACCTAAAGCAAGTTAGACAGGCTTCGTTGTCATATGCGCAATTCTTTGATTTACCTAGTCCACCAGTGCCAAATATTTTGATACCGGCTAGCTCTGAGAGAATCATAGTGCCAGAGATTGTGGTGCCACCGTACATTGGCTTCCCAACCAAGCCCTAACATATATCAGTTATATTTCCATGTAATGTTAATCTGATTCACTCACCATGCCGCAAATATACCCAAGGTCCCTGCGAGACACTTTCAAAGCGCTCTTCTTTTCAGCTGTCGAGGCCAGCTCGATGAGCTCTTCGTTACTCAGACCAACCTTAGCCACACCACCAATGATTCCTATAGTAGCAGGAACTCCGCCATTGGCCCTCACAATGGACTCCAACTGTTTCGCGAGAGCAATGTTATCGGGATAGGGGAAACCTACAGTCGATCAGTCTTGGCTTCCCCGCTTTTGCGCGAAGTGGTTCGATGCTACATATGAACACAGAAAAACTGACCATGTGTATAGATTGTCGTCTCCAGTGAGACGACTGGCTTTCCGGTAGCAACTGCATCACGCACCTCCTCTGAAACCTTGAAAAACTTGCTCTGGGCAAGGCCATGGTAGCTGCGAGCGGACGATAGCTGAGCTCTTCTCACACAGCCGGACCGAAGAACAGCTCTAGAGGCGAACATCGTGTTTGCTAACATGATGGTGTCTAAGAGAGATATTCAGCTATAGCCGCGGCCAAGTCAACAGTGCAAAACAATTTTTGCAAGTCAAGCCCAAGAATGAAAGAAGTCATAAGATGCCTCGGGCCCCAGAAATGAGGAGAAGCTCACGTTATCGATAAGCCGGAGTGCGCGATGTGGCCGCTTCGGTGACCCTAGTATACAATGGGGACCACGTATCATCAGCTTCGCGAGCTTCCCAAGGTTCATCGACCTGACACGTTCACATCTTGAATTGCTGAATATTTTGAAACTTGGAGAAATTGTGAGCTCCAAGTATTCAGAATGAGGTTTTTCACTGCCACGGTGCTCGGGCTGCTTGCGCCCAGCCTGTGCGCCGCAACCAACCTTAGCACGCCCAGTCGACTGGACCTCCCGTCCGACTTCAAACCCCCACAGGTTTTCAAAAACACAAATTTGGTTCGGAACACCAATCTAGAAAAGGGATATGTCCGGGAAACTATCAATGTTGTGGTGCAGAATGTCGACAAGCAGCCGCAAAACGACTACTATCTCCCTTTCTCCGCTGAGGTGTTTGAGCGCATTGGAGGCTTCGAAGTGCGAGACAAGAAGGCCCCTGAGAAGGGACGTTTTGACGTGGATGCCACTGAAGCTGTATCATCCAAGTGAGTATCGATTGGTTGGCCAATGGCACGCCAATCCGCTAGACATTCACCGCGATGGCCAATTCTAACATCAACAACAGTGGCAATCAATACTTCGTCATTCACCTCCCTGAACCTCTGGCACCAAACTCGCAGATTACCCTTGGAATCTCGTACTCAGTGCTTTCCTCTCTCAGCCCGCTTCCTGCGACTATTGGACAGGCCGACAAGCAATACCTCACCTACTCATTCTCCGCTTATATGTCATCCGCCTATGTGACGGATACACAGAAGACCAAGCTGAAGTTCCCCAGCATAAATGTGCCGGATTACACAACCACTGATGGTCTCAAGTCCGGCTCCGACCCCGAGACCAAGGGGTCCACATACACCTACGGGCCATACGACACGGCCAAGGTTGCTCCGGGAACCCAGTACCCAATCACTGTCCGCTACGAGTTCACTAAGCCGGTTATTACTGTGAATCTTTTGGAGCGTGACTTGGAAGTCTCGCACTGGGGCGGCAACCTTGCCACCGAGGAGCGGTACTGGCTGCGCAACAACGCCTCGCAACTGACCAACCAATTCTCGCGCGTCGAGTGGACTTACGCTAACTACCAACAAGCGCCTACTTCGGCTGTTCGTGAGCTGACTTATCCACTTTTGCCTGGATCTGTTGATCCTTACTTCATTGATGACATCGGCAATGTTTCGACCAGCCGCTATCGTCCCAGTATTGGAAAGAGCGCGGGCAACCTGGAGCTGAAGCCCCGCTACCCTATCTTTGGAGGTTGGAACTACAGCTTCCGCATTGGGTGGAACAATGACCTTGCCTCGTTCCTGCGCCGTGCCGCAGGTGTCGACTCCGACTCATACGTTCTCAAGGTCCCGCTCATCGAGGGCCCTAAGATGCCCGAGGGTGTCCAGTATGAGCGTGTGGTTGTTCGTGTTGTTCTCCCCGAGGGTGCTCACAATGTCCGCTTCGAGACCCTCGAAGGAACTAACAGCAATGGTCTTCCTGGCGCGAACCACATCCACGCCCGCTTGAGCTCCTTGCAAACCTACATGGATACCCTTGGCCGGACAACTTTGACCCTGGAGGTTGATAGCCTGACTGATGAGGCACGTAACGCCAAGATAGTGGTATGTATTGATATCTTTTCATTCTTTAGCTCGCATCTTGCTAACCCACCATTAGGTGAGCTACGAACACTCCATGATTGATGCCCTGCGCAAGCCTTTCACCATCTTCGCAGGTATGCTCACTCTCTTTGCCGCTGTTTGGGGTATTGGAAAGATCGATGTCAGTATTAAGAAGCGATGAACTGCGTGAAACAAGTTCATCTTTATCATTTTCTCTTTTTTCTATAGTCGTGTCCAATAGGGCCTTATCAATCGACACCTTGTATGTTTATTCTCCTGTCTCTGGGTTGCTCCTTCCTCTAGATTGCCTACTTCAGCAAAGCCGTGCACTGCCAGCGCGTAGTCGTAGAAACAAACAATCCATCTTAACACCCCCTCCATCCAGGTACTCCCTTCCATTTGACTTGATCTCTTCAGCATTTCAGCATTTTAGTATCTACTCTTCACGTTCACGCTCTGATCATCTCAACTTCCAACCATGCTCGAACGCAAGCCATTACCGGAAAGGTCTCGATCACCACCTCTCGAAGGCAACACCAGCACCAAGTCCACCCAAACCTCCCCAGTCAAACCAGAGGTGCCCCCTCGCGACCCCCTCGGCCCGGTGGTAGTATTCATCGCCCGAGCCGAGAATGTAGACGACCACGACTACCCCAACGCAACGCTGACCGTCTACCAAATGCACGAATACCTACGCTCACTACTGATCATCACCGTCGGCGAGCACCGCAAGCGATTCGGTATGCTAGGCACCCGTCCACACAAGATGCAGACAATCATCCAGCCGGCGAACCGCAGGATCTCATCAATCAGCCGGGTAGGCAAATACCTGACCTCAGCGCTCGAAGAAGCCCGCGAGACCAATTCCGAGTGCATCTTCGTCCTATATGGATGGGACGGCTGGACCACCGACCAAGAGACCATCGCGAATTTGTGCGATCAGTTCCGTGACGTGCCTTTCTTTTTCCACGTTTATGCGAACCGTGGCTCGCCTCGTGACTTTTTCGAGGTTAGCGCTCATAGGTTCAATGCGTACTATCTACAGAAGGTTGCTGTGGATGATGATGTTGTTATCCGGGATCGTTCGACTGCTTTGTTTATTCGCATGATTGAGGCTTTGCCGACGTTGCATTCTGCTAGCTGTCTTCCCAGGATTGCGTTGAGGGACAAGACGGGCCTTAGTAAGTATGACAGGCGGTTTGTCGACGATAATGACGATGGACCTGAAATTCGAAAGCGCGGCGTCTGATAGGTGAGTGCGAATGGATACATGTGGTATATCTCTGCGTATGGATCTTGACTTTATCTTGTGCAGTTTGATATTTCTCGAAAGCATCTATCAGGGATAACATCGATACCTAAGGTGGACACGAGGATGGAGAGCCTACAGGCTGTGAACAAGTCGGCGGTGCTATGAATTGAACAAGCAGCTAGTCAATGATCGATTTTTATCAATCTCATGATATGAAAGGCACAATTCCGAGCGTATGACCGCGTACGGTTCGTCAAATTAGACAGGAAGTAATTGTACAAAAGAGCAAGATATTGTGGTCATCACGCGAGAAAAAAAAGGTAAACTATTTAGTGCCATCCATTGACTGCACCTGCCCCGGCAAGAAGTTCATCAAGCTCATCTTTTCGGCTCTTATACAAATCTTGAGCCTCGCGCTCACGCCGCATAACAAACGAAACTGCCTCGCGAAGCTTCTCGAGTCGCCGAGGCACGGCGGCCTCTTCTGAGATCTGAAGCGTACGGAAAGCGTCCAGTTCGCTCATAGCCGCAGGCAAAGCAGCACCAGCCTCCAGGATCTTCGACCGAAGTGTCTTGGCGCGGTTCTGGTATCCGCCGTAGTGTAAAGAGAGCTTCTTTTCGAGCTTGTTTCCGCGCTCAGCGGTGGCAAAGAGGGAGGTTTGAACCGTGTCGAAGGCCCCGATCATGCGCTGTTCTTCCTGGAATGCGTCCTGCTCGTCATCCTCATAATTCTCAAGACCGGGCAGAGATTTGGCACGAGCTGATGACCAGCCGTCATCGAATTTCTCTTGCCATTCCGACTGCTGTGCTTCAGTGGCCGCAATCTCAGCGGCAATAGAAGCTCGAGCTGCGTCCAAGGACCGGTCGTTCAATTGACGTAATTTTGGTGCTTGGCCCTCAACCTGGGCCCCGGCGATGGGGAATTTGCGAGAGTCGTGAGCAATCAAAATTGCGGCTTCGTTGGCAATCAGACTTTCGATAGTGCCAGTGACTTTGGAGGCACGTTGTAACAACGCATTGATATCCAAAACGGCGGGACGAGGCAGACCTCGCTGATATGCTTGTGATTGACGCTTGAATTCGGCCTTGGAAGCCTTCTCCCGTGCCTCTGCGTTCCGACGGTCACGCTCTGCCGCATCCTCTTCACTGATTTCCATAGATGTGGTGGGCTCGGCGGTCTCGGACGGGGCTTCTTCCAATTCCCAATCATCTTGTTTGGGCCTGGGAAGTGATGCCAACTTGCTGCGCAACTGTTGGCGAGTGAAGTTGTCGTGCATTTTAATGTCTCGTGGTGTGCTGCTGATGAGCTGACCGCCATCCTGGTTCAATGATAAATGGTCTCGTGGTGTGCGCAATGGTGTAGCCCCAGGCCCGATGCCGCCATGTAGAGGTGTTGCGCCGAAGCCATTCGCTTGGCGGAATGGCGTGGCCATGGGGTTGGGAGTGACAATATCCTGCCTCCGGGGAGCAATTCCATCAAATCCAGTTGATGAACCGCCCTCGTGGAGGGGTGTATTATCTCCTCCCAAGAGGGAAGACTGAGTCTCCGTCAGAGCTCGGATGTTTCTGATTTCGTTGGCGATATGATCGTCTTCTGGAGCAGCCCGTGGGGTTCTAATTGGAGCTCCGCCCATGATTTTCGAGTAGTCTCCAACAAGACCCTGGCCGGCTTCTTCATCTTCGTCGTCTCGAGTAGCCTTTGCCCCAGCGACTCCCATCTTGATAATCTCCTCCATTTCGTTTTCGCTGATCTGTGGTGCTGGCAAATTCAGTCCCCGGCGCTTGCTGCTTTGTTCTGCCTCGCGAATCTTCTGCATTTGACCTGCTCGCGCAGCAGCAGCGGAGGCGGCTGTGGCACTGTTTTTATCGTTCTTGCGCTTCTTGCGTTCCGCATCGTCGTCTTGGTCGCCCTTTCGCTTGTTTGCGAGCTGCTGTTTCCGAGGATCGAATGCTTCCCGTTGGCGCTCGTTCAGGTTTTGCTCCTCAATTGTGTCGTAAAATCCAGGAGCGGCTGGCTTTTCGAAAGGAATGTCCGCATTGTAATCCATCTGCCCAGGCTTCCGCGTAACGACCTTAACATTGATACCGGCATGCTTGAGTTCGCGACGCTTCTGAAGAACCGCCAATCGACGTGATTCCTCCAACTGACGTTCTCGGGCCTTTCGCTTGGCCTTCTTACCCTGTGTGTTGGCGAGACGAGCACGCGCCTCGCTGAGCATTTCTTTTTCATCTTCATCCAGATCGATCGTATCGGGACGAGCAGGCTTGGATTCTGGGTCGGGATCCAATTCACCGGGTCTAAAAAATGGTAAGGAAAAGATCAAACGATTTGCAAAATAGTAAATTCCACATACCTCAGGCGGCGGACGTCATCAGCACTGGGAGCGGCGCTCTCCTCGCCGGGCCCTCCTAGGCCTAGCTCGTCATTCTCACGAGACTCAGCCTCATCTAAAAGCTTCTGGTAGCGCTCAAGACATTGTGTGGCAGTGCGCCCGACGATGGGAGCGATTGTGCGCCATTGCGTGGGCATTAGCTTCGCAAGGTGCAGTAGCTTCTCGTCCTCCTCCCGCGACCACTCGGTCTTGCGAATGCCCGGGTCCAACCATTCGATCCATCGCGCCTTGCATTGTTTCGGCGTTTTCCGTGCAAGCAGAGATGAGACTCGAGCCCACTGGTTCAGGCCATATTTGGATACCTGCAATCGAGTCAGTTTTGTCCCATTTACCATTGGCTAGAGGTGTTTTAGAAGAATCGAAATTTACGCACAGCTGCTCGAAGAACTTCATCCTCGATATTGGTCCTAAAAGTATGTTAGCGACGAAAGCTCGTTGGCAGGTTCCAACGGGGGCCACTTACCAGACACCTCCTTTGACGACAGGCATGGCGTATGATCGCGCTCGGCGCTGTATCAATCCTGCAATAAGCGATAATAGATGTCACAGGTACCACCAGAAGATGGAAAATGGCAACCCACTGGCGTTTGGGGAGTTCACGCGCCGTAAGTGATGACAGCTTGAAGCGGAAGAAAAGCGAGTTCACAGATAAGCGCGGCAGACGTGATAACCGCGACCACCGCCCCCGCGCGTGCTGAGATAAGCAGATCCAGAATTTTTTTTGGTTCACGAAAAAAGATAAGACAATATTTTCATACCATCACTGCCGAGTGTCTGTCACTGTTGTCTACCACAATGTCGACTTCTGTGGATGCCCCGAGCCAATACAAGCAACCTTCTCGCAAGGGTAAGAAGGCGTGGCGCAAGAATGTCGATGTCACCGAAGTGCAGGAGGGTCTGCGCCATCTGAAGGAGGCCGAGATCAAAGGGTAAGCCCGTCGATTTGCGCTTTCTTATCTCCACTGGTCAATTGAGGTTCTAACTATCTTATGCTACTAGTGGTCTTATTTCTGAGAAGCCTTCCGAAGAACTTTTCGTTCTTGACAGCACCGGTAATGAAAGTGTGCGCAAGTCTATGAGCAAAAAGCAGAAGCTTCTCAAGTCAGACGAAATTCTTGCTCAGCGCTCTATGATCCCTGCCCTGGACGGCCGCAAGCGTGGAAACGCCAATGTCACCGACGGAGTTATTGAGCCTAAGACGAAGAAACCCAAGAGCGACTGGGTCAGCCGCAAGGAATATCTGCGCCTGAAGCAAGTAGCGAGAGATGCCAAACCTCTGGGCAAGAAGACCGAAAATGAATTCTACGATCCGTGGGCTGATGAAGCCGAACCCTCGCTCACCTACGACGATCCTCGCTTTGATTTCCTGCAGAAGCCCAAGCCCAAGGTTGAGCCAGTCACATTAAAACACGCTCCGATCTCACTTGCCGCCAACGGAAAGCCTGTCCCCTCTGTTAAGATGCCCCACGCTGGAACCAGTTACAACCCCGTGTTCGAGGAGTGGGACAAACTATTGGAGGAACATGGTGCCCAGGCGGTAGAGGCCGAGAAGAAGCGTTTGGAGGAAGAGGCCAAGGAAGCTGAGAAGCAGCGTCTGATTGAGGAGGCCCGGAACGACGACGGCGAGGTGAAGTCGGATGACGAGAGTGCCTGGGAGGGCTTCGAGAGCGAATATGAGAAGCCAGAGTGGCTGACAAAGAAGCGCCCCGAGCGTAAATCCAAGACGCAGCGCAACAAGGTCATCCGACGCAAGGCAGCAGAAGGACAAGCGAAGTGGGAAGCTCAGATGAAGAAGAGAGATGCACAGGCCGAGCATATTCTCAAGATCGCCGAGCAAGTCAAGCAACGGGAGCTTGAACGCGAAAACCAGTCGGATGCTGATGATTCCGAGGAAGGCGATGACACTGCCCTCCGTAAGAAGACCTTCGGTGGCAGGAAAGCGTACGTTTCCGTCTATTTCCATATACTGTGTCCGAACTAACAATTTCTTCCAGTGTACCCGAGCAGCGGTTGGAGCTGGTGCTTCCTGACGAGCTGCAGGATTCGCTCCGACTCTTGAAGCCGGAAGGCAATCTCTTGGATGACCGATTCCGCACATTGATCGTTCAGGGTAAGCTCGAGTCTCGCACACCGATTACCCAGGCCCGCAAGGCCAAAAGATCGATCACGGAGAAGTGGACTGCGAAGGATTTCAAGACTGGATACGAATGATTTGCTGCATATTCCCTCTAAAAGCGCGTGCATTTTGTTATTTGGACATATAATGTGGTCCTCAGACAGATTAGGATCAGGTTTCATATCAATTTATTTCAAGCACTCAAATCTCCACCTTTCCTTGTAGTATCAATCCAATATCACTTCAATTGCCCTAGAAACAAAACGGTCTGGTCAAGGCGCTGCCTGGTCAACTATCAACCCCAAAATAAAAAAGTGGGTCCCGAAAATTTACTGCTTATCGCCTTTTTTTATCTTTCCCATCTTCCTTCACTCCAACAGACACAGAATGGACAAGACAGCCCTTTCCAGTAATTGGAAGAAGCTTCAGGCGACCTTGAAGAAAGACACTCCCAAGCGCAAGCCCTCCGACCGCGACGCTGGAGATGGCATCGTGAAGAAACGCAAGTTGACCGAGAAGCAAAAACCATATACCCGAGACGCCAAACCAGCTCTCAAGCGCAAGAGAATGTCCGAGAAGACAGAGACAAGCGATGCCGTCCCGGTTGAAACGAGCTCGCGTTGTAAGGAAAATGAAGGTCGTTCGCCAACGTAAGTTTACTCCCCGCACATCACATCGCGGTATTGCGCGGGCTGTATATATGCTTCTAGCTGCTAACTGCCCGCCTACAGTGCCGAACTAGGAAGATATGTCGCCATGGATTGTGAGATGGTGGGGGTCGGACCAAACCCAGACAACGACTCGGTGCTTGCCCGCGTCAGTGTGGTGAACTTCAACGGAGACCAAATATACGATTCGTACGTGCGGCCAAAGGAGATGGTGACAGACTGGCGCACTCATGTGAGCGGCATCGCCCCTAAGCACATGATCGAGGCACGCACTCTCGAGCACGTCCAAAAGGAAATTGCAGATATCATGAAGGATCGCATCCTTGTCGGCCATGCCGTCAGCAATGATCTGGACGCTCTGCTCCTTGGCCACCCCAAGCGCGATATCCGCGATACGAGCAAGCACGCACCATACCGGAGAATTGCGGGCGGTGGTTCACCGCGTCTGAAGATGTTGGCTGAGGAGTTCTTGGGAATTAAGATTCAGGATGGAGCGCACTCCAGTGTGGAAGATGCTCGGGCTACAATGGCTCTGTATCGCCGGGAGAAGGACGCCTTTGAGCGTGAACATTTGAAGAAATGGCCTGCTCGGATGATTGCCGACACTAGGGAGAAGGGCGAGGGTCAGAAAAAGAAGAAGAAGAAGAAGACCCACCGCAAGCGTTGATATGGTTGAATATTCGATGTAGCTTTCGAAGAGACATGTTGAGACACTCTGTATATGTATACCCCAATCATTACCAATTGAATTGTTTTGCATTTCTATGAGAATATTAGAAGGAACTATTGTATTTATCATCGGAAACCAAAAAATTAATCATTCAGAATCGACTATCCAACCAGGTGTATGCTTAACCACTATGTAGTTCTACGTCGATCCCGAATTTCCACTTAACGCGGAGAACGCGTCGCGCCGCACCTCCGATCTTTCACCCGAATCCAACGCAACGACCAAGAACGAAGAACACCCGACACCTAATTCAAGACTTTGGGTATACATTGAACTGGTAACCAGTCTCACCCAGCCAGAAATACCCAGAATTACACCATTACTCCTCCGCCAGTCCTCAGAACATCCGTCCGCCACGAATCTTCATAACCACAATGCCCGACATGTACGCCATTCAACCCTGCTCGAAAGCGAGCCTAGACTCTGAGAAAAATGACTCGAATCTGCAATGCACACCGAATATCATCCCGTGCCGAGTTCACCACGATGGACCAATTGATTCCTTGGGGCGGTATTGGACACCAGTGAAAGACGAAAAAGGTGCGCAGGACAATCCCCGGCTAGAGAATGTCCAGCCTACTCTACCCACTCTGAATAAATACTGATATCTTCTCGTCGATATCCAGATAATACAGAAACAGTGCACTTCCGTGGACGCAAACTCCGAGGTCGGCGCGTCGCTCTCCCTGAGGGTTATCAAGGTATGAAAATATCCAGATGGGTTCTATGAGACTGCAAAAATCTCGATCAGGTCAGATTTGGCTGATCTTATCCAACTATCAATATATAGGCGTTGTAGCAACTCCTACAGACCGCGTGTTACCTCCCACTCAGCGGGCCGACAGTGACGGCGCCGAGGATGTCGAGGCTGAACCCGAGGAACCAGTGAAGATTCTGGAGACGCAGGGAACTTTTGATGACTTTATAGTATGGGGTCATGAAGCTCTCCCTCCTGCAGATGACACTTTTGTGAAGGGAGTGGCAGAGTGGATTCAATTCGCGGATGCAGTATGTTTTGTTCCCTTCCGATGCGCTCTATAAAGGCCTTTTTTTGCTAAATCCTCATTAGATGCATACGACTCCATCTTCAACAACGAATGGAAACAAGGAATCTACTGCTGCTGTATAAGGAATACCATATTGTCTTCCCTGATGGATAGTACCACCGGAAGGGCATTTGTTGTCTGAATATGCCTGGAATCAGGCTGGTAAAACTAGAATAGTTCAATTAGTATGACCAAGACCTTAATAAATGCCTAGTCAAGGTACGTAGGCCCAACCTGAGAAAGCAGATAAAATGAAGCTTGTCATCTAGTCGGCCGCATCTACAGGCTTACAATGTCTTTCTAGTAGTCCTTTTAACTGCGCTCTTGAAGGTCGTTTTAGAAGTCATTCTAACAGACTAGGTATCTTCTTCTCTTCTCAAGATACACTAATAATGTATGGAAGGTAGCTTTAACCAGGAATTATGATTTACAATACAGCAACAAGCAGTGTCAAGAAAAGTCCAACGTCAGGCATATTCGACAAATTAAATTTCAATTGAACCCGACTGAGCGCTATATACCTCTGTGAGCGGTGGTATTGGCAGCTATACCAATCCCCTACATGTACCTATCTACAACCCAGCCTTGATATATTATTTTGCTCGGTAAGGATGATTTTATTCCATGCTAAGACTACCTGTGTAGCTAAATTCTAAATTCCTGCAAATGGGGGTCATGGCTAATAATGTGATGGGGCAAGGTCAATTCCGAAGAAAAGAGTCCATTCAACTAGAATAACGCAGGTGGGAAGAGAAGGAGGAAAGAAAGAGAGAGTCCTATAACTCACGTATCTGACAAGGATACTCAATTCAAGGGAAAGCCACGTCGCGCAGCTTAAAATCTGGCGTATACGCAGCAGAGGGTGTCGGGGATGGCTATACCTCCACTTCTCTAAGGGCCAAACACAGCGCAGACCGCGGAAGGTCGAAATGTAGGAATAGAAGACATTGTTTCTGTAGAAATAAGCATGTTTTTCTGATAAGAAAGGTGCATTTTTTCCCACTAAGTAAACTGAAATTAAAATTTATCTGGCAGAAATCAGGCAAAAACCAGGCAAAGGGGGTGGAATAACAATCCCCTTCAAATTTCAGTGATGAGAGCTTCTATCGAAATGCTCAAGATACATATGCAGACGCCTTTACCCGGAGAAAACGCTGTAGATCAACCGTAACATCGAAGCAATCAAATCAACACAGACCCGATGGCAACCGTGGTACCGCGTGTCTGGAAATAACCATGCTTCGACGTCAATAACGCCCCGAACCAAGCCCAAGCATACATCAGTAACCGCCCAATGAAAGAACAATTCGCAGGAAATCAAACAAGGAGATTCAGAAAAACAACGACTCCTATCACCAATTCCAGGTCCGGCTGGAAGCAGCAAAGACAGGAGGCTTCCACTGAAGACGGGCAGGATCGATTTTGCGCGCACCCTTGAGCTCCTCCTTTTTGAGACGCTTGTTGTGCTCCTCAACAACTTGGTCCGTGAGTACAATGACCCAATTACCCTTCTGCGAAGAGAGTTAGCAAATCGGAGTCAGTGTATGTGCTCGGTACTGCCAGCCCACGCTTGCAGGTTTGAACTTACGTGATATCGAAGCATGTTGAAAACAACCAGAGTCTCATGGACGTCCTTTTCAGTCATAGAAGTGAGTACTGCAAGCTCATTCTCGCTCATGGCTTCTCGATTGGGCTCGATCAGTAAATCAACTAACGTTTCACGCCAGTACTGTCGATAACCAAGAAGACCCAGATCACTGAGTGGTTTCTCTGGAGAACCAAGCTTGCCTTCGCGCTTGCTGAGCTCGTAACTGAACGAGATCAGCAAACGACCGAAGCCACGGCGCTGGTATTGCGGCAAAGTCATGATACACGCTAGGTTATATCCTTCGGCGGAATCCTTCTCTTTGGAGAAGTAACCGACGAAATGGCAGCCTGTCTCATCGCGTGTGCACATGCAGTAGAATAGGAATGGGTCAACGTCGTAGTAAAGGGTCTTGTGGTCAAGGAAGAGCTTGCTCAGGAGACACAAGTTACGACACCATGTCCGCTGGCGACGACCGTCGACTTCGAAGAAGGAGATGTTGTCATCTCGGTAGATCTCGTTACCTGGCGGGTGCGTCAAGGTACACTTTGAGCGGTGACGCTCAAAGGCACGCTTATTGTCAAAGTAACTAAGGCAAAACTCATCGATATAGACCAGGTCGACATCCGAGAAGGAATCCGGGTATGGTGAGAAATACCACGGCTCAACGTCATACTTGCCCATTTGCAAGCGGGTCAAGTTTCGCACGCGATGAATCTCCGTTGGGTTCTGGGTCATACTACCGCCTGTGCGGAGCCGTTCAATTTCCTCGCCGCGTGAGATCACCTCGCCAGATGCCATTTGAACATGCTCTTCGGTCACCGATTTGCCTTCCGCTGCAGCATCTGCCATCTCGAAATCATCTGATTCAGTGGCTTTTGGTGTGCCCACAGCTGATACAGCCGCAGATGGGAACATTGAGGTGTCTCCACCAGGTGTTTCGGCCCCGAGGTTTTCTTTCCCTCCAGCCTTCGAGGGCCGTGATGCCTTGCCGACATTCACATTCTTCCCACTCAGGGCGTCGGGAGTTTGAGACAGATCCCGGCTCTCAGCTCTAGCACGCTTGTTTTTGCTTGGCGCTGCTTTGCTGGCGGCGCCAGCCTTCTTCTTATCAGCCTTCTCTGGCTGAGGCCATTCAACCTCATGGGAGAGATCGATGCGCGAAGATGCGACCCATTCTAACAAACAGAGTCAGCCTAAGCTCCACAGATACTGATACATGTTTTGCGATGTATACTTACCATCAAGACGTTTGTTGAAATCGACATAGTGTACACTAAGAACTATATCAGCACCAACTCGACACAGACACGAAACCGACAAGGGGGGATAAAGAGAGCCATACTAGAAAGAAGGACCATCTTTCCTTTGTCTGATAGATAAAATCTCAGCCTTTCGTAATTCTCCATCCTACATAGAACAGTCAATATCAAAACCGAATTGGGTTCGACGCCACTGATTGATAATCACGTGACATGATCACCAGAATCTGCGAGCGCAGGGTCAAAACGAACCTTCTGCACCATGGCCTTCACACCGATCCTACGAGCCCAGTTAGCATTTGCGACCGATAAAAGTCGATCTCAAAAAGGCGAGAACAATTATTTCAGGCAAAAAAAGCGACTTACCTGATGGTGTTGAGCGTGGCGAACCCCTTGTCAACAGGGTCGGGCGTCCCCGTCGCCTCCCCGTGGGAATCTCGGACGCCCATTGTATCGAACTGTCAGTAGGGTCTGAAGCGATATCAAAGATGAGAATGATGGAATCCTGCGATATTGTGAAATTTGGAGATGGAGGAGTTGATGCGGGAACCTTGAGGCAAACTGGAAATCGTTATGTCAGCTGTTCCGCAGAGGTCGGGATCCCGAGGTGTATATAGGACTGATATATTGCTATCCTCAAGACTAATAGTATAAATTACAAGGCCGAAGATAAATTTTATTGCTCGAAATCATTCCAAATGATACCTAGGTAATGCCATGAACACCGTGTCCTGTTTTCAAGATTTGCATCCTCTTCCATGTTGCCATGCCGTGATCTTGTAGATAAAATACAAAGCCCAAACCAACGCCAAGCGCCTTGCAATGAATCAGACAGACAAAGAGCCGCCGAGAAAGAAGTCGTGTATTTCAAGACTCTTCTCTGTCGTCACCCTTCGAACTTCCGCTTGACACCGTTCGGATTCGCGGACGGTGGCATGGCTTGGGCTCTCCGCTTCTTCTCCTCGTCCCCAGCGGCCATATTGTGTTGGCGCTGTTTCCAAGCTGTCTTGATGATGGGAGCAAGGCGGATGAGGTCATCCTCGGTGACGCGGTCCTCGATACTTTCAAGGACCTTTTCAACAGTGGAGATGTGGTTTGCATCGTTCTTGTCGTCGCGAATACGATAGAAGCGCCAGCGTCCTTCCTCGTCTTTAGCACATTCGACAATAGTATCGTCGAGCGGAATCTGCATAGCCTTGAGATCTTCCCACTCCTTCGGCTCCAAAAACATCTCCCCGAAAAGACGATACTCGCCAGCACTCAGCATGACAAACAGGTGGCAGATTGGGATAGCGTCGTAGTCCACATATGGCTGGGTGATACCATCACCCTCATCCTCGGTATCTGGCTCAAGCGTTGGAAACTCGAGACGCATACGGAAGTCAACCGTGTTCTCTTGGGGTGGCTTCCACTTCAGAATGTGTTCATCGGTGCCGATGCGGTACGGAGTGCTGCGGCAAGTAAAGATGAGACCGTCATTACCATGGATGCGCTTGACCTTGGGAATAATTTCACGGAACATCATCTCGATACCGTAACTGAACTGTGTGGATTTGTCCTCAACGGCAAAAGCACGGTGATTTTTCTCGTCCGGGAATTTACGGTACATGGCATTGTACGGCCTGAGTACCTTTTCCTTGAAGTAGGCTAGCCGTTTGTCCAGGGTACGATGCATTAAGCTCTGTCCATCCAGAACAAGACAGTCGAAGACCAGATACTTCAGCTGCGTGGTTCCATCTTCGTATGTATCATTGACAAGCTCGCCGTCAACCAAGGTGTCGACGTGGAAACTCTGGAAGGTATCATCGTTCGGCAGAGGGAAGTGTAAACCAGGTACATAACGGTAATCGTTCTTGCGATCGATCAGGTAATGGATCTCCGGCATGTCGGAATCGGGATCTCCGCGCGCAAAGTACATCAAGCAGCGGATGCCATCTGTCTTTTCACAGACAAAGTAGTCCTCTTGTTGCAATTCGGTCAGATGTCGCGCCGAGAAGCTGACTGGTTGTGCACCTGGAAAGTTCAGATTGTTGCGCCCGAGGAGGTTGGCGACTTCGCGGCGAAATTGATCAGCTAGCTCATGATCGGCTTTGATGCCAATCGAGTCTAGATCAGGGACCGCGTGACCCATGGCGAAGGAGAGGAGGTTTTGGAGTGTATGAATTATAGAGGCAAAATCTCAGACGTTATTCTGGCACACTTCGAAGTTCCCTAGGGATTTTTGAGAGAGAGAGGGGCGAGCTGCGATTAATGAGGCTCCGAGAGCTTGGTGGAGTGATAGCGAATGCGAAGGGCGCTCGCCCGCAATCGCGGCGACAGGAACCAGACGCGGTTTAGCTGTAGTTGGCTTTTAAAAAGCAGACAAAGAGGCTCCTTCAGGGATCAGAGTATGGTTCTCTTTGCGCATGCTGTCAGGTCTCAAAGACAATGGGTGATCGGCGAATGAAATGAGCTGAGATATGTTTTGGTGCCTGAGGCATGGATAACGTAATCTAAATAGCTCCAGCCCTGGCTCCAGGACTCCAGTCCAGCCAGGCTCTGGACCTAAGTAAGCCCTAGTCTTGAGCCCCTAGAGCTTGGATAGAGCTGTAGCCGGAAGAGATCAGTGCCCATGCAAGTTCTTATCATTCTCTTAGGATGAGAAACCAAGGCGTAGATCATATATAGCTCATCAAAGTTTAAACATTTCATCCACTGAAATCTCATATTAGTCTACCTAGGTACACTTTATAGCAGTTGTCACATAAAAAAAAATAAGGATCAATGATTGTGGAAAGCTCTCAATTGAAGCTACTTTCGAAAATTCAAATGCATCACGCCAGCCGGGGTATCATATCGTCACCTTTCAAAGCAGACAGAACCAGCCTGTACCCATGTCCTATCCAGGAAAATCGCAGAACGAGAAAGACACGAATAAGTCGAATAAGAGTGGTGCGATGCCCAGTATTCCTTCCTGCACCCACGAACGCCAGCATCCAGTATCCAGTACACGGTTGGAGAAAAAGACCCAACTCCAAATGAAAAGAAAAGAGTCGTCATAAGTCATAGCTTGATGTGTGAAAGTCAACTGACATACCACTTAAGCTGTGGTGACGGAAGACTTCCGCCCACCCGGGACAGCGGATCTGTTGCTTGCGTCGATTGCACCAAGAGAGGGGTCCATTTCTCCATTGGCGTCAATGGAAGAAGAGTCCATATCGTTGGCGACAGTCGAGAAGAGAATACCACCGAAAAGGGGCTGGCTATCATCGTTGGAGAAAAGACCACCACCGCTTCGAACTCCCATGGCGTGCGACATTTGCTCCTTGATGCGAACGTAGCGGTACTTCGATTTGGTGGTAATGACGGGATGGCGAACAAGGGGTTGAGGAGCAGAGCGGGCTATAGCAGCCATGACAGCATCTCTTTCTTCGTCTGAGTCAATAGGTCCGGTAGTCTCGATATCCTCTTGCAGAGGGGCATTGGCATCGATAGCAGCCTCTGTAGTGCAAAGAGGTCAGATATCTCATAATCTATAACAAACATAAATAATAAAGCAGTAAACTTACTCTGCTGGCGAGCTTGGTTCTTCTTCTGATACTGCTGAAGCAACATATCATACGGCAGAGTTCGGCCAGGAACCGAGCGCTTGGCGCCCATCGAATGGCTCTTGCAGGTCAAGGATCGGGCGCACTGCGCGCCGTTGGGCAGGATGACACCGCATTGTTTCTCGACATCGACAGGACCTTTCGGTTTAGCAGTCTTCTGCTTAGGCTCGTCCTTCTTCTTCTTTTTCTTTGACTCCTTGCTATCGTCTTCATCGGCCTTGCGCTTCTTGCCCTTTCTGTTGCCATCCTCGGTGCCCTTTGTAGCGCTCTTCTTGGCGCTCTTCTGGCCCATATTAGCAGTTTCTCCATCCAGCCTGTCGGGGCCATCGTCGTCTCTATCATCGCCGGCCTTCAGGCGATTGGCCGCGTCGCGGGCTTCCTTCTTCTTGCGCGCCTTCTCCTGCTTGGCCTTGAGGCAGCCGCGCACATGTTCCGCCGCAGTTTGTTTAAGGGTAGGACGCTTGCAGTGCTTGCAGATAACGGTTTCAATGAGGTCATCCTCGCGCGGCTTGCCGGTCGGAAACACGGAGACGACCTTGCTGTCGAGGACGGGGAGGGGAGATGCGGTAGGGGAGGTATCAATAGGGCCATCTTTAGCTTCTAAAAGAACTTTCGTTAAGTCCATTGCCTGGTTTCATAAGTCCGGAGAGCTTTACCGTCTGCTTTCTTCTTGCTTGACGCTTTGGATGTCTTCTTCACCTTGATCTTGCCGGGTTTGGTATCCTTGTCCGTGAAGGTGTACCCGGACGCATCAACCAGACTTCCCGATCCTGCCAGAACAGATATAATTAGCTGAGGCCATTCGTCGACATCAGATGCGCTCGGTTTGATGTCAAAGTATCCTAGATGTTTTGCGCTTTCAAGGGAAACAGGTATTGCCTACCTCGACCGGGGTCACCATTGTTCGCCATGGTGAGCGCAAACTGAGGAAGTAAGGAGATACAGAACGCTTTTGTGTCACTCAGATAGCCTTTGAAATGGCGTTGGTGGTGGTCATTAAGGAATGAGTTCAATCTCCAGAGTCACGGTCAGGCTGGGGCTCCGCATTAGGATCGATCACGTGTCACCTGTTGATCTATCAAAAGGTACACCTATACTCCGTATAGCTACATGTAATTGACCATTGTCCCTTGAATATGACTTTGTTTCTGTTTTTGTTATTGCTACATGACAGTGGGTGAAAGCTTTGATGCTCTCTTAACTAATAAAGAAATTTGATGGTCAATCAAGTCAATAATCAGGCAATTCTCTTTTTAAACCAGTGCCTGCCAAGCTTCTGGTCATAGTCTAATCAAACACAATATTGTACAAAGAAAAATCAAAGGTCATGAATACTTTGCAAAGCAAAGACTACTGTTTGTACCGCCGAATCCAAAGCTGTTTGTCAAGGCAACATCAATCTGTCGTGACTGGGGATCTTTAGGCGCATAGTTGCAATCAAAGCCATCGGCCAAACGGTCAAGATTGATAGTGGGAGGCATGGTGTTCTATTCCGTGTTAGTATAATCTGTAGCACAGCTTCCTCGATCCAGAGGATTGACTCACTTCGTGGATTGCAAGTACACTGATCAGAGCTTCGATGGCACCAGCACCACCAAGAAGATGACCAAGGGCACCCTTTGTGCTGCTAACATTCACATCAGCAGCCTTCTGCTTGCCATCAGGACCAAGAAAAAGGGATTTGATAGCAGCGTTCTCGGCAGCATCGCCGACAATGGTTGAAGTTGCATGTGCATTAATATAGTCTACCGAAGCAGGTCGTAACTGGGCTTGCTTAAGTGCTTTTTTCATGGCCATAAACGCGCCTTCGCCGTTGTCCTTGGGCGAAGTCATGTGGTGCGCGTCGCTGGAGCAGCCATACCCTTTGAGCTCTGCATAGATACGAGCCCCTCTTGCGAGTGCATGTTCTAGTTCCTATATTTCAAAACATTAGTATCGACTCGCAGCGGTTTGAAATACTTCATAGTCGTATCGGGAGCAGGACACGTACCTCAAGAATCAACACAGCTGCGCCTTCGCCAACTACGAAGCCTCCACGGTCAGCGTCAAATGGCCGCGACGCCTTCTCCGGAGTGTCGTTGAATGTCGAGGCTAGACTCCTTGCGCGAGCAAATCCACCGATGGCTAAAGGATGAATGCAAGACTCAGCACCACCGGCGACCATCACATCGGCATCGCCGCAAACAATGAACCGAGCAGCATCGCCAACAGAATGGGCACCAGTCGTGCAAGCTGTTGTTGCAGAATGATTCGGGCCCATGAAACCATACTTCATAGAGATGTGTCCAGCACCGAGATTAATCAGAAGCTTTGGGACAAATAGCGGATTAACCTTTTTGTAGCCCTATGCAAGAGGTTAGTTGCGGTCTCCGATATACCATCCACAAAGGGAAACACTCACCCCTCTGTCGTAGGCTATAGTGGTATTGTACATTTCCTCAAAGTTTCCAATGCCTGATCCCAAACAGACTCCCTATCAGAATGATTAACAGCGGCCTAGCGAGCACACATCCCCATATACATACCGTTACCTCTCTCTGTTCAAAAGGCTCAGGCTTCCATTCCGCATCTTGAAGCGCCTCCTCAGTCGCCGCCATGGCATACTGCGCGAATTTGGCCATTTTTCGCTCATCCTACTCCACTCTGTTAGTATTTCAAACAAATCACAAATCACAAAGTGATGGTAGTTGAAGACATACACCCCGACCCAGCCATTCCGAGGCAGTCCATCCTCCATCCTCGCGACTGCCCTGGGGCACAACGGCAGCAACCTGACAGGGCTGTTCAGCGAAGCGCTCATCGCGATCTTTCACATTAACAACGCCGCAATGGCCATCCAGTAAGCGTTTCCATGTATGCCGAACGCCTACATTGGAGCACGGTGTTAGTCACGCATTCCAGATCTCCAAAATCAAAGCACGATCAAAGCGCATCTCATGACACGAAAGCAGTATGTATACGCGGGCACTATTTCTTATCTCCAAGTGCCCGCACCGGCATCTCCACCATCATTGGCTGTCACAACCTTCCCCTTTGGGCGTGGCAAGTGGGGACGCAGAAGCTCGAGACCTCCGGAGTCTGGGGATAACGAGTATCATGCATGAGCTCTCGGTTAATCGGCAACGGAGAGAACTCGGCTGTAGAACTTTGGAAAGCTCTGCTGCGAAAACCGCGAAGTTGCGAAGTTGCGAAATTGCAGAAATACATGGCCCATGATATGAGCTCCCTTGGAGCTATCAAATCAAAAACCAACGATACCCCCAAAACAAAGCAGAAGCAGTAACTCACCTACACCGAGCGGCGTCACCGCACCAAGGCCTGTTACAACAACGCGCCGCATTGCATAATAACCAAGTATATCCCAGGAGTGTCAAAAGAAGAAAAGCGAAAAGCGGGCCGAAGCCAAGAAAGGAAAGTCTGCACGACCGATCCACGGGAATGTGGCGGGGAAGCGCCGCATCTGCTCGTCTTTCCCTTTACACTTCAACGGCCAGAGAGAGAGAAGAAAAAAAAGCAGACAGAAAGACATGTAGAGAGAATAAATATCCGGTTGATTTCCATTTTCCACTGTTCATTCCGAATCACCCTCAGTCATGCCTACTTGGAAGACCTTCCTTACATTGGCCCTAGCCGGCTCCGCGGCCTCCTGCGCGCACCACAATGATGGCGACGTAGTACCCGAGCATGAGCGGGCGGAATTGCTCAAGAAATGGGATCAAGAAGTATGCAAGCACCACTACATCCAGGTATTGGGTGGCAGTTCAGGCCTTTCTAACATGTAACTCATCCAGTGGTCCTTCACCGGCATTGCCAGCTTCGCTCACCTGAAGCCAGTCAAGTGTCTGATCGAGCCCGACGAGCACTATGATATTGCCATTATCGGCGCACCATTCGACACAGCCGTCAGCTACCGACCAGGTATGAACTCAATGCGTCCCACCACCCAGACCCAAGCATATAAACCAGAAGCTAACAGCCAAACACAGGAGCCCGGTTCGGACCCCGCGCCATCCGCGCCGCCAGCGCGCGCCAGATGGCCGGCACAAGCTACAACACCCGGGCAGGGATCAACCCGTACCAATCCTGGGCCAAGATCACCGACTGCGGCGACATCCCCATCATGCCCTTCGACAACGCCGTCGCCGAGCGCCAGATGTACGAAGCATTCCTAGAGCTAGGCTCCCGCAAGATCGTCAACAAGGCGCCGAAAGCCACAGGCATCGGCGCCAGCCACCCGAAGCTAGTAACGCTGGGCGGCGACCACAGCATTGCGCTGCCAGCACTGCGCGCCTTGTATCAGATCTACCAGAAGCCGATTACCGTGCTGCACTTCGACGCGCACCTGGACACCTGGAACCCCGTGCGGTACAGCGCGTACTGGCAGTCTGAGCAGACGCAGTTCAACCACGGGTCATTCTTTCACAAGGCGAGTCGGGAGGGACTAATTTGCAATTCTACGTCTGCGCATGCGGGACTGCGGACTCGGCTTACCGGTGTTGATGCGGGGGATTATACGAACCCGGGACCTGAGCAGGGATTTATCCGCATTCATGCGGATGATATTGATGAGTTGGGGCCGACGGGGGTTGTTGAGACGATTATTGCGCGTACGGGGCTTGATCCTGAGCAGCCGGTTTATCTCTCTGTGGATATTGATGTTTTGGATCCGTCGACGGCGCCTGGAACTGGCACCCCGGAGCCTGGCGGTTGGACTACGCGTGAGTTTATTCGCATTCTGCGTGGGTTGGAGAAGTTGAATCTTGTGGGTGCGGATATTGTGGAGGTCTCGCCGGCTTATGATAATAAGGGTGAGACTACTGCTCTTGCTGCGGCACAGGTTGCTTTTGAGATTATCACTAGTCTTGTCAAGTCTGGTGTTGATGAGGAGCTTGGTGGGTGGTATGGCTGGATGGGACAGGCCGAGACTCAGGAGAAGAAGGTCAAGGATGAGCTTTGAGGAGTGATATTGGACATTTAGATCTACGAGATGCATGACTGTGGAATGAAGCGAGTGAATGGCAACGAGTATACATTTGTCGATATGATTCGATTGCACGGAGAACACCGTAGATGTGATGTCATGGCCTAGTCCACCAGCTGAGCTCCCTCGGTTGATGACATCAGAGACTCGGAAGTAGAGACAATATACAAGATACACGTGCAACAACTATAGGTGAAATACCAGAGACACGTTCTCCCCGAGTAATGACTCATAGAACTGATTTGAATTGGAGTCCACTATCTGCGACTTTCTAAGACCCAGAAATCACTTTGCTCCTTAATGAGGGATGACTCGAAAAAAAAGACTGCAAGTAGATCAGACGCAGAAAGAAACATGAACAAAGATGCTTGTATCAAGAACCGCGCGTAGGGAGTAATAGCAGTAGATCAGATTGGAATAAAGGGCAAAGTCACGCAGGAAACAAAAGACGCAGAGAAGAAGCCGGATCTGCAAGAGAAGGGTACAGCAAGCTTGGGTTCGTAGTCCGGAGGGTACATAAATAGCATGCGAGGCAGAAAAAAAAAGACGAGGGCGTATGGGGGGGATATGGGGCTTGGGGGATCACAGTGACGGAAACCGTCCACCAGCCAAAGCACGACGCCCTGACATCCAACGCCGATAGAGACGACCAAAGAGGTGAAAGCGCCGGGTGCAGGAAAGGTAGTAGGTGGGATGCGGGGGGGGGGGTAATATAGCCGACGCGACAAAAGGGGAGGAGAAGGTCAAAATTGCTGTCGCTGTAGTTCGTAAAAGAGAGGAATGAGGGGTTAGAGGACGGGGAAGGGGATAGAAAGGGGATACCAAGGGTGGTAGCGCCAGACTAGGTTGTTGGAGACGGCAGATAGACGCAGCCAGGCGAAGCAGCAAGAAAAGAAGCGTGCAAAGGGTGGAGATCAGAGAGGGGACAAGGCAAGTTAGTAAGGCCAGAGCTGAGACTGGGAGATGCGAACAAGAGAACACCAAAATCATAGGGAGGAGGGGATCAAGAACAAGCACAGAAGCCATTTTCAACTGAAAAACGTAGATATGGAACGCTTCACATAGCATCGCTAGCCATAATACAAGACCCTCCCCCTTTTTTTTTTGGTCGCTGAATGTGGATATCCCAGAAAACCAGTCCAGCCAGAAAGATTTGCCGCCCAGGAGAACGTGAAAGAGTAGGAAAAAGCGAAATAAACAGGTTCATTCCATCGTAGCTGCTTCGAGGCGCGCGTCAACCAGGCATCAACCCAAGTGCGACGGATATGTCGCACTCGGACCAATCTGTTGCGATATATCCGTGAGGGGTAATTCACAGCAAGCGGCAGCCTCTTGACTTCTTCTTGGGCGCGGGCTCAAGTGCCGCGACGATAGCCTAGAAATTGAGAGAAAACGAGTCAGTGGCGGTGTGGAGAGATTGGGCAGCAAAATGGGAAGATTTGGTGTACCTCATCAAAGACGTCCTTCAATTTGTACTGTGTCAGAGCTGAACACTCGACGTATTTCACAGCCCCGAGCTCCTTAGCCATCCGGTCACCATCTTCTTTGCGGATGGGTTGCATCTTCTGGCGGGCAAGCTTGTCCCGCACACCAGCATCGTCGCGCAAATCGGTCTGGGTACCGACGATCAAGCAAGGAACACCGGGGCAGTGGTGGTGGACTTCGGGGAACCACTTTTCGCGGACGTTCTCAAATGAGGCAGGTGAAGTAACGGAGAAGCAGACCAAGAACACGTCAGTCTGGGGGTAGGAGAGCGGGCGCAGGCGATCGTAATCCTCTTGACCGGCAGTATCGAACAGTCCCAGGGTATAGGGTTCATCACCAATCCTAAATTCGAAGAGCGATCGGTCAGATGTGTTTTCTTTGGAGCTAAACGTATAATTTTTTTTTTTGCTCGGGGGAGGGAGGGTTCGACGGATGGAGGATGACTTACATCACAGTCACGGCGTAGTTGTCAAAGACGGTGGGGACATATTCCGACGGGAACTTGTTCGTTGTGTATGAGATGAGCAAGCAGGTCTTTCCTACTGCACCGTCCCCCACTACGACACACCTGAGTTGGAGTTAGCCATGAGGTCTGGAGGGGGAGGTTCTCGGCAAGGAGGGGTTCAAAGGCGAAAGAGGGGATAACATACTTGATGGTAGCGACAACCATGTTGAATTATGATTAAAACAGGTGTGATGATGTAGGTGTCAGAGGAGAAGAGGTAATGTGGGAGACAAAAAGGGAGGAAGAAGCTGTGGTCTGGATTGAATGGGGCAACCCGCAGAGTATGGAGTCTAGACGGTGCTAGTCTCGATACCACATACACGGTCTGTACAGCTCTCGCTTGGTTCGCAGTATTATTCTTGGGGGGGATGCTGGAGCTATAAAGGACTTTTATCCCTTATTTTCTACCGATTTGCCCTCTGTTTCCCCCCTATCTACCTAGGTAATATCGCTTATTGCAGGCTGTATCAGCATTCCCTCTCTATAAATATCATCAACGGCCAACCGCCGTCGGCTAAGCGCTGTGATCCACGAATTGTCTCTGGACTCGATTTGGCAGAAAATACATTCTGGAGCTGAACGCAGTGTGACTTGGAAAAAAAAAGGCGAAAAACAGAAAGATGCCCAGCGTGAAGCGCAATAATACCTATCCAAACCGGGTTTCGCCTTATAAAAGGAGAGGTTACCCCGGAGTATTTCCACGAGCCCCCCCTTTTCATTCGACGTCCTTTCTTTCACCTCCCTAAAGGCAGGGAAAACACAAGCTGACCCTGTTCTTTTCTTTTTTTTTCTTTTTTGTAAAAAAAAGAAGAGAATCCACCAGATGCAAATTTGAAATTCACGGCCCGGTGTCTCCCCCCCTCGGCCCTGAATCTCCCAATCTCCCCTTTTCAAACCGCCGTTTTACGTCGGCCCCGGCGTGTGAGATCCCCCTAAATGAAGCACCAATAATATACCTACACAACGGGGTCCAATCTCTTCGGTATCCATACTCCGTACTGTTCATTTCATACAGTTCATATACGTAGTCTATCTAGTTCTTACCAGAGTAAGTGGCTTGCTCTCATCACAGCTTGGCGACCCGATCCAGATCCCAGCTCCAGCTCCACAATCACCGTCATCTTCGCTGCCTCGCTGATACGGACAGCTCACAGGTACCTAGGTAGGTCGCCCGAGTACCCCCGAACCCCGTACAACTATACTCCGTATAGTCCGTACATGTAAGCACATGCACCTGCCAGGGGTGAATAGATCCAATTTAGAATCCCATGTATTCGCAAGCTCTCCGTTGCGGTATCTGGTATGCGTGCATGCAGATATGCAGGTACCTGCACGGGGCACTATATGGGGATTGACGTGGTGACGATACGAGGTGAGCTGCTCTATAGTGAGGGGGGGGGGGGGGGTTTAAGCTGGAAGATGTGAAATTGCAAGATAGAGGGCCGAGAGACCATAGGATAGAGCTCAAGCCAGATCTATGGGATGCGAGATATCGAAACTCCAGAACCGCCATCTGAACACGTCTGGCATTGACGGATAGCTGGGGGTATAAGGCCGCGATGCGCGGAATTTGAGGCTGGACTGGGCTGCGCTGTGATATTCGATTTGGTACTCCGTACTCCGTACTCCATACGGAGACCTTCACCCATGAAGATAAGGTATATAGGTACCTGGGGCATTTCATCAATGCCGCGTCAACCTGATTAACTCTACCTTCCGATGAAGATCGTTGCAGGGAAATGAGGACCCACTGGACGGTGGCTGCAGGGCTGAGTGGTTGGTCAGAGACCCTGTTACACCCTGAGGAGACCCAGAGCGGCAAGCCGGCCGTATCGGAATACTGGGTTTCGGTCTTGGTTGGAAGTTTGCCTTTCAGATGAAAAGCCCCGTGGTGTGGTGAAGGTCCAATGTTTGACAGGGCTATGGCCGGTCTAATTTTGGTTGATACAAACTATAAGTTCGGCCTATTTTGACAAGGTCAAGTCTTTGTCGTGCTGATAGTAAACATTGAGGGCACGATGCCTATCCAGATATATTGACTTGTTACAGTCCCGAAAATAGACATGCCTCTAATCCCATAGACTCTTGAAAAATGACGCCAGATGCAAATGATGGGCTCGTTGTCCAGCCCGATTAAACAGGATACATATACCGGAAATGTGCTGCACATTGTTCAAACAACCCTAGAACGCCGCTTGCTGGTTTGTATCTAGATGCAACAGACAGAAAAAAGAAGGGGCGGCGAAAAAGTGATAGAAAAAGAAGGTTCAGTTCGTAAAATCATAATAGTCATGTGCGGCGATGGTTCCACACAGAAATGTTCGGATTTAGGTTCGTTTGGAGTGTCGGTCGTCAGAGCTGGACTCTGCCTCAAGAATTGGGTCGCCCCGAGGCTCGGAATTACCGTAACCCATCTATTTTCATGTTAGAGAACATCATTAGGAAGGGCCATTTGCCGGCTTACCTTGTCAAGTTTGTAGTTCACCATGAGGAGACTCAGCGGGATGAGGGGAAGAGTGGCGATGACTGCCAGCGTCAACAGCCGATCCATGGTCTCCTGGTACGCACGGTTGATGGCAATACGAGTTGGGGATCCCATCGGGTAGGACAGCGCAGTGGTGAGCTTGCCGAAGATATCGGCGGCTTGGCCCTTGCTTTCCTCGGGGAGGTATTGGAGGAGCTTGTGTGGGATAGCAGAAGACCAAACGGCCCCTGAGATAGCGGCACCGACAGCACCGCCCATCTCCATAGAAGTCAGGAACATTGCAGTGGCTGCTGCCACTTCCTGGTGGCTGGCAGATGCTTGGACGCCTAGCTGGACGGGCACATTGACCAGGCCACCACCGATGCCAACTATGACTTGCGTGCCCAGAACTTGGAAGTGGGAAGCCCCTTCTCCTCGGCATAGGAGCATCAGGGCTAGACCGGTCATGTAGACCACACATCCGATGGTAATATAGATACGGTATCGTCGGGTATACTTGATAAGAAGTGATACGCTAAAGGCAGAGATGGTTGAGGTGAAAGCAAAGGTCTGGGTGACGCGTCCCGCAGTGGCGACATCATACCCTTGTACGACCTGGAGATAGGAATATAGATAAGGCTGAACGGAAAAGTAAAAGGCCACTAGGGAAGGTTAGCAATGACAATTCAAATATCAGAGAAAACACCACCTACTGAAATACCAGAATGCTAAGGCGCATCCCGCAAGAGCAGTTCTCTGCTTGAGGAGATGCAGAGAGAGCAAGGGCTTGGGAGCCAATCTTTGAGAAGACTCCCAAAACGGTAGCAGACAGAGACACACGACACCAAGCGCGATCATGACCAGGATACTAACATTTTTCCACCCGTTCTTGGCAGTGGACGCAAGAGTTAGAGGCACCAGAATGAGTGTGACGGCAGCAGACAGGAGAGCCAGCCCGCCCACATCCAGATCGTACCAGGTCCGGCGCAGGATGCTAACAATGTCTCCCCGTCCTCTAGATCGCTTTTTGATCAGGTTCAATCTCCGCGCCTTTCGTTGGTTGAAGAGCAGTGTGAGGGCAAGTGGGAGGAAGGATGCCGGCAAGATGATAGCCCACATTCCGTAACCCCATCTCCATGAGGTAGTACTCAGCACTGCACCCGCAATTGTTGGACCAAGCCAGACCGTAACTAAGAATGGGAATTCGGGCAGAAGCGCGAGGAAAGCGCGGTTCAGTAAGTCACTGCTGTCGGCAATGAAAACCTGTTGGAGGATTTGCAATCCTGTGGATCCAGCGGAGTAGAAGATCTGTGCAGAGGCGTAGGTTTGCACGTTGGTAGAAGCGGCCATTTGGATGTAGCCGAGGGTGTATATAAGGATACTCAGACAGAAGGCCTCGAAGCGACCGAATACATCAGCTATCTTAGCCATCGGGGGTTTGATGACAGCTAGAGCATGATTCGTGATTAGCAGCCACTCGTATGCCTCAGGGCGGGATAATCATTTTATTACCATTGACCACATTTTGGATCACCAGAACAGTCGAGATCAACGAGTGCTTACTGAATGCACTTGTCGCATATGCAGACAGCGACATGACGGTTTGGCCTTCTAGTGACGTGCAGAATGCCATGAGGAATATACTTTGCGCTAAGTCAGCAGGGGGTTCAACAAAGGCACTGCAAGCCACACGAACCTGACGTAGGCCACCATTAGGGACTTGGCTGTCCAGGTCAGATTAATAGCTTCAATCTTCCGGACTCCTTCCTGCATTTCATCTGGTGTAGATAGTCCACTAGACTGGCCCTCGCCCTCGACCTCGCGGTCATCCTGCAACAGCTGATCCCTCTCAGTGTCCATTTCGGAGTTTTCGCGTTCGATAGTGCCGTACGACGGTCCTGAACGTGGCTCGAGAAGTGGCATATCGGTGATCAATGCACCGCTCCTCACAAGATAGCGCAGAGGCAATGACAAATCCTCTTTCCAAGACAGTTTTCATATAAGAACAACCAGCAGTAGAGTTTGGGTCGTCAGAGGGAAACATGTACCAAAGACTGCGAACTTAACAACGGCGATCAAGAAGGAAAGCAGAGCATCGAAAAAATTAAGATGAAAGAGTTCATGCGACGTCAAACATCGGCAGCGGCAGGCGTATCACACAAAAGAGATGGAAGCCCGCTCTAATAAGCAAGTAGGGGCACTCGTTAGCTAGGAAACCCGGACTAGTCAGGTCCACAAGGAAAAAGAAATGACGATACGAGACGCCGAGAACGAATCGGGGACTGGATTGAGACAGGACAGAAGAAAAGAAATATGGGGCGGAATAGACAAAAAGTCGTTGAAGCGCGCTTGCCTGGAGGGTCGACCCATGAAGGGCTATTGTATGTAAGAAGCGGGATCCGGTAGGCGACTACGGGGCAGATTAGCGGATGACTAGACCCGCCGTGCTTCGGAGGTGACGCCCAAATGTAAGGGAAATCAGGCGTTGAAGAGTTCAGGCCTGCAAGACTTGGGGGTTTCTACTGCGCAAAACGACTCCAAGCCCGATCGTCGGTCGCACTTATGCACGCTGATGGGGTCCGTGGTGGCAGAGTGCAAGGTGAGAGGCTAAGGTCGGATCTCAGCCCACCTCAAACATTCCAGGATGCTGCACCAAGACAGGTCGAGAAAGAGTCACAATACAGTTATCCCCTCTAGGACACTATGAGCACCGTAAGTGTGTCCCCAGATCCAGACAGAAGATGTGTTGAAGGGAGAAAATCCAAAGGTGGAGCTGCCAGGCACGGAACAATTACATGTGGGTTGCCATCGGAGGGGTACCCGTGAGGTACCTCTGTTCACTTGGTGGCATGAGCTGAATTTCCGGTACTGCCAAGTCACTTCTTGGTTCACATCAGATAAGATGAAAGTTTGTTTACATATAATTCCCTTGTGAGTGGTCACAATTATATTCTCCCTAGGTACAATAGGCCTGTTATTGAGATAGAAGGATTTGCAAATATGTAATCAGAAAAGGCCTCGCTCTTTGGCAGCAACATGCACTGCGAGCTTGTCGATGAACTCCGATCTCAGGAGCAACTCGGAAAGTCATGTCACTGCCGGGGTGAGCCGGTCACTTGACTCAGACATGGTCTTTTTTTTTTTTTTTTTTTTTTCTATAGATCCTCTTTTTTCCCGCAGTTATGTTATAATACTGAGACCTTATGATTGAGGGAAAGGAATGACCTAATTTACTTTTCTGTGTCATATCAACACGCGATTGGCGTAGTGTGACTTCGGCATCCGAAATAGGGCTCGTCCGGCGCATATACCCGGCTGTCGGGATTACACTGCACTAAATAGGATCAGATAACTCCGATTGGGAAGGTGTTGCATTTTGCTGGTGATCAGGGAATACAAATCTGGGGTGGTATCACAAAATAGGCGGAGAAAGAGGAAGTCGCTCAATATGACCTTCCATTCTTTTACCTCATGAAGAGGCTCTGTAAGAGACACCTGATCCCTAGGATCCCACCTAATAATGTAAGCCTAAAAATTCGATGTGCATCCTACACTTGGTACAGCACACATAGATCTTCGTAAACATATACACAGGTAGGTATTTGTGCAAATAAACGATTAGCAACTGCTGGTAATTCCGAGTAGGGGAGAATAGGGATACCTATAATCTCCATGCATTGACCACGGGCAATCTGAATAAATGAGAAAAAAGTTGAACAAAAACAGAAGGAAAAACCCCCCAAAAGGATTGGAGACCATCCGCATATCGATCAACGCCATGTCGGTCACCTCGTGTGGATCTTACATTCCGTCGATCTTTATTATGCGAGACTGCAGCAATTCAACATCTTTATTTTCACATGAATAAACCATATTACATATACACAACTAAAGTAATCTTGCAAGATTTCCTTCAAAGGTTTCAAAGTTATTTCAAATATCATATCTGTCGTGCAAAACGTTACCCGTGGACATGCTCGCAATGGGCATTGCCACGCATTGACCAACTAGGGCATCTAATTAACCAGATCCCACTGGTTTATTCCTGATCTATAACCAAATGGCCGAAATGAACAGGCAGCTCTCCACCCTCATCTGACGGCCGAGCAGCATAGAAACCGACCCAGAAGTCCTTAACATTTTCCTGCTCAAAGACCCAAGTGACTTCCCGAATAGGCGACTTCTCCAAACCCTCAACAAGATAAATCCACAGGCTGTTGTCTTTTTCTCGAGCCAGCTCAAGGGTAGCCGCACCGCCACCTGAAGGTACCGGCAGTAAGCTCCAGTCTGCCCAGTTGTCTTTGGCGACAACGCCAAGGTGGGGCTTGCCGTGGGTGAGTTCAATACCACACTTCACCCACTTCTGGCCCCCATCAGCGATATTGAGGACAATGATCAGACCACCCTGGTCATATTGCTTCTCCCAGGGCGCGTTGAAGGCAACACGAGCCCGTTTGAATGAACCCAGCGGGATAGACTGGTACAAGATTGGAGCCGAGAAACGGATTGTGGAGGGCGGTTTGGCCCAGATATCTGTCGAGGCTGGGGCCTTGATGGTAAACTCCGGGGGAGGGGCACCGTCGCCTGGGACTTTGGCGTCGGAGTTGGCGAATTTGAATTGTGATTGCGACATGGTGGGATGTGGAATGCGGGGAAGGGAGAAGTATAATCACGAGTATGTTCAGTTGTGAATGCGCCGATAGTTAGACTGGTATATGGCTTCTATAAAAGTAGATTCAGGGGCTCAAATCAAGTGAACCTACATGTAGGGAATGGGTAGAAAGGTTTATGATTTCATCTGAGTAACTGGTAGCCCAACTGCAGCTACGTCACTCCATAGTACATACCAGAGCAGCCATCAGGAACTTCTCACATATTGTCTCTATGGGAGTTATCAAATGATGAAATTGAAAAATAGAGTCTGCGTTTCTAAATACTCAATCTTTTACTCCTTTTTCAATAGTCACTGGTATACTTCTCGAAACCTAGAAATGTCCCATACATCACTCGGTCGCCTCCACGTGATTTGATGATATAAGATTTCTCTACCTTTGGGGGGTTGGTGCCTGAATGCCTTATTTTAGAACGGCAGAAACCTTATTAAGATACCCAACTTGCTAGGTACAGCTACTTACATGTAGGTAATAATCAAAACAGTCCAGGTGCCCAGGTTCTGCTAACGTGAGAGGGTTCTAAAAATGAAGCTTTTGGTCCCATACAAATGGACATCACTCCACTTCTTGCAAGGTTTGCGACTGTCAAGAAGAGATATTTCCATTTGTATGGGACCAAAAACCTTGGAAGCTTCCAAGGACCAAGGTTCATTTTTGATAGTTGATGCATTGCTAAATTTACCATACACTGTAGAGAGCGGTGTATAGAGCGGTACTAAATAAGGCATTCAGGCATCAAGAATTCCCCGAAAAGGGGGTTTTGAACCCCCAGCGCTATGGGACTGCGTAATTTCTCCACGGGACTCTGGGGAAAATCACCAAATAATAGAGTTGCATTTTGACCCTTGTCAATAATGACTGTTTGCCACCTCCATTTTCGGTCAATTCGCAGCTAAAGTTAGTCCCAGAGGGTGTAAACCTGTTTGGTGACACAACACACCATGACTGAACGATTGCTTCATCCCGATGAATGGGAACTCGCCTCACGATCCTCAGTCGACTCGCAGGGAACATTCAATCTTGACGAGGCTGATTTTGAAGCGCAAGTTCCATCGTCGTCCAAATTTGGCACACGCCGGCTACCCTGGCTATCTCGCATCATCTCCTCCGCCTCGGCAGGTTATCGCCGCCTAAATAATCCTTCCAGGCCGGCTCTCGCAGGAACCCCACGACCGAGCTGCTCTCGACGTTTCTGTATCCGCCGCTGTTGCTATATCCACGTCGTTGCCGGCATCGTCTTTACACTCGCACTTTTCACCTCAATTCTCTTCCCTTCTTATACCCACCCGCCGGCGCACTACACCACACTCCGCGAATCGGTACTGGCGAGTTCATACCCTGGACGAGGTAATCCTCGCAGTGAGAAAGTCTTTATCGCCGCAAGTCTATATGATGATGAAGGCAAGCTCGCTCAAGGCCAATGGGGAACACAGCTTCTTGAGCTCATCGATTTGCTCGGACCGGACAATGTGTTCCTGAGTATCTACGAAAATGATAGCGGCGAGGAGGGAGAGCGCGCCCTGCGTGCGTTGGAAGATCAAGTGACGTGTCAGAAGTCTATTGTTTCTGACAAGCATCTGGACCCGAAGAGCCTTCCAACTGTGACCATCCCCGGTGGATCCAACCGTGTCAAGCGCATTGAATATCTAGCCCGGGTCCGGAATCGAGCATTACAGCCATTGACCGACCACCCAGATATGAAATTCGACAAGCTCCTCTATCTGAACGATATCCTCTTTCACCCCCTTGAGACCCTCCAGCTCTTATTCTCAACCAACGCCAATGAGGACGGCGTTGCCCAATATCGGGCAGCTTGTGCCGTAGACTTCGACAACCCCATCAAATTCTATGACACATACGCTACCCGCGATCTTGAAGGATACAGCATGGGCCTCCCCTTCTACCCCTGGTTCACTACGTCTGGCAAAGGAGAGAGCCGAAGTGATGTCCTGGCCGGGAAAGATGCAGTGCGAGTGCGCAGTTGCTGGGGCGGAATGGTGGCATTTGATGCCAAATATTTCCAAGCCAGCTCACCAGGTACAAGCTCCAACCCAGCGCGCTTCCGTTCCGGAAAAGATCTCTTCTGGGAGGCATCTGAATGCTGTCTCATCCACGCGGACATCCAAGATCCGCAAACCAACCCCGACAATGTCACTGATACTGGCATCTACATGAATCCATTCGTGCGAACCGCTTATGACCACCGCACCCTGTCTTGGCTAGGTATCACCCGCCGCTTCGAAGGTCTATACTCGTTCCTCCACAACCTTGGCAATCACCTTGTCGGATTGCCTTGGGACAATCCTCGTCGCACAGAAGTTCCTGGTCAAACTGTGCAGGAGAATGTGTGGGTAGCTGACGCTGCACAGAATGGTGGCGGTTCTTTCCAAGTTGTTGAGCGGGTCGCTGGCAATGATGGCTTCTGTGGCCGTCGTGGACTTCAGGTCATTGTTGAAGACCGCAAGCCCGGGCAGAAAGGATTCGAGGATATTCCTGTCCCGCCGCAAAAGCTCTGAAGTTCTGAGATCTGATACCCATTTTCGTCATTTAGATTTGCTTTTTTGGTGTCTTTTGGTGTATGTATAATTTTGTCGGAGAAGCCTTCTAGGGAATGAGATAAATGAGTAATATAATGTTTGACTTGCATCTATATACCTTTTCGGATACATCAATAGTAGTTAGTAACTTGAAGGGGCCATTTATTTTTGGGGTTTGGGTCAGCCTATACGGCCAGGGTGTCTACACAGATCCCGTATATATGTAGGTATCCATGGATCTAAGCGATTGAAGTAAAACTGGGTCAATGAATGCAAAATAAAAGCGTCTTTAATGCCATGGCCCATAGGTACCTATTTAACAACCCTCTGTGTCCACCATTCCCCCTCAAAATAGGTGTCTATAGATAGCCAGTCATCTTTTCTCCGATGTGATGCTATTTTACAAAGCCATTGAATGTCCATACTTGGATCACTTGCTTTAGAAATATCTATCTCGCCACCTCGGTTTATAATATCCAGACTTATAAGCATTTCTCATACCTTATGTAGATAAGGTAGTATGTATGCAGCCCCGAGTATGATCATCTAGGATACCTATATCATGCATGCCTAGATGCTCTTAGATGGGAATCCGCACACAACTTGCATTTCAATAAGAATCACCGAACAAAGATGATCCCGCTGGGAATACTATGTACATAGGGGTTGATCTGCGCTATAGTTCCAAGTCCACGGATCTTCACACATGAGATACCTTATGTAGGTATCTCTCGTGAACATACAGAAGTTCGATCTATACGTACTACAAGACCACCCACGGCTGCCGTTCTACTTCCCAAGCCCAACATTCGTTCCGGGGAAAGAGCGTTGCAGACAAGGTCGCTCCTTCCTCAACCAAACACCTAGGTCAACCAGTCACCTGCAACCTCACCTGGACTGTTTACGTGATTTAACCTCCCATTACGTGTTTTGTTTTCATTTCCCGCTTCTCGCTTCTCCCGCTCTCCCCGCCTGCTACTTGTCACTATGGCACCCAAAGTAATTGGGGCCACCGGTGCTCCTCCGATTCCTCTCGAGAGGATTTCCGAGATTACCCTATGCGCTGAAGTTATCTGTGAAGTCATTGGCCACTACAAGATGTACACCCTGCAGGAGAGTCGCCACGCTCCCGCTGGTATCCGTAAGGCTGCCCGGGAGGCCCGTTTCACTGGCGCCTCTACTGCCGCCAAGGTTGAGGTTAACGTCTCGACTGAACTCAATGCTCGCTCCGTCGCCAACAGCTCCATCTCACAGGCCCCGAGTCACGTCAACAAGCCCTCTAAGGGATTTGAAAAGGTATGTTCCAATCGTCTCACTCCGCATCACCATTATCCACCACGTTTACCATTCCGATCTACTCATGTACTATGAACGTTGATATTCTTATTATTGCTTCTACGACTGGACTTTGCTTTCGTTATATTGTTTTCGATTTCGCTTCAACTGATGTTATCTTGGGTTATTTAATCGATATATCTCATGAATGTATTCCACTCAACCTTCTTGGGCCATTTTCATCTGACAACAAGCTTCTACAGGGTGCTACCTCCCGTGACACTGCCCGCCCTGGTCTCCGCTATGCCAATGACGCAAATCACGACAATCAGTCTGCTGCTCCTGTCGGCAACGTTAAGGATGCTGGTTCTGAAGGATATCGCCGCACTGCCGATGATACTGCTGCCCTCAATGCTGCCCTAAATGCTGGTCCTATGTTTTATGCCGTACCCACGGATGAAGCTTTAGCTCAGATGTTTACTTCGCACGGTGCTGATCCTGGACGTAAGGATGGTACAAAGCCCAAGGATGCTGATGATGATAACGGTTCCACCGCGGACAGCAAGGCTGGTGGAAAAGCCGAGTCGACTGGAGACGAGAAGTCGACCTCCTCCAAGCCACGCCGAGGTGTTGTTGCTCCGGGAGACTTTATGAAGCAATTCCGCAAGCTTCAGGAGCAGAAAAAATCGGCCCCCAAGGTTGTCCCAGCTGGACCTCCCCGTCGGATTGTTTTCGGGAATCTTCCTGAGTGGGCGGACATCGCTGGCATTCTGCAGTTCGTTCACGGCGGCGCCATCGAGCGTGCTTGGATGGAACATACCGAGGTGATTGTTCAGTTCATCGACCAGGAGAAGTGCGTCCAGTACTACGAGGCCCACTCCCACGGAATCAGACTCAAGGATGATGACGACGAAGTTACTATCTCTGTCACGATGCCCGAGGAGGGCCTGCCGGATAACGAGAAGCTGTGGATCCGGGTTGAAGAGGGTGCCTCGCGTGTTGTTTGCCTCTGCGGTCTTCCCATCGGCCTCAAAGGTGGCAACGACGAAGCCATCTTCGGTATTATCTCTGATCCTACCTGGGAAGGCAAGAGGTTCGATCACATTGTGATCAAGCAGGCTCCGGTGAGTTTGCGAGTCTTCCTTTTCTTAAGTTGAATGCCTTCTAACTTGATTATCAAAGGAGGGAGTTGATGTCACCATCTTCTTCTACGATCTCCATGATGGCTGGGAATTCTTCCAGACTATCAAGAACGGAATCTACGACTGTATCGCCAAATTTGAAGTTGATCCGTAAGCCAACCATTTACGATCTGCTTGACTAATCCGTCCTGATTACTTTGCTAATTGTGTTATTAGCTGCGCTTCTGCTCAGGGTTTCCACTTCATGGATGAGCCGAACCCCATGTTCACTGCTTTTCTTAACGCTGCCGACTAGTTGGGTATGATCTTCATATCCATCACGAGCTCGGGTTCGTTGATAGCCCTCATGGCATGGTTCTTTGATTTGATGACAGTTATCGAAGGCGAATTTCGAATATCTCCGGATTGAGATTCTCCTACTTATTTTTCGATGGGATTTTTTTTCAGCTAGGTATCTAGGTAGTTTCCCTCCTAGGCCATGTTTCTATCTAGCGTAGCCCATCCAATGAAATCCATGTTTTCTATGGACATCATGACCATCACACCAAAGCGAGCAGAGAACTATTCTAGAAACTGCTTTGCTCGTCACAGCTGCTACAGTGGTAGAAAGAATCCGACCTGGCCATGCAGGTCAACCATGCACCAATGCCCAAGATACACACAGACACACCACAACCCTACCCCGTGCAACCTCGACCCGCATGTTCTACACATCGCACAACGTCAACATCCGTCAAAATACCCGACACACCACAAAGAGCAGCGGTGCCACGTTCAAACCGGGCAAAGAATCGCATATAACATACGGACATCACTATCATAAAATGCCGGTTCATGATTGGTGGACACACCCCGAGCTAGCCACGAACTACTCCGTGCCTATGAATCGTATCTGCCAATTGCGCCCCTCCTACGGAGTCCTCGTTTGGCGTTAGTGCTGATTAGATTCGACAGCGCGGCAGAGGGTTCGTGGGGGACAGCAATTGGAGCCTATGGTGGATTCCTTGGGAGTTAGTGCGAATTCTAGTGCCGGGGATGTTCGAGCCGAGGTGGATAGCTATCTTTAGCTGCTTGTCTACGGAGTACACTCTAGTGTCTTTTTCTTTAGTGTGTTTGTCGATTTCTCTGTTGGACATGTACATAGTACTCAACGGCTGTTGCAGACCCATCTACGTGGACTATCGAGTCCTGTAGAGGGCAAATGGGGTTCCTGTATGTGACACGAGGCTGTGCTACTTTATATCAACGCACGTTGGCCCTTCTCTTGGCGCTCTAGACTGAATGAAAGGCAAATGGGTCCACAAATTCATAAATCCATAGTGCCATACAACTCGATGTATGCAGTACGGAGTACGGGTATTATACTGAGAATCAGACACGTTCCCCTGGATCACGGGAAATGGTGGACGGGGAGACTACGACCAATGCTCGAGACATCCAAGCTTCGGTCACTTTGTAGATCAATTTGACAGGATATAGATCGTCACATTGGTACGTGCAATGTGGTCTGTACATGTCAGGCCCCTATTGCTCCTATCCCGCCCCACAGCCTTTAAACCACAATGTAGTTCGTATATTATGTACAATCTATCTGGGAAAAATAGTCAACAAACTCAGCCCGAGACATCAGATCGTAGTTCATTCAGGAAAAAAAGAAAAAAAGCCAAAGCCAAAGCCCAAACAAAAGCACGAGCTCCGGGGGCCAAAACCCGGCCTCCCGCGCACACGCTAGGAAAATGGCAGGATTGGCCCCATTTTGCACAATTCTCGACGATCTTTCATTTCTATTTCAAGTCCGCATTTCTGAAGCACGGGTCATCAGTAGTTAAATAAAAAAAACAACTAAAAAAGCAAATGCCGAATCCCGAACATGTCAAGTCCTCACATACATCTCCACCCCTCGACTCATCACTTGCTGTACTCCGTACATAGGAACTATTATCCCCTTCAGACGCGTCTATTTACCGCCAGTTGCTGAGCACCTGATCAATGGCGTATTTAAGGGAAAACCCCCCAAAACGGGACCTCTAATTACCCAATCGAGGTGATAGCCCATGGCCACCATCCTGCCCCCCCCATCCCCATCCCCCCATCCCCCCACTACATATGTGCTCCAGTACGGAGTACATACAATGAACAATGTGATCCTTTCGGTCTAAGCCCCTAGCATGTCCATCCCAGGGAATCCATTATACGAAAAGAGCAAGTGTATTGCCCACCCATACTCCGCACTCGAGCTCCGCAGTATCCGCCGTATGACTGCCAACGCATATACACCCGGCAAGCAACGAGGTCAACAGAAAACCAAAAAACCCAGCAATCCAATGCTTCCCATCCAATGCGTGTCTGAAATTTATTCATAATGAACAATGGCGCAGATCCCCCGTCTCTAGTTGTCTTTTTTTTCTCCTTGGCGAAGGATTGCATGTGTTCGACTCCATGATCGGCCGGATAGGGGATTCGCCGGGTTGTGGAGTTGTTCTTTTGTGTCTTAGCACGGATCTGGCCCTGTGGATCGTACTTGTCTTTTTTTTTTCTTGTAGGGGTGATACAAATCACGGAACGGAAATTGGTGGTATGTACATGTAGGTAGGCCTTTGGGGGCGATTGCATGTACCCAGGAAATTGCAACCGGCGGCTATTTTTTATATGTGGAAGTGTGAGAGACCGTGCTGGGGGGGTTATGGTAATCGCAATCTCTGCGGATTGGGGGGTTGGGAAGACGAGAACGATGTGCTTATGCGAGTCAGGGGCGATGGATGCAAGGGGTATTGTCTGAGCGTGCTGGGGTTGATGCTCTCGTGCAGAGGGTCATGATTTGGGCCTGTGTACGGAGTAGATAATGCGTCTTATGTGCTGCGCAGAATTGGGGATCAGGAATATGGAGTGTAATGTATTCAATTTCTCTATTATAGTAATAATCTGGAATTCTGAATCCGTAATTGTGACACTCATGGATTGCTCCATACATATTGTAGATATTATATAACACCCAAGAAGCAAAGTATGAGGGAGGGATAGTAGGAGGGGAAGAAAAATAGACAAAAAGGTAAGGAAGGACAGGAACCCCTATTTGGGATTGGTATAAACGAGATCAAAACGACGGCAGACCTCCCACGCTGAAACAAGAAAAAAAAAAGAAAGAACTCCAGTGAGGTATCTCAAGAAAAGACGAAGACCGACCCACGCAAAAGCAAAAGTAGAAACAAATTGAACCACCCATGAACAAAAGAAAAAGAAAAGAAAAGAAACTGACAAATGGAATCATCACATCCGCCGTACATTCACATCTGCATCCTTCCTCATCCAAGGATACCAAACGGTGGTATACTGCCTAACCCCGAACTTCGGCCCCGAGGGATCGCCTGCCAATGCAGCAGAAGCCCCCTCCCGTAGGAATTCGCCATCACGCATGCGGCGCTGCTCCCGCAACGTAGGACACTTCTTCTCCTTAATGAAGCGGTAGAACTTGCACTGAATGCCCTGGAAGCCCCGACGCTGGCGGTCCGGGAACTGGCGATTGAAGGCCTCGCGAACCTCCTTCCACTCCTGGCAGAGATCGACGCGGTGATACCAGATGAAGTACATTTCCTCTTCCTCGTACTTCGGACGCGGGGGCCGGCGACGGTCCCCGTTCGTCGAGGAGCTGCTGGAAACGCTGGAGAAGCGCTCCCGGGAGTGGTACGGGTCTGGCGAGGAAGGCGTGGACAGCGGGCTGGGATTGGTGCTTGTACTGCCGCGGTTGCTGGAGGGTCTGTAGGTGAAGAACATTTGTTGGTGGGATTGCTGCTGGTGCGCGTGGTTGATAGTGGCGCTGTTGATGCTGCTCTGGGTGGTTGCTGTGATGTTGGATTGGGCGCCTGGGCTGGTGTCGTGGTAGTTTCGGCCATACCAATAGTTTGGGCTTGGAGGGAAGCTGGGTGAGGGTTGGTGGTAGCTGTGGCGGGTTGGGATTGAGGCATGTTGGGAGCGTGGAGAGTCAGTGCAGGAATCTCCGTCGCCTGGATTCAGTAGAGCGTCGATTTTCATTTTGTTTTGTGGCGGGTGTGTTGCGTAGGATGTGGACGTTTCCATGGATAGCTTGTCAAGGCCAATACGTAGATGGGTGGCTTTTTCCAGCAAATTTATAGATCCAGATTTGGGATGGACTGCCGCGGATAGAAGAATGCTCAGACCAGGTCTGATAGTGAAGTGGAGATACAGAGATCGTGAAGATTTGTAGATCCGAGAGCCAATGGAGGTGAAGTACAAAGTAGGGGAAGGGAAGTATAATCCTTGGAGAAGGGGCAACGGGTAAAGTTTATAGATCGTGAAACTCTAGAAAGGGAAGAGAAGATCTGGAGCCGTCGTCTTTAAGTAAAAAAAAAAAAAAGAGGATTCAAAAATGGAAAAATAGTTCCCAGACTAACAGCACTCTTGGGTGCACTGGACCGACTGCCTGGGTCTGGTTGTGTTCCTTTGGCCCCCCCTGTATGTGTACCGTACACCTGCTAACAGGGGTCCTTTTCAAGAGGTTCGGTTCCACCCCCAGAGACATCAAAATAAAATGAAAAATAAAATAAATAACCGGTGAACCGGACAGATTGCTCCGTGTCCGCTTGTTCATGCGAATGGCTCTTTTTCGTAGATATTATTTTTGATACCTTTTTTTTTTTCGCCACTATTTAATCTCTACTTGAAGAAGTGGCAATGACTTCGGTCTCCTCCGAGTTGGCTAACTTTTCGAATGAGTGGATGATCCCTTTCTTTGTTGTGGAGAGCGTCGCGGCAATTTCTGTAGCTTCATGACACAATCTAGCTGATCTCTGTACATTTACATTTTCTTTTTTCTTTTTTAAATTGGTATTGCAGATACGAAAAACGGGGGGGCCACGCGGTAATCAAAATTACCACCCTTTTGCAATCTTAGCGCCAAGGCGAAGTTGATGAATGACAAATTGCGGGCCGCGAACAATCGTGAGAGTACGGAGTAGAGCAATATCAAAAAGTAGTTGCTCAACGATCCGAACATTGACGCGGTGCATGAGATGGATGAAACGAAGAACCCTTGTCCCAATAATCAATTCGAGAGAGAGAAAAAAAAAAGAAAGAGATTCTCCTACTTCCAAGGTTGTACCTACCTACCTACTCCGTACTTGTACAGGATATCTGCAGCCCTGCCACTGCATGAGCGGCTAGGTGATAGGCTCGATTGAGATGAATTCATAGGGGCAATGTGAGTCAATACGAGGGAAAATAAAAATAAAAGATTGGAAAAACGCTGAAGGAATGAAGAAATCGCGTACATTTTCTGTTTTAGTGTTAAAAGATGTTTCATTTGCACTGTCCAACGCTACCTAAGTACGGAGTACCCGTTCTTCATGTGAGAAGTGGATAACGAACTGACTATGTAACTGACACAGTCAGATGGATGGGTTTTTTTTTTCCCTTTTTTTTTCGAGATCATGGATGTGGGAGAAAAAAAAAACAAGAGAAGTGCAGAAATTGGAAAACCAACACAAACGCGCGGCGTCTATTGGTAGACGCAAAAGTCATCTGTTGCGACGTACGCCATGGCCTTGGGATGCCGGAGCGAATGAGCGTATCGAGCTAATGCAGGCTCAATTTGGCACTGCCAGCACACCTGTCTTTTTCTTCCATTATGAGGTAAGGTCCTTGAAGACCGCACACAATCTCTTGTTCTCCTCTATCCCCTTCAGGGCCTCTACGGAGCTTCCGAGATTCCACGCCCACGGAGGATGTGCGTATCTCACGATACAGCACAATCATTTGGAATATATATATCAAGCGAACCATGGTTGGGATTCATGTTCTCCCGGACGCGGGGGGAAATTGGGGCCAGTCCAATAATGAGCTCCAGCGTCAACTCGGCAGCAGCCGATACAGAAGCGGATTTCCCGCGCAGTCAACTTGCATGGACATGCAGATTCAGAAACCCAGGTCTGCCCACTTTTCGTCCGAGCCAGTTTATGATGCTACGTGATAATCATTTCCCCCTATGCGGCATTTTCCCTCGATCTGCGCCTTGACCAGATCGTCAGTCATCTGCAGCCGCCAACGGTTTCCTTGGATCTTCTTCACCGTATGAAAACTATAAAGGCAAGAAACGGGAGAGGGACCGGGGATAAAACCTGTATCTTGTCGAGGTCTCGCATCCACCAAATCCACCAAATCCACTCAAAGATTAGACCGAAACACCCCAAAAAGAAAAGGGACAAAAAGGTCAGAAAAGGTCAGAAAAAAAGACAGAAAAAGAATCAAAACGAGGTGATCGTATCTCTGCGGCGCAGTCAACTTGCGCAAGTGCGAAATTTATAGTCAATTAGGGCGTCATCCGCCCGTTCTGTATGGCCCGTTGCTTCCGAGACCCCTTGGCAAGCCTCTCCTCACAGCGCGTCCTAGTCCCTGAAGCCCCCGATTCCGTGCAGATCGGATCAACATGGCTTCCCCCGGGGCTAAATCCAGCGCCTTTTTTTTTCCTTTTCCCTCTCCCCGCTCTATTTTCTTTGTCTGCCGCTCTCCACCGAGTCCAATCACGATGCTCCCGGCGTTCGTCAGTCGCGTAGCCGCAGCCCAGTTCGATCACGTGAGAGATATAGTGGTAATCTATTCCGTACCCCGGGCATACGCCCCTCCGAGGTCCTCTTTGCATTATCTTTTCCCTCAATATAAAAGAAATGGGCACTAAGGCGTGTATGCAGATGTATGCATCGCGCTTGACCCCGCTAAGACCGGACTCCTTCCTAAATCGACATCGCCGCACTTCTATGCAGTTGGATGTTGCGCCGTACAAGGGGAGAACAGAGAGTGATGAAAAAAGAACGTAATTTCCTTTTTTAAATTATCGTCACATTGCGCGAGTCATGCTATGCATAATTACATGTGCGCATGCCACCGTCCTTAAAACGGCCAGGGCGTTGGAAAGAAAAAGAAAATCCAAGGGGAAATTGATTTAAATTCAGCACAACGTGGGCAGATTGGTCCAAAATTACTCTCCAGCCAGCCAATCACGTTCGCGCATCGCTTAACATCCGATGATTTCATCGTTTCGGTTCTTTGTCTGAGCCGCGCAGATCGGTGAGATGTGTCGAAATCTCCCTTTTTTCCCTCTTTCGCGCGTTTCTTGATTTTCTGGATTTCTGATTCATGGGTTATGATTTGTTCTTTGTTTTATCGCTCAATTATGAGGTTGCAGAAGACGAGATCATGCAAGGTTAGATTTCAAATGGTTGCTCTGCGGCCGGCCGAAGTGAGTAGCCAAGGACGCTATGTCCTGTTGCTAGACCTTAGCGATAGCCGCCGACTGCCCCCACCGAAGCACGCAATTAATGGAATTATATGGACGGAGCATGACCGGAGAATGCCGTTTTAGTCTGAGATTGCCCATATTGTCCACACAATACCTATAGATATGAACCCTGTGCCCTCATTTGGGGGCCAACATCCAGACCTCGTTCTAGAATCAACGGTAGATCCGAGTTCCAATCTCCCCCATTGAAAAGCCGGATTAGGAACGGGATACTCCCGTCCACCTAACAGGGGCGGGAAAGGCAAAACAAATGACTCGCTGGATGCGCAAATTTCCGAACCATTGCACCAAATCTGGACTTCTCCCGACATGTCTTGGATGGACCCTGGACCGGAGACGCGCAGGTCGCTGCGCCAAACTGTTTTAGAGCCACCGTTGCCTACGGAGAGGGGGTGCAAGCGGGATAGGTTCATCTTCCCCACAACGGGCCAGACAAAAGTTCGCCAATCTGCAAATCCGTAGGTAATCTGCCTAGATCGACGCATCAGGATTCCATTTCGAATACTCTATATTGTATGGATGGGTTCGAGATCCCTGATGTCCCTAAACGGCTCCAATTCCCCGTCTCAACCATGGATCATGGTGTTAGGAGCTGCCCAGTACCCTTTCTGGCGGACTTTGGATCCCAGTCGATCCCCTGAACTACGCCGGACTGTCAATGGAAGGGCGTGGCACGATACTCCATACAGAAAGTTTGGGGAATCGCAGAATAGTGCTTGATTTGGATAGGTGGAGATTGCTTTTTTTCCCTCTCTCTCTCTGTATGTTGTATGTTGTACGGAGGATGTGGTTTTATATGTCTCTGGTGAGTACTATGGGTGGTTGATATTGCACGATAGTAGGAGTACGCAATCGCACAGAACAGACCATCGCGCATTGAGCATCTTGCATTGGCGCGAGCACCTGACTGTGTGCGCCTGCAAGAGCATCCCGTAAACCCCGGTAAGTCCGCGTTAAGGCCCCCAAACTGCCCCAGGCGCGCCAGTGTGTTGCAACATCAGATCATGGGTCCGGGTACTCCGTAACTCCAACGAACTATTTCTTGGCCGATTTAACGATTCAAAAAAAAGTCTCCGTTACAGGGAAATCGCTTTCTGATCATATCTCCGTACTCTGCTATCTCGAGGGAATTTTAATTAAATACAAACTTGGTAATGACTAGATCCCGTCACTCCTTCCCCTCGGCCCTTCGCGTCTTCGGATCCGAGACCCCCATTCAGCTATAGGTCCAAATTTCGCCTTGACCCGATGTTTCAGCCGCATGGTGGCAAGCTTGCAGAATGAACCGCACTAGACACGACACTCACATTAGGCGATGCAGTAGCTGCTTATTGCGAGACGCAAGCCCTCGGCTTGCATCTAAGGACCTACGGAATAGTACGGGGGGTCCTTTTTCCTATGTAGGCGCAGCTAGATCAGTCTACGGAGTACTCCGTATGGTTGTGCACTATATCAGTGTATCATCTCCGCTCCTTGGACCCCACGCCAACTTTCGCACTAAACGGTTAAAAGGGAGAGGGGCGGATGGGCCAATCCTGCACGGGTCGATTCAATGCAGCTCACCCGCGACGAAATTGACCATGATCATCTCCCTGAGTATTCGTGGACATGGTAATAAATCCGATGTCATTTTATGTGTCCAGCGTCGTCATACTATCATCATACCTACCTATGTATCAAGGTATAGAACCCCCCCCCCTCCCCCTTCCCCCCCCCGACC